AGAATTTGAAAATGTTGTTAGTAAAGACAGAGAGTATTTAGGATTAAATTATTTAGTTTTACCTGTGTTAGTTCATAAAGCAGTGTTAGAGTTGAGCGATAAAGTAGATAAACTTGAAAAAGAAATTAAGGAATTTAAAGAAAAACTAAATAATTAAATATAAATATGTAAATATTTAAATAAATAAATAAATAAATAATTAATATATATATATAGATATATGGACATTGACAGAAAAGTTAAGATAAACGTATTAATTCAAAATGATAGTATGAGAGAGAAAATTTGTTACTGTGGTTGTAGAATTACTAAGTTAAATAAAGATGAATTTACATTAGATAAATGTAATAATGAAGAATGTAATTTTAATCATTCTAAATTTGATGAATATATTAAAGAATTAAAAAAACAAAGGAGACAAGACAGATTCGACAGACTAATAGATAAATATGGTAAAATAATAAATCCTATTCTTTGGGTATTGATGTTTCCTATTATAATTCCTTTGGGTATGTATCATTATATTATATTATAATCTAAATAATAACATATAATGGGTAATTCAAACAGTAATATTGAAACTTCAAGTATTGATAAAATCAATGATATTGATGTAGAACAATTAGATTTAAGTAATATTGACAAATTTCAGTTGAAAGCAATTAAGCAAATGTATGAAAGAATATGTAAAATTGCAAAGGAAAAATCAAATAAAATGATATATGCTCTACCTAAGGTAGACCTCTGTAATTGGAGTTTGTTTTAAATTAATAATATTAACATTTATTTAATATTATTGATTAGTTATTTTCAAGTAATGCGAAAAGTTTTTCATAAAGATACGGTTAGGGTCTTTTTGGAGAAGGTTAATATATAAAAAGCTATGCGGTTCATCAGTTGCAGTCTCATATATTTTATAAATTAGTTTCTTGCTTTCTAGTAAATTATCACTTCTAACAATTGCTGATAATTCATCTTGTAATATTTCTATCTCTTTGAAGTTTCTAACTTTATAATAAAACAAATGACTTATATTTACTCTAATAATTGGTGGGACACTTGATGATTTCTGAAGACTGACAAGCGTTGATATTCCACTATGACGTCCCCTACAGAATAAAGAATTTAAGAATTTGTTATTTCTTGTTATTGCTGGATTATCAGATACATCATCTAAAATTATCAAAATATTAAATAACTTCTTCATTCCTTGTTTTTTCTGGTATTCAATTATTTTATTTTGAGTTTATATAGCTCTTTCTAAATCTTCAACATTGAACTCATCCCACCAACACGATTCTTTATCAGTATCAACTTTTAAACCTTCTTTAATGTATTTTTTAACAGGCAACCAAATGCTATCCAAATTTACTGATGGGGACCAGATAAAAATTCTTTCATATGCACCTCTATAAATATCAAGTATCATTGATACAAGTAAAGTTGATTTTCCACTTCCAGATGGCCCGACAATCATAGCTCTCATCGGTGATTTAGGGACGACCTCGTGCTTGCTTTGCTTAAAGTCATATTTGATTTCATCAATTGGTTTTACATCAGGCATAATAAAAATAATATTAAAGATATTTAGAAAATAAATTATATTTATTATTGAATGGAACTTTTTTTTTTATGATATGCTGGTAGTGAATATCATAAAAACGGAACAGGTTTCCATTGCTTCAATCAGTAAGCATTGAAGCTAATTAGTTTGAAGAATTGCAATGAAAACTCCAAGTGCTGTGCCCCCATCAATATTCTATTATGCATTGAAATAATAAGATTAAATAATTATTTCATCTTATTATTTATATGAATAGGAGTTATTCAGATTATATTAATATAATAGATGAAGTGGAAAATATAGAACAAGTAATAATAACTGACAATAAAATAAACAAATGTTGTTATTATTCATTAGAAATACTTAAGCTAGGAATACAATGTATCAAAAATAAAAATGTAAATATTAATATAAATGGGAAGAAAGAAAATCAAAAAGAATAAGACAGAACCAGCTGTATCTTCTTCAACAGATGAAGAAATTGTTAAAGAAGCATCAGTTATTGAGTTTGCTTGTCCTATGTGCAAAAAGATGTTAGAATGAAAAATGAATTAGAAATACAAAAGAAAGGAAATGGTAAATGTTCATGTATTCCAACAAGTTTCAAATTGAGTAAAAAAGATAAAAGGATGAATATTGATAAAACTAAAGACAGTATCAACTTAGAAACTGATGCTCATAACATTACATTTAAATGGGGTAAGGATGCAACACTCTCGGAAAATGGCGATAACGAAACACAGGAAACTATTAAACAAATGATGAAAAATTAGCATTTAAGGAGTAGATTTAACACCACTTCAAACGCATAAATAAATAAATAAATACGTACATATTTATATATAGAAATGTCAGAAAATGGTGATTCTACAATTAGCGATTTAATGAAAAAGATTATAATTATTAGTAAGAATATTAAAACATTAACTGAACTTATTAAGAATATCGATGAAGAAATAAACCAACCTAAAAGCAATAACGAAGACGATAAGGATAAGATGGATAAAATGTTTGAAAAGAAAGGATTAGGGCGTCCCTCGGGCGACCATGAAACTAAAAGACAATCTTATTTTGAGATGGTGTCCAAAGGGCGCATTAAGAACCCAAAAGAACAAACATTAGAATACTATAAAATCGCGAAAGATGGTGATGAATATAAACTTATGGATTAATATAATAAATATCTAAATCATTCTAATAAATGAATTTATTAGAGCTATTTAGTGGAACAGGCAGTGTTGGACTTATTGCAAAGTCGCTCGGTTTTAATGTAATATCATTGGATTTAACAAATGCTGATATTAATTGTGATATACTTGATTGGGATTACAAACAATTTGATAAATCACACTTCTCATTTATCTGGGCATCACCTCCGTGCACCGAATACAGTAGAGCAAAAACAACAGGAATAAGAAACATTGAATATGCAAATAGTATTGTCTTAAAAACTATTGAGATTATCAAATATTTCATCCAAAATATTATGTAATTGAAAATCCACAAACTGGATTATTAAAAAATCAGGAGTTTATGAATGAACTTGACGATTTTGATGTTGATTATTGTAAATATGGTTTTAATTATCGGAAAAGAACGAGGCTGTGGAATAACATTGATGAATGGAAACCCAGACCATTATGTAATAAAGACTGCGGTAAAGTTGTTAATAACAAACATATTGAAACTGCGCAACGGGCACCAAGTGGAAAGCGGGAAAATTGGTGCGATAATTATGTAAAGCATAAGCAAGAAGATTTATATAAAATTCCTGCTGAATTGATTAGTGAGATACTGGTGAGTTTGGATTGAACCCCTTTAAAGAAATGCCATATTATTATGATAGTAATGGATACAAACCGATATATAAATGGGAAGGTGTATAAAATAACTGACAATGCTTATACTAAATGCTATATAGGAAGCACTTGTGAAAGTCTAAGTCAGAGAATGGCAAGGCATCGTAAAGAATACAGGAACTATTTGAAGGGTTGTAAATATTTCATCACATCCTTTAACATCTTCAATGAGTTTGGTATTGACAATGTAAAATTGAACTTCTTGAAAACTGCCCGTGTGATACAGTGGAAGAACTAAGGAAAAGAGAAGGTCATTACAAACAATCATTGGATTGTGTCAATAAACAGACTCCCGGAAGAACTCAAGCTGAGTATAGAGAGCAAAACCGAGAACAAATTAATCAACAAAAGCGAGACCACTATTGGAACAACAAAGATGACATCAATGAAAGGAAGAAACAAACATACACCTGTGCATGTGGGTCTGTTGTTCGGATTGCTGGAAAAGCAGAACACGAAAGAATGAAAACACACCTGCGATTTATAGGGAAAATATCAGTAGAAGAAGAGCAACAAAAACGAAATAGTAAAAAACAGGAAGCATACCAAAGAAGGTTAGAGAAATGTAAAGAGAAATACACTTGTCAATGTGGTTCAACCTTAAGAAGGGCAGACAAAGCAACGCACGAGAAAACCATAAAACATCTGCAATATCTACAATCAATAGAGGATGCCATCCGGTCGTAAGGAAAATTGGTGCGAGAATTATGTAAAACATAAGCAAGAAGATTTATATAAAATACCTGCTGATTTGATTTGTGAAATCTTGGTGAGTTTGACGGATTAAGGAAAACGAGTTTGGGGTTGGTGTTGAAACTTGAAATTTGCAGGGTCAAATGTTGACATTGGAAGGGTCAAATGTTGACATTGGAAGGGTCAAATGTTGACATTGGAAGGGTCACATCTCAACATTGGAAGGGTCACATCTCAACATTGGAAGGGTCACATCTCAACATTGGAAGGGTCACATCTCAACATTGGAAGGGTCACATCTCAACATTGGAAGGGTCAAATATTGACATTTGCCCACTCATGAAACATGTGCACAAACACTCACATGCAACGGCGAGGGCACTGGTTGAAGATGAAGTCGTTGTAGACGAAGTGCGGGCGGTTTTTGTTGTACGGTTTTTGTAATTGTCTATTGTATGGTCGGTTGTTTGGTTTTTTGTTTGTTTTCTATGAGGGTCTTACCCCTAAGCTCATGTTATGGTTTTGGTATGGTTGATTTGGGGGGCAGTTATTAAATGGCGTGAAAACCATAGGGGGGAGTCTATGATATTTGCTTGTGGGTAAGCTATATGCTTGCTGCTATGCCCCCCCCCCCGTCCCAAAGCTCTCCCCCCCCCCCCAATTCTGCGATCCAAATTAGCTTAATGAGGGTCCAGCCCAACAAAAACAGCTGTCGGGAGACCTTGATTTGGCAGAAGAGGATGCCCTTTTTTCCTTTTTTCTTGGAAGGGTTCCCCTTTAAGCTCCACCAACCAAACAAGGATGCCGATTCTTTTTTTCCCACGGCCACTGAGCGTCTGAGCTCCCAACCCTCCGTTTTTGAGTTCGCCCGACACACTCTGCAGGCATTCCGGTGGACTCCGACGAGGAAACTGAGCCTTCGAAGCCGTGCGTGCGACGATTTTTCCAGGCGCAGGGAAGGAGTAGAGACCCAAAAGAGGGGAAGCGCGGGGGATCTCTTCAAGCAATTGGATTGAGAGGTGCTTTCTCTCCTGAATGAGCAGGAGGGTTCCTGTTATATCGAAGTCAGGATGCGTTTGTTAGGTGAACCGGTGTTTTCGCAGGCGTTCGCACGCGTCCGCAAGCGTTCACGAGTGCTCACCAGTGGACAATAGTTGTCATGCCGCTAGCAAAGCTTCGTGCGTGAATCATGGTATTTGAGCCGTGACGTGTCGTTTCGCTGCACAAGTGCAATGCTTTGGAAAGCCGCGTATTTGCGTCGCCCTTCCATGCATTGTGATTTGCGTTTGAGGCGTGTTCAAGGTGTCTGGAATCGCGTCCAAGAGTTTGCTTGAGCGTCATTTTTGTTGGCCCCATAGTGCAATCAGCTCGCGTTGGCGAGCTCAACATTAGTCAAAGTCGCTCGAACTCATTCTGACGTCCGCCCCGTGTTGATGTTGGATACGCGCGGTACACGCGTCAAAGTTGGAATTTGTAGGCGAAACACTGAAGGGCAAGAAAGGACATTGCAGCCGCAAGGTAAGCGATGCTGCGACCCTTGCAGTGACACACCCTCACGTGTTGCGAGTGATGGTTTGCTTTCACAGCCGCCTTCCGCGCCAAGCGTTTTGTCTTTTTTGATTGGGGGGGGGGAGGGCGTGACTCTAGGGGTTGACTCCTTGTCCATTCTTGTCAACCATCGTTCTGTTCAAAAACCCGCTGTTTCCCCCTGGGTTTTTGGATGGTTTCCTGAAAAGCAGGACCCCTGGAAAGGTTTGGGAAATGGAAGGCAGCCCTAATGGCCGGTTTTCCCGGCCGTGGTTCAGTGGAAAATCCCTCGTGCTTGTCCCTCGATCTCCCTGGAGGGCAGCGAGCAACGAGTGGATTGATTCGCAGGCCAAGGTGCACAAGGTCCTGGCGGTCCGCTGGTTCACCAAGCGTCTCCGAAAGCATCCGGCCAGGCGCGGCGCGGCGGATGTTGACCCCAGATGGCAGTGGTGGTCAAAACCAATCAGATCCCAGTTTGGGGTAGGTGCACCACCCATTTTAGAACCTATTTTAGTGGGGATTGGGATGTTCACTGGGGGTACGGGATTTTGACCCCAGTTTATAAATACGGGGGTGTCCGATTCTGGGTTTGGTGGTTGGAATCAGACCACAGTTGGAGGGGAAGACCGCGCTATTTATAAACAGGGGTTGATCAATATGGGGTCAACATTAACCTGTGTCTTGGACCAGAAGCCAACAGTCAGAATGGTCGTTGAACACGTCTGTGGTTGGAAACACAGGGTCCCCCTGTTCTTCCAAGCACTGGTTTTAAGTACAGGTGGGTCTGTCGCTTTTTGCGGGGGTACCTGTTTTTTGGGGGGTTTAAAGGGAAACCAAAAGGAAACCCACTTTTTTTTGGGGGGGGCTCAAAAAGAAGACACACCGTAGCCAAGCCTGACGAGCAACCCAAATGTAGGCCGCGTTTTTGTGGGTTGCCTGTTCTCTTTTAGAAAGATGCACACTGCAAGGAGATGTGGTCATGTTTTGGATTTGTTTTCTGCCTAGTAACAACAAGGGGATAGAGAACAATGCGATTTTGTGGGATCGCCGCATTGCCACCACGCTTGGTCAAGCTTCATGGAAGCGAACGGGACCCTCTTGGAATTAACGAGTTTTCGTCTGCACCCGGCGTTTGTTTCCAATCTTTAGGGAGTGAACCCCTGAGCACAAGCATGGAACTCCCGACAAGTCAACAAGTCGATCTACAGAGAAGAGCATCCCTGTTCATTCATGATCGGACTGCCAGATCCAGCCGGCACATACGCGGTACGTGTCATCTGTGCGTGAGCCGACTGCTGGTGAACTGATCAAGCTACACCACCACACGAGATTCTTAGGCCTTAGGCCCTGTCCGGCCCTCCAACTCACAGGAGGAGCTGCTTAGCAGATGCTCCTACGCCAGATGAGAAGGCCCGGATCGACCGATCATGAAACGCTTCGCCTGGAAGTCGGGGGTCTTTGTTTCTTGAAGCGCGTTTTAGCCTTTATGTCATATCTATATATTATATATGTATATTTATTATGTATAAGTGCCTAAACGCTACAACATTGTACTTGACCACCCAAACGCGCTGGCTCCAACGTCCAGTCCTTCGAGTTCTCAATTACCCTTTGTGCAGGTCCTCCTCGGCAAAGTGCTGTCCAGCCGGCAGCTGATGCAGAGGACGACTGAAATGTGCCTGGGACGATCTGCCTTCTTCGTGTGCAAGGTGTCCTTAAACCAGGCGAGCCTCGTGAAGAATAGATGGGTTCCACTGGTTTAGATCGGTTTTGCTCCATTTACCAGGGCCATCTATTTTTCCAAAAGGCCACCTATGGTCGTGCATGTGTGTGTGTGGTTTGGGTGTACTTTTTGTAGTTTGGTCAAAGGCAAACGAAAAGGACAGCCACCCATTATGTGGTCCCCCGGTCTCATTCCAGGTGCCATGGTGCATGCCAAGGCAGCTGGCCAGAATTGACACATGAAAAGTCTGAGCCAGTGAACCCAGACAGATTCTAGATTCTACTAGACGTGTTTCAGCAAGACACTTTCTCATTTCCGAAACCCGTGCTACGCGTGCAAGGCTTCCCAACTCTTGGCTTGAAATGCATTCCGCTGGCGTGTGGACGTTTAAAGATGGATCAGCTTGTAACTTCTGTAGGGACACATGCATCCAAATTTCGGCCTTCTTTGCAGGTGACAGCAAAAAAGACCGGCTGTCCGTTTGAAACTTGTCGTGCTTTGTTTGTTCAACTTCTATGCTACCGGATGTGTGAAACTCTGCTTGATATTCGTGAAAAACACCTAAAGCCACAGATTGTACAAGAACTCCAACGAGTTTCATATGCGAAGCTGGCTTCAAGCTCAATCTTCAATCCTGCCAGATGGTCGTGGTGTCCGTCGTTGTCGTGGTATCCCACTACGGAAAGACAAGAGGAATCCCATTTTGTTAGGTGTTGCTGAGACCTCACCTTTTGTTTTTCTCAGAGGAGGGGAACCCTTTTGAAATATACAACAAACCAAGACATTGGTGCCCTTGTTCCCATGGGTAGAGCATGTTCATTTTTCCTTTGTTCCGTGGGGGCTGCATTTCTACCAACCAAACAGAAGTCAAAGTCTTGTGCTAAAGCCACGCCACGGAGCTCCCGCTCGATTTTTTTCGGTTTTTTGCCGAGGCTGCAAGAGTTTCAGCGTGAGATTCTTGGCGTGAAGGGGTTCTTCGACGAGCTCGGCCTGGGGCTTGGTCGAACGGATGGGTAGCTCTTCCATTTGCTGAAAGGGATATTTTTTTATTTGGCTTTCCCGTGTTGGTTTTAAAAGGATTTTAATTCACTACTGGACATTTTTGTTTATTTTTTCCAGGGGTCTTAACCAAATGGAAGGTGTAGTGCGAATGCCAAGCAAAGTCACTGCCCTGTAGACCTGGGTGACCAAGCCACTTAAGTGGTGGATATGCCTGCACAAGTCCCTTTCAAGGGTTATATGGAATGGTGACTTATGAACTGGGGGTATCCAGCACTTCAGCAGGCATGGTTGTTGTTTGGAAACATTGGACACATTTTTGCTTATTGTGGTTTAGTGGTTGAAATCCAATCACTCAACTGCTAAAACTTATTTTAATTTCCCCTTCCAAGGTCAACCAAGTAGGGGGGATTCGCCAAAAGAGCCAGAACTTGGGTCGTTTGGGGGAGAGGAGAAAAATCCCAGCGGGTCCTTTGTTGGTCTCTCCATCGCGAGGTGTAGCTCCAGAAGATGTGCATCCAGATGTCAGCCAGCCGGGCGCTCGGAAGCTCGGAAAATCGGCAGCCTTTCGTGGGGCCAATCGCCCCATCGAGAAATGGAGCCTGGGTCAACATGAAACCAATTGGACCACGGGGCTGGACAGTATTCATGCAAACATCCTGTCGGAATCTATGCAATATGGGTGTGGTGGTCAAAATGTTCAAGCACAAGGAATTGGACCGCAGGTTAAATCGGTCCAAGTGTCCATTTACCGATCGGAATGGCAACCCATTTTGCGGTTACCCGAATCATTTTTGACAACAGCCACATGGAGCCTGACGGGGGGTTCGGGGCCCCCTGGAAGACCATGCTCCTTTTAAAGGGACCCCTTGTCGAGGTTCCGTGTGAAAAGGGTGGGAGGGTACTTGCGGCGGTCAAAACAGCCCCTGGTAAATGGAACCAAGGACGGTACCCGTGGTCCACATGGTGGTGGTTTAATTTTGACCACCCATTGCGGGCTCCCTATATTTCGACAGCATCACTCCAAAATCCTTCACTCCATGAGGCCCAAAAGATCATGTCTAAAACCAAAAGCTATGCCACTGCCGGCGCCCCGGCGCCGAGGTCTCTTGACCGCAAGGAGGCAATCATGCGCCTTGCGGTGAAGGCCCGGGACGCGTGAAATTCGCCGCACTAAACGACCTCCACGAAATGTTGGCTCCCGAAGGCCATCTGGTTCCTTAGCTTTTTGGCCTTTTAGTGTTTAGTGGTTGGATTTCCATTTAAGCCACTAAAAGTTTGTCACTTTTAGCGGGGATCTGAGGGCAACCCACAAAAAGTTGGTCTATGGTTCCTTTTGTTTGGAGGGCGGTCGCTTTACTTTTTCCCTTTTTTGGGGGAGGGTTCCCCTACTAAAATAGACTACAGAAAAAAGGGTACCCTTGTTCTAACCTCTCTACTGGAGGACCTAGCAATGGGTGTCGGGGTCTGTGACTAGACCGGCTGGACACTTTGTGCGCAGGCGGTTTCAACCAGCTTGGACCCGCTACATGCACGCGTAGATGCATGTATGCACATTGCATGTGTGCATGCACAGGTACGCAAACTCATCGTCAAGCATTGACCGCCATACTAAATCCTCCATAAAATACCGCGCGCACGCGCACACACACACACACAACTGCACTCATGCACTTACTTCCCTTACAAGCATGTATGCACAACGATTGCACACATGTATCCATGCGTGCATGCCTGCTTTCGTGCTGACGTCTTGCTTGATGACTCTCTTAACTTGCAGGATAAGACACACTACAGGACATAGCAATTCAGAGCATCACACATGTACTGCATCAGACCACATATTATGACAGTGGTTGCGGCAGCGCACTTGATTTCACTGCAGCATAGCATAATGTATTACACTGTATTTGTTGTTATTGGCGTACGCCATAGCCCATATACGTTTCACACACTCATGACTCATGTCACATAGATATATGTAAATCACGGACACCACATACAGTATATGCTATCACATGAAGCATGCAGTGCATAGATTACGGATGGCGCCGTACTCCAAAACCTCATCAGATCGCGTGAAACGTGCAGGTGCCCCAACAGAGATGGCTGTGGTGGTCAAAAATCGGGTATCCCCCCTCCCACCCTTCTATGACCTGGAACCTTCACAAGGGGTCCCTTTAAAAGGAGCTTGGTCTTCCAGGGGTCCGGAACCCCTGTGAGGCTCCATGTGGCTGTTGTCAAAAATGGGGTAACCGCAAAATGGGTTGCAATTCCGATCGGTAAATGGACACTTGGACCGATTTAACCTGCGGTCCAATTCCTTGTGCTTGAACATTTTGACAACCACGCCCATATTGCATAGATTTCGACAGGATTTTTGCATGAATACTGTCCGGCCCCGTGGTCTTGATTCCGAGATGTCTTCAGCAGAATGTGGGTGGGTCAAACTTGAGTTACCTGGGGATTGCATCTAGCAGGGTTCCGTGTTGGGTATCTATTGTTCACTCACAACCCTATCTTGTTCGTGGGCCCATCACTTTCCAGAACCATAACTTTGAGTCACGGCCAGACTCGCAAGTCGGGGGATTTTACCAATGACGCCAGCCAGGTTATCCACAAAGCCAAGTGGCTGTCCCTGCGGACCTGCTACAATGATCACATGAAGTATCAGGACGGACTTGTTGGAAAGTATGGCAGGACGGCAATTCAACACACCCACACAATCCGCATAGGCAACATATGCCAACAGTTGACCCGTTTAGAGGGTAAATGTGGGTAAATAAACTATAACACTCGTAGAGTATTTTGGACAGTCTGGCGCAATGCGTTTCATTGTGACGAGCTGTTCAACTGCCTCAGACACCTCCCCCCCCCCCGCCCCGAAGACCAGTCCCCAAAGTGTCTTCGTGCAAGTTGGCCAGCCGAGGCAAGACATGCAACAGCCAGGATGTTCTAAGGCAAACCGTGGAATCTCGGTCAGGGCTATGTTTGTTTTGTGGCTAAGATCTCGCCCCCAAAAGGTTTCCAGTGCTTTCGGTTGCGGAGGAGCAAGAGCTCCGGATACTGAAGCAGCAGCATGCTCAGCCACTGGGCTGCGTTTGGTGGGTTTTCCTGGCTTGGAGTTGGATGGCGCGACCTTTTGGATCCATTTAGTTTCTGAGTGAATTATAACGACCTCACACGACCTCACCCCAACTGGTGGTTTATGTGGGGAATAGGCCCCCCAGGCAGGTAGGTCCCCCAGTAGTGCCCTTTTCCCCTTTTTTGGTTGGGAGGGTTCCCCTACTAAAATAGACTAGAGAAAAAGAAGGGTACCCTTATCCTAACCTCTCTAATGGAGCACCTAGCCGAGGGATGCGTGTTCTGCTCAACGCTGAGCACGGCTATGCGGAAAGCAAGGAAAACCCGGCTGGTGAAATAGTGCAACTCACCCAGATCTAGTTTCTGGTTAAAGCAAGCCGAGTCCTCGGGCATACGAGTGCAGGGCCCAGCAGAAGCCCCGTTGGTTTTTTTTCCCCTTCTTTTCGGCGTGTGCTTGAACCACCACCGTGGGCATCCGCACGGAACCGATTTCCATTGGCCATTCTTAGGGGGTTTGTAGCACCTGGATCGCCAGTTGCTGCCTTTCTCCATGAACTTTACCCCCAAAAACCAACAAGAGTGACTGAAAACAGCAGCACCTTGGCTATCTAGGCAGTCCCTAGATAAACCTTGCCAACCACATCAGTAGAACCAAAAGTTGACATGGGTGTTGGTCGCTCGCATGAGCTCACCGACCCCCAATCGGTTTGCGTACCTGGGACAAGTCCACAGATCGGAAACATTCGGGGGACGTTGTGTGTGTGTGTGTGTTTAAATTTATTATAGATGTTGCTTTAGTCTGCATTGATTTCCTGTTTGTTCTATTGCAGTGCTTGCAATGTAGCAGAAGAATCTTATCGCTACCAGAAATCTATGGCACTTGCCAAACTGGCCTGTTTTAGGAACCGGGGCAGGTTTTCCTTGCCATTCCCACACCACAGATGTAATATACGTACATGTGCATGTGTCTAAATACCAACGGAACTGACCCATTTAGAGGGATGGTAAATATGGGAATGTTTGGGAGCGACCCGAATTGGGACCCGCATGGGGAGACACCGCGGCCTTCTTGAACATTCTCAAGCATGAGCCCTGCAACATCTCCACGGAGAAAAATGCGCTTTCGTTTCAAGTTCTGTGATGCCAACACGTTTGCCACCTGGGTATGGGTCAACAAAAAAACCAGGGACCGCAGGTTTTAGTCCTTGCTTCCATTTGCCAAGGCAACCCATTTTGGGGTTACCCCATTTTTGACAATTACAGCCATATAAACTCGGATGGCTCAAGTTCTGTACACTGCTGTTGCCTCTCTGCCAGGCTGCAGAACCAGTTTGCCACGGTACGGCAGGAGAGAAGGGGTGACATGTGACATGTACTTAGAGCATAGAAACGGGAAACTGAACAGATGTCTTCAGAATAATGTCAAAGAAGCATTTCTGTGCAGGCTTCTGTTTGTTCTTTGTGCTGTTTTTCTGACACCGCTCACGAGTTTGCAGTGGTCGTGGGGAAATCATTGAACGAAGGACATCAGAATCTGACGTGTGCCTTCCTGTGAAAATATCAGAGCAGGGAGTGCAGCGCAGCTGCGCCACTACTCCTTTGGCGCATTTTGCCAAGTGGGAGGTTAGGACTTGAGAGCTCTTTGCCAACTAGGTAAAGTCCTAACATCCACTAAAAAGTGGGTTTTCCAGTGGGTTTTCCATTAAACCACAACAGTGGGTTTTCCGAATTAAACCAAAAGTTAAAAACCTTTAGCCGGGGAGCAGATTTCGCAACCGAGCTGCTTGCATGTCAGTGTCCTTGGTGATGGACCCTGCCGCATTTGAGATCTAAGACTTCCCTACGATTTCTGTGGAGCTCGTCCGAGCTTCAGCGAGGCCTTAGGGCCGGCGACAAGCCAAGAGAAGAAGTTCACCCCTTGTGCTTTTGGGTATCCTAGAATGTCGCAGGGCACGCGGGGGTTTGAGAGCTGTCTTTTAAACATGTGAACCATTTTGGGGTAGGTGAATTCACCACCCATTTTGGAACCTATTTTAGCGGTTGGATTGGTTGATGTTCACTGCGGCTACGATTTGGATTTTCACAAGCCCATGGCCATGTGACAAAATGTCGATATCCGCGTTCCTCGACTTTGACCCATCGTTTGGAGGGCTCTGACCTGTCTTTCGGTTGGAAGAAGCACCCCGGACCGATGTTTAAACGCCCAAATGCACCTCCTCGAACATGCAAGATCGCAAGTTGTGCATCCAGCGCGCTCCCTTTTAACGCGTGCCTGCCAGCGAAGCGAGTTTGGTTTTATCTTCCTTGCGATGCATTGACCTTTTGGTTTGATGTGCACGGGAAATCTAAGCAATCCCTGAACAGGCGGTCAGCTGGTCAGCAAAGTTCTGCTCATGTTGACAGGAATTTGCTCCAAGGTTGCGGCAGGGGACTTTGGGGTGTGGTACGTTCTATAGTTTTTTCCCCAATTTGGTGGTTTGGATTTGAGGGATTTCGGGGTCGGTCCTTTCAACCAAAAGGCGCCCCATCAGAAGTTGGCCGCTCACGGCCGATTCGACCGGGAGGACTACTTGCACGAAGTGGCCATCTTGAGGGATCAAGCGCGCGTACGCCGGGACGCCCATGAGGTTTCCAGAAAGGGGCTTTTGGGGTCAGCCTTGAACGGAGGAAATGAGAAGGTCCTCCCTGAGAGTGGAACCAAGATCTATGCCCACAATAGATTGAGGCGACTTTTGCCTGGATATGATTCTTTTGTTTAGGGTACTCCAGCGCAAGGCCAAACCTGAAAGGCGATGGACCCTGAGCCGTTTCCAAGTGGGTCCATCTTAGTGCCAAAGCTATCCGCCATGGCTCTGCAAGCTGAAGCTGAGAATCATCCGCCCTCATGTCAAGAGGGGGGGTGAACATTGGGCGCCGTTCTCATATCAATTTGAGCCTTTTTTTGCAGCTTGGATGCTGAGGTCCACCACTTATGTGTTCTTTCACTGAAATAAGTCAAGGCGGTGGTGAGTCACTGCTGTTTGCAAGCCAACACAAAACACGAACAAACAGATGCCTGCGATTTTGCCAGTGCCTGCCTTCCTGAGCCATAGCCCCTACTGGTACAAGTAGCATGACGTTCAAGCATCCGAAGTTATCCCATGTTCAAGCATCCGAAGTTATCCCATGTTCAAGCATCCGAAGTTGTCGCAGCCCAGCACATGTCGGGAATGCCATTGGCATGTCCCAATGATAACATGCAATGTGCGTTGAAATACGGGCATCACAAAAATTGCAAAGTTGCGGTCTTCCTGCTGGTTTCCCTTTCAACGGAGGTGACAAGGGTACTTAAGAAAAAAACGCAACTCGATTGCAGTATCAATTGGATGGTACCCTCCAAAGAAACACGAAATCCCCACAGCCCACCGAAATGCTGCGCTCGCAGCAGGCTCCATGCGGAGTCTGCAGCAGTTGAAAGCCCTGAGGGTGCCGAGTTTGAGACCGATTTAAGGTGTTTACCTCAAAAGAGTCGGATTCAAAACCTGGCATGAAAATGGTGTACCCAGACCCATGTAAAGCAGTACAAAGGCGGCTGCACCCGCTTTTGATTGGGATTCTCCCTTACTAACTGGATCATCTATCCGGATTTTCATGGTTCAAGAGACTCGAGAGGAGCCCTAGAAACGGGTGTTTGTCGATACCCTTTTCCGCTTGTGACCTAAAGGAATGCCGTTGCACGCCATTTTGAGAGTCTCCCTTCGACCCATCTCCATGTGATCCTAAAGATGGCTGGATTTTCCTGGCCTTTCTGAGCCATCGCGAACGGGGGACTGTTCGTGGCCTCCAAAAATGCTCATGACGGAGGTGCAGTGGTTGAGGTAATTTCTTTTGAAGTAGTCGAGGTGGTTGTCGCGAAGTAGTTGCTGAGTGTTGTGATTGGGTGGTGCGACTGCAAGTAGCACAGTTTGAGCAAGCCCCAAGTCTCTAAGTGGTTGCCCCAAGCACCTCCGCGACCAGGCGGTGAGCTGGGTAGCGAATGGGACGACAGCGGCGACGTGACTCGGACGCGTTCACGCCGCGTTTTCCGTGGACCTCGAGCAAAATCCCGGTGACTTGTGGTGCGAGTTGCTCATGCTGTTTTTGATGTCCATTTTTGTTTGTTTGGTGGAGGGGAGCAATCCCCTTTAAAATCAACTATCCTCCCGCAAACTTACATGGAACCTGAGACTCTGAGAGGGGGTCCCTTTAAAAGGAAGTTGTCTTCCCTTGTTAATTGGTAGGAGGGTACCAAACCGAGAAGGTAGTTTTTGGGGAAGACCCTTCGCGCGGCAAAAACGCAGTTCGACCCGGTTTTGGCCAATCAGCTCAGGAGGTGAGGGGCAGAGGTTCATCCTTCTGCCAATTGCATGGGCTCAGCGATTGAAGAGCTAAAACGATCTTGAAGCTCATAGTGCAGATCTCACGCTTCATGCTAAGGGCCGTTGTTTTCAGCAACTATATATTCGTGCTGTGGTGTTCTGCTCTTTAAGCCTTTGTTGTTGCATCCTTACTTTCAAGACTAAGCAAAGCCCCAAGGCTAGTTGTTTTTTTTCTTCACAGAATTCGGTTGCCCCGAACGAAGGGTGGGCGGTTTTTGTTTTGTAGATGTTGTTTTTTTCTCCAAAACACCGCTTTTCTTGGGAAACTCGGGAGTTCGTCCATTATCCAGAGGTTGATTTGTACAAGGAACCTGTGCTGGAGTCCTTTTAGGGCACAACGGCAAGAGTCGAAAACTTTGGTTTAGAGGATTCAAAGCATCGCCTAGCCAACTTGAAGCGAGTTTCTGATATGAGCTGATTGAAAGGGTCATGTGGAAGAGTGTTTTATGGGGACCGTCGCAAATCTATTTCCGAGAATGGCGGGGCTTGTTTGTTTATGTATTTTGGCACCGCTTTGGCTTCCATATTGGGCCCCTTTCTTTCAGAGTATTGCCAAAGAAAACCCGCTTGACGCTCGTTGTGACCCTGATGAACACTGCGCAAATGGGTGTCCCTTTTGTTTGGGGATTTCCCTTTGGTCGGTTCTCAACTGAAACAAACGTGCAGGCTTGTAAAGACTTGTGCATACCCCGAGATCATCTAGCGGATCAAAAGGGACTCCAAGCCATGTCTTCATGGTAGCGGAGCTCTCGGGCACGATCAGGGGCAAGTCCGCGGCCAAGGACAAGCTCTACAGGAGGAGGATCGGGGTTCCCCGAGAGCGGCCAGCTGGGCCACGGAGGGGAGCGGCCGAGTCGAGGTCGGAGGACGCTCGGCAGCTGCAGAGGTTTGAGGAGCTGCAGCAGCGAGGCGAGCCCGTTTGGCGGTGGAACCACTGGAGGTGGGTCCTAGCCTTGCTGGTGGGCATCTTCACCTACGAGGGGGGCTTCTTTGTGTTGGTCGGCTTGATCCTTGAAGAGGGCGATGGCGACGATACAGGAGCTCACGGCGGTGGTGCAGCAGATGCAGCAGCAGATGGCGCAGTTGGCTCAGGAGAACGCGGGACTCCGTGATCGGGTGCAAGCGGCGGAGCAGCAGACGGCTGGAGCCGGTGGCGGATCAGGGGGCTCGGCGGAGGTGCTGCAAGCATTGAGCCGGTTGCCGGAAGTCCTGGAGAAGATGAGCAAGAGAGGAGGAGGAGGCCTGATAGATCAGAAGGGCCTCGGAAAGCCTCAGGTGCTCGGAGAAGGAGCCGAAGATCGATTCCGGGTCTGGGCCTTGAAGCTGGAGGACTACGTGGCAGGCGTGATCGGCGGCAAATCCCGTGAGGTGCTGGAATGGGCTGCTGAGCAGGAGAACCCCATCGCGCAGATGGACATCGATAACCAGTTCGGGGCCGGAGCAGATCTTCTGGATCAATGGGATGAGGTTGATGAGATGAACCAACAGGTCTACACCATCCTCAGGGCGACCACGGAGGGGGCGGTCTTCGACTTGGTGGAGAACGCGCCGAAGGGTGCTGGATTGGAAGCTTGGAGGGCCCTGCACAGGAAGTTCGACCCGAGCACCGGAGGACGCAAGCGCATAATGCTTCAAGCATTGACGAGCCCAGAAAGATCCTCATACGAGAACCTCGGCAATGCCTTAGAACGTTGGAAGGCATTGAGAAACAGATACGACCGCAAGAAGGATCAGTTCGGGAAGCGTGAGGTGTTGCAAGACAGCCTGGCGATGAACGCTTTGGAGAAATTAGTTCCGAAGGAGATGGAGCAGCACCTCATGCTGAACTACACGAGGTTCCGGACCTTTGAGGAGATGGAGCAGGAGGTGGTGACCTACATGGAGGCGAAGACGGGGAGCAAGCTGACGATCTCGAAGGACTTCAGCAAGTCCTCGGCAGGTGACGTGGCTCCCATGGATGTGGACTCCCTGGTCCGGGCGGTCAATGGCAATTTGGCCTCACTCGTGAAGGGCAAGAAAGGAGGTGGAAAAGGAGGCAAGGCCAAGTTCGAGGGCAACTGCGACAACTGCGGCAAGAAAGGCCATAAGAAGAAGGATTGTTGGTCGAAGCCGCAGCAGGGATCAAAAGGAGGAGGCGCGAAGTCCCGAAGCAACAGCCAGAGCGCCGGCAAGGGCAAGTTTGATGGCATCTGCAACAACTGCGGGAAGAAGGGCCACATGAAGAAGGATTGCTGGGCGAAGGGCGGTGGAGCTTCATCATCGTCGGCGCCTACAAGTCCGAAAGGTGGCAAAGGCGGCAAGCGGGAGGCGGCATCGCTGGAGCAGCCGGGGGATGAGCCGGAAGGAGAAGCGAACGGGCTGGACCTTTGCGCGCTGTCGTCAACGGCGAGGGTGTCTACAACGACCTCGTTTGCGAAAAGGGTGGCTATCAAACGACGGGAGCTTGGTGGCGAGATCAACTTGCTGAAGTGCAACTTCGACACTGGCGCTTCGGTGACAGCTATCCCGAAGAGGTACAAGCGCGAAGGAACTGGAGGTGGAAAAGGAACGTTCAAGACCGCCTCGGGCGAGCTGATCAACAACTACGGCCCGGTGAAGATTGGCGGCTATGACATGAACGGCGTGAAGCGCATGGTGAATGGGAATGCGACGGACGTGCACAAGGTCCTGATCAGCGCGGGCAGGTTGCATGGAAAAGGGCACAGCACTTGGCTGTGGAAAGGCGGAGGAACTATCATGCCGGTGGAGCATCCTGTCTATAAGACGCTGGAAGAGGCTTACGAGAAGGCGCTGGAGCTGTACGGTGACAAGGGCATGATCCCGGTGGTGGAAGAGAACGGCATCTACAACTTCTACCTGGAGATGCCCGACCCAGAGAGCGCGGATGAGCAGGTGGCGGAACTGGAGACACAGGCCTCGGCGAGCGGACGGATGAAGAGCAAGCCCAAAGCCAAGGCAGCGAGAATCGACGAGGAGCGCAACACGGTGTGGGCTCTGGAGGATGAGATCGGAGTTCAGCAAGAAGGTCCTGAGGAGTTGGTGGAGGCCAGACCTGCTCACCCGGGCTGGGTACCGCCGCAGCCAAGCGAGCGTGAGAGAAAGGAGCACGAGGCGAGCGGCCATGCGGTCTACAGGAGCTGGTGCGAGATGTGCGTCAAAGCAGCAGGCCTTGTCCAGAAGCACGTGAAGGTGGACCATGGTGGTGAGAATCCCGACATGTCCACGGTGAGCCTCGACTACTTCTACATGGGCGAGGCCGAAGGTGCGAAGCCGAACATTGTAGCTCGGGACCGGAAGACCGGGCTGATGACGGCAACCTCCATGGAAAGAAAAGGGCTCGTGGATGCGACAGCCCAGAAGATGTTGACCAGGTTCCTGGAAAGCTTGGGCTACAAGGAGGTGGTCCTCAAAAGCGATGGTGAAAGGAGCTTGGTGAAGATGAAGATGGAGGCAGCGAAGAAGGCGAGAGGATTGAAGAAGGCGGTGCCAGAGGAGTCGCCGGCTGGAGATTCACGGTCGAATGGAGAAGCGGAGGCGGCTGTCAAGGAGATCAAATGGAGGTGCAAAGCCAATCTCTTGGCCTTGGACAAGAAGTTGGAAGGTGGAGTTCCTGAAGGGCATCCTATTACCTATTGGGCCCCGAGGTACTCTGCAGAGCAGCATGGCAGGTTCAAGGTCGGAGCAGATGGGAGGACGCCAGAGGAGAGAAGGACAGGCAAAAGATGGGTGAAGGCCATGCCGGAGTTCGGTGAAAAGATCATGGTCAAACCTGCTGGAGGTGGAAAGAGAGGAGATTGGGCAAGAATGGTGAGCGGGAGGTACCTGGGCACCCACAACAGGTTTGGGTCGATCTTGGCCATGACGGATGCCGGAGTGGTGGTTGGCACGGGCTTCCACACGGTGCCTGAGGATCAGAGGTGGTCAAGGCTGGAGCCCGGATTGCGTGGTGTGCCCTGGGACATCAAGAAGTATGTCAACCCGCAGCCGGAAGAGCGGCAGCAGCAACAGCAGAAAGAAGGTGAGGATCAGAGGCTGCCCCCGGTGGTCCTCGTGGCCCCAGCTCCCGGACCTGGAGGAGAGGTCCTGGTTGAGCGCCCAGAGGAGCATCAGGGGGGAGAAGCCCCAGAGGAAGAAGGTCACTCGGCAAAGGGCCGGGCGTGGCCGGTGAGGAGAACGATGATGCAGAAGTATGGGAGCACTCCAGGATGCCAAGGGTGTCACACAATCAACACGGGTGGAGCGCTGGTTCAGGCGAGCCACTCAGAGGAGTGCAGAGCGAGGATGAAGAGGAGAATTGCAGAGGATGTAAAGAAGGATGAGGAGAAGATGAAGAAGCAGAAAGATGAGGACGAGAGAGAAAGTGCGAGAAGGGCGAAGAAGAGAGTAGCGGAAGAAGAAGCGAACGATGAGGCAAGGGCTGAGGCTGAGCCGTCAAGTTCAAGCCGGGGCCCCGATGCCGGGGAAGCATCGCCAAAGCGGAAAGGAGGAGAGCAAGGAGCGAGGGACATCGAAGATGTCTTGCGAGATATGGAAGAGGATGCCAGCGGCCAGGCAGGCTCGAGAAGGATGGAGGCAGAGGAGATCCTGGCAGAGGCCGGGAGCAAGGAGGCTGCGAGCATAGTGGCTAGCCTAGGAGCGTTGGATGTGCTGGAGGTGTTTTCACCTCAGCGTGTGACAAAGGAGCTGAAGCGGTTTGGCATGCGTGACGGAGCGGCGGTGGACCTAGAGGAGATGAAGCCAGATGGGTCAGAGAGGTGGAACCTCGACAGGCCAGAAGATCAGAAGGAGGTGCTGGAGATGATTCAGGTGGAGGAGCCGTGGCTCCTGACGAGCTCACCGCCGTGCACTACGTTTAGCCCACTGAGGAACGTGTCCAATGGCAAGAGGGACCCGGGCGTGGTGCAAGAGGAGGAGGAGCTTGGAAAGGCGAGGATGAGAACCGCGATGAAGTGCTGCAAACAGCAGCGGGAGCAGGGTGCCTTTTATCTCCATGAGCACCCGAAACCGTCCACGTCATGGAAGATGCCGGAGGTGGAAGAGGAGGTGAACCGAGTCGACACGTACTTGGTTCAGAGTCCGATGTGCCGTTGGGGCATGAAGATGGAAGACCGAGAAGGGGAAATCCTGCATGTGAGAAAGGAGACTTTGTGGCTGACGAACTCGAGGAGGATCGCAGAAGAGCTGGAGGGCGTGTGTGAGAATGTCCTACAAGGTCGAGAAGTGCATCGGCATGTTCATCTGGTGGGAGGTGGACGAGCTAAGGCTGCGCAGGTCTACCCCAAGGAGCTGGTGGAGGCAATTCTCCGTGGCCTGAGGAAAGAGCTACGAGAGAGGGGAGAGATCAGTGCGGTGGAGGAGCAGTTGTCAGGCCCGACACCGGATGAGTACGTCGAGCAGGAAGAGCTCTACAAGGAGGAGTTCGGCCAGTTTGTGGATGATGTGACCGGTACGGAGTTGCCGGCGCACTTGGTGAAGGCGGCGCGAAAGGAGGAGCTGGGCTGGCTCCACAAGGAGGGCGTCTACGTGAAGGTCCCAAGGAGGATCTGTGAAGGGAAGGGCATGAAGCCCTTGCAGTTGAAGTGGCTGGACATCAACAAGGGAGACGCGACCCAGGTGAAGGTCAGGAGCAGATTGGTGGCGAAAGAAGTGCGAAAGGCAAAAAGGCCTGAAGATCGACTTCGGGCGGAGGAAACGTTCGCGGCGACCCCGCCGCTGGAGGCGGTGAACCTGCTCCTGAGCCTGTTCATGACGGAGAACCCAGAGGAGCCGGATGCAAAGGTGGCTTGCTGGGACATCAGCCGAGCACACTTCATGGGGCGTGCGGAAAGAGAGCTGTACGTGGAGTTGCCGGAGGAGGACCAGTGCGGAGATGATGGTGAAGAAAGTCCGGAGCCTATGGTGGGACTACTTCGCAGGTCCATGTATGGGACGCAAGATGCCAGCAAGGTGTTCCAGGGCGATTACATCGGCTGGTTGAAGGAGCATGGTGCAGAGTTTTGTGCACTATGCCCCGCAATCTTCAAGATAGCGGAGAGAAGGCTGATTGGCCTGGTCCACGGGGACGACTTCATGGTGAAGGGCAACGGGGCCAACTTGCAGTGGTTGGACGGCGTGCTGAACACGCGCTACACGGCAAGGCTGGAGGCCATGCTTGGCCGGGGCGCGGAAGATGACAAGGAGATGTTCTTCCTGAACAGGAAGATCCGCTTCAAGCTGGATGATGCGGCGAGGTGGAAATTGGAGTTGGAGGCGGATGCAAGGCACGCGGAGATAGTGATGCGCTACTTCGGGTTCAATGAGAAGACCAAGGGCGTGGACATCCCGGAGGAGAAGATGCGGGACGCCGAGAGAGTTGCTGAGGAGCGCCTGCCAGAGCTGGATGCCGAGCAGGCGGTGGACTATAGGAGCATGGTGATGCGCCTGGCTTATCTGAGCCAGGACCGCCCTGATTTGGGGCATGCGGTAAAGGTGTTGAGTTCGGCAATGAGATCGCCGAAGCAAGGTGACATGCAGCGGCTGAAGCGCGTGGCGAGGTACTTGGTGAAGGTCCCCTACCTCAAGAAGATCTTCAAGCAGCAGCCCATGAGAGAAATGGAGGTCCGAGCTTGGTCGGACAGTGATTGGGCTGGCGATCCGTTGACACGGAAGTCGGTGACGGGGGCGGTGATCAAGAACGGTGGCCACACCCTCATGGTGCGCGGTGTGACCCAGAAGATCGTGGCGCTGAGCAGCTGCGAGAGCGAGTACTATGGAATGTGTCGGACGGCCACTTTGGCCGAGTTCGTGAGGAACGTGATGGCCTTCTACATGGGTGAGAAGGTGCCGGTGGTGAAGATGCTGGTGGACAGCTCCGCGGCGAAAGCCATGACGGAGCGGAGAGGCGTCGGGAAGACGCGGCATGTGCAGGCCCGGTACTTGTGGCTGCAGGACCGGGTGGCGGAGAAGGCGCTCAGGGTGGAGAAGACGCCTGGAGCGGTGAACGATGCGGACGTGGTGACGAAGGTCCTGTCGGGTGGCGTCATGAGAGGCCATTTGACCCGAATGGGATTCGAGGCCAGTGACAACAAAGGTCACAAGGCCTTGTTCTTTTAGGGGTTAGATGCCCCTCAGGCCAGTTGGGCCTTCGATGCACAGGGGGTGCAGGCTTGTAAAGACTTGTGCATACCCCGAGATCATCTAGCGGATCAAAAGGGACTCCAAGCCATGTCTTCAAAACGGCCAGCCAACTTTCCGGCTCGCGGATTTCAAGACGTGCCCAAAGGTTGTCACAATGAGTGGGGGGAGGGGCGGGCGAGACTATCCACGCATCGTGACCGAGCAGTTTTCGCCTATAATTCGGGGCAGTTCTTCCCGGTTTGAATTGAGTCAGCTACTTGTTTGCAGAAACCTTTGGCTCAAATTGCTTTCAAATTTGTCCTGTGGACGAGTATGGCAGGTTGCGAGCTTGTTTCATGCCTTGTTTATTGCGAGAGTCGTGATTAGTGAGCTCCCTTGATCCTTAAGCGGGCAAACTGTAGCGACCTCACAAGGGTTTTGGGGTTGCGACCTCTGTGCTAAAGATTCGCTTGTTGTTTGTGTTCCTTTTTTTAGTCTGTGAATCATTTACTCCACCCAGCTTCTTGGACAAGTCCCAACTCGAAGGCGCGGTGTTCGGCCTGCGGCAAGGTTTAAACCAGCTCCCAGCGAAGACGAGGGTGGTTCGGCTGACCTCTCGGTGGCTCTGGGACCTGAAACACCGCGACACCGCGGCACCGCGCCTCAGGTGGTTTACTTCTTCGACCCGGTCAAGGCACTCTCGCCCAAAGAAGCTGAGTTTATGCTGGCGGCCGTGAAGGCTGGGGACAGCACGTCTTGGCTATTCCGCCCTCTACGTTGTGCATTTGTTGTGGGGTTGTGGGGGGGCGATGAAAGGAGTTAATGTGTTTTGTGCTTGTTCGTGTTGTTGCTGTGTTCTTTTGTTTTCCGGGGGGGAGGGAATTAGAGGAGTGAATTGACCGGTGATCCCCTAAGTGTGATCCCTTAACGGATCCCGTGTTTTCCCAGGTTGGCGAATGGTGGGCAATTTGTTGAGAAGCGTTCAGGCAACGAGCGATGTCCTTGCCCAGAAATGGTTACCTTTGGCGGAGCATTGATCAATTCCACTGTTTTTGTTTGTTCCATTTGTTACCAGCGACATCAACATGTTCCAGATGAACACGTAATGGACGTGTTACGCTTTTTGGTGGCTCCCCCGTGTATGCAAGTAGCAGCTAGCATTGACTATCATTGGTGGCATATATAGGCTTGGTGGGGAACGGGAGGTGCTCATAGATTCTTTACAGCTCAGATTTGCGTCCGTGTGTGTGTGTGTGTGTATCCGAGCAGATTCTGCTAAATGCAGAGATGCTCAATTTGATCAACTTTAAAGCATGGCTTTTTCAACAAGGCGATCATGACAATCACACATCTGCAAGAGCCCACGTAGACATAGCGTTGGCTTAGCTAGACATAGCCTTTTTCTCCCGAGGCTCGCGTGTAGGCAATGGGTCGACTTTGCGACAGCTAAGCAACGCCCAGAACGCAGAATCAAAGCGCACAGGTATCCTTGTTTGTCGGTTTGGTTTATGATAGGTGGATTCAACAGGTTTCAGTTTGGTCTTAATGATGTACCAGGCGCCGTCTATGTTCCACAAAGGCCTGCCGCGATCCACTTTGAACAGCACAGCCTGGGTGATAGTAGCTGGCACAGTTCCAACTCATTTTGGATTAATCGTTTTACACTATTGCTTACACGCATCAACATGGAGTGCCATCTACCTTTACTCTGGCCTACGCCCTAGTGCTGGTTTCAGTTTCGGTTTCAATTGTGACTGGTTTCAGTTTAGGTTGAGCACACCTGGATTCCAGTGTTTGAACAGCCTACCCTGAGTAAAACAAAGATAGAGTCTGGGTGAGGCCAGGAAGACCATTTCCCTTTCAGGTAGCTCCCGGGCACTTCTCGGAAGAGGATTTGCTTCAAAGAGGTTCTGGGTGGCGAACCCGGGTTTGTCTCCCAATGGACCCCTACAAAAGCTTGGTCCCCTCCAAAATACAAACACACACACACGGGCTTCCCTTGGGATTCGTCGAGAGATAGGAGCCCAAGGCCCCAAATCTGGAGTCTCCTCCCAACATACTCTTCTTGTGTTAGGATAGACGAGACATATGGAACGGAGTCAGGCGGTGCGCGAGTTGGGCCAAGCAACTCCGACAGGAGAAGGTGATGATGATCTTGGAGCACAACCCAAAGTTGGGGGGGGTGGACATGGGGCAGCTGGAGAAGCTGAAAGAGATGAAGGACCACTGGGGTCCCAGTTCGGGGCTGGCGCTCGTTTCTTTCGGTTTTTTTGGGGGGACACCACCATGATTTAACTGTCATGCGCAGGCTTTTCGCATATTTTTTAAGACACATACCCTGTCCTCTTCTGAGGGTGGCACCTTTTTGGTTTGGTGAGTACTGTGTTTCTCATGGGTTGCTTTTAAGTTTGATCCCCTTTTGAGGGCTTCCCTTTGGCGTTTTTTCAGCAACAAGGGTATCCAATCAGCTGACCTCGTTCCTGACTCCCACGTCCACGTGCTTGGCGAAGCCTTAGGGAGAGGTGATTCATCCCTTCCCAACAGGACCCCTTAAGAAACGGTTCTGGGGTAACATTCCATTTCCATTCTTTCCAGGGATCCTTCTTTCCAGAAAAAAACACCAAGCACCCCGGGGAAATGGCTGGGTTTTGAAAAGAACGATGGCTGAAAAGAATGAGGAATCAACCCCTCGATGTTTTTTCCAGAAATCTGGGCCCCCGGTACTAAATTACAATGGCCAAGTTTGAACCATTACTCAACAAACGATGTCTCCCGCCGACCTCTGTTCCAGTCTCGTTTAAAAAAAACAACAAAAAAACCTAACCCTAAATCGGCTGCGTTGGGCTTCCTCGAAAGCCAACCCAAAGGGTCTCATGTGATTGACAAAACCGGTGATCCGATCTACGTGTGTCGAGCGATTTTCGGGGAGCTGCAAAGCGAGCTTGCCCATGAAGTTTCCTTTGCAGGGTTTTGAAATGATTTCTAGGTCCCCCAGTAGTGCCCATTTACCCTTTTTTGGGGGAGGGTTCCCCTACTACAGAAAAAGGGTACCCTTATTCTAACCTCTCTAATGGAGGACCTAGATTTATTTCCGATTCAATTGAAGTGGTTTGGGCAGACGGTTTCCGCAAAATGGTTTCAAACGAAAGAACTGGTCCATTTTCGTTCAAAGGATGGCTCCACAAGGCCTAAGGCGGGCAGGGTTTCATTTGGTGAGTCTACCTTGGGTAGTCAAACACTATAACCCTGGCAGGGGCTGTAACGAAAACTTGAAGTTGTTCCACGGGCCGAACTTCCGAACGGGTTTTTCCGGACCATGAACCATAACTATGACCTAAGCCCAAGGGGGTGTGCGCAAAAAACATGATAAACAACCTCAGTAACATCAAACAAAAGGTCGATCCCTATAGGGCCCCTGTTGGTATTCAGCATCACTTTGCGCCTTTTCGAAGAATTGCTTGTTGGTGATGACTTGCATGATGACTGGCCAATCGGGGGATGCCCACAGACCCTGAAATCAAGTGCTCCCACAAGCGGGAGTTTTGTAGAAGACCAACTTTCTTGGGCATCAGCTGTCTCGACCCCTTCTTGTTTCGTGCAGTCCACCAAAAAAAGGGCATCAGCTGTCTCAATCCCTTCTTATTTCATGCAGTCCACCCAAAAAAAAACCGGGGGTGCAGGTTTCTTTTACCGCCCAACAGCGGCTCCTTCGCGGCTCCTTCGCGCGTCCTCGGCTCGCTCGCTCGCTCCGGGGACGCTCGCAGCGAAGCGCGCGAGGAGTCCCGGGAGACGGAGGAGCTGCGGGCGGCGTTGGTGCAGCGAGGCCATGAGCTCGCGCAGGCGGAGAAGTCCCTGGCCGCGCTGCGGGAGGCGCCGGCTTGAGTTGAGTCGGACGCGGTTTGAGTCGATGGTTGGAGCTCGAAATGGAGACTTGAATGCATTTTGCCAAGGGATGTTAGGACTTTAGCTTGTTGCCAACTAGTGGGTTTTCCATGAAACCACTGAAGGTTAAACTTTTCGCAGGGGAGCAGAAAGCCACCGAGGAGAGGCTTGAAATGGAGGCTTGAAATGCTTGCGGGTTTTCGAGGCGAGAGAAGGCGTGTTTGGGGATTTTTGGAGGGCGCCAAGCTCTTGCGGAGGGGGGGGTGGGGGGGGGTTCACTTAATGTTGAGTTGATACAAACCAAGTATGGGCGTGAATTTGAATTGACCATCTGGACCCGTTTTTTGTGGGCATGGGATTCATGAGTTCCCACTTTCAAGCGGCTAGTAAAAAGAATCACCGGAATCACCGGACACATCATTGGACCGGTTTCGAGGACAAGGCGGCGGCGGAGGGTGGGGTTGCCAGTGTGGATTCCATTTTTATGTCGCAGAGGGCGGCCAGAGAAAGAGCAGTTTTCAACTTCTGGGGAATGCGAAATCCAAAGAAGGTGTGGGGTAGTTCCCAGAATTGGCAGGTGTCCAGAATTGTATTTGTTTGACAGCTTCCATTTATTCAGGCGCTTTGTGGATTGTTCTATGGGTACTTTCCCAATTCTTTCCAGGGATCCTTCTTTCCAGAGAACCTCCAGAAGTTCAGGGGAAACGGCAGGTTTTTGAGAAGAACAATGGTTGAAAAGAATGGACAAGGAATCAACCCCTGGACTTGTGGGTTGTTTCACCCCGCACATGACCCATTTTCCGCTTCCTTTGAGTGAGGAGAACGGGCGCAACGGCGTGGCAAAGCTGAGCTCGGCCCACGAGCAGATGTTTGCTGAACTGGAGGACAAGGCCAGAAGCATAGGTGTCCTTTTGGTTGTTTTGGTGGAAAAATCGATGGCGATTCCTGGTTCACCTGGTGGTTTGATCATCTACCAGGGAAACCCATCGATTTCCCCTAAAAGGACACTATGGCCAGGAGCCGGTCGGCTTCTCCTGCCAGGATTTCGACGGGGTATGAAAGCAGCTTATAAAGTTCATTCCCAACACCCTGGGTCGTTCCCTACTGAGCACCAGCAAGGAAAGGAACTGACTTATACCCTGGGGTTCAAACCCGTGCCCAAACCACCAGTATGGGCCCAAGGAGTTTCATCATCTAAATTGGGTCCGCCAGTGTTTCAGTGGGGATTGAACCCTGGAGTTGTTTAACTGGAGGTGCCCCGTTATGAGAGTCAGGGCCTGATTGGTTGGTTTCCTGTACTACTCCATGGGTGACAATGAAAATAGCACAAATGGCCTAGTCAAGGAAAACCGATCCCGCAAAGAGAGCCCCCATCTATGCGGAGGGTAAACGGATTGCGGAAAAGAATGTAGACTCACACAACACTCCGGAAAAGGAACTGGAAGACGAGAAAACAATGTTGGTTTCTGTTGACAAACATTGAACACACGCCATAACAGCTCAACATGTTCTTGGTGAACAAAGAGTAGAGCCGGCCATTTACAGTGTTTTGCACACAAACGCCCCTCTTTCGCGGGTCGGTCTGCGCATAGCATTGTCGTTGGGATGCTTGCATTGGCCGACTTGGATGACATCTCTTTGCTTTCAGGCCTGGCTTAGCCTGCAGCTTAGGGCCTAGCAATCTCACCACCACAAAACAACCCAGCAACAAATGCGTGTGTGTGTGTGTTTTATTTGAGTCGAAGGGCAACCTTTTCAGGTTGCTTTAAAGGACAGTCTTCAGGAAAGCTGCCATTTGTGAGGCCACTCTATTTCAACACACACAAATTCCAAGCTGGTGCTGCAGTTCGGCTAGCATGCGTCAGACCCTGTACAACATGCAGCCAGCAAACCAGTTCTGGGCGAGTGTGTTGCTGTGTTAGGGTTCCAGGTCGCTTCAGCAAGTATCTGAAGCCGAGCACACTTCACTATGTCCCCGCCACGTGCAGAGCTATTGCTCATTGTGCGCTTCCATCTTCGGTTCCTACCTTTTGATACGCTGTGTTGTTTTGCAAGAGTAACTTGTTGCAGGTCGTTTTTTGGCCCCTTGGCCCCCAGGAAAAGAAGTAACTTGCGTGGGGGTATACTCTAACCACCATTATCAGGATCCCTGAAAATTGGTGGGGTGGATTTGAAGCCCTGGTTCTTGTTGAGGGTAAATGGGAAGCTACCTAATTAATTTTACAACCACCAACCACCAACCACCAATTAGGGGGAAGCTGAGATTGGGTGCCCAAGGAGTCGCATCGGGTCATTACCTTTGCTTCAATTAGGGATTTGACCAGTTGAACCCTACTGTGGATGGACAAAATCCAATTCGCACCTGCTGGTCGGTGCTTCCTTCCAGTATTTATAAGGGTTAATCCATCCCAATTGGTGCGAAGTGAATTTCATCCATCCACACTATAAGGATAACTCTGCCATTTTTCCCGGGTTTCCAGAGGTCTAGAAGAAATGGACCCCTGGAAAGAATGGAAACGGAAGGTACCCCCACAAAACCGGTTGAACCCCAGGTAATACTTGGGTATGGGTCAAAATTAAACCACCAGGAATTGGACCGCAGGTTAGATCGTCCTTGGTTCCATTTACCGATCGGGCAACCCATTTGGGGTGACCCGATTTTTGACCACCACAGCCATATTACCAACTTTGCGGGGTTTCAAATTTTGGGCTTCAGTTTCCTTTTGGTTTCTTTTGGCAACCCATTTTTGAGAACCACAGCCACTTCTTTCCCAACTCACCACCCAAGTTTCTCGCCAGATCTCCCAGCTGCGCTTCGAAGCCAACGCTCTGCGCACCTCCAGTGCTCGGGAGATCAAGGCAGCGAGTACCAACCGTGCATATTATTTTTTTGGGCTGGTGGGTGGGGGTGTTTCTCACTTTCCCGGAGTTCCTGGGCTTGATAGGGTGGGTCAAAACTCAACCAGGAATTGGACCGCAGGGTGGGTGGGGGGTGGCTGGGGGGTGTTTTCTTTCTCACACCGCGGTGGTTTTGAAAATCGGGCCGCCCCAAAATGGGTTGCCATTCCGATCGGTGCATGGAGAAAGCCCAGGACTAGACCTGTGGTGTTCCTGGGGGCCGCAGGAGAAGGATCGTAAATGTTTCCATCCACGGCGCCCACGTTGGAGTTCCCCGAGTTTGGACCAGCCATCGGTGGCTCCCAGCCATCCCCAAAGGCTTTTAGAGGTTTTTTTTTCCGTGTTTTTGGTGGCTGGATTTCCGTTTCGCCCGCTAAAAGTCAAACTTCTTGCGGGGGACCTGAGGACAGCCCAGATACTTTTGGGGAAGGCCGTTTTAGTGGTAAGCACAAAGTTGTTGGACTTTTTCTGGCCAATCCGCTTACTTCCTGGTTCTCAGGGAACAAGTTTGGAGTGACCGAATGACCTCGACCAAAACCATGCCCCATGGTTTCCTGAAAGGCAATCCCCTTCCGGTGTCAAAAAATCCCTGCTGAGCATCAGCAAGCTGAAGGGAAACCGAAAGGAAATATTGCCCTTTTATTAATGACCCCTTTTTCAGAACGACCCAAGAAGAAAACACGGGTTGTTTGGGGGGATCAAGCATAGTGGCGAAGTTATTGGTAGACTTGTTGGTTTGGGGAGGTGAGAAGGGGGCTCAACAAAGTTTGCCCATGTCCTTTGGGGGTACAAATAATATTAAAAGGGCGCCTCTTCTGCATTGAAGCTTTGATTGTCAGTGTTGCTCGACATGTTTGAAGGGACCGTTCAGCCATAATCCACCATGGTCAGCTTGTGTGTCTTCCAGCAGGCTTTCTCTTCCGATTTGGAGTTGCTAGAGCAGTTCTGCGTTCGTAACAATCTAGCCCTTCGTTTGTTGAGGTTTTCGATGTGGAGGCCCTTCAGAGGGGGGGGGGCGGTCACACACTGGGGCGTATCCTTGGCTTACAGGCTCATCCAGGGATTCCCCCGCCCTCCTTGGGTCGTCCGTGAGGGGAACACCTAGAAACAGATGTCCTTGATGAGGCAAGTTAGCTTCACACTTCCCCACGCGGGAATTCATGCAATCCCAGAGGTCAAACTGCTGAAGGGTCGCCTGCGATGCACCGGTTAGTGCATAGCCTGCTCGCCAGGAGCGGCAGAAGACGGAGAAACGACTGGAGGTGAAGAGTGAAGAGCCTCTCGGCGTCAAGGTCGGCGGTTTTTCACGTAACACCGCGTTGAGAGAAAGACATGGAGCGCACGGGTCCCGTAGAAAGTGCGAAGCTCATTTCCTTCTGCGAACAAGGGGGGTTTAAAGAGCAAGCCCTGCCCCGTTGCTTGGTTCCAGCTGGCTTTATTGGGGTGGGGGTGACCGGGTGACCTGCCAGACCGAGGGGGACCCTCCAAGTTGTTCCTTCCGAAGACATGTGTTTTGAAGAAGGGGGACCACCAAAACATGATATGTTTCCTTTTGGATTCCGTTCCAATGCTGGCCCGAAATTTTGGAGACACTCATGATATACCGGCAACTTCCTTCTCGCCGCTTCAAGATCCCGTGTTAAAAGTTCTGTATAGGGAAGCACTCAGCGTACTTCCCCGTCAACTCTACTGGATTGCCAGCATGACTCGGGGGGAGGGGGGAAGGTTCCCAGACCTGCAGGGCTGCCTTTTGTCATTTGGGCATGGGTCAAAATTAAACCACCAGGAATTGGGCCGCAGGTTAGATCGTCCTTGGTTCCATTTACCGATCGGTCCACCCATTTTGACGACCACGGTCATTTGTTTCTTTGCGTGGGTTCAAAGTCAGCCCAGAAGCTACGGGGTGCCCTCCAAGCAACCCAACAGAGCACGAAAGAAGACACCCTCCGGATTGGACCAAAAAGATCCGGGGGGTTCACAAAAACAGCTAAAACAAGTCACACAAGTCCAACGCCCATAGGATTCCCCAAGAAAGGGTGCCCAAGGGTGTGTTCGATTTGTTGGGTTTCTCCCAGCTTTGGTGCATTTTGCTTGGATGTTAGGACTGAATAACTTTTTGCCAACGAATGGGGTTTTCCGAATTTAGCCACTCAAGGTTCGTCGCTTTTCGCAGGGGAGCAGTTTTCGCCACCGAGCCAGAGGCTTGTGTAACTCTTCTTGGGCTTCCCCCCATTTCAGGGTGCCCAAGGGTGTTTTCGATTTGGGTTTCTCCCAGAGCGCCTTCCACTTCCGTTTCCCACGACTCCCACGTCGAATTCGTCCGATCCGAGGTGCGAGGAGCTGCGGGAGGCCTTGCAGCGCGCAGAGCTGGACCGCGGATCCTTGCAGCTCGGGGGCCCGGCATCGTTAGGCGCGCGGAGAGCGCCAAGGCCGGGTAGCGTGAACAGGGCCCGTTGTTTTGGTCTTTGTTTGAGGGTGAAGTTGTTGGACGTGCTTTTTTGGTTTGAGGGTCAATTTGTTGGACGTTATTTTTTGTGTGAGCGTGAAGTCGTTGGACGTGTTTTTGTTGTTTGTTTGAGGGTGAATTCGTTGGACGTGGCTCAAAAAGAAAATATATGGCCTTCAAAAACCGAAACCCATGGGGGTCCGATTTTGAGACATGCCCAAATGGCGGCCTGGTTTTGCAACCGGTGGGCTACTTTGCCCCAGTTCTGGGGCTTGCGTCCTTGCATTGCGCGGCGGCGCGAAAGTGGGGAGTTCCCGTTCCCCCTCTGTCTGGGGACCTTCTGGGGTTTCAAAGGGAGGTTGAAATGGACCGCGTGCAAGGTCCAAATCGTTTTTTTTTTTTTGAGAGCCCCAATTTGAGCACAGCGGTTTTGTTGAACATTGAGCTTCTTTTGGGGGTAAAGCTGTTCATCCGGGGGATTCCTCACGGGTTGTGGAGGTCATGGAAGGCTTGAAAGGATTTGGCCCATGTGACGTCCACTAGGAGTGGATTGGATGGCCAATGTTGAAAAGGCCAGCCCATGCTCCGGTGCCTGGTTTCAGTTTGTTTGAGTTCACCTTTTGTGGGCCCGGCCTTTGCTTAAACACACCCGGGAAACACAGAGATGGCTCAAATGCCTCTCCCTCAAGTTAGAGCCGAATCCACATGGATGCGTGTCAAAAACTGTGGGCTTCCTTTGGGACGGTTCGGAGCAGAAACCAAAGAACATCCGTTAAGGAAATCAAAGCCAAACCAAACAGTTGGGAGGGTCTAAGCCAACAAACATCCAAAGGAAATCAAAACCACACCCCAGACCCATGAAGAGAACCGGCCTCAGACCGGCTTGCCATCTGAGGCTCGAAGCCAGCGTCTTGGCCAAGCGAGCCATCCGTTTTTGGCCAAGCGGCCACCCCCCCCACCCCCGCCCCGGCGGGAAAACCAGCAAGGCCGAGCGTGGGGAGGTGCAAACCTCTTCCTGTAGACTCTCTCAAACAGAAGAGGTTTCACCATTTCATGTCATGTGTCATGTGTCAATCCCAGCTGAGTTTGAGTGGTTGATACAGGAAGGGGGCCTGCATGGATCCAACTTACCCGGGGCCTTGGTTGGCATTTGCCCAAACAGGTTTTGTTGCCCTAGCCACTGAATTCCCGGCTTATTTCCCTCAAATGTTGGGTTCCTTGCGGAGAACTCCCTCTCCCGAGAATACGCCCGTGGGGTGATCTCACTGCTTGCACATTCAATTCAAGCAGAGCTCCTTTGTGATAGGTTGGACATGTCGGGAACCTGCTGAACCTTAGCAGAAATCGCCAGCTGCTCCGCTCCGCAGAGCCCAATTGATCTGGTGCTTGCGTTTCTCTTTCACCCAATGCGTGTGTTTCGATGGTCCAACTTGTGCTGTGCTGTACCCTAAACCCTAAACCCTCAACCCGGAGGTGAGGGTTGGAACGCCATTTTCAAAGCCAGACCTTAGATATTCCTCGGCGGCCTTGGATGTGTTTGCTTTTGAGAGTGCCCTTGTTGGGGGCGGCTTAAAGGACAACCACTAGGTCAACCACAGTGTTAGGGGTGCGTACTTTTATGTTCACACTCCTTCTTCTTCCCTGGGAGCTGACAACATGTTCCGCGACACCAGTTCCGGGGACCTTCTTGCGGCCCAAGAGCTTGTGCGGTCCGCAATTCAAATTGACACCACATACCTTCCCACCAACTAACATGGAACCTGAGAGGGGGGTCCTGGAAGACAAATTTTCTTTGAACGGTGCCTGTGTGAGTGGGTCTTCCAGAGGCTTCAAGAGCAGACCTCAATATTTTGCGGTAAAGAGACTCCTGTACGTTGACCGGGATGGTCGTGTGGGATGAATGTGGACAACCCATGAAACTACGGGATTCTCGATTACGACTCCACGACCCACATGTTTTTTGATTATTGCCATGACGCATGCAGGAAATCACTTGCTTTGGGTACCTTTCTGGGAACACCGCTGATAACGTAGCAACAGGTTGGGAGGTTTGACCATGATGCCGCTGGCTCCCCGTGCTGCCCACTTCGAAGACTAAAAGCCAGACGCACAAAAACCGCACCCTTTTAGGGGAAACTAGACCAATGCTGGGATCGGTCTTTTTGGGTGGGTTGTTTCTCCATCCCAACCGGTGAAACTCCGACCTTGCACCATCTTTGAGCGGGGGTCACAGGCGGCACCAGATGCTTGGCTCCTTTCTTTCGACGGTATGTTGGTGGTTTTACAGGCGAAGCCATTTTAGGGGACCCCTACCAGAAGACGAGCCACCTACAGGGAACCACCAGGTAACGGGCACCCCTACAAATAGGCACCAATATATTTTTGACTGACTATTTTTGGTTTCCTCGGCGCAACCAGCTATTGATCGGTTTCCTTCGATCACATCGAGGCCAGTTGAAGAGCCAGTTGGAGGTGGCCCGCGAGGAGCTTTGGGAAACGGGGGTGTCTTTCTTTCGGAAGGTCTTTGTCTGGCCCCCTGTTGGTTGGTTTCTTCCCAGGGAAGCGTCCAATTTATTTCGGTCGATTTGAATTGGACGCCAAAAGGAAACGTGTGTTTGTTCCGAAGATGATGTGTTGAGACAAACTCAAATGTTGATTTCTCAGTCCACTCTCTGCGAGCCAAAGAAAACCCATTTCTTGAACTTGGTCAAAGGATGGGAATCAATCATCTTTGGAGCTGGGAACACAAAGTAAATAATCTCCAAGTTTATTGAGGGATGTTTGAGGGCACCCTCTTCAAGGTTGGCTTTTAAAGGGAGGCCAAAAGGCAAACAACTGTTTTTGAGGTCCAAATCCAATTTTTGACACATGGGTTTGTCTCAATAGAAATTGGAGCCTCCAAAATGGGTTTCAGATTCCTTCTGCTTTCCTTTCCATCCAAAAAGGGTGCGCTGAAAAGAGGAACCACACCCGCACAAATGGGCATGGGTCAAAATTAAGCCACCAGGAATTGGACTGCACCGCATTTTGGGTACATTGTTTGACCCAGATACGCCACTGGTCGACAAACAATCCGGGTCAGTTTCCCGTTTGGTTTTCAAAACGGCTACCCGCAAAACAGGAACAGCACCCACATACAAATTGGGAAAATCCGCCGGAGGAGAACCTCGACCTGCACGAGAGAGAAAATGCCCTGCAGGCCAGCCGGTCGCTAAGGGGCAGCTTTTGGAGGCGGGCTCCTCAGAATTTAGACCCCATATCGATCAACGAATCCGTTTTCTTTCTTCTTCTTTTTCTAGGGCTGGTTTTTCCCTAGAAAAACACACTGTTGCCATCAAAAAAAACATGTTTATTAAGCTCGGTGGGTGTCCGATTCTGGGTTTAGTGGTTGGAATCAGACCACTATTGGACGGGAACATCCCCCTGTTAATAAACTGGGGTTGCTTAATATCGGCATACTCCCACCTGTGTTGCCTGGTTTTCCACAGGACATGGGTGTGTCTTCAAATAGGGGAACCCCAAACCCAGAAAAACTCTGTTTTGCTTTTGGTTTCCTGAAAACTTCTGAAAGGGAACCGAGCCTTTCCCAAATGTCTCCTTTGCTTGCTTTTGTTTGGGCCCTTGAAACATCAGCCTTTGCGCCCACAAGGGAGATACGGGGAAGCCTGTCCGCATGGGCCCTTTGCGGAATGAAAAGACGACCTCGTGAAAAGAAGCACGGTGCAGTTTCCTAGTGGTCATTGATTCCTTTCCGTTTCGCAAAAAGGTCGCATTCGGTGGCAAAAAGCACCTTCGGATGGCGCCATTTGTAAAAGACCAGCCTATTTGAGTAAGCGTAGGATACACATTTCACAGGGTGAGTTACATGTTACATGGCCTTCCAGTTGTGTCTCAGGCGACGTGTGCGGTTCGAGCCGGCTCCACCTTTAGAGTACACGGAAAGTTAGGGACACCTCCAGGTGTTAAACCCTTCCTTTGCGTTTAGCAAAAGCCTCAAAGGAGGGTCCCATTTTTTTTGAGACACTTAACAGTCAAATGCTAGCAAGAAAGAAGCTGGCTGTTCATGTCAGATCAGGATAGAGATGGAGGTCAACTGACTGCTCAGGTTTTGGCACGTGGAAAGCTCAACGGAATAGCATGCAGAAATCTTTCTGGTCGCTGAAGGGTTTGGAACGCAATCACGCACGACACGTTTGGGTGTTCAAGACTGGGCTACAGTTCTTTTGGTGGCCAACAGGAGGATTGCCAGGTGACTCATCAATCTGCTGATATTTGCCGTTTGCGTCAGCTACGGCATAGGAGTCTTCTCACAAAACCTTCAGGCGTCACCCACTAGGTTGAAGCCAGGTGCAGAGTAGGAATGTATCAGGAGCTCGCAGTCCTCATTGCAGGCCTTTCTAGTTTGGGGTCTTTTCTTGAAGGCCAAAATTAAACAGAAGCCTTGTGTTGAAAGTTGCCAATATGTCTGAGCCTCTTTCACGTGTTTCGCTCGGCCAGCATCCCATTGAAGGCAGCCCCCTTTTTTTTTTTCGGTCGAGCCGGCGGAGGCGCAGCTGGCCGCCTCCTTCGACGCCAACGACGCGTTGAAGAAGGCGGCGGCCGACTTTCTTCGGCCCCCGACGCTGTCGCTCCCTCGCCGGGGGAAGACTGGGGCCGAGCCGAGGTTGGTGACGTGACTTTGGAGGGCGAACCAAACCTGGACTCGAAGACTCTCACCCACTCTGTTCGAAATGCTTTGGGACAGGTTCTCTGAACCCTAACTTGTTTGTTTGGTTTCAGTTCCACTCGGATTTTTGATCGCCGTAGCAAATCCAATCTGGGGACCGAGCGCCCCCTCCATTACTCCTGGTAACTTCCTGGTCGACTTGGCTGGTCAAACTTCTTGGACTTATTGGCTCACGATTCAACCAGGAATTGCATGTTGACCCCACTTTTGCCTGAACATACATAATTAGGGCCCGCCTGAGCAAAAGCAACCGGGGTCGGAATAAGAACCCCTAGGTTGACCCTCCAACAATTATGTCAAGCTGACATGGAGATGTGGGGTCTGACTACTGTGCTCTTGGGTCCAGGAACCTGTCCGCTAACCCTTGGTTACGCTCAGCTTGCAGCGTTTCACCTACCATCAATCGGCCCTGACTCCATGCGCAAGTTCGGTTGCCCGGTGGGTAGCCGGTCAAAGCACATCCACCAACGAGAGGTCCCGCTTTGGGAGACACCGCCAAGCAGAGTCGATTTTGAAGGTGGCCCTCAAACATAGGTTGCTCGCGAACAAAAATGGCCCTGAAAAACAAGTACTCCCCCAATCTTAGCCATCCACAGTTGGTTTGGCGTTGAATTTTCCCTTAAGTATAGGTATTCCGTTAACATAAGCCTTGACACGTAGGTTTCCTTAAAACTCGCTTTAAGCAAAGCACAACTCGCCTTGGAAAAAGTCGCCCTGCGTGGGCTCCCGAAGCCCAAATTCGGTTGAGCCTAGAAAAACGGGGTCCTCGAAATTTAGGGTGGGATGAAGGGCGTATCCCCACTTCTGTGATAGGGAATCTTCAATCCCCCTATAAAGGGGTTGGTCTTTTGGAAACCCTTCTTGTATCACGGGGTTCGTGGATTCCATTTCCGACAGGTCTCTCTAAAATTTTGACTGGCAAAGCGGCTTTCCCCCCCGAAATTCGCCTGAAGCCTACCTACCTAGAGTCTCCATGATCCTTGAAAAATGGGTCCATGACCCCTTAAGTTTGGGTAATGACCCCTTTTTTTTAAGGGTCATGGAGACTCCAGGTAGACGGGTTGGTCAGTCCCAATTTTTTGTAGGTCCCTCAGTAGTGCCCTTTTTCACCCCTTTTTGGGGGAAGGGTTCCCCTACTGAAATAGACTACAGAGGTTTTGGGGGGTCTGCTTTGATACTCACTTGGCTGTGGTTGTCAAAACCAATGGGGATCCTAAAATAGACCACAGAAAATAATATGGTACCCTTATTCGAACCTCAAAAAAAAATGACCCAAGCTCTCCAAACGTTGCCCCGACCCTGAGAGCCGCCAGGTGGTGACGCGCCAGAGGGCGATCAAAGACATCGCCGCGGAGGTATCCGAGGCATCCCAGGCCAGGTGGCGGTCTCGGTCAAGGCTTGTTGGAATGTGGGGTGTTTGGAGGGTACCCCACTTTTGGGGGCACCCATGGCAAACGAACACCCAAAAGGAACACCTTCTTTTTTGAGGGGGTTCGGGGGGGGGGTTCCCCAAAAAACAGAATTGGACCCCCAAAAATGGCCAGGGTGGCCTGCTGGTTTCCTTTAAAGATTCTTAGGAGTTCCCCTATTTTGACACACACACATCTTTGCCGGATCCTAGGTTTGGGGTAATTATTGTGCCAAGCAGGGAAGCCATGTGGGTAATTGCAAAAAATCGAAGAGTCGAGCCAGGGTCAAGTTGGGAACATGTTGCGTACTGGAATGTTTGGGGATGGCATGTCTTGCCAAAGTTGCTATTGGACACACTTGGGCTCGCCAATTTTGCATTGGATGCTCAAAATGTGGGAAGTCCCACACTGGATGGGTTCAGTTTGGCCTGGAAAACACAAGCTTGCCAGAAAGACACACCCAAGTCCAGCTGTTCAATCCAGAGGTTTAACCCCAACCTTGAACTGGCGTCCTCGACCCCACGCACCATCCTTTGTGCAGTTTAGTCTTAATTGGTGGTTTGGAAAGCACTCAAAGTTCCATGTCCTCATTGGCCGGTCGCTTCCCAGTTCATAACAGAAAAGCAAACTCTTCATCTCGCCAATGAATCGCTGCTCTTGCTTGGAAAGAGCTTGAACCCGAGTTCCTTTTGAAACCAAATGGGGAACGCACCCCCGCGTTCAAACCACCAAACCACAAACCAGCCACCAAGGGTTGCCTGAGTTGTGCTTGTTGAGCAAGAGACTTTCTTCGCTGGTAACTCACCAGTGTCCGTGGTCTGAGCAAGAAATGGAAGATACCTTCCTTCAGCTTTGGGAGTTCCGGGCAAAGAAAAGTGATGCTTCGAGCAGTCTCGAGATGGAAATCCTTTGCTTGTTCTTGCTTTTCGGATGCGGGGGATCGCAAGATTGGGGCGAGCGGCGCGCAATACTTTGATCCTTTGCCAGACATGTACCTCTGGTGCATGTCATTCGATTTAGCATATCTCGAAGAAAGTGAAGTCTGAAGACTCTACAGCTTGTCCGAGTGGATCCCAGTTGCCACAGAAGGCAACCAGCCATGGTTTCTCCTTTTGAGAGGTTCCCTGGTTTACCTATAAACCTGGGCACTGGAATCACCTGGAATTTGCACAAGGATTGGGACACATATGCTGGGTGGTTGTTGGATGGGTTCGTTCGGGGGTAAGACCGCTTTTTCCAGTGGGGATTCCTCATTTCAGCTTAGTAGTCATTGTATTCTCAGGATATCTAAAAGGGCGAGTCAGTAAAATAAACTCATGCGTGTTTGTACCTTGGTACAGGTTGGTTGCGCCGAATCCAATCCGGAACTGGATGTTGGGCCACCATCTTGGTGTTCTTCGGGGAGAATGTCTCCTTCAAGGGCTCAAAGGACGATTCTTAAACACCCCCATTAATGTGTTTTCATGGTTTTCGCAAATTGGCTTCTTGCCCAACCAGCGTGCCATTGGCTTCCTCAACGCATGTCATCTCTCCGCACGGCCCGACTCAACTCGGCCACCCCCGGGCTTCGAACTTCGGTGCTTCTGGGCCCCGAGGTCCAAAACCGCTGACCGAAGCCGCGGGCGGTTGTGAGATCGGTGTCAGGAGAGCTCGGAGGAGGGCTCCGAGGACCTGAACCTCTTGGAGGATTTCATGGACCGCGAGCTGCCGGCCTTCACGCGCCCGGACTCCAGCGCGCCGACATCTCGAGCCTCCAGGCGGCGGAACGGGTCAAGCGGAGCCGGGCGGTTCAAAACCCAGAGGCAGGGAACTTGTTTGGAATGACCCCAGAAGCCTCCAACTGGTGGTTTGCTTGGGTATCCCCATGTTTATTCTCCAAGAATCCCTAGTTGCTAGGCAAAGGGGCCACTGCGACTTGGGAACAACTTCGGGTTGAGCCTATGCGTTTGAAATCTGGCAAAGGGTAAAAGGGGATTCCGCAGATTCCCCTGTTTGGGCTATTCATTCTCGTGGCTTGTCTCGAAAACATTCGGAACCCAAATGGTTTCCAAACTCTCACCCTTTGCGGCTTTGCCAGACAGACCGAAACGGCAGAGCACGGGTTCTGCTGAGCCAGGACTCAGCGCGCGCCCGCCGATTCTTTGCAGTGGGAAGCAATTATGCAACTCTCGGAAGCCAAGCTCTGATTCCCTCCGTCGGTTCGCCGGTGCGTGGGATATCTTCCGGCGCTTCCAGCTGCCGCTAGCGTAGGTAACTAACGGAGACCAATGGCAAACCATGCAGGAAAGCATCCATAGAGGTGGAGTACCTTTGGGAAACCAATGGAAAATCATCCAGTTATTATTATTATAGTACAACCCAGAGGTAAAAAACCTGGTTACTCTCCAGAGTCTGCATAGCAACCAGAAGCACTGAGACTGCCAAGATGATCAGGTGCAGACAGCCTTGATCAGGTGCATGGGGGGTTCAGCTTTGTTGCTACTGGGATTGCCCTCACTGTTCATAGATGACACGGATATTTAACAAAGACGGAACAAAAAAGGGATCAGGGTTGTGCGATCAAGGGTTTTTGTCTCACTTGTGTGATACAAGGGATTATTTTCCTTTATGCCGCAGGTTTGTCTTTGAGAAGCCCTTTTTGTTGTATCACAGGTTTGTGGATTCCATTTCCCACAGCCCTGAAAGGGATAAACACAAACTGCCACCCGCGGAAGCCTTTTGTAGTAGCATTCCCAAACTGACCCCTGCATGCCCTGGCCCCGGTCCCCTGCAGCCACCTTCAATACTGGGGTACCTTGTTTGAGGCTCGATGCGCAGAGGGAAACCAACATGGTTCCTTCGCCCAAAGATGTGTTCTGGCCTTGGCTACTTGACGATTGCTGGCATTGGGTTGAGTTCTAGGCATTTGCTTGAAGGCACGGGGCAAAGGGGCTAAGGGCAACCAAGTACTGGCAATCAAGTAATGTTAACCTTGTTCGATCACGCATAAATGAACCTGGTGGACTTATTGTTTGTTTGTGTTTTTTTGTTTTCCTTTTTTTTTACCAAATGACAAAGTACTCACGCTTACATCCGTTGCGCCATGCTACCGCCTTAATGATCAATCAGGGGAACCTATCCATCCTGGGGGTCGCATCCGCGTCGGCCAGGCCGGAAAACGAGCGGCTGGAAGAACTGCTGCATGAGGCGCATCAGCAGCTGCACCTCGGCTCTTGCGCATCGGGAGGCGGGAAGGTTTTTTTGTTCTTTTAATCTTCCCCAGAAATAGCTTGTTTGTTTTTGTGTTTTTGTTTTTGCCTTTTTTTGGGTCCCTTTGTTTTCCACTCACCAGGCAAAAAATATTGTTTTTGGTGGGGTCCTATTTCCTGCCTAGTTATGTATCTTTACTGCTATTGGGTTGGATCTTGAGACTTTAACTTTTTAGATTCCCCTCATATTTCCTTTTAACCAGCAACAGTTAAAACTTTTGGCTGGGGCATCTACAGCACCCAAGTTATATGGGACTGCACGGTGAGGAGCAGTATGCTTGTTAAAATTGTAGATAATGTGCGTGGATAAGCATGTCTGCAATTATACTACATATATAAGTGTGTACATTTACAATATATCTATACATGCAATTTACGCAGTGATCAGAGTTGTTCACTGGTTGGTTTACAGTGGGCTTTGGGTTGTTGCGATGTTCAGGATGGTCTCAGGCTTGCTTGGAAGGGTGGGTTTCGGTGAAGGATGGGTTAAGGACGGGCTTAGGGTAGGGTTCAGACTTGTTTCTTGCAGATGTACGGTACAGTTTAGCATGTATCTAGCCAATTCTCCCACGCCTCCAGTGTATTTCGAGCTTATGTCTAGCTTCTTTGACTGGATCTTGAGGGTGCCAGCTTGTTATGCTACATATCTTTATGCGCATTGGTATATACTGGCCTTCCAGCACAACCCGACTTCTTGTTGAATAGACGCATGCAAGCTGATATTGACTTGTCTACTGACCATGATGAGCTGTTTCGTTGAAAGAGTAGCTTCATCGCAAATTGTGGCATGAGGATCCAATTGTTCTGCTTCGTTGCGAGAACTAATTATCCCCACCACGATTGGATTATGAACATTCACAATTTGACAATGTGAGGATCCTTCAACCACAGCTTCGCATGGGAAGTTCTGCAAGAAGAGCGTCCAATTGGACATATATCCAAATATGATTTTCAACAAGTTGGCCCAAGCCCAGCCCAACACGCAACCTACCCTCCACACCGACCCATACCCCACATGCCCCACATACCCCACTGGCCCCACACCCCACACAGCCCAGGCCCCCTCAAGCCCAGAAACGGTCCGGCCCCAAGCCCAGAACTGGTCCACTATTTTCTGAAAGTTTGCTCACCCAGCCATTGTTTTATTTTTTTGTTTGTTTGTTTGTTTAGTTTTTTTTTCTTCGGCGCTGGCTCGGGGATTCCGAGCCAGCGCCGAAGGTTGGACCCCGGCTGAGGCTAGAGGCGTGGCAGCAGAAGGAGCAGCAGCTGCACCGAGCGGAGGAGATCTGAGGTTCGGTTCAGTTCGGGCGATGAGGTGCTGAAAAGTGACGGCGGGGATGGGGGGGGGGGGGGTGGCAGGGAAGATTACGTACAATGTGCCGCCGCGCGCCTTCAAGAGCAGAACGGCTCATTGTTGCACATGGACTCTTTTGGTGCAATCCCAAGAGTAGAAAGGAATGTCTTGGCATGCCCCACCCTGAAAGAACCAGCTAGTTTGTAGTAATAGAAAAAAGGGTGAGGGGTGATGAAGACCAGATGAACATCCTCTCTTTGGTTGTGAGAGAGTGTGATAAAAGCACACGGTATACCTTCGTGAAGTAGTATTAATAGAAACAAATAATGATGTCCTCCTATCTATCACTTCCATATTTTTTCTAAATTAAACGTTTGCTAGCTCACCAAGATAGAGCATGGAAATGGAAAGAGGAAAATGTTAATCAAATGATTAAAGCCACAGTAACAGATAACAGAGTTAGAGAAGATCGAATGTCAGTGAGGAAGAAGTAAATAGTAAACAAATGCTGGTCAAATAAACATAAAAGGAAAGAACAATCAGAGAGATATAAAAAGGGTCTGGAGACGTAGCCTGTCCGTGAGACGTCACTTAAGCAATAATAACAGTTAAGCGTCTCTTCATTCATCACTCTATTTGGACAGGCAATATTCTGATGAGAAAACTATTAACTTCCTTCGGTCACTTCTAGCGATGAAGGGAGGCAAAAGGAAACCCCTTAAAAAGAGAAGGTGAGAAATAAACCCCAATCGATACAAATTAGTTAACATTACTCATGAGATTCTAGTAAATAAATAGCCTTTCGTAAATAGTGTTCCGTCCTTCTCCAGCAACTTGAACTATTAATATCCTTTTCATTCTCACCTAAAACTCAAGAATATTGCACATATCTAATGATACAATAGGAAGTGAGTGAGAGATGTTGCAAGGAAATTCTAATAGAACAAAAGCAGAAAGAAGATACAACTAAATAAACTGCATGAGTAAAGACCAACAGCCTCTTCAGAGTCAAGCAAACTGTCTATGGTTATAATTTGTGTTTATTCTTCATCATGCACTAATATCTTCTCCAATATATTTGTGTAAATGGGATGAAGTGGTCACGGGGTGAATTTAAAGGCAATAATTACAGAATCGTTGTAATCTCATAGCTTACTGCGTTTTATTATCTTATTGCGTTTTCTATCATATCCATCATTGTCCACTCTAGGTTTTTCACTGTGTTGGAGAGGGTTCTTGATGGACAAGAATAATTTGTCTCCCAATAGGCCGTTTCATTTATTAACATTCTTTATTACTTTCATGTTCTTGGTTCTGTCATTTGCCTATTGATTTATTTATTTATGTATCTATTATGTTTCTTCATAGGCCTTTTTCGCAATTCTTACTAATCCTGACAGCCGCGAAAGACGGGAGAGCAGAAGGAGTGTTAGCCAGTTCCTCTTCTTCATATTTGTTACTACCCCCCGGGTTTTTTTCCCCATCCAGATGCCTCCAACGTTTACAATGCGAGAGAGAGAAAGAGAGATTGGGAAGATAGATAAACAAGTAGAAAGGTTGCAAAGTGAACAAGTACATGAGAATGCAACCAGCAGATGAGAGACTATGAACCTATTCTTGGTAATGATTAACTTTCTGTTCCAACCATCGTGATTTTCTTTACATCGCCAATTTTTTCAACCTCACACCCAGAAGCATTTCTATACTTCTCAGATAATATTGTAAATGGAAGACAACAAAGATAGACATTCAAGCAATAAATGGGATGGTAAACCGAAAGGCAATGATCTTAATAACGACATGTCCATCCACAAATGTTTCCTGGATGAAGTGGAAGAGATAGAAAGGGAAGGATACAAGCTCTTGGGACCACAAACCAACCTCTCTTCCTCCGTGACTTGGACAAGGAAGGACGTCAACGATGAGAAGAACCCAGTCCTTACACCATCCTATGATCTAAAACTCTATTATGTCCTTTCATTTCCAGAAGATTATTAGCAAAAGAGAGAGACCGCTAGCATTTGCTATTAAAAAGGTTTTAAGGATTCTGTAGTCAAATCTTTATGGGTTGAAGATTTTGGTGGGTGACATACATGGGAAAATCAGGATGCGATCGGAGGAAAAGAAAGAATCACGTTACTTCTGTTCACCCTCTCCTATCTTCTTCTTCTTCTTCTTCCCAAGCATCACACGGCATAAGATTAACAGCAGCCTGTGCTTGAGGAAGAAGTCAAGAGAGGCTTCTCACTTCCCATTTTCAATCTTCAATTTCATCAAAAGGAAAGAAAGAAGTGATGGAAAGACATGGTAAGTGCCCATCCAATTCGGTATCTTCAATTAGTATTGATGGGCGCTTACCTCCTTGCCAGACGCTTTACTTCTTCATTTCCAAAACATGGCAATGTAAAAGACAAGGCAAGGAAAATGACAAGCGTTGGCTGGGCCGGGAAAGGAAAGGTCATCTTCTTCCATCTGTTTTTTTACAGAAAGAAGCGGGTTGTGGAAAGTGGCTTTCTTTTTCTACAAATAAACCAAAAATAAAGCCAATATCCCCTTCCTTCGTCCCACTTTTAGACTGTTCCAGACAGAACTCCAGGGCGTAGTGGGGAAGGGAAAGGTAAAGATGGAACGGTTGATCTCCTTCCTATCTTCTCCCCACTAGCGATACAGTTGGAGAAGAAGGAGTGGGGGGGCTAGCTTCTCCCTCCTTCCTTCACCCCTCGATTTCTGGCATTCTTCAACGGTTGAAAAGGGAAACAGAAGAAGGGGAAGGATGAAAGGTCCAAAAGATAGTAAAACACAAGCAAAATAATATGAGTAAGACCTACTCATAATCTTTTTTCCTTTCGGTGAGCCCCAGCGACGACCGGACAGCCAAAAGCATTCACAAAGAAAGATAGCGCAATGAATCTCAACAAGGGAAGAATAAAATAGAAAAGAACGAGGAATGTAAGTATGGTTTTAAGATTAGAAGCATGTATTAGCACGCAATAAATTAGATAGCTTCTGTAAGCACCACCCATAATTATCTTTAGCTTTGTCATAACTGTCTCGCGCCCTTTTTATGTTGTTAGCTTGTATAAAACAGGATTTTGAAAAGAAAGGGAGGATATTACGTTTTCTACCGTAATTATTACTGCCTGCAAATGCTTTCGTCACTTCTTGCCCATCCATAAATGCAAATAAAGGATGAGGATGGATGGACAAGAGGAAGCAGGCAATGATTTGGAAGAGGCCCCAAAGACAGGCTGGAAAGGGATAGTGAGGGAATCTTCAATCATCATATCCTCCAAGTCTCACGGACAGGCTATCTGGTGTATTCTGCGTGATGTCTGGGCGGAAGATTTTCTTAATCATTCTTTGTTCTTTCACACCTTTCCCTTTCCCTCACCTTCATCGATTGGTCTAACCTGGTATGCGATAAAATCTCTGAGATACAAATGAATCCATCCCACAATCCCAGTCGCCTTTCCATGTCTTTCTATTTGTACGGTTTTCTCCATCTCTTTCTCCATCAGGTATGTGTGGTATGAAAGTTATCCAAAAGAAGCGTGTTGCAGAAGATGTCCTCTCTCCTTTACCTATCTTATGTTTATTTCTTTATCCCTGTCTTTTCCATCCTAGATTCCAAATGAAAAGATAATATGCTTTCCTCCCCATTTCCTTACCAAACTTCAACCGATTCAAAATGAAACAAACTTGACCCCAAAAAAGCCGTTAAGGGAAGGACGGTGATCAAGTTTTATCAAGTTTACAATGTTCACACCTTTACTTGTAATTTGTGTAATTCTGGACCGACTTTTTACAAACTAGCTTGTGCAATTTGCAACCCCCCAGCAATGTTTGTTCAAATCCAGCTTGTAATTCTAAATCGGATGTTTGCTGACATTAAATTACAAATGTTACAAATTTTACAAATTTTAAAAATTAATTTGTAAAATGTGTAAAATATCAAAAAAATCTTGCCCAAAATTACAAATTTTACAAATTCTAGTCTGAGAAATTAGCTTCCAGGGGAATTTGGTAGGAATTAAATTACAAATTTTACAAATCTTACAAATTTTGCAAATTAATTTGTAAAATTTGTAAAATATCAAAAAATCTGGCCCAAAATTACAAATTTTACAAATTAATTTGTAAAATTTGTAAAATATCAAAAACATCTGGCCCCAAATTACAAATTTTACAAATTTTACAAATTCTAGTCTGAGAAATTAGCTTCCAGGTGAATTTGGTAGGAATTAAATTACAAATTTTACAAATTTTACAAATTAATTTGTAAAATTTGTAAAATATCAAAAAAAAAATCTGGCCCAAAATTACAATTTTTACAAATTTTACAAATTTTACAAATTAATTTGTAAAATTTGTAAAATATCAAAAACATCTGGCCCAAAATTACAAATTTTACAAATTTTACAAATTCTAGTCTGAGAAATTAGCGTCCAGGGGAATTTGGTAGGAAGTAAATTACAAATTTTACAAATTTTACAAATTTTACAAATTAATGTGTAAAATTTGTAAAATATCAATAAAATCTGGCCCAATTACAAATTTTACAAATTCTAGTCTGAGAAATTAGCTTCCAGGGGAATTTGGTAGGAATTAAATTACAAATTTTAAAAATTTTACAAATTTTACAAATTAATTTGTAAAATTTGTAAAATATCAAAAAAATCTGGCCCAAAATTACAAATTTTACAAATTTTACAAATTAATTTGTAAAATTTGAAAAATATCAAAAAAATATGGCCCAAAATTACAAATTTTACAAATTTTACAAATTCTAGTCTGAGAAATTAGCTTCCAGGGGAGTTTGGTAGGAATTAAATTACAAATTTTACAAATTTTACAAATTTTATTAAAATATCAAAAAAATCTGGCCCAAAATTACAAATTTTACAAATTTTACAAATTAATTTGTAAAATTTTGTAAAATATCAAAAAAATCTGGCCCAAAATTACAAAGTTTACAAAATCTAGTCTGAGAAATTAGCTTCCAGGGTAATTTGGTAGGAAATAAATTACAAATTTTTCAAATTTTACAAATTTTACAAATTAATTTGTAAAATATCAAAAAAAAATCTGGCCAAAAATTACAAATTTTACAAATTTTACAAATTCTAGTCTGAGAAATTAGCTTCCAGGGGAATTTGGTAGGAAGTAAATTACAAATTTTACAAATTCTACAAATTAATTTGTAAAATTTGTAAAATATCAAAAAAATCTGGCCCAACATTACAAATTTTACAAATTTTACAAATTAATTTGTAAAATTTGTAAAATTTGACAAATTAATTTGTAAAATTTGTAAAAATTGTAAAATTTGTAAAATTTGCAATTTAATTCCTACCAAATTCCCCTGGAAGCTAATTTCTCAGACTAGAATTTGTAAAATTTGTAATTTTGGGCCAGATTTTTTTGATATTTTACAAATTTTTCAGATTAATTTGCAAAAATTGTAAAATTTGTAAAATTTGTCAAATTTGCAATTTAATTCCTACCAAATTCCCCTGGAAGCTAATTTCTCAGACTAGAATTTGTAAAATTTGTAAAATTTGTAATTTTGGGCCAGATGTTTTTGATATTTTACAAATTTTACAAATTAATTTGTAAAATTTGTAAAATTTGTAATTTTGGGCCAGATTTTTTCGATATTTTACAAATTATATAAAATTTGTAAAATTTGTAAAATTTGTAATTTAATTCCTACCAAATTCCCCTGGAAGCTAATTTCTCAGACTAGAATTTGTAAAATTTGTAAAATTTGTAATTTTGGGCCATATTTTTTGATATTTTACAAATTTTACAAATTAATTTGTAAAATTTGTAAAACTTGTAAAATTTGCAATTTAATTCCTACCAAATTTCTCAGACTAGAATTTGTAAAATTTGTAAAATTTGTAGTTTTGGGCCGGATTTTTTTGATATTCTACAAATTTTACAAATTAATTTGTAAAATTTGTAAAATTTGTTATTTAGTTCCTATCAAATTCCCCTGGACGCTAATTTCTCAGACTAGAATTTGTAAAATTTGTAAAATCTGTAATTTTGGGCCAGATTTTTTTGATATTTTACAAATTTTACAAATTAATTTGTAAAATTTGTAAAATTTGTAAAATTTGTAATTTAATTCCTACCAAATTCTCCTGGAAGCTAATTTCTCAGACTAGAATTTGTAAAATTCGTAATATTTGTTATTTTGGAGAATATTTTCTTTACCTTACAAATTAATTTGTAATATCTGCAATTTCATTCCTACCAAATTCCCCTGGAAGCCAATTTCTCAGACTAAGATTTGCAATTTTATGAAAGCAATTCCTATACAAGATCTGCCTGAAAGCCAGCTCTCAGTGTGATGTTGATGCCCAGACCTCTCCCCGGCACATTATACATACTCTTCCCTCTTACGGGGGGGGGGGTGAAAAGTGACAGAGGTAGTCAGGTAGGTGAGGCGACAGGGGGGGGGGGGTTGGAGGGCGTGGGTTCCGCAGGTTTCAGGTTGGTTGTTGTCTTGGGGGGCTTCCCCCAAAAAGAAGTGGTCGACACTCAAGTTTTTGAGGGACCCCCCCCAAAGAAAAAAATGAGTAAACAAAAACAGAAACAACGTGGGTTGGTCTTGAGGGAACCCCCCAAAAATGGTCGACACTCAGGTTTTGTGAGGGAGCCCCCCGCAAAAAAGAAGAGGAGCAAGTGGGTCTCAGAGGTTTCCGGCCAAAAGCTCGCCCCTTTCAAAGGGCGAGTCTCAAAACAAGAGACGGCCAAGGAAGTCCGAGATCAACGCGGGGAAACTCACCTGGCCCTCACGTGATGTTTACCACAATTCGAGGGAAGAACCGTCACATGCTATCGATCGATAGCGGGACTTTGCATAGGACCCGGCACTGAAGCATCCTGGTGGAATCTGGCGGCTTTTTGGGCTTCCGGTTTATCGAGAGTTTGATTCCCTGAGAACCAGCAAAGTTATTCCGAAATGTTTTGGAACCAAAGGTGAGAACCAAATTCAGAAAATTATTCCCTGAGAACCAAAGGTGGGTTACCTTCCGGAAACCTTTGGTATTCGGAGAATGCGGGGGATCCTTTTCAGAGGGGCATGTCTTGAATGGGACATGAAGTAAAGGTCCAGATACAGGGAACATTTTGAGTTGGGTTCAAGAATGACTATATTGTTTCTTTAAACCACAATTCAGGCGCGCTTTTAAGGATCGGCCCCCTAAATTCGCTGGCCCTCGGAGAATTTCAGGAAATGAGGTCGACCCTGATTCAGCCTTTCTTTGAATCGGAGGAGTTCCTTCCAATCCGCCATGGCACCCCGAGTAACCGCCACACCCTTCGCTTCGATGGTGTCCGTGGGATCTGGTGGATGGAAAATTTCGCCGAAGCTTTGCCGAAGCCTTGCAGGGTCCCACGCCCAAAACGGGCACCTTCAAAGCCACCCATTTCAAGCAGCCCAGGTGACTTTGGGCAGTTTCCCGCATGAAGGGGATTCTTGTTTCTGAGGAAGTCACTTTGACGACTCCAGTAAAAATGGGAATTCTGAGCTAGTTCGGGTCACCGACTGGCAGCCGAACTGGGACTTCCGCTGCTCTAGGTTGCATGGGGTGATGCCAAAAAAGCCAAAAGGGGCTACCCTCTCCCCCAATCAATTCTCAAACATGTCTCAACGCCACGAGGGACCGTCCCCTCCCCTCTTGCAAATCTTTGACTTGGATCGCTGCTTCCCGCACAAGAGGATCCGCAAAAAGGGTCCGGAGAAGACAGGAGCTGAAGCTGGAAAATGCCCAGCTGCAACGAAAGCTCGACAAGCGCCTTTGTCCGAAGGGACGGGCCTGGCCGGTTTTCGGGTTGATCGGAAGGGGGCATTGGGCGTCGTGCTTTGTGTGCCCTTTGTGTCTATGTCCGTTTGTGTTTGTGCGTGGTGCGTCTTCGCGTGTGCTGTGGGTTGGTGGGTGAGATTGAGTTGATGACAAGATTGTTGTGAACTCACATCATCGGGTCTTTTTGTCTGCTCAACTTCCAGGTTGTGCTAGCATCACGACCTTCTTTTCTTCTTTCGAATCCTTCTGGAATCTTCTGGCTGCATCTGTTTGAGTACTCGCCACGCGCCATGTGTCTCTCACTTCCCAAGTTCCGTCTCGGACGTTCGTCACTTCAAACGGCTTGGGCCGTTTGACGTGAACAAAAGTCTTCCAGGACTTCTGGCCATGGGTCAAAAGCCAAATCGGCCCCCAGTGAACATCAACCAATCCAACCACTAAAAGAGGTTCGAAAATGGGTGGTGAATTCACCGACAAACCCCAAAATGGGATCCCACATCGGTGTTGAGCAAACCACAGCCATTTCTGGCCAATCCACTCGATGGGAAGTGAGTTACTGGGTCCGGGTCCCCCAGCTAGGTGCCCTTTCTCACCCCTTATTTGGGGGAGGGTTCCCCTACTAAAATAGACTACAGAGACAAAATCGGGCACCAACTTATTCTAACCTCTCTAGTGGAGGACCTAGTCATTGCGTCGCCCCCAGGCAGAGCCGGGGCATGCTGGTCATGCACGCGGAGGCCAATGCTTCCGGCACCACCGAGCTGGCGCAGCGGCGTGGGCCGAATTCATGGCGAAAATTGGGACGACTGGGACGACCCCCGAAAGAGATGGCGTGGTTTCTCACCAATGGGTGGTTTCTCAACAGGAATGTTTTCTTTGGTGTTTCTCGCAAAATGGTTTCTCACCAGGGGTAGATAGTTTTTTTTTGAGTGTTTCTCAAGATGCAGGGAGCGGCCCTCCGAAATAGATGGGTGGTTTCTCACTAGGTTTCTTTTTTGGGGTGTCGGCGCTTCTCAAAATGCGGGGATAGCGCAAAATGGGTTCCTTTGGGTGTCCTTTGGGTTTACCTTTTGGTTCTACAAGCCAAAAGCACAAGGCGTCGCCCGGCCTGGCGCGGCCCCTACGATGGCCAAGAAGCAAGTTGACCCCTTTGAGCTAGACCCCTCAGATTGGTGGGAAGTCGTATACATACTTGTACATCCAGGATATGTCTCTGTTTGGTTGGATGCTTTAATATGATTTGTCGTTTGGCTGGCAATCAGGAATAAACAAATAAGGAGGCTGTTTGACCACCAACAAATGAGCCGTTTGGAGGCTTCGAGCTACATTGTGAGGCCGAGGGTCAGCTAGAAGAAAGAGACGGTTCCGGCATATTTTTGTGGGTTGTTTGAACATGGACCGAAAAGGACATGATTTCGGGGCAGTATTTGCACATCACCTTTTGAGAAAGGTTCAAAGTGAGCTTCTCAACACCAATGGTGCCATTTTGGGGCAGGTGCACCACCCATTTTAGTCTGGGATTGGGATGTTCACTGGGGGTACGGGGTTTTGACCCATGGCCACGTTAAGAAGCTCACTGATCAAGTTGAGCGCATCCATGAAGGGTCCTTAAATGGGATTCTCTTATTTTCACTTTGGGATATTTTTGTATAGACAGTGATGTGCTCAGAATTATGGTCTTCCAGAGTCCCGGAGTCAGGTCCATATTTGTGGGTGAGTGGATATCTATGTATATATACATATACATATATATGTACATACACATATATAGTTAGGTAGTTAATATAGTTATATATTCGTATGTATGATTGGTACATACACCCAGGACCTCCATTGTGTGTAGATTTAGTGTTGTTGTTGTTGTTGTTGTTTTGGCGGAAGGAGATGCTTTTTCACTTTGCGAGCGCTTCTCAATTTTGTGAGCTCTTTTTCGCAACCATGGACAAGAAAAGAGGATTTTGCCGGTCAAAAGCGTTTTTTTCTCCAGTCTAAACGGGAACTTTCCTGCTTTTGATCACGCTGTCTCCAGGGAAAATAGGGAAGGAAACAAGAAAAGCACGTTTTTCATCGCAACGGCAGATTTGAAGTGAAGCAGTAAAACATTGTGCTTTTTCAGTAAACGGCGGAATTGTTACACATCGGATGTTCCAGTTATGTATTTACATTATACGGACAAAATTGTATACTTGTTTGCGTGTGTATATATATATATACACACACGTATATCTACAATATGGTTAGCCCCCCCCCCCCTCATGACCCACCCTTTTCTTTTTGAAGTCAGTTCACATATTATTGTGTATTGGCAGTACACATTTTTAGTTCCTGATATCGTGTTTTTTACGAGTGGGAGTTTAAGACGCACTCATTCCACGCTAAGTTGGCATCCCAAGAACATGCATGTTTAAAGTGTGTTCTCGTGTTCTACGTTTGCAACTTGTTTGAAACAAAGGAACAGCTTTTCCACTTTGACCTGTGCAACACTTGATTTGACTTAAGGACAACGTTGAGATACGTTGAGTTAGACTTTCGATTTAGAGCATAATTCAACATCTCTAGAGCTCTTTATAAGGCTCCGTTCAAGCTCCTCGTAGGGCTAGTTACAAATATCACTACAAAGATCCTTCTGAAGGCTCCTTGTCCTTGCGCAAATCTTTCTAAAGCTGCCTGAAAGTTGCTTGTCAGGCCCCTATGTGACATGAACACGGACAGAGGTGACACTGACTCGTCCAGCTTGCAGATGGAACACGACGCATGGCGACATACAACTGATGTGTGCCCGCAAGTGGTACAGATGACACAGCAGAGGTGGATCATGGGGGGGCTGCACATGTATGAGTATACTTCTATAAATAAATCAATAAACAAATGTGTATATATAGATAGACAGACAGACAGACAGACAGACAGACAGACAGACAGACAGGCAGGCAGGGAGACAGACAGACAGACATAGATAGATAGATAGATAGATAGATAGATAGATATTATTGTAGATAGATAGATAGACATGTCACCATGACACATGTCACCATCACAGACCCAGCCTGAGGTTTATGCAAAACCTCCGGCAGAAGCTGGGCTCGCCACGGATGGACTCTCCCAAGTCCAAGGCTCCTTGGCCGACTTCGGATGGATCGACCCCTCTGGAAAGGGGTGAGAAAGGGCACGTAGCTGGGGGACCCAGTAACTCACTTCCCATCGAGTGGATTGGCCAGAAGTGGCGGTGGTGGTCAAAACCACTGGCATCATATGGGATCCCATTTTGGGGTAGGTGAATTCACCACCCATTTTAGGCTTTATTCTAGTGGGGATTGGTTGATGTTCACTGCGGATTGGTTCGGAAGTGGCTGTGGTGGTCAAAATCCAGATCGTGCCCCCAGTGAACATCCGATTCAATCCCCCAGTAAAATTGGTTCGAAAATGGGTGGTGAATTCGCCTACCCCAAAATGGTACCATATGAGGAGGGGCTCAAGGTGATGCAATATGGGTATGTGGCTCTGGTGGTCAAAACCGTTTTGGGATCCCATTTGGGGGTTTTCGGTGAATTCTCCACCCATTTTAGAGCCCATTCTAGTGGGGATTGAATCGGATGTTCACTGCGGGTTGTCCAAACCATGGTGCTTGCTTCGCTGGAAATAAACATTGGCACCCAAACAAGGGGTCCCCCAAAAGGAGATTCCCCTGCAAGTGAGGGTTCATGATGGTTCATTGGGCCCCATGTGGCTGTGGTGGTCAAAACCGTTTTGGGATCGTAGTGGGGATTAGGATATTCACTAAAGGGTAGTTGAAGCATTTACGTTGTTGCAAAGGCAGGGTTTTAGCCAGCTTTGGGTTGGACGGATCGCACACGAGCAGAAATTGTTCTACCACAAAGCAACGGGATCGCAAACGAGCAAACGAGAGGCTCCATGCACAGCCAGTTGAGGATTGCATCTCTATTGCCAAGGGTGGTTTGAAACATCACCCCATGCCCCGATCCAGCTTCATTTTCAGCAGGGTTTATCTCTTGCCTTGTTTGCCCTTGTTGATCTGGGACAGCTCTGAATGTCGCCTTTCGTTGCTCTAAGCACCATCTTTCGGCTTTTGGATATAAGCCTGAGGGCCCCCTTGCGGTCTCCAGTTTGCATTTTAGGGGTTCCTCGACATTTCCCAAATCTGGCGATAGCTACCCTCTTGGAAAGTGAGCTTTGCATGTGAAAACATAGCCCACAAAATCACCCTTGAAACATTAGATGGAAAGTTCAGGTCGGGGGTGGGAGGGGTGGAGGGAGGGAGGGAGGGAGGGAGGGAGGGAGGGGTGGAAGGGTGGAGGGGTGGAGGGGTGGAGGGGTAGAGGGGTGGAGGGGTGGAGGGGTGGAGGGGTGGAGGGGTGGAGGGGTGGAGGGGTGGAGGGGTGGAGGGGTGGAGGGGTGGGGGGGTGGGGGGGTGGGGGGGTGCGGGGTAGGGGGGTGGGGTGGGGGGTGGGGGGTGGGTTGGTTTGACGGGAGATAAATGGAAGCCTATGCTTGGAGTTCCCACTGGCAGACACACGGGTTTCACAGAGCAGCTTGAGAGAAAAACACCAGAACAAGCTCAGTTCTTCATCCCCGGGGCTTCGGCCTAACACCTCAGTTTGAACAACGTGTCACTTGTGCTTAAAGGATTGTTCTTCTTCGCCTGACTGGTTGTCAGAAAAAGGTTCTCGTTCTACTAATTTTCGCAAAGGTTTGCCTTCAGCCTTCAGAGCTTCGCAAAGTTCGCAAAGGCCAAACACCGTGTCCAGGACGACGTGTCCATGGCATTTCCAGAGCTGGAGAAGCAACTGGAAGAAGCCTCACAGGCGCGACTGAGCTTATTGGTCATCCAGGTACACCCCTTACTTGGAGAACCCCATCACGAAAGCACTAGCTGGAGTTTTTCTACCTAATAGCAATCGGGGGGGGGGGGGCGGGCCATGAGTTTTGTTGACCGCCGCAAACCGCTTTGCGACTTCCAGGGTCATTTGAACAGATGTCAGATGTCTCATCCCCAGACTTGTTCAATGAGTCATGAAGTCGAGCTCCGGCAACCTATGCTTTTGTGAAGGCGAAGAGAGCCCTGCAAGCTCCCTTGAGACCAGATTCGACATTGCTGGGCTTGCTGTATTTTCATGCGCAGGATACTGAGTCCCACAAAGTGTGTTGTTTCTTTGCCTGGCAAGGGTCAAACTTGCACCCGCCATTGCTTCCATTTGCTTACGAGTATGTTCGATTTCTCCCGTCTTAGAGGGAATCAATATCACGACCGGAAAAATAGTTGTACCCTTTCCAGGGGGCGTATTCGCAAATGGAAATCGGGTCCAACATCAAAAAACTAGGTACCCACAAGACCTCAACTATGTTTTTTGGGGGTTTCCGCTTACACCAACTTCGGCCTTTCTCCCCCGCCCTCCCCCCCCCCCCCCTTTTGAGCTGACGGCAGCGGGCGAGGAGGCGGAGGCCTCGCTGAAGGCGGTGCTGGGCGCTCTGCAGCGCTTCAAGCGCCAGGAGGCGGGAGACATCCAGTCGCTGCAGCAGGACCGCGACTCTGCGACGCTTTTGCTGGCGGTCGTTGATTCATCTCGAGGGGTTGAGGTGTTGATTTTTTTTTCCTTTGTCAACCAGTTGCATTCATCCCCTTCTTACTCTTCGACGGGAAGCCAAGTAGGGATAATGTTGACCCAGGAGTAATGTCGACCCGTCCCGTTACGCGGGTGTCCCTCCAAAAGTGGTGCGAATCCCCACTACAAAAGGAATTGGACACTCCCCTATTCATCAACCAGCGGTTTATTAATCCGGGGTTAACATTGCAGGGGAAACCAGTTGGATACGATTGAGGATTCCCCCGCTTGATGCACCTTGACTAAGTTTATGGGAAATGGCGCCTCCCCAGGAATCCCCCCCATATCCCCGCTCCCTCCGTATCCCCGCTTGTGTTCACAACCGGATGGAAGGGGACGGATTTTGTTCAAGACGTCTGCAGAAACCAAATCCCTTCTGTCAGCTTCCCGTGCAAACAAGGGGCGATGAATGCGACTGGTTGATCCAGGCAGGGATCAAAACCCCCTGGAATTGATGCGACCGCAAACAGTCGAAGTGGACAAACAAAAAACCATGTGTGACTCTCTGTATTGTTTCATGGTTGTTGTAGGGAAACATTGGACACATTTTTGCTCATTGTGGTTTCGTGGTGGAAATCCCACTACTCAACCGCTAAAATTTATTTTTGTTGCTCCCCTTTCAACGTCAACCAAGGTTTGCACTCGAATGCGTGGAGCTAAGGAGTTGGACCCCCAATCGTTTTGGGCTTTGGTCCGTTTGGGGCTCCCGCCTCTGTCCACTCGCGAGTGACCTACGCGCGAGTCAACTTGGGCCAGGAGAGCCTAAGCTGCCAGCAGAAGAAGCAGCAGTTGGAGCGACAGCGCCTCGAGTCAAATCCAGCGGGTTGCTTCAGAAGATTTGTTTTAACTTTGTGCTGGTTGGTTTTGAAGGGAATCAATTCGACTACTAGAAACATGAAGTTATTTTCTCCAGGGGGCTTTTTCAACTGGAAGGAATCCAGCGGGCTGCTTCCCTTTTTTGAGCAAAAAGGTGCCAATGGCCGCCGAGGGTCTGGGAAGCCTGATGGCTGTCCGTGTTTTTCGAGGGTGTCCTTTTCGGGTCGGTCGCCAGGGAACACAAAGGAAACCACCCATAGCTTACCTCTTAAAAAACACGTAACTTTTCGTAACTTTTTGGGTAACATGGGCTATATGTCTGTAAAAGATGAAAACTTCCCCGGGGCTTGGAGTTTTAAGGGGTAAGATAAGGGTGGCAACAGTCAGTTGAATGCACCCTCCCAAATTCCCAAATGCGCCAGCACCTTGCTGATCCGGCTGAAGAATTTTGTTTGTGGCTCCAGCATTTTGGGCCGTTTTGCTGTTCAGAAGCTTAGAAGCTTAGCAGATGCCGCTCTCCCATGTCTACACCCAAGAAGGGGTTCCATGTGCAAAATGCGACGGAGATAAAGTATCTGATGTTCTGTGGTTGGTGCCCCCGCTTAAAATGGTATGCCTCAAAAAGGGTTCCGAATCTTTCTCTAGAGGGCTTTGGCTTGCGACCACGCCCATCAGCAAATGTCCTTTCATAGGGAGCCGTTATTTAGTTGCACATTACATCGAAAATGGCTGCAACACCTCGAAAATGGCTGGTGCACTTACATCCCTATGCATCCCCGAAAAACTCCCCGAAAACATACTGAACTAGATTGAGTCCCGAGCATCGATGCGCGCGGGCTCTGCTTGAACAGCTCGAGACTCGTTGCTTTGCACTGCGCGCTTCTTCTTTTTCTCGTGGCGTGTCTTGGGGTTGATCCCAGGTTCGGAACCCATCCTAACCTTGGTGCGAGAAGTGGAATGAGCCTAAGAGAAACCACAACTGGTGGCTTCCGTGAAACCCCTGGGTTCATTCCCATCCCACAAAACGGATTCGCCTGAGGCTCATGGAGCTCCGCATGTCGAGGCTCTCCAAGTTTAAGGCGCGAAACAAATCTCTCGAAATCGCTCGAGGTTTTTGTTTGGTGGACTCGGACCCCCCCCCCCCAAGACGCACCAGAGTTGCCGGTTCTGAAAGTTGCCGTGGTCCTGTCGGGTTCCCCTGACAAGTTAGCACAAGAAAGGCGGCCCGCAAAAGCGACACCATTGAATAGCCCCTCATGTCTGGTGTTCCCAGGAAACCAACTTAAATTTGTCCAGGCCCCCCGTTCAGCACCCAGGGTTCCTGTGATGTTTCAGGGGGGATATTCACAGGACCCTGGTTTTGGCCTTTGCTTTTGTCGGGAGGAAGCCATGGTTTCACCACACCCAAAAGCAAAGTCTTGATGTGGTGGTCTGACTTTTGATGTAAAATCATGTTTTTCAAATGGTGTTGTACGGTGGCAACCTTCTTTTGGTGGACTTTTGTTTTGCAAGTGTTATTGGAAGGAACCTCGTTTACTAGTTTTGATTGAACACGGCCCATTTTGGGGTCCACTTCCCATTATTGCGACAAAAGCCACTTGGGTGTGGCTCATGACATGTTGAGGGCTGCTCAAACTTAGTCTTGTGGGTGATGTTCCTTTAGATGCATGACCAAACCGGGTGGGGTCGAGTGGTTGAAGAGATCCTTGCGCGTTTCATTTTCAGGGGCCACATTTTCTCCCTGACAGGGTCTCCAATTGGTTCATGCTGGATGTGGCTCCTTCGTGCTGGAACAGGCCCTTTGAATCCCCGCTACCACCCACCATGTTCTTGTTGGACAAAATCACGATAAATTCATGGCTCACGAAAAGCAAGTAGCTTATGATGCTGCACATTTGCCTTTGGAGTCTGATTGCTTTCAGGTTGAGAATCGCTAATGTTGAAATCGTTGTTTCTTTCCTGCTGGAAATTGGAAAAGGCACTTGTTGCAGAGCAAAGAGGCACGAGAGGTCTTGTTTTTAGGGTTCACGACCCACACCATGCAATGTGTGTCCGGAGTCCGGATGTGGATTTGATTGAAGGGGCGCCGGGTCAGTCTTTTCTTGAGGGGACCCTTTATGACGGTTGGTTTAAAGGGAGACCAAAAGGAACACCAACCTTTTGGCCTTTTGGGGGGTTGCAACCTAAAAAATCACGATCTACCCGAATGCAGAGGTGGAAGCTTTGTCTGTCAGAGCTGGCCTGGCACGTCGTCAGTGAGAGCCGACTGCGACCGCTGCGGAGCCATGGGTCACCGAGAGCCAAGGTGAAGCTCGGAAATGCAGATGGCGGAAGCCTCAAGAAGCCTTCCCCGCAGCCAAGCGTCCTGCAAAGTGGTGAACGACTTGAAGGCGACCATTGAAATCAGGTGTGGAAAGGATTGGGAGGTGCTCTACCCAAAAGCAAGCCTTGATCTTGACGGGTTTCAGTTTCAAGGCGACCTTGATATAGCAGTTCGCTTGCGAGAAAATGGCGAAGTTGGTGGAAGTGGCGTAGCCACACCTGGAACTATGTTGCACGCATCTCGCGACTTCGCTGAGTTTGGTTGGCAGGCAGAGAAATTTATCCAGAGTGAGGTGATGGCTGCCGCAGAAGAGAGACGACTGCGAAAGGAACGAGAAGCAGAAGTCACTGGAGTTTTGCATGCTAGGGTTAGTCGTGCCGCTCTGCGGAAGCAAATTTGTTTTGTTTGGTGGAGCGCGTTTATGATCAGCGGCTGCCTGGGTCTAATGACTTTCTGCACCGTGTGGACGTATGAAGGTGCACCAGACCAACTGCAAGCCGTTGGGCTCGGCGTGGGAGTTTTGCTACTCTGGTGGTGCAGCTGCGTAGGCTTTGGTGGGATGCTTTTTGTTCTCAAGGGCAGTTCCACGGTTCCGACTGCGGTGCGAGCGGCCAGACCTGAGTTGAGCAACTACGAAGAGAAAGGCGAGGTGCGGGGGAATTCGGGCTGGATCATTCTGCCGTTCTTGAGCTGTTGCTGTTGCGTGCCACCGCTTGGCTTCGGCTGCACCATAGCCATGCTGGTGGCATATGCCGACAGAGGCTCCGTGGCCGCCGTAGTGATCGTGGCGCTCCTGAGCGCTGTACCTCTGGGCCTTTGTTGCGTCACGGCGTGCTGCAACATAGAGTTGGCAGCAAAGGCGAGGGAGGCTTTCCTTTTCCTGTTCCTCTGGCCATTTTGGATCCTGGCGATTTATTTCGGCGACGACTTTTTCGCCCGGAACTTGGTGCATCCCTCCACTGCATCCCTCGATGAAGCGGTACTTTCCGCCCATCAACACACCATCGTGTTTGAGGGCAATGTGCTGCCAGGCCGCAACACAGTTGCCTCGTGGCCGGGCAAATACGAATCAGCCTGGGATGAGTTAGTCAGAAGTGCTCGAGACAATGAACTCAGCGCTGCAGTGGTCTTCCTACCCGAAGGCTCACGCCATTTCGGTCTCCACGACGGAATTCCGGCAAAACCCGAGCTACGAGATTTGCAAGGCTCTTGCTGGTGCACTCCTCTCTACGGTGAAGCAAAACCGTGGGGGTGCCGATGGTGGACCCGCTGGATCAAGAATGTTGAAACGGCAGTCCGGAACGGTTCCACCTTGGAAGTCTACTTCTTTAACGGCAAGAAGGGTCTAGGCAAAGTCAAAGACTTTACCACAGCTGGGGAAGAACATAGGCGCAGAGAGCATATCTTCAGCAAAAAGGCGGAATTTGAGCAATCGCCTGCTTTCCGGAAGGCTCTCGATGCTGGCCTCGTCCATCTTTCCGACGAAAAAGGTTCGGATTCATCCTCGCCATACTCGCGGGAGGTTCATCGCCTCTTCCTTGCATGGCTTCCTGAGGATGAACGCCAATTCCTGGCAGAGTCTGAAGGGCTGGGGAATTCGCAAAAGGCGGAGGTAGCTTGGCTGGAGAGAAAGGGTTACCCATATGTCGAGAAGGAGGTCTCTGAACTGGACGCTTCCTCGCCCAAGGCGAAAGCTCGAACAAGCGAGTAAAAGAACCACTTGTGGTCCTGAGTCCGATTCAAGGATATGTAATCAGTTTTACTCATTCAGTTGATGTATATCTGATACTGGGGACGGAAGAAGGGTTCAACAAGGGCCCTGCGGGGCCATGTCGGATTTCGGTGACCACCTTTAAGGCGCACTTTCAGATTGGACGCCTTTCTAGGGCTGCGGCGTTGAGACGGAAATTCCTGGAAGCCCTTTGCAGCCCCTTGGAGTCGTCACAACCCAACGGGGTGAGCCTAGGCAGAATGAACAACTTTGGGGTGTGCCCTTGCCTCCCCAAGACGGGGCTTTCTACACTTCTCCTTTGGGTACACAAATCACCTCTGGCTACCTCAAATGATCTCCCTTTTGTGGGACGCTTGAATGGTGAGTAAAGGAGCTCGGCTTCATTGCCAACCACAAAGGTGGTCCTACTTGAGTTGACAAAGGTAGGAATGTGTCAACGGGAGTCGCTGTGGGATAGGTTTAAAGTGAACTGGAAAGGAACCGTATAACATTCGGGCGTTTGACATTGTGACAAAGAGACGTGTTTCTGTGATTCAACATCGATGGGTGTGTATCTCTTCAGTGGGTTTGGTTTTTGTGGGTTTAAAGGGACACCAAGGGGAAACTTGCTATTTTGTCGGTTCCCCGATTTGAGACAAACCCAGATTGTTGCTGTTTTACATGTTGCAACGTCAAGTTAAATGAAGCTCTTCGGGCAACACCCCGTGGCTCGTCACAGGCCATGGACCTTGTTGGAAACCTGACAAGAGGGGGGATGCCTCCGGCCAATTTCTCGACCTGTGTGTGCATGTTCTGCGGGAAAAACAACTTGGCACATTTGGGTGTCTCTTTTCGTGGCGGTACCCTTGGCTGCGGTTTAGTGGGGGAAACCAAAGGGAAACAATCCGAAGCCCATTTCGTGGGTTCATGGAAGGGCCCATGTGGCGCTCAACCTCTCAACCCTCAGGCGAAGAACGGACAGAAGTTGCAAAGCTTAGTCCCGGTGTGCCTGCAGATGCTCGAAGACCTCAGCCGCTCGAATCAGAATCTGAGTCGTTCGGCCCAAGGGGCCTTGTGGGCCTTGCGATCCGCCCTTCTTCCGTGATCCTGTTTTTTTTTAGTAGTTCCCCGTGTGGGTTTAATTCAACACCCACCTTTTGGGCCAATTTGAGCTTCTTTTGGTGGGGCGATGTTCGAAGGGGAAATTTAGGGAGCAGCCGCGGAGCATGTTGGGACGTTTTGCCTTCCCGCGCAGAGAAGCACGGTTTGCTTGGTTTTGAGGGTAGATTTTCATATTGTTTCAAAGAAAACCAAAGCCGAAGCCCATCTCGAATTCCGATTCCGCTTGCTGACTAGGCGCTTTTCTAAGGGGCTTGGCGTTGGGTTGCAATCTTTTTTTCACAGCTCAACCTCGAAGAGCGAGCGGTGTTTCACCTTAGCCCTTGTGGGAGGTTCCACGATCTGTAAGATTGAGAACTTCACAGCCGCAAGAAGCTATGACAGAAAGTAGGGGGTCCTCACAAAACTCGGTACATGGAACCCACCAGAGGTTACCTGTTAAAGGAATGTCGCCCCTGAGTCAGGGTCCATATCGGTGGATGGGAGGGCAATTCTCGGCATGTTTTTCCCCTTTGACCGCGATGCCCCTTTTTGAGTGCGACTTTCTTCAGCCATTGGGGAGGGGTGAGTGGTTTGACGCGCGGTTTCACGCGTGGTTGCCCTACCCGGGAAGACCCCCAAGGGAACATAGTTAGTGCAGACCATGCAAGTCAGAGCAATTCAAGCAAAATGCAGAAACAACCCCTTACAATATATGGGGGATGGGTGGTTATTGGGCAGTTACTCATAGTGAGTTGTTAGTGGGCAGATAGTGAGTGGAGAGTGGGCAGTTAGTGGTTGGTTAGTGCATCGTTTGGTGGCAGTTAGTGGGTGATTAGTGAGTTGCTAGTGACTGGTTAGTGAGTAGTTCCGTTCATCTGGCTGGTCAAAACCAATGGGATCCCATTTTGGGGTAAGTGCCACCACCCCATTTTAGTCTAGCTTAATGGCGATTGGGATGTTGGGGGTACGGGATTTGGACCCATGGACATTTGAGAAACGTCCTTTGAGGCGCGAAGATGCAGCAGTTGGCCTCCGAGAACGTGGCCCTGCGCCAAGGGCTGCTTTCGGTATCCTCCAATCTGGGCGAGGCCGGGGCTTCGGTTTGGGGTGGTGTTGGATGGGATTTTGTGCTTTGGATGCTTGGGTGGGTTTGGGTTTTTTGGGTGGTTTTGAGAGATTTGGGGTTTTGTGGGGTGGGGTGGGGTGGGGTGGGGTGGGGTGGGGTGGGGTGGGGTGGGGTGGGGTGGGGTGGGGTGGGGTGGGGTGGGGTGGGGTGGGGTGGGGTGGGTTGGGTGGGGTGGGGGTGGGGTGGGGTGGGGTGGGTTGGGTTGGGTTGGGGTGGGGGTTGGGTTGGGTGGTTTGGGAGGTTTGAGGGGGAATTAAGGTTGTTTGGGGTGGGCTTGGGGCTTTGGTTTGGGGTTGGGTGTTCGGGCGCGGTAGGCTGCGACAGATTTTTTGTTTTTGTCTTTTCCTCTTGTTTTCCCTTACCATCTCAGGGGGGCTGTCCTGTTCCAGGCCTTGGAGAAATGATACTGTACGTGTTTTCTAGTGGTCATGGATACCTGTTAAAGATGGCCGATATAGCCAAAGCAGGATAACACGGACCACCACCCGCCCAACGCTTGGATGGTAGGCGGAATGGGCATTGCCCTGAGATACATTGGCCTTACTTTGCTTCCGCTCCTTCAGGGATTTGAAAAGGAATCCAAGTGGTAACTCCCCACTTTTCGGGTGCGCTTATTTGGAGACGAACCCATGTTTCTGTCAATTTAGGTGGCTGGCGCTTTAGCATGATTCTTGGGTGAATTTTTGAAGGGCGCCCAGGTTTGTGACCGTTATGATACGGGGGTCCAGGTTGCTCCAAAGATTCGGCACGTAGAAAGTTGGCTAATGATCAAAGAAAAACTGAAGGCAACCAAACCAATACTTCCCGGTAGTCTAGAGGATCGGAGCACCCTGCGATAGTTGAAACAAATGACATGAACCGCAAGACTTGCATGGATTGCCATGCAAACGTGGGGTGGAACCGTTGCGTCAAATGAGCGCCTCTTAAGCAACTCCAAGTCCAGCAGATTGCCAAACCTCACAAGGGCTATGCTAATCTTTGTTTTGTGACAATCGCAATAGCTGGTCCGTGTCACAACCAGCACGATCTTGATCTACCCATGATCTACCCCTATGCCACAAGCCTGCAACAAATCCATGGGCACCTTTTCAAGCTCACAGGAAGGTCCACGGCTGATCCAAAGAGCCGGTTCTGGAAGAGAGCACCCATCCGAAAACTGCTAAGAACAGCTGGAAGGGCTTGATGCCCGAAAGCAGCTTTGTTCGCGGGGGAAAGCAGGAAAGCACCATGCCTTCTGCGCAAGACGTGTCCTCTTTTTCTTCGCTGGGTTCCCCATAACTGGTCAACCTCCAAGGGTACATGGATTTTCACCCTTCCCACCCTGGCACCTCTGGGCGGGCTTTCCTCTTGAGACCCCTTCCAGGTGCCATGGCAACGCGGGAGAGAGGGTAAAAGATGTCATTGTTTTTTTGTTTTTTTTTCTTCGTTTTAGCAAACACGTCAGATGCTTCCCTGCTTTCCTAACAAACACATCAGATGCTTTCCTGCTTTCCTGAGCGCCTAGCATTGGTTTGTGGCCCTCTTGGCCTTTACGCTCCTCATTTGTCCGAACAAAGGAGCCTGAAGGCAGGGTGCTGGTGTGGATGTCCGGTCTCTCTGGTGAGTTCAAAATTTCTAGATGGGCGGATGTTGCTTGCGGGGTGTGTATTACTGTATGTATAAGTGTATACATATTTATTATGTGAGTGTATATATATATATATCGCTTCAGCTTTGGCGCACGGATTTTCCTCAACATACCGAACAAGCGCGCGTGGGAGAGACTTTGCAGCTCTTGGCAGGCGACATCGGTGATGAAGGCATCCGCCAGTGCCAAAGGCCTGTGTGTGCGTTTGCGTTTTCATGGGGGCTGCGGCGGGCTGGGGGGGGGAGGGGGAGGGGGGCCTGGGGGGGAGCGGGTGGGGGAGGGGAAGGGAGGGCGGGTGGGGGAGGGGGAGGGAGGGCTGGGGGGCTGCGGGGCGGGGGAGGGGAGCGAGGAACAAGCCCTTATTAAGCCTCCTCCCCCGCTCCCTAGTTCCCATGACGTTTGTGTTTGTGCTGACTTGCTGATGCCAAGAACTGCTGCGGAGTGTGTTGCTGTTTTGCTTTGCTATTTTGCCGCCAGTGTGGTGTGATGTGATGTGCTGTGGTGTTGCAATGTTTGCATTTGCCGCGGGTTCGGTATCAAGGGCTGTTGTCATGTACCCCGGAGGCTGCACCCCTGGTGAAATCAATCCATATCTTCCATGTTACGCAGCCGGACCGTTCCCGGCTTTCCACTGAGTACAGCCCTAGGCGTAATTGTGGGGGCGCGACAGGAGCGGGCTTTAGCTTGCTCCCTCCCTGTCCCAGTAAAGTGGCAGCGGCTGGGAGGTCTCTGTAAGAGTTGGCTCATAGACTTTCAGGGGCACCCTCAGTTGCCAGGAAGGCTAGGCTGCTGTTTGTTTGGTTCCAGGCTCCAAACTCCAGATGCATCGCATGCATTCCCTGATCTTCAGCTTCCCATGTCGAATGGCGGCATAATTGGGCGAATCGCAGCGTCCTTTCCGGCATTTCCTGCATCTATTGCGGGGAGGGTCATGCCAAGAATGGGTGGTATCGGCCGGTGTAGCGAGAATGGCATTTGTTTCATGCGACATGGACACTCCATCTTGCTCCAGTATGGGTAATTCTCAAGATGGACCGCGAAAGCAAGTTGGCTTCCTTCTCTCTGAGACTGAAGATGGGGTTCCCAATTTTCGCACGTACCCATTGCTTTTTTTGCAGCTACTCACAGCCGTCCTTTCCCAGCGGCTGTAAATGCACTCCCGAAAGACCTGGGGGGAGATCAGGCCTGGGGAGAGGCCCAAGCGCTTGGCCAATGGCATAGATCCTTAGAGGCGGCATTTGGCTGGGTTCTTCGAATCAATCTGGAATATATATATATATATATGCCAGCTGGCAGTGATAGTGGCTTCGATGGTTTCGCGGCAACCAGCTGCAGGTAGGGAAATTGAAGCAGCCGCCAGAAACAAGGATGTGGTGTAGAACTTCCTGCTCGGATTGTTGTAATTGGTATCCCACTACGGATTGAGCACCTTCCCCGAGAACCCGAGGAATCTGCCAGGGTGACCCTGAGGGAGTCCCTATGTTTGGTTCAAGGCCTTCAGACCGTCACAGCCCATTTTGCAGAACCCGAAAAACCGGGGGGCGGTCCCTTTTTTGGTCCAAGGCTTCCAGAATTGCCATTCTTCGGCACGGGGCCCTTTTCCGAGACCTCCTCTCCGGGCGTAAAACATAGATCGGGGGCCTTCGGCCTTCTTACCGCGAGGCGACAAGGACCTGCAGCGCTTCCTGCACACCGTGAGCAGCAACGTGGAGCAGGTGTTGGGCCCCAAGTGGCGCCGGGGGATTCGATTCGCGCGGCGCCGCGCGCCGTGTTTCGAAGCGGGGCCTATGGGAGTCTAAGCTGGGCCTTGCAGGCGGGGTGGTTAAGCTAGACCCTCCTTGCTATCCTTGCTGCTGTTGCGACGAAGCACAGGTGCTTGAAATGTGTGGTTTTCAAGTGTGACCAAGTCAAAAAGACTTTTTGGTGCTGGGTAAGTTGCAGCCACATATCATCCTTGTGTTGGCCATTGGCTAAATGGTTCCCCGGCTTGGCATGGGACGGCTTGCGATGATCGAGGCCCGTAACAACATGAAACTCAGCCACCCCCGCCTGGCTCCTCTCCCGTCCCTCTCTGACCCCTGGATGCAACTCAGGCTTGGGCCCAAGGCTTAAGGGTTAGGTCGCAAAGCTTAAGGAGGGGTAGGAAGGGAAAGGAGAAAGGAAACGAACCTGTGCGGTCTCCTGCCGGGCATTTTTATTGCCCCAAGGGCGCGCCAGAGCGTTGAACTGTTGATTCAACCCCTTGTGCTGGAAGGAAAAGCCAAGGGCCCCCCATTTTGACGGAAGGTCCATTTGCGTGTGGCCTAAAATTCAACGGAGGGGCAAACCGCAGGTTTTGGTCCATGTTTCCACTTACCAGGGTTCCATTTTGGTACCGGTTTGTTGAGCCACAGCCATTTCTTTCCCCTCCCTAAAGGGAAGAAGCAGGGCCCAGCTTTGGTTGGGGCGGAATCCCTTCCTGAGAGGGTGCTCAGCGTCCTCCGGGAGAGTCTGAGGCCAACGGTCTTCAACCGGCTCTTCAACGAGGGCCGCACCTCGCACAGATCGCGGCCCCGGAAACTCAACCCAATCTGGGCACTCCTCCTGTTGCTTTATTGTTCAATGGTTTTTTAAGGTTTGTGAAAGGTGAAACAGAAGCTGAACATGTGACTTTCCCAGATGCGGGTGTTTTTCCCCCCAATGTTCCCAAGGAGGATATGGTCCAACTTGATTCCACCGTCTACCAAACTTTTGACAGATATTGCATCACCTTTTCAGCGAACTTCCCTTCAGTGGATTTGGAGTTTCCTGAGCCCGGAAGTTGGTTCTTCGCTGTGCATTGGCCCCGCATTCAAGCTGGGACCAGGAGCCACGCAAGTCTGGTAGATGACTTTTGATTGTGGTGCGTTTTGCTTGCTGGGTGTTGCTCAAAATGTTCGGGGTCCACTGTTTAAGAGACCAAAGGGAGTCAACCACTCGGTCAAACTCATTTGGAGCACCCTCCGGGGCCCCCCAGACAATTTGGTTAGCGGGTCATTTCTGGCTCTCGCTGGGCCACATTTGGGTCTGGTAAGCATGCGTGGTTTCATGTTGGATTCCCTTGAGCACCGGTCCCAGGGACGCTCCCAGGTTTTCTTTGGCCGACCGTCGAAGGCTTCCACTGGATTCGGGTTGGTTTTATTGCGCCATGGATCTGACCCATTTGGCACGCCATTTTTCAGGCCATGCCGGCCAGATGTCCTGGACCAGTGGGCCACAAGTCGATCCACTCTTGGCCGGGGATCGTTCCAAGCCTTCCTCAGATTTCAGATTCGGAGCTTAGATCCGATGCTCAGCGTCACCCTACGGGCCTACGGCTCAACGCTGCGCTTTGTGGGCTTCAAGTCGGATCAAGCTGCGGTAGCTTACCCTTGATGCAAAGTTCTGTCCTTCCCTGAGCAAGTCGTCAAATCTCGAAGGTTCTGCCAGTCTGTGGGAGGTTCCCCCATCTTCTCTTGCGAAGTCACAGCACGTCGCCAGCTGGAACTTCAGACTTGGGAACTCGCCAGCTTCGGCGGCAAGGGACGTGTTTGCTGAAGCTTCACGGCAAGTTGTTTCAGGTGTCCAATAGTGAGCTGTTTGAAGTTTGAAGTCTCAAGGCCAGTTTGAATAGTGGACTTGTTTTCACGGCAAGTTTGAAGTTTCAAGTGAGCTTCATGGTTGTTGTTGGGAAGCATTCTACATTTTTGCTTATTGTGGTTTAGTGGTTGAAATCCGACCACTGAACTGCTAAGGTTTAAGTTTTGCTCTCCTTCCAACGTCAACCAAGGCTTTCCTGTTTGCCTTTGCCGCGATTCAGGTAAGCGAGACCAGCGCATGGAACAGCAGGCCCATGAGCGCCGCCCAGACGCAAGCAAGGGCGGGCGCGGAGTTGGCAGAAACCAATCGGTCGTCAAAAAGCCGAGCGGGGATGGACATTGCCATAAAGCTGGGTGAATTCTGACGACCTCACACGACCTCACCCCAAATGGTGGCAAAAGGTGGGGACTGGCCCCCACCGCAAGTTGGCTGGTGAAATAGTTTGTAATTCACCCAGATATTCAGAAGGATTCGCGTTAAGAGGGGTTCGATTTGCCCCAGACTCGCTTACGATTTGCAGTTTGTTGTTCGCTTACATCAGCAAACAGGGTTGTAATGTCCACCTGGTCCCCCCCCCTCAACGATGGGGGCACCTGGAATACTATCTTGAGATCCAGTTCAAGTGAGTTTCCATTTGAGTTAGTATTGGTAGACTTGAGTTTCAACTTGATTTGGTATTGCTTGAGGTTCCTTTTGAATTTTGGAATTCAGTTTCAACTTGATCTAGTATTGCTGGAGGTTCCTTTTGAAATTTGAAATTGAGTTTCAACTTCATTTAGTATTGCTGGAGGTTCCTTTTGAGTTTCGACTTGATCTAGTATTGCTGGAGGTTCCTTTTGAAATTTGGAATTGCGTTTCAACTTGATTTAGTATTGCTGGAGGATCCTTTTGAAATTTGGAGTTCAGTTTCAACTTGATCTAGTATTCCTGGAGGTTCCTTTTGAACTTTGGAATTGCGTTTCAACTTGATTTAGTATTTATGGAGGTTCCTTTTGAGATTTGGTATTGGGTTTCCATTTGTTTTAGTGGGGGGCAGGCACCAAGACTTTACTCCAGGGGCCCCTGAAATAATGTTGAATTGGGGTTCTGGAGTACTACCCCCTTTATGGCGGTTGATTGTGGCAGGGGTTAAACCAGATACATGTAAGAAAACATGGGTTTGGGAATGCTGGACATTTTGAATTCGAGGAGCAGGCCCAAATCTAACAACAAGGCCTGAAGCATCGCCAGCATCACCTGGCTGTCCAATTACTTAACTAGCTAAGAGGCAATTACACTGGGCAGATGCAATGTTTTCGGGGGGGCCAGGCAAGAAGACTTTATTCCAGGGGCGCCTGGAATATTGTCAGTTTGGGGACCTGAAGTACTACCTCCTTTGCGGGTTTGATTGCGGACTTCTTTTGAACAAGAGACACGTAAGAAAACATGGGTTTGGAGAAGCTGGACATTTTGGATTTTCGGGAGCTGAAGAACAAGGTTGAAAAGATCCAAGGGTCAGGTGTTGCCTTCGCTTCCTCTCCTTTTCTTTCTTTGTTTTCATTTGTTCACTTTTTTTCAGAAAGCATGGGGGGGGCGGGCGGGTGCTTGTCTTGATTCCAGGTTCTACGAAGCACTACTTACATGTAACGTACAATGTTAGACAGACAAGATGAGGCACGATTGAAGAACTCATGATAAGCTTTGCGGGGCAACGCCACCAGGTACATTTTCTTTTTTTTGGAATGCAAAAGGCTTTTGTCTGACACGAGTTCGTTTTTCAAGAAGGCTCCAAGTTTCAAGATTTGTTTGGAGCATTGAACTCGGTGGTGCCCAGAATCTGATCATTTTAATTAGCAGTCCCCATTTAGGACGCACACACACACACGGATATGAAGTCTTTATTGGGACCCTCCAAAATGGGTGGAGCCAAATCCCCACGTGAATTTCGAAAGAGTGCCCAAGAAATGAAACTCATTTGGTCTGGGTCCTTCCGGAACCTTTCCACGGGTCCATGTCCGCATGCAGGTCGGCAGAGCATGATGCACTCCATGCTCGTGCATCTCTCAGATGACAGAGCCGACAGCAAAGAGGCCTGGAGGGATGTGGGGGGCAGGGGGGGAAGGTCTGCCAAAGACTTGTCTTATGCAGTGCAGCCGGACATTCATTTTTGTGCTTGTTGCAAAATGAGGAGGGGTCTTCTCATAGGGATTCCGATTTCCTTTTGCAATGTGTAGTGGATTTGAAGTGAGTTGGTCTCAAAACTATGAGACCCCAGCAAATGGTTGGTTTTTGTTGGGACCCCATATTCAATATGGTGGTGGTGGGGAGGGGGGGTTCTTCAATAACCAGACTCACCCGTAACGTGTTTGTTCATGTTCGACATGGCTTGTGTATGTTTTTGTGCTGAATGGCGTACAGCGCTGATGCATCCGCAAGTCCGTTCCAAGTGTCCACCCCACGCACGCTCTGGTGCCTGACGGAATGTTTACCATAGACGTACGAGGTTTGGTTCTTCTTTAGCACTAATTGGCACCATTGTGCCGGCAATACATGATTCGACGACATAGCTCCATTTCGTTCCGTAGGACGATGTGCCGTGCTTGGTTTTAGCCGAGAAAGCCGATCTAGCAACTCTACGAGCCACCCGTTTGCGCAGGATCCCAGGACGACGCCAAAGGTGCCTCGGACTGCATGGAGAGACTCAGGGCCTTCGGCGATTCCTCTGCAAGAGTTGTGTAGAACAAACGTCATTGGCAAGTAATTAGTGGTGGACCCATTCTAGTGAACGCTACGTTTAGTTTCCTTTGGAGACCAGTGAGAATGGCTACTTCAGGGAAGAGTGGACATCGCGCTTGTTGCATGTGCGAGTGTGTGTGTGTGCGCAAGTGTTCATGCCTTGTTGTTTTGCCATGGCGATTTGACAATTTGTAGAATCAGCAACAGATGCTATACGTTGATCTCTAAGTATCATGTGTTTTATGCCAGCAGTTGCTACTGACGTATTGCACACCGTTCAACTCGTCAGGCTAAGATACATCCTGCTTGAGGCTTCCCTCGCTTGGGCAAGCGCCCAGATCCTGTGATCCAGAGTGTCCCCACTGCTTTGATTTGCTTTGCTTTGCCCTTGCTGTGCTTGCCCTTGCTTTGCTTGCTCAATTGATGATGTCTATCCCCAGTTGCCCAGTGGCGCCCTTTGTTCCTGTTTTTTGGGAAGGGTGTCCCTTCTAACTCAGCGAACCAACAAAGGAGGCCGTTTCTTTTTTTCCCAATGGAAATCTACTGGACTGAGTATCTTCAGGCCTTTGAAAGGTCTGCGCAGCCTTCATCTGGTCTAGCTTACGGACCCGGATTTTGGCGGTTCGTCTGACCAGTGACGTGCACAACCGTGTGTCAGGTGGCGTTGCCGGACACCACCCTTGGCCATATTGAAAGTCTAGCTCTGAGGGATCCCCAGGTGAATCCAGCGATTTGCGGACGGCGGATGTATCATTTGAGGGACCCTGCGCCCAGGATCCTCCCAGGCAGGCCGCTGTCTATGGGGTTTTGAGTCCAGGTGTGCTTGGGATTCCTTTGAACAAATGCGCTGGTTTACCAGGACTTGATATTTGCATGGTGGTTTTGAGTGGTTTACTGGATTATGCTTTTGAAGGTGGAGTTCAATTGGTTGCCGGGCTTGCTGTGTGAAGATCAAGCGGCTTGCCTCACGACCGGAGACTGTTCGTCAACCCGAAATTGGCACAGACGAGTGAGGCCTGCAGTTAACCGGCTGTGGGTCAAAACCAATGGTACCATTTTGGGATAGGTGCACCACCCATTTTAGTCTATTTTAGTGGGGGTTGGGATGTTCACTGTGGGTACGGGCTAACTTGCTGACTGATGGATTGGCTATGGCTTCTGATGAAGTTTCGGCGCATTTACTCGCCGCGATCAACTTCGATATTATGTAGTGGCTAGTTGATGTGCAGGGTGCAGTTCAGCACAAGTTGGACTGAAGTATCAGGTTTGTTTGGTGTGTTTTCCGAGTGCATCAAAGAGGGTGACTGATTCTCAACAAGCAAGGTCGTTGAAGAACCATTTGTCAGTTTCTAGAGGGTGTGCAAGACACTCATGATGACTCATGGTCGGAGGAGACCCAATTACGCGCAAGCCATATCTCACTAACATCTATGCTAAGAGGACATTGAGCACACTTAACAAATGGAGCACCATATGGCATGAAGACATCGTGAAGGTAACATGAGGACCTGCGCGGGCAAGAAGGCTGGCAAAAGACTTCAACGCGTCCCAAAGACGTGAAGGTCGGGCTGATGAGGCGATGTGATGAGAATGCCCCTGTTGCACAGGCGTTGCTCGTGCTAGTTTGGCTTGCGTGCAACCTAAAATCATCTTGCAGGGTGGGCATTTCTACAGAAGTGGCATCACTACGTGCCTTTTGGGCAATACTGTTGACCCCATATTAATCAACCCCAGTTCTTTAATAGGGGGTGTCCCTGGTATGAGGGGGCAGTCAGACCACTTTTGGGGAGGGTTCCCTCATTAATCCAGAAGGGTGGATTACTATGGGGGTCAACATCTTCCTGTTTTCCTTCAGGGGTTTGGGTGCCTGGCGCCTCTGAGAGTCGTAGGCACCTGCGAGCCGTGCGGAAGGGAGATGAGGAGGAGCTGGGTTTGGGGGGCCGCTGCGGCGATCGTTGCCCGTCCCCAGCAAACCTCGGAACCCAACGAAAGCTCGCTCAAAGCCACTTCTTTTCGGGGCTTTGGGAAAAGAAAACAAAAAGCTTTCAGCTGAATTGCTGTGAGACTCTTTGGAAGCCAGCTGCTTTGTGCGGTCAACGTTTTGGCGCGAGGAAGATTCATGTGGCAGTTGCGCGGTGCACAGCAGTTGGCTGTCTAAACAATGCTGAATCACATATATATATATATATAATATTTATTAATTTTACATGGTTTCTAAATAGGCAGTTGGCCAAAGCTTGATCAAGCTTCAGTAGGGACAACTCCATGTTGTTGTTGGATGGTATTATTTCGAGCTGTGAATGTAAACAGTGGTTAAGCCAATTTCAGTGTTGGTCGCTATTTTGCCGCTAAGCAGAAGGTTGTGATTGGATCCAGACAGAATTACAGCATGGAAGCAGCAAGCGATCAGTGAACTCCAACCCAGGAGTCTTGCAACCGGAATCCTGCCAGGGATGATTGGATCAGTGGCCTGTTCATGGTTGTTGTTGGGAACATTTTGCATGTTTGCTTATTGTGGTTTAGCGGGAAATCCCCACGCACCTGCTAAAATTCAAATTGTTGCTCCCCTTTCAACGTCAACCAAGTGTTCCCGCAATTGGCTTACAGACCTCGTCGACCCGCGCTCAGGACATCTTCAGGCTGGGTACGCTTGGGGATGGCTGATCGCGCCAACATGTCTTGGTCGGTTACTGCCATGTCAGGGACAGCTGTCGCGCACTTTGAACTTTGGGTTGGCAATTCACAGGGTTTCCTACAGTTTCCCCCTTCCGTGGCCCTTTTAGCCTGCTAATCCAAAATGAGGGTGATGTTTAATGGGGAAGACTAGGTACCCCTGATGCAGTGTTCAGGTTGTATCAGTCGCTTCAAGGCCCACTAGCGTGCCAGATTTGAGCATGCGCGTAGCAGACCCGAACCCACCATGGTGGTGAACATCGTTTTTTGTTGTCGTTGCCTTTTCCTGTCAGAACAAGGGAGTCCCCTCCAAAAGGAGAATCGGATACGGCAGTAATGGGCCATGAGAAGCAACCGCCATGTGACACGGAAAACCTTCTGTTCGACGATGCGTTCGGCCGCTTGGGATGCTGCCCATCCAATAGGCTCAGCAACTGGGTGAGCAGAGGCCAGATACTTGTCTGAACTCAGGTCTTGCTCAGTGGGTGGGTGTCTGTGTGTGTGGGTGTGGGTGTGGGTGTGGGTGTGGGTGTGGGTGGCAGTATTCATAAGATCTTCATCATTGGTCCAGATGAGTTTTTATTGAGGAGCGAACGTGCAGGTTTTTTGCGCTGAATTCTTCAATTGGCAGTCTACATTAGTGGTGATAGTAGGAGCCCCTTAGACCCCAGGAAGTGTCTCAGAACCGATCTAATCACTCTACTGCTATTGGATTGGATATTTATACTTTAACTTTTTCGATTCCCCTCATATTTCCTTTGAACCAGCAAACAGTTTTTGTTGTTTTTCTCTGGGGGATCTAGAGCACCCAAGATCAAGGTTCCAAGAATCCTTCCATTGCAACCGATGCCTGCAACTCGTCATGGCATCACATGCCAGGAGCGTTGGAGGTTGGTCTCGGCAGCGGACACCAGCCGATGAGGAGGACCATGTCTACGAAGAAACACAAGCAAACATGGGAGGCAACACAGAGAAAGAGAGAGACATAGGAAACACACACGCACGCAGTATACATCTAACCTGTATGTACATGCAAGTTCCATTCTTAAAGGCGGGAGTTTGTGCGTTTTGTTGACACGCCAGATAAAACTTGCACATGCCGTGACGACGTGCGCTTGTTGTCGTTGCGCAAGAGGTGCATGTTTCAATTCCACCGGCGCTCAGGACATCTTCAGGCTGGCTGGGGGAAGGGAGCTGTGCCTTAGTCATGGATCGGATGGCCACGGCACGCTTGCGCCATGGCGACAACGTTCAAGGTTTCAACAAGTCGACCAGAAATCTCAAAGTATGACCGTTTCATGGTCGCACAGTGGTTGCCCAATGTAACAAGCTGAGGGAATGTGCAACATGTATGGTTTGAGAGCAATTCCTTGACAGGAGCGCTGGAGGCTTCTCTCGGCAGCGGACGCCGGCAGATGACGAGGACTGGGAGTGATACAGACGTGCACCATGAATCAGCCCGTCATCGAGTTGGATCTGTCCAAAAATCAGAGAGCGGTTCTTGCGGACACATGTACGCCAACCACATGGAGTCCCCAATTCTGAGCAATAGCTTTTTGGAGTCTCTGTGGTTTGGAGGTCAGGGGATCGTCATTCCCCTTGCCCGCTTGGGTGTTTTTTTTCCGCCCATCCCAACCATGAGTCACGATGCCTATGGTCATGCTGGCCCTCTTCTGTGGTGCAGGGCTTGTGGCTTCTTCTGTGTGCTTTTGACAGGATTCCCCCCGCTTTGTTTCTGGCGCGCCAAGAAACACTTTGGTGCATTTTGCTTGGATGTTAGGACTTTGACTTTTTGCCAACGAATGGGGTTTCCGTTAAACCACTAAAAGTCAAACTCTTAGCAGGGGGGCAGAAAGCAACCGAGAGCAGAGACAGGCCCAGGATGGGTCTTCCGCTTCGCGTTTCTGAGGCCTGCCGCGATCAAGCTTGCGGAACTGCCGTCCGCAGAACTTCCATCATCCTGCATGAAGATGTGGCTTGGCTCGGGCCAAAAATCCTTCTGAGCTGCATATGGGGGTGGATCAAAGGTCCCAACATGAAATGACCGTGAAGCAAAAAACACTAAGACGATGATACAACCAACTTGGGAAAAGTTTTCGAAAGTATCTCATGCCAGCTTAGAGCATCAGCAACTTTGAACACTTGGCGAGACAGGCTTTCGACCATGCAGCACTCACGCTTTGCAAAGCATTCCAGACTGAAACATTGTCCGAAGCTTGTTCAGGAACGTCTTTGGTTTGGGAAGAAGGAACTGTGCATCTATGTGCCTGTGACAAGAGCAATGCACGTCAATTAATTCATGTGGACTCGAGATGAACGTTGGGGTGCCAGAGATGAAATGCGGGGTGTTTTATGGTCAATCTCCAGCCAATCCTTGCAAGCTACAATGTGGGTTTGGCTGTAGGGGGGAAGAGCCAATCTCCAACCATTGCAAGTCCCACAATGTGGCTGAGAACTGGAAAAAAAGTAAAGAAGTGGTACCAAAAAAGAACAACAACAACCTAAGTTGTTCCGAATCTCCCCAGAAAGAATGGGTGGTTTAAAAAAAAAGAATCTGAAAGGGAAGAGTTTCCCGCTGCATTTTTCTGCAAAGCCGCAAGGGAGGCCTAGGCCAGCCCCGCACCAAGGACAGCCGCAGGCGTTGGCCCACGCCCGTGCCGCCGAAACCGGATGCAAGGGACGGGACTCGAGGAGGAGTCCTGCGAGGTTTTTTTTTCGCACGGAACGCCGCGAACGCCGCGGTTTTTGTTCCAAGGGTTCTATGGGAATTGCTTTGGGCATTGGGTTTTTTAAGGGTTTTAAAGGTTTTCAGAGGTTTTAATTAGTTAGTTCCAAGGGTTCCACTGAAAAAAGTGGGAAGCGGTGTCTATGACGGTAGCTTGAGGCCAAGGCTGAGTGGCCGAAGGATGCAACCAAGACGAACAAACTAACTCTAAGGGTCTTTGTATGACGCCCTGGGAATACATCCACTGGGGATTGACCTCATTTAGGCACGTTTCCGGATAAAGCCGTGTGATTTTGGAAGCATTCTGGGCCATGTTTCAAGGGTGTAATCCCAGGGTGTAAAATACAAACGCCCTCAGAGTCAAGTGGTTGGTGTCCTCTTGCCAAGTCTCAACCACAAGTGAACATCTGTGGACATGACCCTGACACCTGTGGAGGAGTTTCATGTTGCATTTCTTCTTGTGGGGGTTCACGTCAATTTGCAGGAGAGTATTTGCTTTGGTTTTGAAAGCAGAATCTTCCCTCCCAGGCGTTCATCTGTGGGATGGTGCTGATTCAGCTTGCAATTTACCTTCTAGGTGCCCCAGTAGTGCCCTTTTACCTTCTTTTGGGGGAGGGTTCCCCTACTAACATAGACTAGTGAAAAAAGTTGGTACCAACTTATTCTATCCTCTCAAATCTGGAGGACCTGGCCTTGCTTGCTTGCCAACAGCGGAGTGACACCTGCTCAGTCCTCGACGTGTCGGGGGCAGGGGGGTCTTAACTCGATCGAAGCCATGAGCGCGCCGACGGTTGGCAGCTGCAATGTTCTTACCTTGGTGGTTCCCAGCCATCCCCTTTGGTTTTTAGCTTTTTACCGGGGGGTGTCCATTTGAACCACAGACAGGTGTCCACTTTTAGCCAGAGATCTGAGGACAGCCCAGTTACGGTGGTTGGTGAGGGACAGCGAATCGAAAGGTCGCAAATTGCCAGGGTTTCACATCACCCAAAAACCTGCACACTTCCGTTCTGGAATCGAAGGACGTTTTTCATATCGCGGGAATAGGCGCGCATTTTGCATGAGTGGGCTGTAATGAGTTTAAGTAAGTGTAGCTCATGGAAAGGAAACTTAGAATTGTCAATCCTTGATAATACGTGTTTTTTTTGTTGTCTGCGCATATTAGCATAATGTATATACGTTTCTCCCTCTCTGCCTCCCCTCCCTCCCTCCCTCCCTCCCTCCCTCCCCTCCCTCCCCTCCCTCCCTCCATCCCTCCCTCCCTCCCACCCTCCCTCCCTCTCTCTCTCTCTCTCTCTCTCTCCCTTTTTCGCTCTCTCCCTTCTCTCTCTTCCTCATCTTATCTCCCTGTCTATCAGGGGCGGTTTCCCTTGCATGACAATGAAGGCTTTACCCCTTTTGTCATCCCAGATACTACCCAACTTTGTTTGACCCGTCAGTATCTCACCTCTCACGCAACAATCGGTCAGCGCGCGTGTGCAGGCGTTTGGTTTCGGAGGAGGACTGGGAAGTGGGAATCCGGCAGTGCTTGTGCGTGCATGGGCGCTGGCTCACGGATGAGCAAATGATTATATACCCCAGATCCTCAGTGGTGCCATGTAGTACCATTCTATTCAGCCACAGACCAGCGGGCAAACGAGCAAGCCCAAACACCAGCTAGACGGGACCAACACCTGGGAATATGGTTGCCCGGAACTGTTGTTTGATGCCAACAGATCATAGGTCAAGCCTGAGTCCAGATTGTGTCTGTGGTAAAACTGGACACAGAGCGAAGCTACTCAGCCTTCCCGCGCCCTTAGTTCTGCCGGCTGGGATGATAGAAGTAACCAAGGCCGGGCATATTGTTTATTTGTTTTGTGGTTGTTCGGTATTTATCGCAGTGCTGGTGTTTTCTCTCCCCCCCCCCCGTGTTTTCAGTGTTTTCCTTGTTTGTTTCTTTAAAGTCTTTGAAGTATTTGCGGTGTTTGATGGGCTGCGTTGTTTTTGTTTGGCATTCATTTCCGCGGGTGTGTTTGCGTGTGGGAGCTGAGAGCTTCATGCCATGACTGAACGGTTTCCGAAGGCCTCCTTCGGAATTCGGCGGGGTGGGGGGTTGTAGATGTTGGTCTTTCTTTCATATGTTGATTCAAGCCCATTTGGGTGTGGAATTCTCAAAATTATCCAGGAGGGGTTAATTACGCAGGTGTTGGTCCATGTTTCCACTTCCCAGGGCAACCCATTTAGGTATTCCGGTTTTTTGAGCCACAGCCATATGGCTGTGGGTCAATGGCTGACGGACTGTTTGGGCATGATGCCGGCTGAGCTAGGACCGTTTTCTAGGATTGCTTCTTGAGGTGGCAAATGGATGTTCATCCACCCCAAGAAATGGAGACATAGGTTGCGCCCCATGGCCATATAGGTTCTCTTGGGTGCTTCTTTGTTCTCGATCTTGTGTTCTTAGCAGTTTTCGAAGGGTTTTCCAACAAAGTACCAGGGGGCGCTATTCAAGGACGTTGGCCATTGCCTTTGTTTGATATGGCTATGAATTTGACTAGGGACCCCCTGGAAAAATAAATAAACACATCGACAAAACATACACCAGCATAGACCCCTGATAGCGACCAGCACCTCTAACAGCACCCCCGCGAAGAGCGTCCCAAACAGCACCCCCAGACCATCCAGCTGTCAATCTCGCAAAAAAAAACTGCCCGCACCCTCACCAGCACCTCAAACAGCACCCCAAACAGCACCTGCACCAGCACCCCAAACCGCATCCCCCCTAGCACCCTGCCATCAATCTCGCAAAAGGTCACCTGGACCGTCTCCACGAACAAACAGAACCCGTCCGCACCCTGCCGTCAATCTTGTAAACATGCACCCGCACCGTCACCAGCACTTCAAGCAGCAACCCCAAATAGCACGCGCACCGCACCCAAACTGCATGCCGAGCACCTTGCCCTCAATCTTGCTGCAACACATCAAACAGCACCCCAACCAGCACCTGAACCAGCACTCCAAACCGCACGCCCACTAGCACCCAGCCGTCAATCTCGCAAATGACTTTCCCCTCTTTATTAGAAGTTAGAACCCCCGTAGCTTTCAGCTATTTGGCTGTGGGTCAAAACCAATGGTACCATTTGGGGGTAGGTGAACCACCTTTTAGTGGGGATTGAATCGGATGTTCACTGGGGGTACGATTTGGATTTTGACCCATGGCCATTTGGGGCATCAAAGGATTTTGGACGGGTCCCCATCGCCGGAGGACATGGGGACTGGATCCCTTGGACTGCAGTGCATGCCATCGCCGATCCGGCGACACCTGCCTTGTCTTGTCGAGTCGCTCGGGGGTTGGGGACCTGAGCGAGGGCAGTGAGTTGCCACATCATCTAGGCCCCCAGTAGTGCCCTTTCACCCTTTTTTGGGGGGAGGGTTCTCCTACTAAAGCAGACTACAGAAAAGAAGGGTACCCTTATTCTAACCTCTCTACTGGAGGACCTAGTCATGTATACACCAAAATTGTGGGTCCTTTGGATTTTACTTACACCTGAATCTGAAACGAGTGCCGGACACCCACAGTAGCAAGCAAGCACGCGAGGCCTTGCAGGTTGAAGTGCAGCGATGACACGGACTCTGGGGATGACGTTGCTGGTGTGGGGAAGTCAAATGGGGCCCTTGCTCATCTTTCCAGGAGCTATGGGTACCTGGACCTAGCACATAAGATTTCATGTATTTTGTTCGGAAGGCCGCGACATCCAAGTCCTAAGCAATCACATGTCGGGAGGAAAGATCCGGCGAACCACTTGTGTTCGAAGGCTGAGAGCTTCTTCAGGAGGGTGTGACAAATCGGAGGCCGACTGGCATGCATACAGCTAATACAGCCCGCAGCGAATACACCCGGCCTCTAAGTGCTGTATGGTATGAGGATGATGTTTGCGGTGTGTACCTCTGGGGTATGCAAGTAGGACCTTAGGTGTCCCGATGGCTTTCTCATATTATATATGACATATATATATATATATACATGTATATATGTGGCTGTGGGTCAAAACCAATGGTACCATTTCGGGGTAGGTGCACCACCCATTTCAGTCTATTTCAGTGGGGATTGGGATGTTCACTGGAGGTACGGGATTTTAACCCATGGCCATGTATATATATATATATATATATACACAGGCCATATATATATATATATATATATGAACCATGCCATTGAGACCAGCCATGAGCCGGCTCCTTATGGCTTTGGCGCCTTCTTGTTTGCCCCCCCCCCCAGCGACTGGATCCAAGGCAAAACGCCGAACCATGTACTTGGCTTCTGGTGATTTTGGCTTGTGGATAATTTGGGTTACTTGGGCCCCTGCAGACCAAGCTTTGGATCTCCCCATTTGTTCCCTTTTGGCCCCCGGTAAAACCGTCCAACAGGGAATCTGACCGTTCGGACCACCGAGCGCGACACCAGGCCGCGCTTGTCGAAGCGCCCGGAGGCCGGAAGCGGAAACCCGGAGGCACAGCACGACCAGAACTCCCTTTGGCCAGTTAGGAACGAATATGCAAAATGATAGTTCCTGTCAGTTGGTACAAGTGCCCTTATTTTGGTACCTTTTAAGAGCCCTCGAGCAAGCCGCGCTGGTATATTGGATAGGTATATTGGATAAACATTGCATATATATATATATGTATATGCATGGTATGTATAACAGCTTGTGGAACCATTTTGGATAGAACAACAGGTTTTGGGGCACTTGTCTCATGGATGTGTCCTCAGCCCTCTAAATGATTGCTTCGATGTTGTATCCAAGCCCTGTAAGATGCCCCCACCCCATCCACAGCGGGATCCCTCTCTATGAATGCCATGTGGAGTTTTTTGGCTGTTGCATCGGACGTGGTTGAGGACACCCATCCATCGGCCGGAACAGCTTGCTGGTTCTCAGCAGGGAAGTTTCAAATGTTTTGGGGATGAACCGCTTGGGATCTCGCAAAAGGACTGGTAGTGGTCATTTTGCCTATTCCCTAATGTTGACCCCGGATAAATAAACTCCTGGTTGACCTAATGGGGGGGTGTCGAATTCCTTTTAGTGCGGATTCAGACCACTTTTGGAGGGAACACCGCCCAAATAAGGGGACGGGTCAACATTAATCCTGGGTCAACATTCCTGAGACCCAGCGCCTCAGCCGCTCTCGCGTGCAAGAAACGGCTGCAGGACCGAGACCGGGAGGTGGTGGTCAAGGCTCCCGATCGCGTCAACAGCAAGCTGAAGAACCGCCAGCAGCTGCACTTGAACAGCTCCCTGGCTTGCCGCCTTCTTTTTGTTTTTTTTTGCTTTTGTTTCCCAGTGACCAGGCAAAGCATTTTTTTTTGCTGGGGTCCTAATTCCAGCCTAGCCGCGAGCAAGAGAATGTTCGAACAGCCACCTTTGGTCCACTTGGAAGGCAAACCAAAACAAGGTGCTCCACTTGGAAACCCAAAGGAGGGTGTTTGAACAAGGTGCCGGTGCTTTTAGGGACCCGCTCTAATGACGCCCTCTCGCATTTTTAACTGGCCGCACAGGGTTGCTCGTAACCTCGCCCCATGTTTACCATTATTTTATACTTTGCGCATAGAAATCACACTGGAATTACTGTATGTTGCATTTGTTCGATCCTTTCAGATGGGCAAGCGCTCTCTCGCATGGAATTTCCGTAGCTCACCTAGCAATGTCACACACACACACACATGTGTGTCAATGCATGTCCTCATGGATGTCAAAGTGCTGCAATGAAGCGCCTGGGGAGGGGTATCCTTCTCCAGTGAATTCCCGCGGCTGAAGTGCTAAGTATCCGAAGTGGGCGAAGGGGGCCCTCGTGGGTCGACTAGGCTTTGTGAACAAATCAACCACCCAACCCAAACACACCCCAGCCCATCCACTCCTAACCCAACCCAACCACCGACCCATCCGACCAACTCACCAACCAGATGGCGATCGACGTCTGAGGCTACGAGTTCCGAGGCGATATGGAAGTGTCGAAGGCCGGGGGCTTTGAAGGACTTGCAATGACCCTTGAGGAAAATATAACTCCTTATACCTCTTTTATACCCGCTACCTGTGTTTATCATTTAGAAATTAAACATATATATTATGTATTATAATATATATATATATATATATATGCAGTTTACTTTAGACTAACACAATCAACAATTCAAGAAAATGTGCAATGACAAATCACATCAAAAATGTTCACCCTTTCCCCCCTTCCTGGGGTTAAGCTCTAGGTTTAGATGCAGAGTGCTCGATGAGTAGCCCTACAGACTCCTGTTTCCTGAAACCTGCAGTTGGCCGTAATTTTGTTCTGGGGTGTCAAAATCAGGGACCCCAACATGGTGGCTTTCCTTTTGGATTCCCCTTAAACCAACCTGAAACGGGTACCTTCAGAAAACAAACCACTCTTTTAGTCTTGGTTTTGAGGGGCCTGGTCACTAAAGGAGTCAATCATGTACAAGGGCATGACCAACGAGGGCGTCGCATGGCCCACGTTGTTCATGGGTCGGCCTCTCATCAATGTCTGAGTAATGTCCGCATGGATCTGTCCTCTGACGAAGACATAAAGGAAGGTGCGCGAGTGCGGCCATCAAGCAACGTGCTGAGCATGAATGCCCACCCTGGCTTAATCAACCTTGCGGAGTGGCGAAGGTTTTTGTTTTTCTTTAAAGTGAGGGTATCCTTTGAAATGAGACACCTTCTTTATCCCAGCGCACCCTGTGTTCGTTTTATCGGTTCCCCTTTCTAAAAACCAGCATACACCCATTGGGATGCTTTTACCAAAAAAAACAATGGGTGCCCCTGCTACCCCCAAAGTCCAGTGAGCGTCCTTTTCGCTTCAGGTCAAGGCTTTGCTGCCATCGCCCCGCAAACTCGAAGGCAGGAACGAGCGAAGGGGGAGCCGGGGCTTACGTTTTCCTCTCTGCCCACCCAAGCGTTTGAATATCTGAGATCTTTGGCGCATTTTGCCAAGGGATGTTCGGACTTTAGCTTTTTGTCAACTAATGGGTTCGCCAGTAGACCACAAAAGGTTAGTCACTTTTAGCAGGGGAGCAGAAACCAACCAAGAGATGGTGCCCAGCCAACCACTTTTGGTGGTTGCCGCGTCCTTCCGGGCACTCGAGGGATGCAGCCTTTGCCATCCGTAGTGATGGTTGTTGTTGGGAAACATTTTACATTTTTGCTTCTTGTGGTTTAGTGGTTGAACTCCAAATCCACTGAACTGCTGAAATTCAGAGGTTTGATCCCTTCCAATCAACATTTAGTGGTTGAAATCACCACTTAACTGCTAAAATTCGGATTTCTGCCCCCCTTCCAACGTCAACCAAGTAGTGCCTAGAGTTGACCTAAATCTTGCGAAAGCAAGCCTCGCGACTTGCAGACGCGTCCGCCGTCCACTTTGAAAGAGTCGGCCTTCTTTTTTTCAGGGCTACCCACTGATGTCATCTGATGTCCTTTACCAGTGCTTCCCTTGGTAGCCAAGGGAACCGCCCTTCAAAAAACCTTGCTGAAAGATGACCAACCCACAAGCCAGGGTAGAAAGTTGGGAGAAGGGTCCATTTTGCTCTGCCATTTTTTGGGTGGACCTCCCCAAAATGGATGTTTTCCTTGTGGTTGTCTTTTAAAGCCACAACAAAAACACGGTACCCTCAAAAAGGACAGACCATGTCCAGATTTCCCTTGCATCGAGCGCAGGCCTTCAGCTACCCTCGGTGCCGGCCAGGGGCTGACCGAAGCAAGCGTGCGAGGTGGTTGGAATCCCGTTTGTCAGGTAGGTCTTTGGTGGTTCGTTTTCAGGTAGGTGCTTGGTGGTTTGGTTTGGTGCTGGGAAATAAGAACTGGTTCTTGTAGAGGGTACATGAGAAACAACCACACCACATTAGAGGGAAGCTGAGTTTCGGATGGCGTTTTCTTTTTAAGGGATGCCAAAACGGGCCTTTTTTGGGGGACTCCCCGAAGCAACTTGAAGTTTGAGCCGCGCATACGAGCCCGAATTTTGGACTCTGGGAGGGCATTTGGTAACCAGGGAAGCGACTGGCCTCCAGTGGCGTCATTTCTTCCCCCAGAATTCGCTTCCGCTTTTTTTGCGGGGGGGCGTTTTTGGGGGTCCCCTTTCTTCTCCACTGGCAAAAAATATTCTGGGTTTTTTGCCTGGGTCCTAATTCCAGCCAAGATTTGTTGAGACTTCCTAAATCTCTGTGCTGAGGTCCACACCAACAACTCCCCTCGCTCGCCCTCCGACGGCAGCTCCGACGAGTCCTCCCCGCAGATGTCACCCTTGGTGTCAAGGCAAGCCACCGAGGACCGGACTCGGCGCAACCCACTCGCCCGACCTGGGGTCTCCTCCAAAATATGAGTCTAGGATAGGCTAGATGCTGACCATATGTTATTATTACAAATATGTTTGTGTATATTAATATATATATGTATATATGTATATATATATTTCTCATATATATATATATACTACACATCTCTCCCCTGATCTGCCTTTGCGTGCGCATGCAGAACATTTGCATGGACATGATCTACATTGGGATGGGCCATGCTCGATATTAAGGATCTGCGCAAACATATGCCTTGTCTCAGTCACTACCAAGTATATAAGTGTCATGCAGTTGTTTGGTTTTCTTTTCTGACGTCTACTAATCTGTTCAGCCTAAAGCTTGGTTCGTAGGCGAGCCTCTGGTGGAAATCTTCACTTTTTGAGTGCCATGTGCCAGTGCCCTGGACCATCCAGCCCAAGTGCGCAAACGGAGTGCTGGTGAGTGCTTGCATGCATGCATGCATGCATTCATGCATGCATGCATGCATGCATTCATTCATTCATTCATTCATTCATTCATTCATTCATTCATGCATTCATTCATTCATTCATTCATTCATTCATTCATTCATTCATTCATTCATTCGTTCGTTCGTTCGTTCGTTCGTTCATGCATTCAATCATTCATTATTTCATTCATTCATTCATTCATGCATTCATTCATTCATTCATTCGTTCATGCATTCAATCATTCATTATTTCGTTCATTCATTCATTCATTCATTCATTCATTCATTCATTCATTCATTCATTCATTCATTCATTCATTCATTCATTCATTAATTCATTCATTCATTCATTCATTCATTCATTCATTCATTCATTCATTCATTCATTCATTCATTTGCTCTTGATTTTTATCGCTGTTCAATTGTTTGATGGTGTTTTCATTTTGTTCATTGCTTGATTGTTTTTTGTTTTTTTACTTGTTCGTTTATTTGCCTATTTCTTTTTACTTTGTATTTATGTGTGTGCGCCCCAGATGTGGTTTATTACCATGAAGACCACCAGTTTGACATTAATCATGGCGTTGCAACCTCCAAGGTACGCTAGTTGGCTGGAGGGGTGTTGAACTTGTCCTCGATAGCAAGCAACAGTTCATGTAAGTTCATGCGTTTTTGGCATGTCCAAGTTCTCCTTATTCAGCACCCAATCCTCTGGATTGTTTTGGACACCTTTTGGTTGCCACATGTTGCCACCCTAGAGTTGAGAGTTTCCTCCTGGGATGTGAGGTGAAATGTAGAGAATCCTGTTGCTTCTGCCGGGTATGCCTGTCCTTTGTGTCGCATCCTTTTCCTAGCCATGGAGCTCGACTGGTGGTCTGGTCATCTACTTTTACCCTGGCGTAACCCTGGTGCTGGGCGAAGGGAAACCAAAAAGAGGTTGTTTAGCCTCGCTCAACGGCTTCCATTTCCTCAAACATGTGCTGTTGTTCTCCCTGTTGGTTGAGGGAATCTATCACAAAAGGGGACGTAAACAATGGCTGTGCCCTTTTTTACGGAACCCCTTCCCCAAAAAAGAAAAAGGGAATGAAAGCAATCAAACAAGTGGTGGTCGTTTTGCCCCCAAGAAGGCAAACCCAAATGGGAGGATGGTCTAACCTGAATCCTCCCAGGACAAAGTTGAGAAGGTCACCTCGCGGAATTTGCCGATGGTCTCAGTGCAGGAAGTGGAACTCTTGCAGGCGGGCGAATCGATCGGGCCCCAAAAAATGGTTGGCTTCCTTTTGTGGTTCCCTTAAGTACCAACTCAAGGGAAGTCTACATTATTTTACTTGTTTTTAAGACACAGTGTTTCCTTCTTTTGTTTTAACTTATGGAGATGTTGGTTTCCTCTCTAAGGGAGTGGCAAGTCCCTGCCACAGCAACAGTATATACTTGGTATCAGCTCGTTTCATGCTGGAACGCCCTTGTCCGTTTTGAAACGCTCTAAGCTTTAGAAGAGGCCCTGTCCGTTGGCAGAAAAACAAGGGTGCCCGTGTTGTTTGCCACCAACTGGTGGTAAAGAACTTGTTTCATTGAACCTAGGCCTAATTGAAGCGATCATCTCAAGCTCAGGAAGAACCCAGCGTGTGGGGAATGTTGCAATCAAGGCATGGCACCTAGTTTTATCACTTGAGCCACAATCAACACCTGGGTAGATGAAGGTTAATAAGGGATAATCCCAACCATAATAGCTACGGCCGCCTTCTAAATTCTTCATATGGTTCTGGGTAGACCATTTGCGTACCGGGTTTTGAGTATGCCTCACTTGGCTACTCAAACAGATATGAGCGCTAGTGCGCCTTGCGGTTGACACATCGGATCGACGCTTCATGGAGCCTGGTGCCATGTTTTCTTGGCACACCAAGTCGAATAGAATTCACGGCTTCCCCGGCAAATCAACTGCCAAACGAGGTCTAATTGATGTATGCTGCTGCCTGTATCTATATGTCTATACATATTTGTATCAATATATCTACCAACCTACGTTTAGAGACGGAGCATTGAGCGAGCAAAGTTTCAGCAGTTGGCCTGGCCTTGATCTTCAGGAGTCTGAAGAAGGCATCAGCAGCACATCGCCTATGCGGAGGCAAGGGAGGGTTCCCGTTCTCAGGGTTCCACTTTTCCCCAAGATAGACTTAAACCCAGGGGTTCTCCTTTTGGGGGCATGAACCACCCCTGCGTTTAAGTCTACCCTGGGGTAGTCAAAAAGTGGAACCCTGCCCGTTCTACTACCACTCAAAGGGTGGGTTTTACGCAATGTTTGAGACAACTTCAAGTGAGTGTCGATTCGTGGTGCCGTTTTTACAGGCGCACTATAGGACCTTGGAAACTTATGGAAAAAAAGAAGACAAACACATGGGGAGCAACAAAAAGTAGCGCAGTAGCCCCACACATGGGGATAGTGTTATACCCTGGTCATTGGTACTCTCGGCTTTTGTGCTTCATTGGCATTTGGAGAATCCCAACGTAGCTCTGAAGGCTCCCGGGGCACTTTTGGACGTCTGCTATGCTTGCGGACCTACAAAAAGGCTTCCCCGTGACTGGCAAGCTGATGAACCTGGGGGGCAATGCCATAAACTGCCCCATTTCTGCTCATGAATGTGTTCAGATGGCACCCCGTTTTGTGAGCCCCGTACAGATGCAGTTTTGAGGGTCGCTACTGTGTGGGACAGTTAGTCTGAGGGTTTTTGTATTACACACTGTGATTACACTTGGGAAATGACCCAGAATGGTTCAAAATAACACGGTTTTAGCCGGAAATTGCCTAAATGGGGTCAATACCCAGTGGGTGTATTTGCAGGGTGTAATACAAACACTCTTAGAGTTAGTTTGTTCGTCTTGGTTGCTACACGGTCACTCAGCCTTGGCCTCAAGTTACCGTCATAGACACCGCTTCCCTCAGCCAAAGGTTCCTTTTCAGGTTGATCACATGTCGATACCTTGAATCCTGTCACATGTGCCCGGCAGCATTTGATTCTATCTCATAGGAACCTGTTTTGGATGGTTTCAAAAGGGGAACCAACAGGAAACCAGCCAAAATGGAGAGAGTTGCTTTCCTCGCAGCTTGTTGACCCTTGCTCTCGATTCTGGCGTTATGAACATCAGAGGTTTTGTCCAGAATTCCACCCTTCCCTTACCACCCCTTGCAGAATGGTGTGTATGCCTCATAGCGACTACATTATAGCGATGAACCGTGCCACCATTTTTTACCTGCGGTACAGGTTTATGTCTGATGAACACTTAGATGCTTTGCGCACCTACTACAAGAATGCTTCCCTGAGACTGGCAAGCTGATGAACCTGGGGTGAAATGCCATAAAATGCCCCATTTCTGCTCATGAATGTCCCCAGATGGCACCCCGTTTTGTGAGCCCCGAACAGAGTTCCCATTGTTTCTGACCTCCAATCAACCGACCAAAAGCAAACTCACTTTACATTGATCCAGGTGTTGTTTCACACCCCCTAAGCGTAAAAACGACAATTATCCAGCCAAATCAAGAAAACATAATGTGACAGCGCCAGCAAAATGCTGATTTTGTTGTTCCAACATGGACAAACAGGTGGCCTTTTTGGTTGTTTTGCTCGAAAAATAGCTGGGTTTCCCTGCTTTACCTGGTTGTTGTTTTTTCATCCACCAGGGAAACCCATCTATTTTCCCGAAAAGGAATGGCTATGGCGACTCGCTTCACCCAATTTGAGGGCTACCCCGTTCCCAGCTTCGCGCGACCCGGGCGCGCGAAGGCGGCCCAGCGACCCGGCGCCCCGGGTTCCGGTGGAGTCCTGGCAGAGCGCCGGCCTCGAGTCGAAGAATCGAAGGGGACTCGCCTGGTGAGATATATACATATACAAATGTATGCATGTAATGTATGTATGTATGTATGTATGTATGTATGTATGTATGTATGTATGTATGTATGTATGTATGTATGTATGTATGTATGTATGTATGTATGTATGTATGTATGTATGTATGTATGTATGTATGTATGTATGTATGTATGTATGTATGTATGTATGTATGTATGTATGTATGTATGTATGTATGTATGTATGTATGTATGTATGTATGTATGTATGTATGTATGTATGTATGTATGTATGTATGTATGTATGTATGTATGTATGTATGTATGTATGTATGTATGTATGTATGTATGTATGTATGTATGTGTATGTGTATGTGTATGTGTATGTGTATGTATGTATGTATGTATGTATGTATGTATGTATGTATGTATGTATGTATGTATGTATGTATGTATGTATGTATGTATGTATGTATGTATGTATGTATATGTATGTATGTATGTAATGTATGTATGTATGTATGTATGTATGTATGTATGTATGTATGTATGTATGTATGTATGTATGTATGTATGTATGTATGTATGTATGTATGTATGTATGTATGTATGTATGTATGTATGTATGTATGTATGTATGTATGTATGTATGTATGTATGTATGTATGTATGTATGTATGTATGTATGTATGTATGTATGTATGTATGTATGTATGTATGTATGTATGTATGTATGTATGTATGTATGTATGTATGTATGTATGTATGTATGTATGTATGTATGTATGTATGTATGTATGTATGTATGTATGTATGTATGTATGTATGTATGTATGTATGTATGTATGTATGTATGTATGTATGTATGTATGTATGTATGTATGTATGTATGTATGTATGTATGTATGTATGTATGTATGTATGTATGTATGTATGTATGTATGTATGTATGTATGTATGTATGTATGTATGTATGTATGTATGTATGTATGTATGTATGTATGTATGTATGTATGTATGTATGTATGTATGTATGTATGTATGTATGTATGTATGTATGTATGTATGTATGTATGTATGTATGTATGTATGTATGTATGTATGTATGTATGTATGTATGTATGTATGTATGTATGTATGTATGTATGTATGTATGTATGTATGTATGTATGTATGTATGTATGTATGTATGTATGTATGTATGTATGTATGTATGTATGTATGTATGTATGTATGTATGTATGTATGTATGTATGTATGTATGTATGTATGTATGTATGTATGTATGTATGTATGTATGTATGTATGTATGTATGTATGTATGTATGTATGTATGTATGTATGTATGTATGTATGTATGTATGTATGTATGTATGTATGTATGTATGTATGTATGTATGTATGTATGTATGTATGTATGTATGTATGTATGTATGTATGTATGTATGTATGTATGTATGTATGTATGTATGTATGTATGTATGTATGTATGTATGTATGTATGTATGTATGTATGTATGTATGTATGTATGTATGTATGTATGTATGTATGTATGTATGTATGTATGTATGTATGTATGTATGTATGTATGTATGTATGTATGTATGTATGTATGTATGTATGTATGTATGTATGTATGTATGTATGTATGTATGTATGTATGTATGTATGTATGTATGTATGTATGTATGTATGTATGTATGTATGTATGTATGTATGTATGTATGTATGTATGTATGTATGTATGTATGTATGTATGTATGTATGTATGTATGTATGTATGTATGTATGTATGTATGTATGTATGTATGTATGTATGTATGTATGTATGTATGTATGTATGTATGTATGTATGTATGTATGTATGTATGTATGTATGTATGTATGTATGTATGTATGTATGTATGTATGTATGTATGTATGTATGTATGTATGTATGTATGTATGTATGTATGTATGTATGTATGTATGTATGTATGTATGTATGTATGTATGTATGTATGTATGTATGTATGTATGTATGTATGTATGTATGTATGTATGTATGTATGTATGTATGTATGTATGTATGTATGTATGTATGTATGTATGTATGTATGTATGTATGTATGTATGTATGTATGTATGTAATGTATGTATGTATGTATGTATGTATGTATGTATGTATGTATGTATGTATGTATGTATGTATGTATGTATGTATGTATGTATGTATGTATGTATGTATGTATGTATGTATGTATGTATGTATGTATGTATGTATGTATGTATGTATGTATGTATGTATGTATGTATGTATGTATGTATGTATGTATGTATGTATGTATGTATGTATGTATGTATGTATGTATGTATGTATGTATGTATGTATGTATGTATGTATGTATGTATGTATGTATGTATGTATGTATGTATGTATGTATGTATGTATGTATGTATGTATGTATGTATGTATGTAATGTATGTATGTATGTAATGTAATGTAATGTAATGTAATGTAATGTAATGTAATGTAATGTAATGTAATGTAATGTAATGTAATGTATGTATATATATATATATATGCATTTATATATATGCTTATATATATATATACATGGTACACCCCCATGGACCCCAATAGGCACTAAAACCAGGGTCCATGAGACGGGGGGGGTGCATATCTATGCATAGATATACATTTGTATTAAGAGCCCATGGAACTTGGTGGGATCCCCAGCCATCCGGTACTTCCGCTTTTTAGACGTTTTGTTGGTTTAGTGGTTGGGTTGCCATTATTCAGTTGGTTTGGACAGCCCAGAGAATTCTTGTTGGGTCCCTTGATTAGCAAGAAACCAGTCGTGGTTAGTAGGGGATATGGATGGATGTGGGAAACTTTGTACCCTGATGAAGGTCATGGTTATAGTATTGAGTGACTTAGCGCCTTTTGTTGTGCTGTTAAACGATGATTTCACTTGTTTAATAGGAAATCATAATACTGCTTGGCTTACTACTTTAGACTTTAGACTTAACTTGCCCCAGCAAAGAGTTAAACCTTTCGCACAGGGGGTTCTACCCATCCAGTCTTCCATTTGCTTAAGATTAGTTTGTATTTTCCCTTGTTCGTTTCAAAGGGAATCCATCACTCCTTGAAGTATGTTCATGTTTGCAGGGGCTTGCAAATGCAAGTATTTGCTGCATGGCTTGATGGGTCCCTCAAAGTGGCCAAACGGTGTCGACCGTTTGGAGAGCTTGCAGAGTGCCTAGTGAAGGGTCAACCACACCGCTTTAGAGATAACATTAGCCCCGGTTTACCCTGTGGTTCTTTGGGGGGTTGGCAGAAACCCTCCCCCAGACTTCCAGTGTAGCAAGGCCGTTCACGAACTAGAACGGGGCTAAGTGCTTTCAAACAGGACAATCATGTGTGTTATTGAGGAATCAGGCAAACATCCGAAATGCATCTGCCTTTTGGCCGAGCTGGAGTAGAACGATCTGATCTTAGATCCCCCTGTCAGGTTTTTGGAGTTCGAGTCTTGGCAACCGAGGCTTAAGCCCTGCTCTTGATAGGGTGCCCTATGAAGAAGAGGAGTTAATAGTTGTACCTCGATTTTTAAATTCATTATATTTTATAATACTAACACCATTACTAAGACAATATAAATTAATCACATATAGTTGTTAATAATTTCCCCTTCATGGCAAACTGAATCCCACAAAGCACACCAAATCAGCACATGATGCAGACAATAGCCAGCTAATATGATCAATCGCCAAAGCTCCTGAAGCAAGGTCATGGACGGCACTTCATGGAACATGGGGGTGCGCTAGTCATTGAGCGTGCGAGGTCGTATGAAAAATGTGCTGACAGCTCGGCGCAGCTCAAATTTTGCCACTGCCTCAGCTCGGATCAGAGGAATGGCCTGCAGATCTTTACGTCTCTCTTCCAACACCGTCAAGAGGGTTCCTATTTTTTGACAGTTATTCAAAAGGTTTTCTGGGGCAACCCCATGCTCTTCACATTCCGTTGTGCACGCCAAAAAAGTCCGCGACGGGTTCGGTCGCATTCCGATTTCTCCGTGGGCGCCTGGGAGCGGAATTCCGGGGAGATGTGCCCGTCCTTTAGGACAAAGAACTGTGTCCCTGGTTCATGTAAAGACCTGTGCCCCTGGGCAAAGAACTGTTTTAAAATGTGGGGCATCCGATTTTGGACCAAATCGCCACCACGGGCCCCCTGATTCTGTCACGTCTCCAACATTGAGAGACATATCTGCATCGTGTCGAAGACAGGGGCTCTAGAAGGGTGTTTGCTGGAAAGGGTATCTCCGAAATGGTGGGCTGCGAACACGCAGGGGAGCTCTGACGGTTGGTTTCCGCCCATCCCTCGTGAGGCTTGAGGATAAGGATGCATATGTCCCATAGAGGACGAGCAATTCTCATGGATATCAAGCCCAAGCTAGGGCTTTCCATCAGACCTGAGTCCGAGTTGAGCGCTCCGGTTGCGGAATAGTTCACGAAATTTCCATCAGATTCCCGCAAGACAAAGTGCCAAAGTACATTTAGTCATGCTTGCTTGCTTTCTTGGTTGGTTGCTTGCTTGGTTGCTTGCTTGCTCGCTTGCTCGCTTGCTTGCTGGCGTGCTTCTTGCTTGCTTGCCTGCTTGCTGGCGTGCTTGCTTGCTTGCTTGCGTGCTTGCTTGGTTGGTTGGTTGGTTGGTTGGTTGGTTGTTCGGTTGGTTGGTTGGTTGGTTGGTTTGCTTGCTTGCTTGCTCGCTTGCTTGCTTGCTTGCTAACCGTGCTTGCTTGCTTGCTTGCTTGCTTGCTTGCTTGCTTGCTTGCCTGCTTGCTGGCTTGCTTGCTTGCTTGCGTGCTTGCTTGGTTGGTTGGTTGGTTGGTTGGTTGATCGGTTGGTTGGTTGGTTGGTTGGTTTGCTTGCTTGCTTGCTCGCTCGCTTGCTTGCTCGCTCGCTTGCTTGCTTGCTGGCGTGCTTGCTTGCTGGCGTGCTTGCTTGCTTGCTTGCTGGCTGGCTGGCTCGCTCGCTTGATTGCTTGCTGGCGTGCTTGCTTGCTTGCTTTGCTTGCTTGCTTGGTTGGTTGGTTGGTTGGTTGGTTGGTCGGTTGGTCGGTCGGTTGGTTGGTTGGTTGGTTGGTTGTTTGGTTGATGTACAATCCGATTAGAAGCCTTTCACCTCTTACGTGCATTGCCATGCGCCAGTATCACCCGCTAGGCCGCCCGAGACCTGAAGCGGCTGCGGAGGCCCTCAGCGTCGTAGGCGGGGGAAGCTGCGAACCAAGGCTTGGAGACTTGGCCTCAAGACTAGGGGCCGTTGTTGGGGTGGGCACGAAAACAAGACAAAGCCGCAGCTGTTTAGCACGCTGCAAAACATCGACTACTTCTTCGCCCTGACATGATGAGCAGGTGTGAATGCCAGGTTAAGGGTTGAACATTGGCTAAGGGGTTGACATGAGACTCAGTTGATAAAGATCCCTGCAACTCGGCTACCTTTCCACCTGAGCATGGCGTTCGACTGGTTGACCCTGATTTCAACAGCTTCAGAAGCAATATGATACCAAACCTCAATGCATGAACTTGCAGTTTGCATTCATGGACACCGGCTGTGCCTTGCGGTCGTGGGAGCTTCGGCTTTTGTATTCTTTGGCTTGGTCAGCTTGGTTTGGCCTTCATCAAAATCCACAGAATGGAACCACAATATTTGGTAGTTGAGCGGCTCTAAAGCGTGGAGTGGGAGTCATGCCTTCGACGACAATAAAGCACGGGTGTGTGTGTGTGTTTTTCCGTATCCGTTTCAGGTTGGTTCAAGGGAAACCAAAAGAACACTTGTTTTGGTCCCCCTATGTTGACACACACACACACATCCGCACGGCAGACAATTCAGATATCAGAACCTATGGCAAGAACCGATGACTCATGGTGGACATGTCTATAGCGCATGCATCCATTTCTGAGAGTGGGGGACATGAGTAGAAGGTGGCACGGTGAGCTGAGAGCCACGGTCCATCTGCACGTCTCAAGGGCCAAAGCTTCAGAAACTTGAGCCATTTCTTTTTCTGAACGCTGCTCGGGTCATTGAGACATTCATCGCGCAAAGCACGATTCGCCAGAGGGTGTCTTGCACGGCGTGTTCGAGAACCTGTTTTTTTTCTGGCAATCCTGCACTTGCAAACGCAAGTGGTGCGCGTACTATTGCTTCTTGACGCCTTTGCAAGCACAAGTTGCTATGCTACCCTGATTCGGTTTTTACTCCAGAATTTGCGGCGCACAAATGTGTGTGTGTGTGGGTGTTGTGCCAGGAATCATTCATGTTGGAGGTTGAACAGGCGCCCTTGTTAAGCGGATCCTGTTGGTTCCTGTGTGTGCGCCTTTTGGTTTCTGCTTAAAGGGCAGCTGAAGGGAACTCAACTGAGTGTTAAGGTCCTTTGCCGGCGCGCGCGTGTCTGTTTTATGGTTTGTGTGGGACTGTGATGTGTGTGTGTGTGCGTATCTGTGTGTGTGGTGTGTGTGGTGTGTGTGGTGTGTGTGGTGTGTGTGGTGTGTGTGTGTGTGTGAGTATCGGCATTTGCCCGACAGGGCCAGAGCCATTGGCTTGGTAAGAGTAACTTTGTTTGGGCCGGTTTGGGAACCAAAATATATCAAGCATATCATACCTGGAACCAAAACACACAGAACAACTGCCCACTGACCTCGGTAAGTGCCCACTGACCCTGCTGCTGGGTGACTCCTTTCGTTGCCCCCCCGCCAAACAAAAACGTGGTTTTTCTTCGGGGACGACATCGAGCCTCAGCGTGAGATATCTTCCAAAGCTGCATTTGCATCGAAAGAAGAAACGGTTCCCAACTGGGTGCCAAATTGAGCAGTGCGATAAAAAGCAAAAATACCCTTCCCCGGTGGGTTCCTTTTCTGAAAATTCAAAACTCAAGAGCTATTTGGCTCCAGGTTTTGGTTCCAGGTTTGGTTTCAGGTTTTGGTTCCAGGTATGTTTCAGTTTTTGGTTCTGCTTGAGTTCTGCTGGTTCCTGAAAGTCTGATTTGTAGACAACAAGCTGTGATTTGCCGGTGGGCATGGCGTTTTCGGCCGATCGATTTCTTGGACCCCGCGGTAGGGCTTTCTCCTGGGCTTTTGGACTCAAGCGAAGATTATTCCTATGGGTATGTGTCAAAATAGGGAACCCAACCCACCCACCCCAAAAAAACACAACATAATCTAAAAACGGGAAAAACAAGTAAATATCAAATAAACAGAGACAAGCATACGAAGGATATTGAAAGGCAAGCATGCTTGGTGTTGGTTTCCCCTGAAATTAACCTGAAAAGTTGGTACCCTGAAAAAGGCACATACCTGCGGCAAAAGAGGACCACCCTGAAAAGCGCAAAGCACAAGGGGCCAGTGCCACGCCTCTGCCGTCTGCCAGGCTGGTTTCGGCTGAGGCCGACCCATTTTTGAAGCTAGACAAATGCAGCATCTCTCTATGAGACCTGGGTGTGGCATTTGAGGGCAGCCTTGGATAGTTGTTGTTTTGGATGTTTTTTTTGGAGACAAAAGCCAACGGATGGTTCCCTTAGCCAACCCTCATCCATTTGCGATGCCTCATGAGACAGACCCAGATGTGCATTTGTGTTTGAGCCCTAAAGGGGCAAGGTTTAAAGTTTCCGGAAGCTCGCGGCACAGGATGAAGCAGCTGGCAAACTTTTGTGGGGCCATGGGAGGCGGGCTGAACTGGCTGAATTTGTGGGCCAAATGAATCTGTTTATGGGACTGCAACCTTTGGCCATTTGGGGTTGTCTCCAAATAGGAAGCACTCAAAGTTGGTGGTTTGCGGTACCTCCAAAAAAGACGAGCCCATTTCGCCTATCGCCCGGGCCACAGCCTGATTGCTTCAAGTCTTGCCAAGTGGACCTTGCAAGGCCAACCTGATGCTCCCTCCCATGCAAACCGGGCGAGAGGTTTAGGCAAGCATGCGCGCAAGCGATGAATTGGGCTGACTGCAATAGCCATTGGTCAAGCAACCCACGTTGCAGGAGCATGTAGATTGATTGTGAATTTCCTCCAGATGGTCTGAACCACCCTGGGAAATGGGAGCGTAATGCCATTGCTCAAGGCATGTTGACAGTGACTTCATCCAGATGCTTTTGCTCGACTCTGCTCCAATTGCCAGGATGCCAATGTAAAAGGGGAGCAGTTTCATGTCCAAAACCTCTGTGCTGGGTAGGGTTACATCACCAAGACCAGCCAAAGGCTGTCTTGCGATGTCTTGAGCATCTTCGGGTCTTCCAATGACGGCACACATTGTTGTTTTATCAAGAAAAACATGAGACACGGTCACACTATTGGTTTACCTAAACAAGTAGTTTGTCATAAGGGGATGACCATGGCTCGTATGCTATTTCAGTCAGAAAGCCGTGGGTTTCTTGATCGACGCGGCCGGACTTGGCCCACACCCTGAAGGGAAACCCTGGTCAGGGATTCTCCTTGTTCAGCCCCAGTGGGGTCGAGAGACGTTTATTTGAACCGCAATACATCCTCCTTCAAGGTCGATGCTCGCTGGCGCCAGATGGAAGTGGCTTCCCTTATGATTTTTAGCGGATCACGGCAAATTGGATTGGGTATCCGGGACCCTTTGAACAACCCAGATATCCGGGGATTTGAATCGCCGAATCGCCTTGGAAGACTTTGCTGCTAGCTTGCGACTCGATTGCCTCCGACAGTTCACGCAGCTTCGGGGAGACTGAATCCTTTATCCCAAAGCGCAGGAGTTTGCCGATATTCCAAATGAACAGATGTGTCGGTTTTCAACTTGACCCAGCCAGAAGCCTATCAGATCCTGGTAACGCAAAGTGGGAGGCGTCCTTTGAAGTCTTTTGGCTTCGCTTTGATTTCGCAAACAGAACCGATCCAAAAACTCATAGACCCACGCAGGTTCCAGAAGTCCAAATCAACTCTAGAACATCAAGCAAGAAAAGACGCAACTTGACAACAGAAAACCAAGAAACGTGAAGTAGACAACACTAAAGACGCAACATGTCCGAAAATCATGGTTGTTCTTGAACATGTCTTGGACTTGATTGGATTTTGCGGGTTGTTTGTGACTTTTCGCGAGCTTGTTTTGAATCTTGATCCTGCTTGATGAATAGAGAAGCAAATACTCCACAAATTATCATTAAATAGATAGACAGATAGACAGATAGACCGACTGATAGACAGATACACAGACAGAGAGACAGAGACAGGTGTTCACCACTTATTCATAGTTGCTGAAACCACTCAAAACATAAACATATTCAAAGCAACTACATTCAGGCAGGATTTGTCAGTCCAAATCAACTTTAGAATGCAACACACGCAATGCAAATCTTTGCAACAGGACGCAACAGCCCCAACCACCTGACCCCCTCCTCCCAAAAAGAACACACAGAAAAACAAGTACAATATGTCAACAGCCATGCTTGCCTGCGGAGCATTGGATTGGACTCCCCTCAAGTTCTTCGGGTAGGTGTCTGATCCTGCGAGTGTGTGCCTCGTTTGCTCGGGTTTTCGCACGGTTTGCTTCGGGGTTTGACCAGAGATGCCTTCCGTTTCCCCGCTGGCGCTGCGTGGGCTGCTGTCAGTGGGCTTGCCTGGCCAAGGTAGAGCCTGACGCCAGGAATTGGAGCCTGCAGTTTGGAGAGTGACGCCGGACTGTGAGGTGCTGCACTCGTTTGGTTTCTCCTTGGCGGAGGTCCGTGACACCAGGTACTCAGCGCGAGGAGCAACATTTGGAGTATGGCTGCGGCGTGCGGTTTCCTACTTTTTCCCTCCAAGCGCCTCTTTGTTGTGACATTCTGCGCGCTCAACGCACGGTTCCTGTGCAACTGACTCGAGCCCTATGGTTGACAAGTCTGACCAAAGCTGTCAGAACCCAGCACTGAGCACACCGCGCATTGCATGTCAAGCACGGATCATGCTAGAGAATACCCATAGCTTTAGCCAGTGCAGAGTTTCGCTTGCAAAGGAGCCTAGAAGGAAGGCGTACGCCTCCCCATAATTAGCTCCCTTTTTGTTTTTTCCCCACTAACCAGGCAAAGAAGATATATTTTTTGCTGGGGTCCTAATTCCAGCCTAGTAAGCACATGTCTAAACGCGACTGAGCTGCTGGAGGAAGACTATTGCGTGTCTTACCGTAGCACTTCCGGACGAAATTTCTCAGCCGCGTTTGCGGAAGAAAGAAAGTGATGGCTTTGAATAAACCGCCGGCGGTTCCGGCGGGGCGGCTGCGCGTGGGATACTTTGGCTCTTAGGACTTGCGTCCGGCGCAAGTGGGTTCGAAGATGTGAAGCATTGGGCCAGCCCAAAGTTCTAGCTGGTTGAGCTACTTGCAGGCTGCATATGGCTGTGGGTCAAACTCAAACCACTAGGGGACCGCAGGTGTTAGTCCATGTTTCCATTTACCAAGGTTCCATTTTGGGGTTACCCTATTTTTGACCCACAGCCATATTATTGTGTCTATGGTGCCCATCCAGTTTGCCAGAGAGAAAGAACAAAACTCAGTGGATCCCAGACAAGCCACGGTAGGTAATCAGCAAATCGGCAGTTTTCTTTTCAGTTTTCAAAGGGTCGTTACCTTGGTCGCCTGCTACTGGGAGGTATGAAGTTTTTAAAGGGTTACTTTGGTTACCTGCTACACAGGAAAATGGAATCACTGGGAGGTATGATATTCAAGACATCAGATTGGTACAACTCGTTTTAGCAATGCTCAGCTAATGCGCCCTTTCCAAAATGGAGGACTGTTTTTTTTGGGGGGGAGATTCCTTTTTTTTTTTCGGACAGAGTCCGTGATCTTGAGAGAGCCGTATGCTCCTTACTCTTATGGATTTGAAACGGACGGGCCTTCCCAATTGTTCAACGGCCTCTGCGGCACAAGTACGATTGTCATTCATTCACATGTTTAATTGCGCTGATTCGCCAGGGACGCAGGCCCGGCGCATGCCTGGTAGCTGCGACGTTCAGAAAGTGTGTTTATATTATGATTTTGGTAATTATTATTATTATTATTATTTCAATGTCTTGTCTGCGAAGAAGGCAAACTTGTATTTTTAATGCCCTCTACATGGTGGTAGCAAAGAGCACCATTACAGTGCTTTGTGACATGGCTTATCCCACCTCCTGAAAGGACTTTTCAGCTTGGGAAGACTGTTTTGGTGGCATAAGAGTTCCGACTTTCCCGGAAGTGAGTAAATTTGGGGGGACTTTTCCTGGAAGTGAGTGGGGTACCTGCAGATTGACAGAGAGCTGTCATTTTTTCTTGCCTCGCCCGTCCTCTTAACCGCAAAGGGGTCTTTCGATCCGCTGCCCGCGGCTCCATCGAAGGTTGGGGGTGGCGGACCGGCGCCGCTTAGGCGAAGGGTTCTCTTTGGGGACACTTTAAAGGGACGACCGGAGATCTGGGGGGATCGGCTAGGCACAGCCACATGGGTATGTCGTCAAACATAGGAATCGGAGGAATGACAAAGGGTGGTCTCCTTTTGGATTCCCTCTAAACCCAACCCCAAAAGAGGAGTTGCCCTTCTCCAATTTGCCCCAAGCTCAGCTTCTGACCTTTTTGCTTCCCATGTTTTGTGGCACCAAACCCAAACGGTTCACCGTGTGGGTCCAAACCTTTTTGCCTGAGAGCTATGGCTCGGCTCGAAAATCTGCGCGAGTTCCGAGGTCTTGGTGTCTCTGGGCGGGGATGACCATTCCATCTGCCAGTGGTCCCTGCAGCCGGAGGGTCTGAAGCTCGGGGGCATGTTGGGCGGGGGGTGGGGGGGGGATTCTGGAGTTCTCAAAGAGCTCTCCTATGGCTGAAATATCCCCACCACATTATATAGGGTCCGCAAAATCTGAATCATATCGGTCCTTTTTAGGGTGAGTTTGGTTAAGAATCGACGGGTTCCTCTGGTTTAGATGGGGTGTCTTCCATTTGCCAGGACCATCTATTTTTAATTTTCCAACCGGGCGATATGAATGGTTTTTCAGACCCTTGAACATGGTTGGCTGCATGAATGCTCTCCGTAAATGTCCCCCAAGACATGTCCAGTTCTCCGAGGAAACCAAAGCGGGGTGGAGGCCGTTTTTCAGTTTGGCCGTTTGCCGTTTGGTCGAGCGAGCGGTTCAATCCCGGGGCTCCGAGCGAGTGGAGCGAGCCGCGCGCATGTCTTTCAGCTTGGGGTTTGACAGACAGCACAATGATGTGCGTGTGGCAGGTGTTTAAGCGCATGCCAACAAAAGCAACCTATTTGTTTGGAGAGCGAACAAAAAGTGGATGAGTTTATTGAATGTTGCATGTATTACATGTTTACCAGTTCAACAGGCCAGGGCGTTCAACGCAAGACGACGTGCAAAACCGATGAGCCTTTGTTCGTTGGCTTGAGTGATTCCCCCCTCTCATTCCTCTATTTTTCACGAACAAGAGCTCTTTGCCACAGCTGCCAACAGAGCACAGACACTGGATGGCAATTTGCCGAACATGTCATGTTCTGTGTGTGGTACTGCTGCTGTATGCTGCCGTCGCAAAGGCACGGGGGATTCAGATACAATGATCTTTCCAGCTCAGACTTTTCGCAAGGTGGGGCATTCATCAGGCATCAGCAGAAAGGCATCCAAAAGGTGGGTCTTGCCTTAAACACATCCCCGTGTTTGAGCCACTGGTATTGTTACGAACCCCTTAAAAAGGATGCTTCGAACAGCATGTTGCTGTATGCTTATCGCGACATGGGTTATCAAGCGCGCTTTCGAAAAGACGCCGACGGTATTGAAGACCCAAAGTGGGTTTGTCTCAAAATAGACACAACCTCCCCAAAATGGTTGGTCGCCTTTTGGTTTCCCCTTAAAACCGCCCGCCCCCTCCCCAAAAAAAAGGCTTCCCCAAAAAAACGGCCAACCCCTGCCAGTGCCTTGCCGCCCAAAACCCAAGACTCGAGGTGGAAAAGCGCGGCAGGAGACGGTGATTGCGCATCCGTGCCCTCCTCAGGGCGACGATATTCTTGCGTGGCACTGGGGGATTCTACAGATGTGCCACCACAACAAGGAGACTCCTCCAAACACGATCTTTTTTGAGTTAATCTGCAGGTGTTCTAATTTAATCTGTAGGTGTTCTAATTGGTGGCCAATTCCCACTACAAGTACTTGTAGGTAGTAGGTAGCCAACACGTGCTCGACTTTGCTTTCAAAGGTGGCTCTCTTGATTACCTGCCGCACTGGCAAATGGAATCGCTGAGTGTATGAACCGCAGCGGAAAAAAAGGGGATTTTAAAGGACTCTGAAACTTTGAATCTCGGAGGATACAGTGGCTTACTTCGAGGTCGCCTGTTAGTGCAAATGTTTCTTCATCGATGGTCTAGTTTTACCAAAGCATGTTGAGCTGGTGTTGATCGTTGCATCGGTGGGTCTTGCCAATCCAAGCCTCCCGATTTGGTTTACGATCCAGAAAGATCGCCAGATAGAAGAGGCATGCCCACAACATTGCCTTGGACATCGTTTATGTCAACCATGTTCAGCCTGTGTTCAACCATGTTTCAAGCAATATTCACCATTATCATTCCCATTTGTCAGCCTCATTTTCGGAAACACCCCAGGGTGTGTGTGTGTGTGTGTGTCATTTCGTTGCTTGGTACCCTTTCCGCGTATGGGTCAAAATTGGATTCACCAGGAGTGACGTCAGGTTTTCGCCAGGGCAACCCATTTTGGGGTTGACCACCCTGGAGTGACGGGTTTTCTTGAGGGAAGCCATAGGAACCCGGTCAGGTGGACTCAACTGGAGGGCTCCGAAGCGTGGGGAGCCGAGCGCCGCTCGCGAAAGGGGCGTCAGAAAGCCGAGCCAAAAAAAACACGAGGCTACCAAGGTCCCCCAGTAGTGCCCTTTTACCAACTTGTTTGGGGGAGGGTTCCCCTGCTAAATAGACTACAAGAAAAAGGGGACCCTGATTCTAACCTCTCTACTGGAGGACCTAGTAGGGCTAAAGATCATCGTAGATAAGTTAATCAGATAAGCCTGAAGCGACTACAAAGGGAGCACGCCATGTCAGGAACCTTTATGGGTGAGCTCGGCGGAAAAGACAAGAACGGCGCAAACCGTGGAGCTCGTGGAACGCATCATCTCCAGAAATCAAGAAGCTGAGGAAACGACCACCACCCCTAAAAATTCGGAGGTTCAGACATGAAAAATCAAGGCGCCCCTTAACTCTCCTGCGGATTCAACCATTGCTTTTCCGAGGACATGTCCTTTGTTCCATACGGGGTGTGCTTTTCCCTCCACAAGAGGTTCCTTTAAACTGTCTGTGAAAAGGCTTCCGGGCCAAAGTTCTGCGGAGAGTATGTGCCATGTTCGAACGACCTGCGTTTGATACAGCCAGAGCTTGGAAGTTGTGCAACACGATTCGACTACGGAGTCTGGAACATTCCACACACGCGCACACACACACACACGCGTTGTTTTTTAGTATATATATATATATACATATACACATACATATATACACATATATGCCAGAGCCGGCAAGGGCTAGCCCTTGCTGTTTCTAGGGAAGAGACACCTCTGCCCAATCCTCTCGGGTGAAGTGTCCCGGCCTTGCGGCCCACAAATGTCCTGAGTCCACAAAGATGGCAACTTGTTCATGTGCAGCATAGGCGGAACCCCAAAACACGGGGACGGCTTTCCAACTTGAAACCAACCGAACAAGTTGGCCGAGCCTCAAAAATAGATGAAGCTTCTAAACCAGACACACCAACACACAACCATTAAGAGTTGTACTTTGGTGCATTTTGCTTGGCTGTTAGGACTTTAACTTTTTGCCAACTACTTGGTTTTCCACTAAACCACCAAAAGTTAAACTTTTAGCAGGGGAGCAGAAAGCAAGCGAGTGTATGTATGTGTATATAGATACATATGATATATGATACATACCCATATAGGAGCATGATCATATAGAAAACATATATATAATATAATATACATAGACATACATACATGTGCATACATTTATTTTGTATAAGCTCACCACCACCCCTGAGAACTAGCTTGCTACCTTTCCACATCTTCTCATCTACTACCTCCGCCTTCCTCGATAGAATGGATTGCACATTTATCTGGAATTCTGGCATAATGTCATAGGGGACACTCGATTAGATTTGTTTTTGGAGATAGAACTTAATATTTTGACATTTGAGCCATTGTCTTTTTTCATTTTGGACGACCTGAGGTCTAGAACTTGGACAGCTGAACCCTTGCCCGAAGCCTCAAAATCTGAAGCATCAAATTTGGAGCCCAGAGTCCTCCAAAATGTCGAGATATGAATTCCTTTCCAAATGGGATGTCAATTCACATTCATTTGAAATGAATATAATTGAATAAGGAAAACATTTCTGCGTTCAATCAGAATTGAACTGGGCTTTCCATTTCAATTAGGGCTGAAACCAAGTTTTAAGTACAATCGAATCTAAACGTAGTTCGAAAAAAAGAAAAGAACAAAAGGTCAGATAGCCTCCACATCCCAAACTAAGTCTAATTAAGCCACCAACGGAGCTCAACTCTGGATCCCAAGCTTACTTACCCGATGGCACGTGTTTAGTCCCCTGCAAGGAGCCTTTTGCCTTAGGCGCTGGTTGCGGTTGCGTGCTTGGCTTCCTGAAGCAAGCAATGCGCTACAGAAAGGCCGGACGACGCCGTCCATAGGGAGTGTCACAAACTAATGTCACGAAGCGCGCTTGGTGGGCTGTGCAGCTTTGCCATTTAGGTTTTCTTGAGTGGTGTCCAGGTGGTCAGGATGGAAACGATGACGAAATTGGGAGGCAGCTTGAGCAAGCAAGGAAGTCCGACGCCAGTTTTAAGTGGGCTGCAGCATCGCGCACAGCTTCTTCAATAGGCTCACCGGCAATGAACGTCGGGCATGTCTGCTGCAAGCCTGGCCTCCCTCCACTATCTTTTGCCTTACCGCTAGCTCGGGCTTGACATTGTCCAGCGTCTGTTCTCTGCCGCGACGCCTCCTTTTTGACAGCTGGTCGACTTCCCTCGGCGACTGGGGATTGCAAGCTTGTAGCTTTTTCCCTTTTGGGAGTTTTTGTGCTGAAGTCCACATCACCATGCTGACAAGACTGAAGAACGCAGAAGTTGGGTGTTGTTTTAGCTGCAACCAAACAAAACCATGCTAAACCTCTGCGCAAGTAATAGTAAGCTCAGCCGCAGCCGAGGCACAAGGCAGCAAGTTCGAAATAACGAGGCGAGGTGCGAGGTGCGAGGTGGAGATTTGAGAAATTAAGCTTTCAACCCATTTTCGGGTGGACTTCAGCTCCAGTTCGCCAGCAAAATCAGAAATCCCTATGAAAGAAACCTTGGGTGACGTCAAATTTGCCCCACTTGCTGGTACCTGGCAAAGGCTGCCCCTTCATCTGAAGGCCGCCGCTCTGGAAAAGGGCGTCTGGCCAGACCTGTGGTGAAACAGCAATGCTTGGCCTTAGCGTGCTGTCGAATACGTGCTGGGCCTGGACACAAATCCAGCACGCTTCCCCGCGTGTTGAATGGCTTCAGGCCCGTTCCCTCTTGTCCACCTTCAGCACGTCCTTTTTCGTATTTGACATGAAGCGCGTGGATGAACTCCTTGAACACCTGACCCTGTGAATGAGGAGTGCCTCGTTTGCCCATTTACCTTCCGCACGCCCTCAGTTCGTGGTTCTGGCGGCGAGTGATCACGTGGAGGGCCAGCGCCTGATCTAATCCGAGCTGGCAGCCCGGGCCGACGGCCCAAACGCGGATAAGCTTGCGCATGGCAGGCTGCACCCGGAGGAGGGGAAAGGATGCACATGCGCACACATATGTAACGCCGCATGGCGAGCGATGGCGGCCGCCGATGCAGTCGGGCTATTTCCGGCTTGAGGGCTTGGTGACGCGGACCCTCACGGATTGGCTCTCCGAGACGGTGCTCGATCCTGCCACGCGGAGGCTCCTAGTCAAGGCTGACACGTCCGTGCCACATTCTCTTACCTGGCTAGGCCTGTGTGTGTGTGCTTGCCTTGCGTTGCAGGTTTTGACATTTTTCGGGTCGGATGACGTGCCCTTCTTGCCATGGGCTCCACATGCGGTTATCTTGCTTACCCGGCCTTCCATTGCAGGGTAGGCGGCGCCTCTCTTTGCGCGTTGCTTGATGCCGGAAACTGATTCCTTGGCTTCTTGCTTTTTGCTTGTGCTCATCGCCTCCCATTCTGTTGTCATCGCCTTCCGCTGGAGAAACTGCCTCTTTGTGCGTTTGCATTGAAGTTATGGCTCTCGTTCACCACCTTCCGTTGTGCTTGCCGTTTTGCATTTCGCTTCCAGCTCTCGTCGAGGCCAGAGCCCATCGACTTGACTGCGGATGAGCCTGCCTCGGAGGTGCCGGAGCCTTCTGCACCACCTCCACCACAAAGGAAGGCCAGCCTCTTGGCGGCCCTAGAGAAGCTGGCTCCGGACTTGAGCTTCGTGGCCTTGCAGTTGGACTTGGACGAGGCGGCGCTTGCAGGGCTGGTGGCATTGACCTCTCGCAGCGCCTTGGGAGCGCTCCTCGGGCACGAGATAGCATCAAGCCACAGCCATGAAGGTTTGCCACCGCCTACCAAGAGTGTGATATTTGCATGCTTGGTGCTGTGCGCCTTTCAAAGTCATGGGCCATGAAGGTTTGCCACCGCCTTCTTGGTGCTGTGTGCCTTTCAAAGTCATGGGCCATGAAGGTTTGCCACCGCCTACCGAGAGTGTGGCTTCGCGTAATTCGCTAAATGGATTTACCACCCCGCCTCGTCAGTTACACTCACCAAAAAACACGCCTTGTACGTGCCCATGCCGGTAGAGATTCTCGGCACGCACTAAAATGCGAGCGCAGAAAGACACCCTCACAGTTGAAACCCGCGGCTACTTTGGAGGGGTGGAAAATGGGTACTGGGTAGAATGCTGTCACACCCAAACACTGACTGGACTTCTCATCTTTGGATCTGCAGTGTCCCTACCTTTCAGACGACCGTACAGCTGATTTCGTTGCCAGTCAACAGAAAAGGAGGCATGGATGATTCACAACCTGAAGCATTGCGCTCAACACCAAAAAATGGCCTGGGTACGTGCGTTTGGGGCAGGCTAGGTGTGGAGAGAAACCCTAGGAGCCCTTTTTGTGGTTCGCTTTGAAGGGAAACCAAAAGGAAGCCAAACCATTCACCAACTTCCGTTAATTTCTAAGATGTTTGAAGGGCACGTGGGTTTTGTTTGTGGTGCGAGGGGCGGGGGGTTTAAGTGGGGAGGGGCTGGTGGGGCGCAGCAGCGCAGCCAGCGCAGTTGCACGCAGCATAGGGGGCGGACCTGCGACCATAAATTTTGGAGCGCCAGCCTTGCTGTTTGGCGTCCTTGAAAGGGACACGGATTGGTGGCTTGGATCTGAAACAGATTCTGGCCAGCAGCAAAGAGGAATATAATTCTTACATGATCCCAACTCAAGTCCCCAGGACAGCCCAGAAAATGATGGAAGGTGAGATGAGTAGCAGAAACCATGTTCCCCACGAACAACATCTACTAGCGGCCCAAGCCCACAAAGTGCTGGTGCTTGGCTATCTTCACTGCGCCATGCTGGTTGGGTAATCTGCGGAGCCGGACTTCTCGGACTTCTCCCCACGAGCCGCTCCCTAACACATCCTCCATCATCTCGTACTTCATCTTCATCAACGTAGGAACTGAGCCATCTGGTGTCGCCTTGTCCTTAGCCACGCATGCTCAGCGCGCGTGTTCACAGCATCAGCACAGCCCAATCGTTCAGTACAGGGCATTATCTTACAAAGGAGGAAGCCTTAGCAGAAACGCCCCAAGCCCACGGACAACATCTAGCGACTCCGGCAAGGGAAGTGGTGTCATAAGTTGCACACACACACACAAAGACACGCACAAAAACCGCATGATAGCCCACATTGGGCATCATAGTTACTGGTAGGTGTGTAAATTTTGGGGGTACTTGCCGCTCTGACGCACGGCTCACGCAAATATGTAGAGCGGAAGTAGTTCACAGCAGCGGGTGTCCATAACACAACGAAGCACGCATACACATCTACCCATATGTGTGTACATGTATAAGAAACACATTAATATGTGCATTACATATACACATATGCGTGTGAGAGTGTGAAATTTGAGGCCAACTGACCGCTTTGCCTTCCTGGGCCGGGATGAGAGGCGCCGTTCGGCTCGGGGGCACTCCGGCGTTTGCTGGCGGGCAAAACGTTCAGTTGGACACCCCACCTGAAACGGTGAATCTTGGGTTCTCTAGATCGGCAACCCAAAGCAGTTGGTTACCCAAGTGCAAATCTGAAAAGGGTACCAGCTCCAGAGCAGACACTCACGTTGCAATTCTTCCACGTGGCTATGCTTCAGAATGGGCGGCTTAGTGCTGGCCAGCGCCAACGTCACACCAACCAATGTCGACTTTGAATTGATGATAATGACCCCAGACAAAATGAGAGTCAAAGCTCAACTTAGTGGCTGGTTCCTTCCCCAAGAAAGCGGATTCCCTGTTAGCGCAACATGGCCTTCCAAGAGTCTGCTTGCATGGTTGTCGGGCGTGTGTTTTGACATTCCCTGGCGCAGGCCGCCAACACCAGAGACCAGGCTCGAGAAAATGTGCCGGTGTTTAAAAAAGCGCTGTGCAAAACGGGTTTACGCAACCAGTTGGGTGTTTATATTTGTTTGTGTTGTTTTGTTTTGCTTTGCTTGCCTGCCTCCTTGCCTGGCTGCCTGCCTGCCTGCCTGCCTGCCTGCCTGCCTGCCTGCTTGCTTGCTTGCTTGCTTGCTTGCTTGCTTGCGTGTGTGTTTGTCGCCCTTGCAAGGTTGGTGTTTAAGAGAAACCGACAAACACATGATGTTTAAGGTCCCCCTAGTCTAAGACAAACGGAATTTCCATATCAGGCCGTATCTCCCTTGACTGCGGAGGGGCCAATCTGCGGCTGACCACACTCTTTGACACAACCACACACCTATAACAAGCCTTGTTTTTCGTTTAGGATAGTGGGCACGTGGTGAACTCAGCCAATGAGAAGCCACTTGACACTAGTGTGGATTGCTGGCCCTTTGGTCTAGCAGTTGGTTGTGTGGTGAGTAGTTATGACCCGGGGGGAGAGAAGACCCAACTTCAGGTTCTTGTTTCTGTTTACAGTATGTCATTTTACATACAAGCATTCTGATCAGGCATGTTCTTCATGTTTTTGTGGTCTGTCTGCGCTCCGAGATTTCAAACTGACACAAGTAGAAGTACTCTGCCAGTTGTTTGTGTTGGGCATCTATCATTCATTCACGTCAGGGAGGGTATGCCATGCCATGTCTTGGAGGGATGCACAGGAGGTGGCGGGAGGTGGGAGAAAGCAAATCGGAGAAGATGGGGGCAATTGGGGAAGGGATTTCGTCTATTCCAACGTCAAACCAGTTTGTGCTCAACTTGACCCCAGATGCAACTCTGACACCTCGAATGTCCGGATCAGTGTGATCAACACTTGCAGATTTGATTGCAGATTGCCCACCAGGCTGCTGAAAGCACTTTGATTTGCATCAACTGTTAATGTTCACCCTCCATCCGCTGTAGCTAGAGGCCACTCGCTAAGTTCCCAAATTCATTCAGGATTGCTTGGGGGGTGTCCTAGTCATATCACCAAGTGTCCATGTCAGTTGAGGACATATGAATATTGCATGCCATAATCTCCGGGTCCTTCTCTCATATCTTTTGGATACATTGCTTGTCCCTTTGGAACCTCCAAAGGGTTCGTATTGTTTAACCCTCCAAAAGATCTGTTTTGTTCAACCTCCAACAGATCAGTTTTAGTTACATCCTCCACCTCCAACGCATCAAGTTTTGTTTCACCTCCGAGATGTTGGTTTCTTTGTCTCGAGCGGGTCTCGGGAAGACCCACCGCGGTGAGCGGCGGTATCACTCGACGGAACTGACGGCATCGTTAGGCCGATGGACACCCTGCCGCCCAGGCAGGTGCTGCCAAGGAAAACTCTGGGTGGGGTCTCAAAGCAGAAGTCGCACTTTCGGTCTCCTAAAATAGTTGGTTTCTGTTTGTGGTCTGACCATGGGGTTCACCATGTTGAGAAAAACACGGTTGGGGGCCCGGGACCCTGTTCTTTCAACCTGCATGTTTGTTAATGGACGCCCTTCAACAGTGCCTGTCTTCGAGGGCAGGTGTGAGCTAAGCTGCATAGTCACATTTAGAACCTATTTTAGTTGGGATTGGGATGTTCACTGGGGGTACGATGACCCATGGCCATATGTATTCTCTGTGCATGCAGCATTGGGAAAACAAGTATCAACACCAGAACGACAGCAGGATGACGAAAGCTGTGCAGCAGAAACAAGTTGGTCGAGTCTTCCAAGCAACATCTAGCTGTTCAACATTATGTTCCTGCAGCCTTGTCGAACCATTCCACCTTCTACATATAAATGATGCTTGAGATTTGTACAGCGCAGAATAACCCAGCCGTGCTTCCATCCTAAGTAAGGCCTTGCTAAGGGCTCAATAAGGGCTTATTTGGGCTTGCTCCTCCCCTGACTTCCCCCCGCCACCATGATTCCATCTTTTCTGCCGAAAGTTGGTGCCCGATTTGATTTCTTCGGATCGGGGACGGGTAGCCGGAAAAAACAAGTGGGCTGCGGCAAGGCTGGCCCTGTACCCACAGATCTTCCTACGCAGGCCGAGGCACGCTGTGTTCCAGGGCCCTGCGTCCGAAGGCGAAGGCTTGGGGCGGGGCGGCAGGAGTCATGAGTCATGTGGTGAAGCACCCTTGGCGGTAAGGATGCTTGACCACATGGGTAGTAGAAATTGCTCATCGACCCCTTAAAGGGAACATATGTATGTTTTGTTGAGGGTGCGCATAGATTGTGTGGACAATGGTTTGCGTGTGTGTTGTGTTGGTCTGGCGATTCGACATGGGGGCACAAACTACTGAGCCAACTTGATTGAATTGAGGGTCCGATGTACGTCGACGCTGCTACAAGCCTTGTGAATGTGCGTCATAATAGAATCCACCCATGGTGCTCGAAGCTGGCACGAGCAGCCATGTGTATAACACTCGAAACTGGGAACAGCCATGTGTAAAACAGGACACTTGGCTTTTGCATGATTTCCTATCAGAACATGGTTGTTGTTCGGAAACAGTTTACATTTTTGCTTTGTGGGAGATTCCCACTTAACTAAATTTAAATTTTGCTCCCTTCCAGCGTCAGCCAAGAGATTGGACATGATGTTCCTTCCTTGAGACCCCCAACAAAGGCCTCAACAAAGAGATAATGGCTCGCTCTCACTTCAAAATGGAGGGCGACAGCGTGCAGTTGCTGCAATTCTGGGTAAAATATGGCTGGCTTGTAGCGATCTCCTCGAAGCACTTGCCGAATTCATTCAGATACCAGCTTCTTTGTAGTGCATGCCCACTGGTATACACTAAGTTGGGGTATTTGTCGATCAATATGAGGCAGACCTCTAAAGTGATATTTTACCCTCAAAATTCGCATCCAAGTGTTGAACACCTACAGATGCCATTTGTATTTCTCGACTTGAACACTTCTGCTCCATGAATCAACACATGTTTCCTTTCTGGTTACGTGTTAATAGTTTTCTTCATGTTGTTGCAATGCTCATTGTTGTCAGCAAGCGCTGTCAGCATTGACTACTTGTGAGATTGATCAGTGTTGTTTTGCTAATGTCCTTTGCAGGTGATGCATCGGCGACTCGCAGGCGATCCACCTCCCAGCACGGAGACTTAGCGTCAAGGTAACAGACACTGGGAGCTGAGGAACCTAGCCGGTGATTCCGTTTTTCTTCATGGTAGATCAAAGAGACCTGCTCTTGAAGATCCGCTTTATTGCTGAGCCCTCCCATTTTCAGAAGCACCCATATCAAGGTTGCGAAGGATGAGCCGTCACTGTCACAATCACATCCGCATGGCCAAATTACAGCGACCGCAAGGGGTTTGGTCGAGCGAAACCCCATGCAGCTCCCTTTCTTGGGGGATTTCCTCATGAGGGCAAACACCAGGCATTGCTTGAAGCTAGGGAGAATCATGAACCTAAAAACGCACTCGTTAGGATTCACCCATTGGGTCTCCGAAATTCACCAATTCGCTCGCGAGGCCATCTGGTGTCCGGAGGTACCACCGCAACCAGCCGGGGAGCCTAGTCTTAGTCCGGACTCGCCGGCTCCGCAAAGCTAACGTGCGCAGAAGAAGAACGCAGAGAAGCAGACCGACAGACAGACAAATACACAGACAGGCATGCAAACAAACCAACAAGCAAAGATAAAATGGAGCACTTGTGGAGTTGTTCCACCTGAGCTATGCTTAGCAATCTTGGGTTTCGGGGTGGACCAAACAGATGTGGCCAAAATTGTTGTTGTTTTTTCCAAATAACCATGCTGGTGCAGGATTCAGCACATCAGCAGACTTGTTTTGGGCAGTGCTGCGCATTTTGCCGGGCAAGATTGCAAGCTCGAACCCCCCTGCCACCGTCCACAAGTGCCTGTTGCTTGCTTGCCAGCTTGCCTGCTTGCTTGCCTTCCTGCTTGCCTGCTGGCCTGCTCCTTGCCTGCTTGCCTGCTCGCCTGCTCGCCTGCTCGCCTGCTTACCTGCTTGCCTGCTTCCCTGCTTGCCTGCTTGCCTGCATGCCTGCTTGCCTGCTTGTCTGCTTGCCTGCTTGCCTGCTTGCCTGCTTGCCTGCTTGCCTGCTCGCCTGCTCGCCTGCTCGCCTGCTTGCCTGCTCGCCTGCTCGCCTGCTTGCCTGCTTGCCTGCTTGCCTGCTTGCCTGCTTGCCTGCTTGCCTGCTCGCCTGCTGAAGTCTTTCCCTGTGCTTCCAGTTGCCATTGCAACCAGTTCCTCCAGATGTGTGATGGTGTCCCCTCTAACGGGAAGCACTAGCCTTTGGTTAAATCGCAACTTCCATCCAGAAGGTCAGCTTTTGTTGCGTCGGACCCACATGACGCGCCCCGTCCAAGCGACCGCAGGAGCTATGGCGTGGGGAACGCTTTGCAATGGGACTGAGCGCACAGCGCCGGTCAGAATTGTCGCAGAGGTTGGGCCTCACCAAATGACTGGGCTGAGTGGTGAGACAGGTGGATCAGTGTCCACAACCTTTGCCGTTTTGCTTTGTGAAATGAAGCCAACCTTTCAGGAGGGCCCTAAGTTGAGGTTGGATGTCCATTGTCTCAGCTGAATTAGATACGACCCCACACCAGAAGCATTCCAGGAGGGAGTGCAAATGTGTGGCCAGCTTTTTCGCAGTTCTCGCACGCTTCCGTGCTTTGGCGTTCGACCCTTTGCATGCTTAGCATTGCGCTTCTTCTTGGTCGCAGCTAAAGGTTGCAAGCGAGAACTGCTGGACGTGCATGGGATGCGGGATGCAATGCGCAGCCGTATTGCTTGGTGACGTGAAGAGGTAATTAAGCTCGGGGACCTTTGCAGCCATTTGTGGCAGCAAAATGGTGCGGTTGTCGCCGGCCTCATTTGACGTTTTGCTTCCGGTCACGCTACGAGAGTTTTTTTTTCTTCCCCGAGGCTTATATACTGGCATTGCTTCTTGGGCAGCCGCTTCGCAGCTTTCTTGATGACTTGGTTGCGCTGTGTATGTGGTAAGTCCCCACATTTTTTTGCCTGCAGCGAAAGAAGTGGCGATTGCCATTCGGGGCTTTATCTCTGTGGGTTGGCGGGAATGCCTATCTCAAGCAGCCAACCCTCAGAGATACAAGGGTACACGGTTATCTATGTAATAAAACACATATATGGCATAGATGTTGGCGGACAGAGTTGGAAGGCATTAGTTAGTCCATGGCCATAGTCCTTGATCGCACGGCTTTCTGGCAGGTGCGGCTGCCGGGGAGTTGCCCTCAGTGCTTTGGCGGCCCTGGCGAGTGTTGAGCTCTGGTAGGCAACCTTACATTGCCAGACTTGGCTTACCTTTGGACCTCTGGCATGGCTTTCTTGCTGGTGCTCAGTAGGGAATTACGCAGGGTGTTGGAAATGGACCTAGGCATTCCCTGAAAAGAAACCAAAGGGCATGGGCGCATAGGGGATGGTTTGTGCATTCCCTCATTCCCTGCTGAGAACCAGCAGGCTTTTTGTCGTTTGTTCATATTCGCGTTGTTTTTTGCTTCTTTGCAGAACTGCTTCCCCCAACAGGTTCGCATGGATCTGGGGACAAAATCGAATTCGGGATCTGATTAGGATCTAAGAACCTTTCCATGGGATTTAGAACGTGTCCAAGAATTTCCAAGCATCCCCCCTAACCCCGCAGGAAGCCCGAAGAACGCCCTAAGAGCCACTACAAATCCGACGACCCTCTAAGAACTACGATCGATTTGCATTCCCCTTTTTGGAAGATCAACTTCCGAAGAGCATAGGTGCCCTTTTGGAGAAATAGACGAGTTTCCCTGGTAGATGAGGCATGAAATCAAAGCCAGTGGAACCCATCTGTTGCTAAGCAAACTACCCTCCCACCAATGAAGCCTCACACAAAGGTCCTGGTTTGGACCATATTCCTTGTAAAGGGACCAATTCTCTGTCAGGTTCCATGTGAAAAGGGCGGGAGGGGAACCGATCACAAGGACGCGTCGACGCAGCCTCTTGCCAGGATGGCTCCCGCCCTGCGGCCTGGAGGCTACTCCAGCGAGGTGGGTGTCGGTTGGCTCGGAAGTCGTGGGTGTTTGGTCCGAGTGATTCCGTGTGTCTTTGTTTTGGGGTGCTCCAAGAAAAAGAGGTTGGTTTAAAGGGACACCAAAAGGGAAAACAAAGGAAAACAAAACATCATGCTGAGGAAAAAACACACCCGTTTTCTGAAAGGGAAACCCTTGAACAAATGGGGAAGTTACCCCACAATACCACGTGAGTCAACCTGAAAGGACGAGCTTTGTGGCCTGTTGGTTTCAGATTTTTGGCGCTTTGATCATGGCGATTCTTCTCGTTTGCTTTTCCTGCCCGACTGCCACTGGATTTCCCAGGTCAAAACTAGGAACCCCTGAGTGCCCACTGGCAGCGGGGTTCTGCTCAGGAGAGTAGTACGTGAGGCCCAAAGGGGCTGGTTTCCTTTCAGCATCCATTAAGGTTTCTGCGGACAGGGCTTTATTAGGAGATTGGACAACGCAACCATCAGCAGAGTTGAGTTGCTTCGAGATTCCAGAAAACCAGCTCGAAATTTAGGAGCTTCCACTAGAAGTCAACTAAGTACCTGCTACAATACAAGGGTCTCGCATAGATTCTTGGACCTGGTTTCCTGGCGAGACGTTCGCGTATCGGCAACGTCACTCTCAGCAATATCCAATCAAGGTTCGGCGAAAAATCTGGACGATTGAGACATCAGGAGGGGCTTCAGGTGATGCAATGTGGGTATGTCACAATGTGTTCTGGGGCCCTAGTGGTGCCCTTTTACGATATTTTTTGTGGGGGAGAGTGCCCCTACTAAAATAGACTACAGAGGTTTTGGGGGGTCTGCTTTGATACTTACTTGGCTGTGGTTGTCAAAACCAATGGGATCCCATTTTGGGGTAGGTGCACCACCCATGTTAGAACCTATTTTAGTGGGGATTGGGATGCTCACTGGGTACGATTTGGATTTTGACCCACGGCCATGTCACAATGTGTTCGAATAGGGTACCCCCCAAAGGAATTGGCGGTCTTTCAATTGGTATGAGCAGTTGCAGACCGAGGTCCCGGCATTTTGGGAACAAAACGTAGATGTTTGCTTGAAATTGTCTTCCCTGGGCAGGCTGACGCACCTGGAAGTGGGGGTTCCTTGCTTGTTTATTGGATCCATGTAGCCGGCAGGTTGCATATGCCTTCGCAGCAGTACGAGAGCCGGCACAACCTAGTTCGATCGCGGGTGAAGCGTCATCGAGCTCTCACGCTCTGCCATGAAGTAGCTTGCCTTTAGCGTTCCTAAAGGCACTGATTGGTTCCGGACATATCTTATTCCTCAGGACTGGCCGGATTGATTGGGCGTGGTGGGGAGTTTCGGCAATCCTTCATCGGACGCTTCCGATTTTTTGGCTCTGGAGGCCGATCCTTTTTGCGCCCAGGGACGGTTTCTGGGTGGCAAATCCGAGTTTGACGGGAAGCGGAGCATGTTTCACGGTGGTTCTAGTGGAACCGCATATATATATATAATATATAATATCTATATATATATATATGGGCGACGGTCAAAAACCCATGTGTAAAAGTTTAGTAAGGAGCATATTCATGTGTTCTGGCGGCGCTGCGCGCGCGAAAGGTTGCGAGTGGGCGCCGGAAGGTTTGGCGAAAGGGCTGGCCACAATGATGATAAAGGATGCTGATTTAGCACTCTGAATGGTGTGAACATTTTTTCAATGCTGTAGAAATAGCTTTTGGACTGTTGTTTATGCCATATGTGCCCCTCGCGCCTGCATGTTGGTATGCCATTGTTAGGGGTTGCCCAAAAGCTATTTCGGCCAAGGCCAAATAACATTTGGGCCTGTTTCGGGGTTGGTCCACAAGATGCAAATGAGGGCACCCCCAAAACCTGCTTTTTGGCATTGGAAAATAACATTTGGGCAGGTTAGTCTTTCCTTGAGAATGCAGACCAGGGCAACACCAACACCTGTTTTCGGCACTGGAAAATAACATTTGGGCAGGTGGTTTGCAGGCCAAGCAGCCGAAAGTGTCCAAATGAGTCTTTTCCTTGAGAATACAGACCAGGCACCCCCAAAACCTGTTTTGGGCACTGGAAAATAACATGTAGGCACGTTTTGGGTTGGTTTGCAGGCCAAGGGGCGGAGTGTCCAAATGAGTCTTTTCCTTGAGGGTACAGACTAGGGAGTCCCCAAACCTTGTTTTGGGCACGGAATAATAACATTTGGGCAGGTTCTTGGTTTGCAGGGCAAGGGGCGGAAAGTGTCCAAATGAGTCTTTTCAGAGCACCACCAAAACCTGTTTTGGGCGCTGGAAAATAACATTTGGGCAGGTGTTGGGTTGGTTTGCCGAAAGTGTCCAAATGAGTCTTTTCCGTGAGAATACAGACCAGGGCACCCCAAAAACCAAACCAGCCAAAAGTGGATGTGTGGATGGATGGATGGATGGATGGATGGATGGATGGATGGATGGATGGATGGATGGATGGATGGATGGATGGATGGATGGATGGGTGGATGGGTGGGTGGGTGGGTGGGTGGGTGGGTGGGTGGGTGGGGTGGTGGGTGGGTGGGTGAGTCCAGGGCACCCCCAAAACCTGTTCCCGGCAATATTTGCAAATGAGCCTTTCCCCCAAAACCTGTTTTGGGCAGGTGTTGGGTTGGTTTGCAGGCCAAGGGGCCGAAAGTGTCCAAATGAGTCTTTTCCGTGAGAATACAGACCACCCCCAAAACCTGTTTTGGGCACTAGAAAATAGTATTTGGGCAGTGGTTTGCAAAGGGGCCGAAAGTGTCTAAATGAGTCTTTTCCGTGAGAATGCAGACCAGGGCACCCCCAAAACCTGCTTTGGGCGCTGGAAAATAACATTTGGGCAGCAAGTGTCCAAATGAGTTTTTTCCGTGAGAATACAGACCAGGGCACCCCCAAAACCTGCTTTGGGCGCTGGAAAATAACATTTGGGCAGCAAGTGTCCAAATGAGTCTTTTCCGTGAGAATACAGACCAGGGCACCCCCAAAACCTGTTTTGGGCACTGGAAATAACATCTGGGCAGGTGTTGGGTTGGTTTGCAGGTTTGACGCATGGCTTTAGTGGTGTTGTCGACGGAGGGTTGTCGACCATGTGCACCCCACTGTGGGCGCAAAAGAAAGCGCAAGTTTCGCGAAAGGGCGCCGGAAGGCCAAACAAAATACAAAATAATTTCGACCAACGCCCATACATATATATATATATACATACCCCATGTCTAGTTTGGTACGGCATGGACGGGGCGCAGAACCTTTCAGCAGGTCCCTACTTGTGCATGTGCCGAAATAGGGCCCGCCAGGAAGCGGCGGTTGTTCGTTTCGGCTTCAAACCTGCCTTTTTGGGGAGTCCAACAACCTTAAAAACACAGTGTTTTCAACCATGGTTTCATTTCAAAAGCCATGTTTCCTGGTGTTGTTTTTTTCCTGAAAGGGAAATCCTTGAACAAGTGGGGAAGCTACTCTTGAAGTTAGCTCAGACAAAAATGGGCCCCCGAAAGACGAGCCGCCCATTGGTTTCCCAGCTGCCCATTTGAACATTCAGCTCGGCACAGGCGCTCTCATATGCAGAGGCTTTGCAGAAGGCGCGGGTGCGTAGACATGACCAAATCTGGTTCCTGAGAAAATGGAACATGTGTGGCACATCTGGAGAGGGGTCCGTTTGCTTTTGCCTTGCAACTCGGCTTTATGGAGCACCCTGCAACTACGGTGATGCTCATATCCATTCTCTTGAGCTGTACATGTGACGAGATGTTGCATTCGGTCACACATGTTGCATGGGATGATCGCCCAGATGCTACATGCAGTTTCTCTGCACAACACGGCCTTCTGTAGCTGGAATCATTATGTTGATGGTTTCTGGGGGTGATCAAAGTAAGTAAATGGAATCGGTTGTTTCCCTTTAACCCACCACTGAACGGTGGTGGCTTTGATCATGATAAAAATCATGGTTACTTTGACCAACACGTGATTATATTTACCCACCCATCCACCAATCCACCTATAGGCTTCCTTTCTGAACCTTGGTGGCGGCGCTGGCCGCCATCCAGGCGGCAAGCCAAACATCGCCAGCGTGCCTTTCGGGCTTGAACGGAGAGGTTTCGTTGGAAGCGAAGCGGCCTACTGCTGACCTCGCCAAAGACGCACCATCTTTCGGGCATGATGTCAGCAGCTGACTGACCATGGAAGTGTTCATCCCTTGACTTTTAGCTGAGTTCAGTGGTCAGTGTTTTGCCCCTCATGGGCTGAGTAAAAGAGCATTTCTGGGACTCGTGGCAAAACGCGCCGGGGTTGTCCAACCGATGGCCTCGTTACTGACCCTAGCGGCTGCCTGCCGCCTTTTAAAGGGGCGACAATGCCCATGCAAGTCGTGTTTGTCGCTTGGGATTCATTTAGCATGCAGATTTAGGTACAAAAATGCCAACACAGAGAAGGACCTGTTTTGGAAGACCGATCAATGTGACCTTGACAATCGCCTCCCGGAAAGCTGATCGGAGGGTTTGTGAAGACCACTTTCCTTTGGGTAAGCCCCGTGTAAAAACACACTCTCAATGATTGTTGGAGGGTAACCTAGCCCCCATTTACCTTCAACTCCCCACTTACCCTCAATGATTGTTGAAAGGATAAGTTGAAGCCAAGCCGTTGGTGTTGACCTTCGAGTGTCAGGCGTACCAGGACTCCGACAGAGGCTGGCGAGTAAGCGCGTGTCTCAACGGAGCGTCCGAACGGATGGGCTTCATGTTGGTGTTCTTTCAACAAAAGGTCTCCAGGTGTTTTGTTCACTGAACCTCACTGCGTGTGTGTTCGCGTGTGTGCTCGCTTGCTCGCTTGCTTTCTTGCTTCATTGATTGATCGTCGCTGAGGGCCTTAAACAAGTGGTAGTCTGCGAATTTTACGCTAAATTTCCATGATTTGGCAGATCCAGGATTTTTTTTAATGGCACAGGCTGCCTCAGACAGTCTCCACGCTATGCTCGGCATGTGCAGTTTGCATCGGGCTCCCTCGCAAAACTGATAGAGGCCTGCCGTTTTCGGCTGAGCCACAATGAAAGCTGTGCAAGTGAAGGTTGCAAGGAATAGGTGCGGCAAGAAGCCCTATTGATTCTTTACCATGGGATGTGTGTAGTTTGCTTGTTTCCCTTGAATAGCCAAGCAAAGAGGAAGGGCAAGAGCGGGCTCGCCAGGTGGGACTGCGTAAAAGGGACCCCTTGCGGGATACTTACTGTTGGTTATGCTGCACCGTTCTCGGTATGAGAAGTGTCTTGTTTGGTTCTGCTCATTCTGAGTGGGGGGGGTTTAAAGAGAAGGAGATACCAGGGGTTGGGAAGCTAACAACGGGTTAGGAAGCTGATCCGAGTGCGCAGGCGCCCACTTTGGCCTGCGCCAGTTCGCCGAGCACATGAGTGTGCCGCTCACGGATGTCCTGGAAACCTGATGTTCATAGTATGAGATTCGGTGGCTCGGGGTCTTGATCAAACCAAGTGGTACGTTGGGCAGCCCAACAACTTGAATAGATCATCACTGGACACCATGCCCTAAGACGGCAAGATCACTGAGTGGTTCAAACTCGAACCCTACACCTGGCATCGCGGCCCTTGAACAGGAACCAATCTCAGGTTCAGGATTGACCTTGAATCAAGCCAATGGCTTTTTTTTTTTGTGGCGTTGTGTTGTGTCGTGTTTCGGATGAACCCAATGGGGGAAGCACCCACAGACCTCAGAACCTGACTGAAAACCCGAGTCCTTTCCGGGACGCTTTGGTGCATGGCCAACAACTGCAATAGGTGGTTTGAGGTGCTTACTGCATTTGTTTAACGGCACTCTTGGCGGTTCCCAGCCATTCGTTTGTACTAACGGTTACACTCTTAGCAGGGGGTCTGGTTTTCGAGGTTGGTTTCCTTTTGGTTTCCTCCTACCATCCCAAAGGAGGACTGGTTCCTGTTTTGAGAATCATGGGCTTGTGGCTTAATGAGGGTCGTTACCATTTCTCGTTGGTTTAACAGCAAAGGACAACCACCCCAAAAGTGGCCCCTAATCCCGATATTTGACTCATGCCCATGTGCCTTTGCATTTTGAGGGGTGTTATTTGTGGGACAGCCTTACGTCGATTGCAAGAAGTCAATGGTGCCCTTTCAAGCTTTTCTGGCAGCAATGGGAGTCTGCTGGATTCTGTGGAGTGCTTTTCGGGGGTGAAAGGGTGCAGGGGCTGCATCCTTTTGTGCAAAGTTAGTCCATAAGCTCACCGAACGGAATAAAATGAGCTCACTCACGATGGTCCTTTGCTTTTTGATCCCCTTATTTTCGGTTTGGGGATTATTTGGCCAGATCATATTTGAGCAGCGCCAAAAACCCTTATGAAGGGAGTTCATTGAGGGCCTTGCATAACGAAGCCTCGCGAAAGCTAGAACGCTGGGCGCGAAAGCCCGCGAAAGCTTGCGGCGAAAGTGGTTGAAGAAGAGCCCGCCGAGAAAGCGTCGCAAAAGTGTGTTGCCGCGAAAGCTCGCGAAAGTGATAATTACCAAGCACATACCCGCGAAAGTGTGGGCGCGAAAGCATCGCGAAGGTTCCGCGAATGTGGTTTGTTGGTAGAGGGTTTTATGTACCCTATGTTTGTCACCGCTCATGTGTTTATTTATGTCTCAGAGGTACCGGTTTGAATGGGACACCAAGGGAGCACCACCTTTCGGCTGCCCGAACTATTTTCGCCCCCCCGCCAGACTGCATCCTTGGGGTATCTTTGCCATGAGGGCTCCGGTCTGACCCGGACTGTCGCATAGATTACCCATTCAGCACCAAGCTTCCTTCCGCCATTTCTTTGGTGAAAGGACACCTCCGTGAACATACTATCTTCTGGCAGGGCTCCCCATATTTCCCCTTTTGGTTTGTGGCGGTGTTCAAACCATCACCTTGGGCGACCACGAACGGTGAGCTGTGCCTTGGGGTGATGTTTTAAGGGGCCCCGGAAATCCTGGCAGCGTTTTTTTTTTTTTTTTTTTTTTTTTTTAAAAAAAAATGTATTTTTGGGCTCCCAAACTCTTTAAAAGTGGGAGCCCTGTGTGTTTCTTTGGGGTTCCCAAACTGGAGCCCTGTGTGTGTTTTTGGGGTTCCCCAACTCTTCTTCTGCCAGTCCCCCAGTCGGGTGTATGGATTCCGAGGCCACGAGTTCGTGAAGGGCCTCCCCGACAGCCCGGGCGCCTGTTTGGTGCTAGAGCGGCGGACGGCACAATTTGCCAGGAAGACGTTGGTGGAATCCCTAAGTAATCTGTGGGCCGTTTTGGGCGCCCCCCAAAACGGCAGTGGGGATGGACATGGACCCTTGGATCGAGGGCGAGAAAGCCAAGATGATTGGGACCCATGTTGAATGCGATTGGTGGACATGAATCCCCACCGAGTTTTGATGTCCACCAAAGGGTCCCCCGTGAAAATTCACACCCACGAGAACGTCGACTCAAGGAGTTTGACCACGCCAGATATGTGACTTAGACACAGGAAGTAGCAGCCTCTCTTGAGCAGGCCAGGAACGAACTGCATGGAGGCATCTATGCCCATGCTCGCACCTTGAGCACAACATACGCCGTGCGATTATTCAGCTACCCAAGTCTGGATTGTGAGGTCTTCGTCTCCACTTTGAAACCTGTCGACATCCCAGCAGCAACTCGTCTGCGGTGGATGATTCGCATCCTCTTCCTCGGGCTCCGAAGGTTGGCCGATCCCCCCAATCCGGGCCCCCAGGATGATACCACTTCTATTTGCCTAAGAGGATGTTTAATTTTCCCTTGCTGGTTTTAAAGGGAATCTATGACTACTAGAAATATGTTTTTATTTTATTTATTGGGGGCTTAGGCATAGGGAAGACCACAATCAAAGTCATCCCCGTTCAGTGGTAGATGAAAAGGACACCACCAACCAGGTTCTCACTTTGATCAACCCCAGAAACAGTCAAAGTACTGACCACAGTTGCTGCCTGCAAGGCCTCACTGCTCGCCTGTCCACCATGGTGCAAGAAGGGAGGCGGGGCGACTGTGGGGAAGTGCTCTGAGTCGGACCAGAGGGCAATCATGCGTGCATCCGAAATTGGAGCATTCAACTGGCCACCCAAGTTATTTCACCTCCAGGTTTCTCTTATTTTAGGGGAGGGGTCCGGGTTGAACCAAACAATTGAACCAACCAACCAACAAGCCAAAAACCCTTCAACCCTTCTCAAGAACCAAGATATATACATAGATATAGGAAAATCCCTCAAATTGGTCCGGGTTTCCCTCTAAAGGGGCTGAAACTTTTGTTTTGTGCGCAGCCAAGCCCCAAAGCTCGGCAGTTCGCCCAGCCGAAGCCAGACGCTGCCTGCCAGGCAGGCGCGCACCTGGGACGTGGTGATTTGCCACTCCACGCCCGGGGGCCCGAAGTTGGATCGCGCCGGGAGGAAGCAGGACGCCGCCAAGGAAACAAAATGCAACAGCGACCCACCAGCCAACCGAGCAACCAGGCAACCAACCAAGCAAGAAACCAACCAACCAAAGGAGCGACCAACCAACCAAGCAAGAAGCCAAGAAACCAACCTAACCAAATTAGATTTCAATACCTATCCAACCAAGCAAGAAACCAAGCAAGGTGTGTCTTTTTTGAGGGTGCCTGTTTCTTGCTGGTTTTAAAGGGAAGCCACAAAGGGATGGTTGCCAGTGGTTGCTTGCCAGTTTTGTTGGTGGTGGTTTGGGCTTCGGGACACGGGACTCCTAAGCACGGGGGGATTGATTCCATCAGTCACTTCCTGAGTTCTTCCAGACTTTAAACTGTTTGGTGCTGGACTATTTTGGTGGCAAAAGGTTTGGCCTTTTTTGTTGAAAGGGTGTGGAACCCCTCGCCTGTTTGTCGGTCAAATGGAATTACTGGGCTAGCATGGAACCTTATAGGTGAACTTCATGCCCAGAACTCGCTCGATGTTTATTCTCACATTCCCAGCAATCCAAGCACGCCAAGTCAGCTGTAGATGAGTGCATCCGTACCTGGCATGTTTGAGTGCATCCGTACCTGGCATGTTTGAACAGGGTATCTGACTCCGTGCGGCGCTTGCGCCCCAGTGGCTTTACGGCTGAGAACCGGTATGTGAGTCATTCCTGATGATCATCTACCATGCTTCCCTGGCTCCAAGATATGAATGTTTGCATGCAGGATGTAGGATCTGGGTCCGCGGCCGCTTCGGCCGCATGGACTTCCCCCTCGGCTTGGCCTTCCTGGCAAAAACCTAATCGAACCTAACCTATAGCCTTCACCAAGACTGAGCAAAGACTAATTCAGCTTCTGCAAAGTATACATCTAATAATAGAACAGTAGGGAACAGGGTAAGATTTTGTTTCACCAATGAGAGTCCAGGACTAATCCAGTATCAAACCTGTACCAAGCAAATGCCAAGCCAATAACTACCAAACACCCAAGCTCCAACCACAGGTGAGAGTGGAGTCCTGGAGATACAAGTATACATATACACGTGTGCTTGGGCAAGTTGAAGCTGATACCAAGGCCTGAGGGCTTCGGCACGTACGGTGGTGCAAATGCGACAGCATCCCTGCCCCGGTCAGGACTTTTGGCCGCAAAGAAAGCACATTGGACGTTGAGTGCCCTTTGAGTTGGTTTACAACCACCAGTTCTAACCCAGAACCCGCCCCACTAGTCAGCAGTAAGTCCAACGCAAGCACTGGCATTCCGCTGCAAGATTCCAGGCCCGACGTCTGGCATGAGGATGGCGCTTTCGGCTGGGGAAAGGCCTGGGGTGGCCGTCGGTGTGGGTGGCTGGGCTTGGCGTATGACTGGGGTCTTCTCCGATAAGATGTTGTATTTTTTGGTTTAAAGGTGGGCAACATATCACATATACTTTGATTTGTTTGTTAGTGTTGGTGCACCTTGGGATTGGGCCAAGATGACTTGCCATCTTTTCAAAGCATACTTTGAAAGCAGCTCTGTACGGAACTTTGCAAAGGTGGCCCACCTTCAATCATGATCTTGTGCTTCGCAAGACTCCTACGTTGATTCCCCCGTGCCGGGTCAAGGGCAGGGTTGGCAAAGCATGCATTGAGTAGCTCCCTGATTCGATGCCTCAGGTTTGCCGTTCTTTCCATTGAACTGCACCAGCCGGTCGTTGCAGATATGTCTTGCACTAGTCGTGATCAGCGCAACGTCAACAACTCAACAATTGCGGTCATACGTGAATCCCAAAGGAAGCTCTCGTCTTGTTTCAAGCTTGCCGGATTTGCACGAGGTTGAACACAGTTTGCGCAACTCGCTTTATGTCGGAAAGCAAGGGCTTTGTTGACCCGCCGAATTAGGCATTTCGTCATCTAATTTCACCCAACTGTGCCATCTAATTTATGTTCTTTGCATCCCAACGGAAAGTCTCGTCTCTCCATTCAACTCGCCATATCTCCACCTGTAGAGGAACCCAAACCTCGGGGTTCCTCCGTTGGGGAGCTCACCTCAGTTCCGCGCGTTTCGAGGTCGAGCCGTGCCCTCCCAAGGGCGCCAAGTTCCGCTGGCGCCCCAGCGGGCGTTGGGGCTTTGTGTCGTGGAGTGGTGCGCATGTTCGGGACGGATGAGGGCACACATCCTGTGTATACATAATGTGTATAGTATACTATATATATATAACATGATATGTATGCATAGCATTGAGGATTTAATTTGGATGTTCCTAGCTCCAGCAGGACCCATGGGTATGTGATTTCTCTTATCCGCAAGTATAGCCTGGCAAGGCCGAAGGCGGACTTTCTACATAAACAGTGAACCGCCGAAGCGTAAGTCCTTGCTACTTGGGCAGGCGGATAGCTAGCCCGCTAGGCAGGCGGATAGCTAGCCAGCTGGCTAGATAGGCTTGCTGACTTGCAGTTCTGTAGAACAAGTCAATCAATTAGTTGCTGAATTGGATCTCGGTGCGTGAGTGAACCAATTACTCCGCTGCTTCCTAGTTGGATCCTCGCTAGCCCGTGAGACACAAATGAGTTTGCTGCGTGAGTTAGTTTGCTGGTTGATCGCCGATCTCACGCGGAACGCATCTTTGCTTTGAAGTCAGCCGAGTCTCCATGAGTGCCAATATGAACGCCTGGATTTGATATTAACATATATATTTTTGGGGGGACCCTTTTGTGAGCATTTTTTTGGGGGGGACCCTTTTGTGAGCATGTTTTTGGGGGGACCCTTTTGTGAGCATCATGCTTTTGAAAGGGATTTCTACGTCCTTTCCCCGCGCATGGAGCGGGTCTTAGCCTCCAGTCAAGCTGTAGGCATCGGCCGCACCATGTACGAGACGGACAAGGTCCCGGCGTCCTGGGTGCCGAGGATCTCGCGCATGGACCAGGCCCAGGATGCGCCAAATTTGGCCCCCGGACTTTTTGGAGCGGGGCTTCCGACTGAGGATTTGGTTCATTTTCAGGCCCACCTGCCCCCCCAGCCCCAAAAGAAAGACAAGACAAAGAAACACAATCAACTCACAACTCGCCCCCCCTCCCTATGGGTTGTTCCTGACAGGTCTGGGTTCCTTCCCACTTCGGCCTGGAGCAGTTTGTGGCCAGCGGCGTGCCTCGGGAGAAGATCCGGGTGGTGCCAGAGGCCTCGCTCTCTTTCCCGTGGCTGCCTGGTCCCGTGGGGGTGGCTGGGGCCTTGGGCCGCCCAAGTCCCTGGTCCCCGTTCCAAGGGTTTGGGCCACTGGTCCATGCTTTTCAGCCATCTTTTCGAAAGCCGGAGCCGTTTTCCCAGGGCTTCCATGGGGTTTTCTAGAAATAAGGATCCCTGGGTTTCCATGGGGAAGGTACCCCTGGAAACATGGGGTCCTCTCCCACCAACATCTAGGCCTCCCAGTAGTGCCCTTTCACCGTTTCTTTTTTTGGGGAGGGTTCCCCTACTTAAAATAGACCACAGAAAAAAGGGTTTCCTTGTTCTAACCTCTCTACTGGAGGACTTAGACATGGAACTGACAGAGGGTCCCTTTAAACGGAAAATGGTCTTCCAGGACCCCCCTTGTCAGGTTTCTGCACCAAACAACTTTCCAAGTAGTGTTGAAAGGACCAGCCTGCACGGAAGTGACACGACTTGAGACTGCGAATGGGACGCAATCAAAACCACCTGCCCGCACACATCAGTTTGCATCTCGGCGCTGGCCGCTGGTTTTGCAGCAGAGTTGTCCAGCGACTTGCAATTCTGGAGACCTCAGCATATGCCCTCAAGTCAGCTGTGAGACGCATGAATCAAATGAGCAGCATGTCCGTGTTAGAAAAGCAAGGCTGCAGAGTTACATAGTGCCTCAGAGAAGGCATGAGCCATTGTCTGATATGTGAGAACTATGAAATCATGTGGAAACTGCATCAAGGAGCTCATGTCCGTCCAGTCCATACGAAAGGAATCAGCGCCAGCAAGTACTTTGCAGATGTCTAGAGGCCGCATTAGCGGAGCAGAAAGCACTTTGTGTTGCGCTTAGAGCCACTAAGGGGTGTTGGGCATGTTGGATGCATGCACTTGAAGAAGGAGTGTGGCATTTTGTGGCTGAACGGAAGTGCCACGATATTCGTTGGCTCTCTGCAATGCGATCTCTTTTTGCAGGGCTTTTGCCATTGACCGTTCACAAGCACAGATAAAGTGAGGCAATTCAAGGCAAGTTGCGCAGACGTGGCTATATGTTATTTCTTGTCAAAGGTTTTTTGTAGATCAGGTCAGACAGTTCGGTGCCAGCGAATTCGGTGCCAGCGAGGCCAGAGGGGCCCTTCTCGGGTTCGCTGGCGTGCGGGTTTCGCTAGGCGGTGGACACCGCGCTCTTCGATCCCTCGAAGCACTCGCCCCTTCAGTTGGGAGGCAGACCTCGGGGGAAGGCGAAACTTGGTGTGTTTGAATGTTAACCCCGGATTAAGGGAGAGTCCCCTTTTGGTGGGAATTCCCCACTTTTGGAGGGAACACCCCCGAATAATGGGACGGGTTTATTAATCCTGGGTCAGCTATGCCACTCCTTCCAGCCCCGCCCCTTCCGCGCGTGGACAAAGCCAGCGGCCCCATGGCGGCCTTTTTTTACATAATTCTTCGGACATGGGTGTCTTGCTTATTTTGGGAACCCGCATATGCTGTGCCCCTCTGCACGAGTTAGATGTCCTTGCCATGTCAGGAAGCTCAGTTTGTGGCACGCGGAGCCTGGGTGGTTGTGAGAAGTTACTTGTTGAGCATTCCACACAATCTGGATGTTGACCAGCACAGAGATTAGGTAGGATAGCCTCAGCAGCCCATATGTCCAGATGGGTTCAGAGAATTGCTTATGAATCACACCAAGCATGTTGCTCTTCCTTTTGTTGCCTGGCATTCTGCATGTTCGTATTGCCATTTGGAGACATAAACTTGCTTGTGTCTCCCTTGTGTACAGGCATGCCAAGCTTTCGGCTTTCACAGACACGTGCCTTCCCAGTGTCTATATAAACAATAGGCTGGTCATGCCGGTTGTGGAGGCTCCAATGAATGGCCCAAGGCTTGATTTGTGTAACATGTTTCGTGAATCAAATCATGATATGGTTGTGCCGCCCTTACTGTGGATAAACAAAGTCCTGCACCAGTTGGTATGACGAACCCTTGTGAATTCTGGGAGAACCCCCCGTACAAACTGGTGCGAAGCGAAGCTTGCCCATCCGCGGTAGTGCTGTTGTTTTTGCCGAAAGCATCGCGAAGGGTTCTTCCGTGCGGAGCCCTTGGACAAGTTACATAGAGCCAAGTTACATAGAGCCAAGTTACATAGAGCCAAGTTACATAGAGCCAAGTTGCATAGAGCCAAGTTACATAGAGCCAAGTTACATAGAGCCAAGTTACATAGAGCCAAGTTACATAGAGCCAAGTTACATAGAGCCAAGTTACATAGAGCCAAGTTACATAGAGCCAAGTTACATAGAGCCAAGTTACATAGAGCCAAGTTACATAGAGCCAAGTTACATAGAGCCAAGTTACATAGAGCCAAGTTACATAGAGCCAAGTTACATAGAGCCAAGTTACATAGAGCCAAGTTACATAGAGCCAAGTTACATAGAGCCAAGTTACATAGAGCCAAGTTACATAGAGCCAAGTTACATAGAGCCAACATAGAGCCCATAAGTTACATAGAGCCAAGTTACATAGAGCCAAGTTACATAGAGCCAAGTTACATAGAGCCAAGTTACATAGAGCCAAGTTACATAGAGCCAAGTTACATAGAGCCAAGTTACATAGAGCCAAGTTACATAGAGCCAAGTTACATAGAGCCAAGTTACATAGAGCCAAGTTACATAGAGCCAAGTTACATAGAGCCAAGAGCCAAGTTACATAGAGCCAAGTTACATAGAGCCAAGTTACATAGAGCCAAGTTACATAGAGCCAAGTTACATAGAGCCAAGTTACATAGAGCCAAGGTTAGGTAGAGCTTAGAGCTTCGGCGTTAGCAGCTATGTAAGTTAGTTTAGGTTTCTAAGGCGCCGGGGCGGGAGTTTGATCGTCGCTCGGGATTGCGACCCTGTGCGGAGATTCGCGTGGTCGAGGTTTAAAAACTGAGGACTTTTTACGATTTCTAGCATGCCCGCGCGACCCTCTGCGGAGATTCGCGTGGTCGAGGTTCAAAAACTGAGGACTTTTTACGATTTCTGCGGTGCGCGCGCGACCCTCTGCGGAGATTCGCGTGGTCGAGGTTCAAAAACTGAGGGCTTTTTACGATTTCTGCTGGCCGCGCGCGACCCTCTGCGGAGATTCGCGTGGTCGAGGTTCAAAAACTGAGGACTTTTTACGATTTCTGCTGGCCGCGCGCGACCCTCTGCGGAGATTCGCGTGGTCGAGGTTCAAAAACTGAGGACTTTTTACGATTTCTGCGGTGCGCGCGCGACCCTCTGCGGAGATTCGCGTGGTCGAGGTTCAAAAACTGAGGACTTTGCGATTTTGCGGTCGCGGCGAACCCTCTGCGGAGATTGTGCGTGTCGAAGCGCTCTCGCTGTGGCGCCGTGCAATATTCTTGCTCGCGAAACGGCCTTTGGAAGTTGTCTCGTGGTTTGCGCGCCTGCTTTCGCAATCCCGCGGTCGCGGGTTCGATTCCCCCCTGGTCCGCGGCAGCTCCGGCTTGAAAATCGCAGCTTTTAAGTACAAACGTAGTACGCGGAGCGTGCTCCTGCAGCTCCGGCTGGAAAATCGTAACTTTTAAGTACAGACGTAGTGTGCGGAGCGTGCTCCCGCAGCTCAGGCTGGAAAATCGCAACTTTTAAGTACAAACGTAGTACGCGGAGCACACCCCCGCAGCTCCGGCTTGAAAATCGCAACTTTTAAGTACAAACGTAGTACGCGGAGCGTGCTCCTGCAGCTCCGGGTGGAAAATCGCAATTTTTAAGTACAGACGTAGTATGCGGAGCGTGCTCCCGCAGCTCAGGGCTGGAAAATCGCAACTTTTAAGTACAAACGTAGCACGCGGAGCACACCCCCACAGCTCCGGCTGGAAAATCGCAACTTTTAAGTACAAACGTAGTACGCGGAGCACACCCCCGCAGCTCCGGCAGCACTTGCACGGAGCAACTTGCGCAGAGTCACTTGCGCAGAGCAACTTGCGCAGAGCAACTTGCACAGAGCAATTGCACAAAGCACTTGCGCAGAGCAACTTGCACAGACCAACTTGCACAGAGCACATGCGCAAAGCGCTTGCACGGAGCAACTGGCGCAGAGCCCTTGCGCAGAGCAACTTGCTCAGAGCACTTGCGCAGAGCAACTTGCACAGAGCAGGCGCAGAGCAACTTGCACAGACCAACTTGCGCAGAGCACATGCGCAAAGCGCTTGCGCGGAGCAACTGGCGCAGAGCACTTGCGCAGAGCAACTTGCTCAGAGCACTTGCGCAGAGCAACTTGCACAGAGCACTTGCGCGCAGCAGCTTGCAGAGAGCAACTTGCGCGCAGCAGCCTGGAGCAATGCAGCTTGCGCAGACCACTTTCGTGAGAAATCGCGCGGCGCAGTTCGAGAGGAAAGTAGGATGATGAGATGGAGCTCTCATGTGACCATACACACTGAGCATCGCCGCGCGCAGACACGCTCGCCGCAGCGATGTAAAAAGGTGTCTCCGCGGCTGGATGAGCACCTGTGGAAAAATGCTTTCAGGCCAATCGTCCTCTAGTTTTTGTAGCGAAGTTTGGGAGGCTAATACGCAGCCAGGTTGCGGCAACTGCGTTACTCGCAACCTGCTCCAAGTGACCAGCAAAAGCCAACACACGTTCAGTGCCGGGTTTCTCCCCGTCGTGTGCAACAAAAGGCCCCGGCAGGAACAACCCTGCCACCTGTGATCTTTGACCGTGCGAACTTTTGACACAATGCAACCAGACTAAAGCGAAGCAACTGCTTGGTTCGGTGCGACTGACATGAGTGGGGAGGGACAGGTGAGAGCTCCTATCGCTTCCTCTCGGTGTTCAAGTGGGAGAAGCGGAAAGGACGGATCCCGTGGGCGATGAGGGAGAGAGCGAGAGACCCAAATGCCCAGTGGTGCCCTTTTGTCCCTTTTTTGGGGGAAAGGTTCCCCTTTAAAGTCAACCAAGCAAAACGGGATGCCGATTCTTTTTTGCCCATGGCCACATCTGAGGAGAGAGTGAGAGAGACACACTGCATGCGAGGAGTTGAGTCTTAGAGACTTCTGGAGGTGTCAACTTGAAGCTTCCCAGGTTTGGACACATGCCCAAATCTCTGTGTGTTTGTCTTTGAGAACCCTCAAGTTCAAAGGGACAGCGAAGGGAAAGCTACTCGATGAAAAGGCTCAGACTTTGGGTGGCCAATCCACTCAGGAAGCAAGTGGCCGTTTTTCTGAGGGACTTTGGGGTCAACCTCAAGCCAGACTCAGACTGCTCTTGGCCCTGATTCCACAAGAGTCTGAGACCATTTCCGCTAGTCTGTGCATTCCACGTTCGAGTCATGTAGGAAAGCCGCGCTGGACGGTGATGGGGCAACTTCTGCGAAATGAACTCAAAAGCGAAATGTATGGTTTGCAAGCAGTTGGCGCAGGTCCTCGTTGACCTGGCACCTTTCTATTTCTAGATGAAACGAGTCTAGGACAAATAGGCCCTACTTTCAGTCTTTATGGAACTTAATGGGTCACTTCCCAAAAAAGGGGTCTTAGTTATCACGGGACATCTACCAGCTGTCCAATGCTCGTTGACACACACGGCCTCGCCGTTGGAACAGTCTGGAGTCTGCGGAGGTTCTGAGGTTCAGCGGAATTGGTTTCCGTTTCAAAGAGGAAAATCGAAAACGAAACGCATCACTTGGTTTTCTTTGGGACAAAGAACCATCCAATTCATCATCCCACGAGCGATAGAGTCCGGAGTAATTCGGTTGTCAGGGTGGGACATCCTGCTGAAGGCATACTTCGAGGAGTTCAGTCAAGAGGACGACGCAGCGAGGCTTAAACGTGGATCATCCTGTTTGCCCTCCCAACAAATGCATCTAAGCGCAACGCCCCTTTTGGGTTGGTGGTAAAAGGAAAGCGCGAGAAAAGTATCAACATATTCATGGCCCTTTGAGAAACCGAAGCAATCAGGAGAAATGCGAAATGGAAGCTGTTGAAACGGAAACATTGACACCGCCATGGACTTGTCGAAAGTCCCCCATTGCGCCATTTCCCCGGGATAGGTCAAACCTCTGTGGGAAGGGCAGGATTCACGCCGCAGGCTTATCCATCTGAATGCCCCAGTGTCCATAGGCTCCGTCTGCAGCATTGCCAGCAAGTTTCGTGCGAGCTTCCAAGCAGGCATAAGACGAGCCGTTGCGGATGCAGCGTGCTAACTGGGACAAAGTAGCTGTTTGCCCCAAAAAATATGTTCTTAAGATGAGGCGTCGGTCGGGCGGTTCCGCTGCAACAAAAGGGGCAGTTGCCGGTCCACCAACATGAAGCCTGACAAATGTCTGCCCATGGGAAGATGGGAAGATTGTTTTCCTTGTGAGCCTCCATCTACTCAAGATGATTGATGATTTGTCCAGGGCATAGTCATGATTAGTTGTTTTGTTAGTCCTTGTGTTTCCTGGTATCGCCATACTAGGCAACCAAGGGAAACCACGACTTGAAAACTAAGGGCAACATCTGGTTACCTACTACAGTGGCAACTGGAAGCACTGGGAGTGCATTGGCAGAAGCTACCAAACAACGGGATGTGTTCCGCCACGTGTGACGGCAGAGGTAATTCTCGTGCTCAAGACGCAGTCCTTTCATAGCGGAGACGACTTCCACCAGAAAGTGCTCAAGGAGATCCACTCGGCGCAGGTCGGCGGACCAAATGGAATAGAATGTGTCGGGTCTTAGGTTTCAGGGTTGCTTGCAACATTTGTCTAAAGAACAAAAGCAGACTTGCTCAACAGCAGTTGTTTCAACGTGTGTTAGCAAGGAATCGACTTAACCCCGCTGGGTTGCCCTTTAAGAGCTGAGACGCCAAGGGAACAATCTTGCCAGTCATCATGTAATCATAATGTCATGAACTTTGTGAAGTACTTAAAGTAGTTATTGGGATTGACCCCCCCCCCCCGTATATTGGGATTGCCCCTCCCCTCCCCCCTCCCTCGTTGGTATTGGGATTGCTCCCCCCCCCCCCCTAGTTGGTATCGTGGAAAGTTGAATTACGGGCGCCGGGCTTGACAACCCGCTGACTTGTGTGCCAGGCTGGGCGGCAGCCTGCGGCGCGGTACCAGCTCCTTTCGGAGGACCTGGCACTCAAGGCAGGACGCCGAAATGGGTTCCTCCAGTCCGACCAAGTTTCATGTGGAACCTGTGCACCAAAATGGAAAGGAAATCAAATGAAACCTCAGTTCCAAAGCTTCACGGAAAGCTCCAATACCAAAGCTCGGAAGTGGATGGACATGGAAACGCAGCTCAGAATGAGGACACCGAAATGGAAGTCAAATGAAACCTCAGCTCCAAATCTCAGAAGGAAGCTCCAATACTAAATCGGCCCAGTTGCTGGGGACCCAACAGCTAGTCAACGGGTCTTCAGCTTGGGAGAATCTTCGCCGGCTGCCGTTTGGTTGGACGGATCGCAAAGGCGCAGGGAGTGGTCAAATCAACGGATCACACACAAGCAATGTGCAGCACCCGAAAGGAACCCATTTGTCAAAATTTTAGAGACACCTGATTTGACACCTTTCCAGTAGCCATCCATGTTTTGGTGCCTTAGGTGTCCTTTTTAGGCAGTCTTGGTTAAACATAGCTGGGTTCTACTGGTTTCAGTTTGGTTCTAATCGGCATCTATTTATGAAAAGGGACGGGGCTTGAGTCGCCAACTCACTTGTTTGCTTCTTTTCTCTTCTTCTTTTTTTTGGGGGGGGGGGGCGTCCCCTGAGAAAAGACACCCTCACGGACATGTTGTCACATAGGGGGCCTTTGTGAATGTTGTCTCATAGCTAAAGCATGTCATAAGATTAAGCCTTTGGGGATTTGTTGCTCCCGACTCCGAGATACCTTGGGGTATCACCCAAATCTTGGGGCTCGTTCCCGAAGAGTCACACCCATTTTTGGTCAGGCAGGGAACACCACAGCCATTTTCGGGTGTCCCCAAAAAAAGTGACGCAGCCGATGCGTTGTTTTTTTTTTCACCTCTCTCTTGCTCAGGACCTTCCTCGACTCTACCGCGCGGCCGATGCCTTTGTGCTGCCCACCAGAGGTGCCTGTCACTTCGAAGTGACCAGAACTGGCTGTGTCTTGTTCGGAGGGTACCCGGTACTTTCTTTGGCGGTCTTTACAGGAAGACCTAAAAGGAGAACCACAATTTTGGGGTACACAACACAAAGACCCATCCCAATATGTGTGTTGACGTTTGGCGGTTCCATGTCGCAACCAGATGAAGCTTTGACCGGCCCATTTGTGGTCAGACAGGCGAGGGCTGGGGCCGACCCCACGTGGAAGCCATGTCCATGGCCTTGCCGGTGATCGCAACCAACTGGAGCGGATCCACCGTGGCTCGGCTTCACCAGAGCCACTGGTCTGTGAATCGAGGAACCCTTGAAACGGCTTCCATGTTTATTTTGGGGGAGCAATGGAAGGGCGAAATAATTACACACATCATTCTCTGCTGACTAAATGAGAGACCTTTGCCTTTGCCCTGCCAAAACCTTTCCAACTATCTAGTTTCGTTGTTTCTTGGGGGTCCCCCTTTATGTATCCTACAAGCATGCAAGCATGTGGTGCTCTGATTCTAGGCCCTTACAGCCACTTCCTCCCCGCCCCCCCTCGCGCGCATTTGCACGCCCTTTCTATCGCAGGAGTTCCTCTCAGAGTCGGCGGCCCTGCCGCTGCCCATCACCGGCCTAGAGCCGGCGGAGTTGCCTCTGCCGAGCCACGCGGACCACCGCTGGGCAGTGCCCGACGCAGAGGCGGAGAATTCGGGGAGGGGGGGGGGGGGGGGTCCGAGGTTTTCTGGTGGTTGGCCTGTAACAACCGGGAGTGCTCAAACTCACTCCTTCCTTGTTTCCCCGCTGGGTGTCCACTAAACCCTTCCTTGAAGCATCCGGAAAAAAATAATAGCAAATAATAATCAATGCACGTTCCTTGAAGCATCCGCAAAAAAAGGAAAAAACAAGTCAATGCACCAGGTGTAGTTGGCTTTTGTTGCCCAACAACGCCGATCGATTTCCAGGCGCTCAGGCGGCTCATGCGCTGGGCGTTTGAGCACCAGCCAGAGGCCAAGGAGTTGGGCCAGGCGGGGCTTGTGCCTTTCCGCCCGGCTCTGTGTTCCTTTTTTGGGAGGCTGTCCTTTGGAACTTGCTTGGAGGCTACCCTTTTTTTGGAGGCTACTCTCCCAGCAACTAAGGTGGAACTGTGCCTTTTTGGAGGGATCACTCGGGGTCCATCCCCAGTGTGATACAAGGGAATCCCCATTTTGTGAGGGGGGGGAAATGAGTCTTTGGGCCCTTTTTGTTGGAATCCACGGTGCCATTTCCCACAGCCCTGGAGGTCCTTTGTAACTTGCTTGGAGGTTGCCCTTTTGAAGGCTACTCTCCCACGCTTTTCACGTGGAATCTGACAGAGAATTGGTCCCTTTAAAAGGAAACCCCCCTGTCAGGCTCCATGTTAATTGCCTGGAGGCTGTCCTTTGGAACTTGCTTGGAGGCTACCCTTTTTTTGGAGGCTACTCTCCCAGCAACTAAGGTGGAACTGTGCCTTTTTGGAGGGATCACTCGGGGTCCATCCCCAGTGTGATACAAGGGAATCCCCATTTTGTGAGGGGGGGGAAATTAGTCTTTGGGCCCTTTTTGTTGGAATCCACGGTGCCATTTCCCACAGCCCTGGAGGTCCTTTGTAACTTGCTTGGAGGTTGCCCTTTTGAAGGCTACTCTCCCACGCTTTTCACGTGGAATCTGACAGAGAATTGGTCCCTTTAAAAGGAAACCCCCCTGTCAGGCTCCATGTTAATTGCCTGGAGGCTGTCCTTTGGAACTTGCTTGGAGGCTACCCTTTTTTTGGAGGCTACTCTCCCAGCAACTAAGGTGGAACTGTGCCTTTTTGGAGGGATCACTCGGGGTCCATCCCCAGTGTGATACAAGGGAATCCCCATTTTGTGAGGGGGGGGAAATTCGTCTTTGGGCCCTTTTTGTTGGAATCCACGGTGCCATTTCCCACAGCCCTGGAGGTCCTTTGTAACTTGCTTGGAGGTTGCCCTTTTGAAGGCTACTCTCCCACGCTTTTCACGTGGAATCTGACAGAGAATTGGTCCCTTTAAAAGGAAACCCCCCTGTCAGGCTCCATGTTAATTGCCTGGAGGCTGTCCTTTGGAACTTGCTTGGAGGCGACCCTTTTTTGGAGGCTACTCTCCCAGCAACTAAGATGGAACTGTGCCTTTTTGGAGGGATCACTCGGGGTCCATCCCCAGTGTGATACAAGGGAATCCCCATTTTGTGAGGGGGGGGGAAATTAGTCTTTGGGCCCTTTTTGTTGGAATCCACGGTGCCATTTCCCACAGCCCTGGAGGTCCTTTGTAACTTGCTTGGAGGTTGCCCTTTTGAAGGCTACTCTCCCACGCTTTTCACGTGGAATCTGACAGAGAATTGGTCCCTTTAAAAGGAAACCCCCTGTCAGGTTCCATGTTAATTGCCTGGAGGCTGTCCTTTGGAACTTGCTTGGAGGCTACCCTTTTTTTGGAGGCTACTCTCCCAGCAACTAAGGTGGAACTGTGCCTTTTTGGAGGGATCACTCGGGGTCCATCCCCAGTGTGATACAAGGGAATCCCCATTTTGTGAGGGGGGGGAAATTAGTCTTTGGGCCCTTTTTGTTGGAATCCACGGTGCCATTTCCCACAGCCCTGGAGGTCCTTTGTAACTTGCTTGGAGGTTGCCCTTTTGAAGGCTACTCTCCCACGCTTTTCACGTGGAATCTGACAGAGAATTGGTCCCTTTAAAAGGAAACCCCCCTGTCAGGCTCCATGTTAATTGCCTGGAGGCTGTCCTTTGGAACTTGCTTGGAGGCTACCCTTTTTTTGGAGGCTACTCTCCCAGCAACTAAGGTGGAACTGTGCCTTTTTGGAGGGATCACTCGGGGTCCATCCCCAGTGTGATACAAGGGAATCCCCATTTTGTGAGGGGGGGGAAATTCGTCTTTGGGCCCTTTTTGTTGGAATCCACGGTGCCATTTCCCACAGCCCTGGAGGTCCTTTGTAACTTGCTTGGAGGTTGCCCTTTTGAAGGCTACTCTCCCACGCTTTTCACGTGGAATCTGACAGAGAATTGGTCCCTTTAAAAGGAAACCCCCCTGTCAGGCTCCATGTTAATTGCCTGGAGGCTGTCCTTTGGAACTTGCTTGGAGGCGACCCTTTTTTGGAGGCTACTCTCCCAGCAACTAAGATGGAACTGTGCCTTTTTGGAGGGATCACTCGGGGTCCATCCCCAGTGTGATACAAGGGAATCCCCATTTTGTGAGGGGGGGGGAAATTAGTCTTTGGGCCCTTTTTGTTGGAATCCACGGTGCCATTTCCCACAGCCCTGGAGGTCCTTTGTAACTTGCTTGGAGGTTGCCCTTTTGAAGGCTACTCTCCCACGCTTTTCACGTGGAATCTGACAGAGAATTGGTCCCTTTAAAAGGAAACCCCCCTGTCAGGTTCCATGTTAATTGCCTGCAGGCTGTCCTTTGGAACTTGCTTGGAGGCGACCCTTTTTTGGAGGCTACTCTCCCAGCAACTAAGATGGAACTGTGCCTTTTTGGAGGGATCACTCGGGGTCCATCCCCAGTGTGATACAAGGGAATCCCCATTTTGTGAGGGGGGGGGAAATTAGTCTTTGGGCCCTTTTTGTTGGAATCCACGGTGCCATTTCCCACAGCCCTGGAGGTCCTTTGTAACTTGCTTGGAGGTTGCCCTTTTGAAGGCTACTCTCCCACGCTTTTCACGTGGAATCTGACAGAGGGTCCCTTTGGTCTTCCAGGACCTCAGCATGAGCATGAGCGAGCCCAGAATGTTGCCCTTGAGTGGAGACGAGGCGTTGGATAGACGCCTCACTGAAGGGGCCCTACACTATGTGTGGCTTGCCCCGATCAAAGCCTAGACTTCCAGGACCCTGTCAGGTTCCATGTTAATTGCCCTTTTTGCCCTTGGAAGTGTTCCTTAAGGCTCACCTTTTTTGGAGGGTACCCATTTGGGTGTGGCTCCAAATTAAACGATCGGGGGGGCAAACCGCAGGTTTTAGCCAGGTTTCCACTTACCAGGGTTCCATTTTGGTACCGGTTTTTTGAGCCACAGCCATTTGTTGGTAAGGGAAAATCATAGGCTTGACTGCCAAAGATAGCCAATGGATCTTGTGCGGGTTCTATCATCATTCATGGCTCAGTCCCAAATGCGGGAACTATGCCCATGCGTGTTGCATGTTGCGCCCCTAGTTATGTTACTCTTGACCAGGTTAAGCATCATCACTTTGGCGCAGTTGCAGATGTATCTGTTCTTGGCGAGGTGATGTTTAAAAGGGGGCATAGAAGGTGTAACCTTGTGGCATTTTCGAGGCGTTCGCACATGTCTCCTGGGGTTGACCTTGTTTTTATGTGGCATATTTTTGCTTGCCTACCTGCTGGATCCGCTGGGAAAGGGCCCGGGGAGTCTTTTTGGCCACCCGGCTTGGGCGCAGGCGGCTCGCGCGCACATGCTGCAGAACTTCAGCCCGGAGGTGGTGGTGGCGCGGCACGTGCTGCCGCTCCTGCGAGAAGCTTACGGACCGACCGACTCGGGGCCGGGCGGGGTCCGTGTGGGTTCATGGGTGGGCTGCTGCGGATTTCCTGGCTTCAAAGGGTTGGGGTGGGGGGGGAAGGAGGGGGGGTGGGGGAAGGAGGGCGGGGAATGAAGAGGAAACAGAAGAAAGCCAGCGGTTCATGATGAAACCTCAGGAGTTGAAGGATCAATCTGACCTTTGGATGAAAGAGGTTCTGGCAGATGTTCTGGTGTGAATTCCTTTCGACGCAGCAACATGTATTGACAGAGTTAATGTGCCTTGTTGATAGACTGTACATGCAAAAAAGAAAGAACAAAAACATGGATTCCCATAGATTTCCTCAAAAGCCCTCGGCTGCATTCTGCTTTGCATGTCTGACTGCAGCTTTGTTGACCGCTGCCGTATGTCTATTGTTCGAGCCTCTTCCTCACTTCCTGTCACTGTTTGAACAAGGCGATCACTTGAAAGTGGTGTTTCTTGCCGGTATTGCGCCAGGATCCGCCAAGTCCGAGCTTTGACATCAAAACAACGCTGGCAGCGCGCATTTGCGTAGAAGGAGGGTCGTACATGGTTACACGGTCGTACCATTGTATCTCGTTGTTGTGTGATTGTCATCTTCCAAGCGAAGGGGGAAGAGGAATCATGAAGTTCGCGTTGATTTCAGTCCAAGAGGTACCCTTTGTCCAATGATGAAAGTGATCGTTTTGGGGCCAAAGAGGACTTTTGTTTTCCCAAACCGTTCTTGTCAGCTTGATTGTCAGAAAGAGGGTCCACGTTGTTTCATGTTCCAAAAGCCTCAAGGGGCAATTGGAATGAAATCAATAACTTGACTGGCGACATTGGGCCCGTCATAAAAGGGCTGCGAAAATACCCTGGGCTTTTCTAGTCGCTGATGGCCAGTTGTGCAAAGCTCATTTCGCGGCACGTGTGCAAATTGACCACAAGTTCACTGGGCATGCGACACTACTTTAGCATGGCCTTGCCTTTGATGTTGAAGCCTGCCGATTCGTGCAATAAGACTCATGACGCAGGCTTGGCACTAAACGATGCCTACCGGTACTGCTACTTGGGTAACATTTCCGCAGCGACTTGCTAAAAGTATGGCGAAGTCAGCTGCACCAATCATTTGCGACGTGCGTTGATAAATGAAGCCTTCTCGTGTGTTCGTCACTTCGTATCCAACGCCTTCCCCGTGTATGATACATGGTCAATATTCCATCAAGGGCACATGGGTTGGGCCAATTTGAGACTAGTCAAGATTCGATGCGCATGGCATGGTCTTTGGCAATGAGGCCTGCTGGAGAAACAAAGCTGTGCACCTTACAATCATAGGCTTTACCCCGGCCATTTCCACAGCACGCGTTGTGAATGAAGCGCCACCTCCGTTTGGGCTCCAGCATCAAGCCGGGCACCCCGGAAGCTGCGGGAGGCCCCAGCGGAAAGGGCGTGGCCGTGTTTTAAAGGGTAACCCTTTTGGGGTGGTGTATTCAAAAGGAGGCCGAAATGAACAACCGAAGCAGTTTGTAGGTCTAGGCCCCTAAACAATAACACACCATGAATGAGCAAGGCACAGAATACTCGTGTCTAGCAAAACGCCAAGGGCCAAGTGAGCATCAGATTCACCAGATGGGGTCTGTGTGTGTGTGAAAACCGGCGGGCCCCCCATGAAGCAGGGTAAAGATGACCGCTTCCTGTCGGGGCTGTCCCTTTGAAGTTCAGAAAGAAACGGGTATGACATGCAGCGAGTGAACGGATGCTGTTGTGATTGGATTGGCGCAGAACATGTGCAGAGTTCAAGTACCTGAGACACGGAGATGTAGTCAAGCAGTTTGTGCGGTTTGATAAACTTTGGTCGCGCACGATGCGAGCGTGCATGGCTTGGACGTGTTTGTGCGTTCGATCTTTGTGCAAGTGACTGCGTCGACTCCCCGAGGCAACTACACAGCGAACCGAACCGTTAGCGCTCATTCTGCAGAACATGTTCAGGCCGGGGTACGTCATTGGCCTTTGACGTGCACGGGGGTTGTTGCAACCTTGCCTTAAGAATCCTCAAGTCACCACTGCATCATGTGTGTGTGTGTGTTTTACTTCTATCAGCGCAAGCGGAACACCATGCCGTCAAACATAGGGCGACCTTGTGTTCCTTGCTGGGTTTCCTTTAAACCAAGCCCCAAACGGCTGCCCAGAAAACAAACAGCGATGGGCCATTGGTGTTTGTTTCAGTTTCTTGGCTGGCAAGGCCTGCGCGTCTTGGTCTCTATCTGCTGGGCTTCCTGGCAACTCAGGACCGGTGCATAAGCTGCTCGATGCCTGTGCCATGAACGGATCGCCAGGGTTGCTTCGAGCCGTTCGAAAAAAGAGACCAAGCCACAAGCAAACTTTGGCGTAGCCTGAATTTCCACAACTTCCTTTAGCCTGGGGGCCAACCATTCTACCCTTCCGATCGCGTCTGCGGCCCCCCCCCCTGATGGTGTCCTTACAACTGGTGACAACCCAGAAAGCACTTCACTTGCCCAAAGCAAACCCCAACACCCGAAGCTTTATGTTGGGCACTTTGATTTGGGGTGGGTGAATAGTGCAGGCATCTCCCGTCCACTTAGCAACATGCAGGCCACCCGGTCCCTACCACCCTTCTCACTCAGATGGAAGGGAAGCTCAGCCTGTGGGCCCGCAGGAGTTGGCTCGGGGATACGAGGCCCTGCGCCGACCTCTCTTTCGCATGCTTGGTGGTGGGTGTGGCTCAAAATTAAGCAGGAGGGGTTACGCAGGTTTTGGTCCATGTTTCTACTTCCCAGGGTTCCATTTTGGTACCGGTTTTTTGAGCCACAGCCTGGTATTGTCCGCTTTTGCTCAAGAGCCACGTTGAGCACAAGACATCTTGAAAAGGCTCCCTATGCCCAACTCAATGTGCATAGGATGGACAGTCGTGCGCGGAGTCTTCACGTTGCAGCTTTGGCGTTTGCAGATCTCTATTCGGGCCAAGTAGATGCAATTTACCCATCCTGTATAAATATGATGTAAGGGGCATACGCCCCACAAAGGCTTTACCGGAAAAGATGAAGGCGTTTAAATAGTTTGCTTTATCCAGGAGAACCGCCATTTTGTTGTGTTCCCTATCTTGACGCCACCCAATTTGGATAACCAATCCCCACCCCTTAAGGTGGGAGGGTGGTATCTATGTCCAATGTGTTGGATCTATGTGCTTCAGGCTGCTTGCGAAGCGGACGTGGAGGCTGCTGAGCTGGCTGAGGCGTGCATCGGGATCCGTGTACTTGCTGAGCGGCGCAAAGTCATTACTTGAAGCCAGTTGTGAACATGTGCAGCTCACCAAGATTGCGCAGCAGGAGCTACATGTAGCCAGAGAGAATGCTCAGTATGGGTGTCTTTTTTGAGGAATCCCTTTTTTGGCGGTGTTAATGAAAACCAACAGGACCAAACCCATTTTGGGGTCTCCTATATTAAGACACCCCCGCATGCGACCCCTTCTTCTTGTTCTTTGTTCGCCCCACCCTCAGCGCACTGAAGCAAAATTCACTTGACGAACAGCCGCGCGATTCCATCTATGTGCCATGGTCAGAACATTGTGTTTGTGTGTTTGTGGTGAAATGTGGTTGTTTCTGGCAGACCTTGAATTTCTGCGTCTGCGTTTGTGCCTGCGTGTGCCTGTATGCGTCTTTTCCATGTTTGCGTTTGTGCCTGCGTGTGCCTGTATGCGTCTTTTCCATGTTTGTGTGTGTCTGTGTGTCTGTGTGTCTGTGTGTGTCTGTGTGTGTCTGTGTGTGTCTGTGTGTGTCTGTGTGTGTCTGTGTGTGTGTCTGTGTGTGTCTGTGTGTGTCTGTGTGTGTCTGTGTGTGTCTGTGTGTGTCTGTGTGTGTCTGTGTGTGTCTGTGTGTGTCTGTGTGTGTCTGTGTGTCTGTGTGTGTCTGTGTGTGTCTGTGTGTGTCTGTGTGTGTCTGTGTGTGTCTGTGTGTGTCTGTGTGTGTGTCTGTGTGTGTGTCTGTGTGTGTGTCTGTGTGTGTGTCTGTGTGTGTCTGTGTGTGTCTGTGTGTCTGTGTGTGTCTCTGTGTGTCTGTGTGTGTCTGTGTGTCTGTGTGTCTGTGTGTCTGTGTGTCTGTGTGTCTGTGTGTCTGTGTGTCTGTGTGTCTGTGTGTCTGTGTGTCTGTGTGTCTGTGTGTCTGTGTGTCTGTGTGTGTCTGTGTGTCTGTGTGTCTGTGTGTCTGTGTGTCTGTGTGTCTGTGTGTCTGTGTGTCTGTGTGTCTGTGTGTCTGTGTGTCTGTGTGTCTGTGTGTCTGTGTGTCTGTGTGTCTGTGTGTCTGTGTGTCTGTGTGTCTGTGTGTCTGTGTGTCTGTGTGTCTGTGTGTCTGTGTGTCTGTGTGTCTGTGTGTCTGTGTGTCTGTGTGTCTGTGTGTCTGTGTGTCTGTGTGTCTGTGTGTCTGTGTGTCTGTGTGTCTGTGTGTCTGTGTGTGTGCGTGTGTGTGTGTGTGTGCGTGTTTGTGTGTATGTCAATGGGTTTGTATATGTGTTCATATCTGAAGGTGCCAAGGGTTGGAAGTGCCATTCAAACACGACCAGCTTGGGTTTAACATGTTAGGTCCCCCAGCAGTGCCCTTGTACCCTTTCTTGGGGGAGGGTTCCCCATACCAAAATAGACTACAGAACAAAAGGGTACCCTTATTCTAACCTCTCTACTGGAGGACCTAGCATGTGATTTTGTTTCTTGCGAGCAGTCCAACCATAGGCTGGGTTCAAAAGGAACGGGGAGCCCACCCGGTCAGGCTGAAGCCTTAAAGACAGAGCTGCCCGTGCCTCAATGGATTCATTCCTGCCATTTGCCTGTGGGTTTGTTCTGTTTGACTGTTTGTTCCAGAGGCAAGTTGTCAATGAGCGACACATATGTTTTGCTTCTGACGTTGTGGCACCTGAAACAAATAGACAGATTCGCGTGTGAGAGACGTGAGAACGAGGGCCATATGACGTCGAGGGGGAACCTATCGAAGCTGCTTGATTCATGTAGACATAGTGTGAAGCACCAAGTGCCTTGCCATGAGCACATGCGGTTTAGGTTGCCAGTTTCTGTGATACCTAGAGAGTCACCAAAGTGATAAAGTCCAAGGTATGGCCTGTTTCCTACTGTCGTGTTCAACTTCCATGCTGAATCCATATGGCGGATGGTAGTTATTTCCGGTGTTCTGTGCCCCACTTTTGAGGCAAAATCGGCTCAGGGATACCCTCCCACCAATTAATATGGAACCGGGGTCCCTTGAAAAGGAAGATGGTCCGAGCCAGGACCCCACCGCAGCTTGTCAGGTTCCATGTGAAAACGGGTGGGAGGCTACCCCCCCGTTTTGATTCGACCCCCGGCTCTCGAGGCTTCAGGTGAAAGTCTCCAGCGCAGGGACCTTCGATGAAGACGAGGCCTCCTTCATCCAAGCGGACAAGGCGCGGGGGTTCTGGGTGTTTCCAGCATTTTGGGATGTGTGTTTTTTGGGACCCACTCAACTGGTGGTTTTTCCCCTTGTGGTTTCCGGTTCCAACCAACCAAACAGGGGTACCCCTGAAAAAAACACAATCACCCATTTAGAAGGGGTGGGGAAACCCTGTATATCCCAGTTAGTTCAATGAATCCAGGGTGACTTGTGGGTGTTTTGGAGACTCGGAACCCTTGGTTGGAGGGAAATCAAACGAAAGCCACGTGGTTGGGTCCAAATCCCTATTTTGACACCCCGCATACACCCTTTGATTTCCCCCTTTTTGGCCCATTTGAATATGTTTTGGAACCAAGTTTGAAGCTTTGCGGCTTCCCTGCGTGCCCTGCTGCCGGCCCTATTACTGCACCCGCTCTCATTGTGAAGGGTTTAATGGGGATCTCTGACCATCCCTCCACGGATATGTCAACAAGGATTGTCGACGCGTACGCGTTTGTCCAGAGAAGCAGCGCTGGATCTTGGGCACACATTGAGCGACACATCATCCCAGTTGCCCAGCGGTGCCCTTTTTCCTTCTATTTTTTGGGAAGGGTTCCCCTTCAAAGTCAACCGAACAAGAAAGGATGCCGATTCTTTTTTCCCCATGGAAATCCACGGGGCATCTGAGTCATTGTCGAGATTCTAGGTCAGTCATGGCCACGGCTCCCAAGGCCTCTGTTGTGATCGACGACATGGCTGAGTTCCCCACCATGTTGGCCGCAGTCTCAGAGGGTTCCCGGTGCCCAGCGACCGCATTCTTGGAAGTTTTAGAGGTTTTCCTGCGCGACTCATTTCTTCAGACTTGTTTTGTTTTCCCCAGGAGCAATCTTGGTCAAAATGGCAAAATGTTGGTCAAAATGTTGGTCAACATGTTTTTCTTCAATGTTGGTCAAAATGGCACCAATCCCTCTCTGAATGCTTCGTTTCACTTCGATTCAGGCAAGTGTCCCTGTCGAAAACCAGCCAGTTGCTGGAGTCTGAAGCCTGAGACATGCCCGTTGGTTGTTTCGCTGGAGATGCCAATGGGTCGCAATTGAGCTTGGGCCACTTTTCTGACAGCCTCAGTTTCATTCATTGGCCCTCAAGCCAAACATTTTGACGATCATCCAGTAGCCAAAGCATTTGGGGAGCGCGTGAGTCACGGCTGTTTCCACTAACGTGATTGCCGCGTAGAATAACTTGCACGCTGCGCACATGACGCACGCAAAGATGAAAGAGCCGCAGACACAGACACACAATCACAAACACAAGCGCGAACACACACGCACAGAGACACACAAACACAGACACGCACGCAGACACAGACGCACAGAGACACACACACAAGCACAAACACAAGCCCAATCACGAACACAATCACAATCACACACACACACACACACACACACACACACACACACACACACACACACAGGCGCACAAAGTCGCACATTCAGACATTGAGACACGTACACACACACACACACAAGCACAGAGACACACACACAGACACACAGACACGCACGCAGACACAGACGCACACGCACACGCACAGACATACACACAGACACACACAGACACACACACAGACACACACACAGACACACACAGACACACACAGACACACACAGACACACACAGACACACACAGACACACACAGACACACACAGACACACACAGACACACACAGACACACACAGACACACACAGACACACACAGACACACACACACACACAGGCGCACAAAGTCGCACATTCAGACATTGAGACACGTACACACACACACACAAGCACAGAGACACACACACAGACACACAGACACGCACGCAGACACAGACGCACACGCACACGCACAGACATACACACACAGGCACACAGAGTCGCACATTCAGACATTGAGACACACACACACACACACTCACACGCACGCACGCAGGCGCGCACGCACCCATGCAATCAACTTTATTTAACCAAATTAATACGTTTGTCAAACAAATACGGCTATGAGTTGTTTGCTGTTAAAGCACAAAGTCGGCTCGTAATTCATACAACTCCGCACTCACTGACATGTTTTGAGTGCGCATGGCGCGGCTGTTTAGGTTACAGGAGCGGTCGGCTTTGGCTCTCCAGACGCCGCGTGCCAACTCAGGTGCAGACTGCGATCGAGGCAGCGATTGCTTGTCGCGGGAATCTGTTGGCGCTGGCACCATGCCTTACGTACTGAGCCTTCCGTTTTCAGCAACATGGACCTTTTGAGCAGAGCTGCAAGATGCCGGTACAGCTATTCTTACATACCGCTTTTGGACTTTAATCTCTTTGAGAAGATCATGTTGGTGCTAAAGAGGGAGTCTGGACGTCTGGACCTATTTTGACCAATCCACTCAGGAAATGATGAAATATTCCGTAGCGATTGTTATTGGTTTACTGCGCTATGCAGCGCGATTCTGCAGATACGGACCACCTGCAGATACGGGCCACCTGCTCATCAAAGAAGCACAGGAAAACACTTGCGGCATATGTGTTTTTCAAACACATGCAATGCTGCTAGGCTTGAGCTCTTGCGTTTGTTTACGAACACATTGGCCGGAGTGGTAAATGGTGGCTACAATGTCCTGCCAACAAACCAGTGCTGGCTTTTTGCTGAATTGAGGAGCCCCCAACCAGTGAGTTGGCGAACACCCAAGCTGGGTGCAGCATGTAGCCAACCAACAAAGCCGTCGCCAATTTTGTCGTACTGCGCAGCTCACGCCCACGTCTGACGAGCCAGTGCGGGCACTCACCGGGCAGGGGGGCGGGGAGGCGCGATGGTCTCAAATCGGGCCCCTGAAGCGTTCTAGAGATTTGCAATGGGTTGGCGCCAATGTTTCTGGCTGGTTTCCTTCAAGTCTCCTAATCACCATCCAGAAGTGACTCCAATGGTTTGAATGTCGGTTGATCACTGCTGAGTTCAGTAGCACAATTCCCGGTGGAGGAAGGGGGAAGACGAATCCCAAGCGGGGGACATGCGCCATTCACTCTTACTCAACTCTATCGCAAGGAGATGGGTCAATGTAGTAGATCTACTTGCAGTTCTTTCGCAAAGTATCTTTTGTGACTTAGTGTGACGGCAGTCATGCTGAACGTAGGTTGGCTACGGCTTGCACTGCAAGTCATTTTTGTCATTGAGGCTTAATGCAAAGATATTCAAACCCCACTTGCTTGTGCTTCCCCGGGCAGCGTTCATGTTGGACAGGCATGATTCGACATCCTCATGCGGTGTGTGGTTGCATACATGTAGGCATAGGCACAGAACTTGTGCAAGTACGGAGCCGTTTCGGCATGCATCAACATGGTCCACAAAGAGGTTGCAGTGAGTTGAAGCATGGGCCATGCCTGGACACGCCTAGCATATCCGCTCCATGGATCATGCAGGCAACGTTTCTTTCTTCCTCAGCTAGTTCAGAGGCTCTGGGAGGGGCATCGAAAAGCTGAAGGTCTGCAGGGCTTTGACTGGGACAAAGTCGACCCCGGTTTCATCAACCTTCAGGATCAAGACAGAGGCTCCCGCTAAAGTGGCAGATTCTCACTTAACACGGGACACCCGCTATCCGTCATGTTTTGTTGATCCTGGATACCCATTATTCGTGTGGTTGCTACAGCCATGGCCAGATTCGGTGACTGTGCCTGTACTCCGAGGTGGTGTGAGTTCCAAGCTTGGAGCTACTGAGCGAGCGTCGAGATCAGCCATTTGCGAGTTCAAAATGAGCGCAGCGGATCGATCCCCAGCATCTCATTGCTTGCGCAGGCAGACGAAACCGTGCGGAACCTCGTCAACAGCCCCCAATGTTTGACGACTTATCCAGATGGATTTGATCTACCTGGCACTGGCTCAAAACCCACACACTCCTTCTATCCCGTATGATGTGTGAGCATGGCTCCGCTAGTTTCGGCTCGAGATCCGCAGACGCCAACCCTCCGACCCGCGGTGTGCTGATCCACTCCTTTGCACCTCGCAGGCGGCGAAAAAACGCTGGCGGGGTGAGCCGCATGTAAGCACACTCTCAATCCACACGAGCTATTGGCTTGCATATTGTTCCTTCCGCTGACCTGTTTAGTTGAAAACAGCTTTAAACTCGTGCAAGACTTCTTCATCGCTGTAGTAAAGGCCCAAGAAGTTCAATCAGGCTTTTCCTGGCGGGCCAAAGCGGGTCAGACTTCCTCCCGTGCCCCACCTAGGCCCCCCCTCGCCATGTCCTATGGGGCCGGTGCCAGACCGCGTTGCCTCGCGAGAGCGCGTGGCGCTGATCGGCCGACTGGGCCGCGAAAGCTGCCGCTCGGCTGAGAGTTGGGGCTGTTGCCCAAGCTAAAGGCTTAGGGTTTAGGGTTTAGGGGTTTCAATGCCGTGGGCTTCCCTTCAAATCCATCCAAGAAGGGTTCCCTACTTTGAGACATACCGGTGAAGCGGTCGTTGATTGTTTATGGGGCCTCCTACTCGTGCAAATCCACCAAATTGCCTGAAATTGGTCGGGATGGTCATCCACCCTGCAGGAATGTGGAGAGCTATTTTTCGATCTAAACGTCACTTCACTTGGTGGTTCCCAGTGATGCCCTTAGCTTTTCAGCTTTTTTGGGTTTTTTTGGGGGGTTCCATTCAACCCACTAACACTTCACTTTTCGGAAGGGATCTGAGGACAGCCCAGATCACAATTGCTGGAGCATGTGCACGCATGAGATAATGAGCGATGTGATTTGGGCATGGATCCTGGAAGCCAGGACACAAGTTCAGGCATGAAGCAGTGAGAATTGCAGACCATTTGCTTCGACGAGCCACTGAACAAAACACGCAATTCCCTTTCAAGGCAGAAGTTTGGGGGCTCTGCAAACTTGACGGAGTGCCAACCTAACTTCCCTAGCTGCCAAAAAGGGATGGATCTTTGTCAAGTTTGTGCAGACCCCCCCCCTGCTTCAAACTGCCATACAAACTATTGAATGCCTTACTTGTGTCACTTCAATCCTCAATATGTTTTGCTGAATTGAGTTCGAACTGCCGGAAGAACGAACCCAGCCGCCCATGAAGTCGAATCAACGCCTCAGGTTGGCCCAAAGCCTTGGCCATTTTGGACGAAGATCTGCCTCTGGACGTCTTCGCCTGCGGCGCGCTGGTCCGGGTCTGCGCGCGATGGGACCAGGCCTTGGCAGTGGTCGCCGAAGGCCGGCGGTCGCTCAGGGGCCGCGATGAGTCAAGGGGCATTGGCAGGGCGCGGTGGGTATGGGCGGGTCACAATCAAACCACCAGGGGACCGCAGGTTTTAGTCCATGTTTCATGTAATCACCGTGGCGGGGAATCTGTTTGGTTTGGTAGGGGCACTAAGGATGCAGAAAGTGAAACCACAGGCTGTAGGTAAAGATGATTGAGGTCACATCCGCAATGATGCGAGCAGACATTCGACCGCTGTAGGCGCTAGTATTTCAAAGCCAGTCACTCCAGCCAGCTGACGCGTGGAAAATGGAGCCAGCCACTCGCACCTCCCAGCTCCAAGGGCTTCGGTTCAGAGAACTGATCCCGTGGTCGATGTGTCATTTGGCTGTGGTGGTCAACACCGTTTTGAGAAGGATCCCATTTTGGGGGGTTGGTGAATTCACCCATGTTAGAACCTATTTTCGTGGGGATTGAATCGGATGTTCACTGGAGGTACGATTTGGGTTTTGACCCATGGTCATTTGTTCGATTCGTGTTGGATGATTTTGTAGGCCATCGCAACGTCTTTGGAGTCTGTCTCCACTTCCCAGGCTAAAGGGACAGGTGCCCCTGAGCAGATCATGACTCGACCCACTGAAGGATCAGCCTGCATTGTTCCCTTTGACATAGGCAACCCCACACCTTTTTCAGCTTACCTTTTGGAAACTCTTGCTCTTCCTGGTTTTGGCGCCCTGTTTGGGTCCCTTGGCTTCCTATTTTGGCCAGACCCCCCCCCCCACCCGCCCCAGCGGTGACCTGTCAGTTCTGCCAGGCCTGGCGCGGCGGATTGCGCCCAACACCGTGGTTTGCAACACCGCCATCAGCTCTTCGCCGAGAAAAGAAGAAACGTGTGGGGAGGTTTTCGGTCCGGAAGGGGAGGCAGTAAGACCCCTTGAGTTGGTTGAGATGGACCAAGGATGTGTGGAATCTGGAGGATTGCAGCAACAAAATGTGCGTTTGTTCCCTCCTTTGCACCAAGACTTGAAATTTGGCCTTGTGTGCACCTCTCTGGCAAACCGGGGTCTCAATGGCTCATATGGTTGGGGTCATGCTGCCATGCGGGGGCTTGGGCTGAAACTTTTGCCTGACGTCGGGAAACATGGTTGTATTGATGTCTACCCACCAGGCTTCAGGATGTTCCAAGCGTTGACGCTCCCTGTTAGCCATGTAGGTGGACATGTGTCGAACACAGACCATTTTCGCGTGAGTTTCAAGGGAATCAGCCATTGTGTTTGCTCCATGTCCCGCTGTTTCAAGGCGAACCCCTAAAGCCCTTTCTGCGTCTTTTAACAAACAGAATCCCGAATGAGCCTTTTCAAGGTGAGCCAGTAGACAAAGGGTTGGGAGTTCTACTTTACCACAAAAGTGTGTTCATTGGTGAAAAGGGATGCCTCAGTAAAAGCAAAGAGGTCCCTGTCATATACATTTGCCCTAGCCTCCTTGGTTGTATTCAGCAACGTGTCAAATAACAGTGATATGTTGGAATTTCCCTTAAGGGGCGCCACAGGGACGGCCCATGTTTCATCCCCAGCCCCCCCAGCCCCCCCCGCCATTTTGCTCATTTCTTCCAGCCGAAACCGTCGATTCCATTTGTCCCCCCTCAGCCGAGCCAAGCGCAAGGTGCTTGTGCCAAGGGCTCGCAGTGGCCGTGGTGCCTGCAGCTGATGCAGGAAGGGTTCGCACAACTTCGTTTCAACAAGATCTTCGTTTGAAGGGAACCCAAGGAGGTGGTTTGGAACAGGGGTCCCGGAATTGGGGTCCCGGAAATAGGTGTTTGGAAAATCGGCGGTTCAACCCAGGGAGGATGTTTCAACCACAACCTCTTGCGACGTGCCCTCAAGAAAACCCAAAGGAGGTTCTTGGAATCCCATCCGAAGATGTTGGTTGAACCTATCTGTAGGTTGAGACCATTCCCTGACTGGGGGTTAAAAAATGGTTTCAACCACAGCCTCCTGTGGTTTTTGCTTTGAGGGGAACCCAAAGGAAGTTGTTTGGAGCAGGGATCCCGGAACTGGGGTCAATGGGTGTCGTCAAACCCAGGAAGGAGGTTGTTTGAACTGTAGGTTGAAACCGTTCCCTGACGGGGGGCGGGGGAATAAAAAATAGTTTCCAACCACAACCTCTTGCGGTGTGCCCTGAAGAAAACCCAAAGACGGTCCTTTGGATCCCATCCGGGGATGGCTTAAACTATCTCCTGACCGGGCGTTGGTGGTTGTTTGTGATTAGTGTTTTTTTTTGCAAGTAAGGGTCCCTCCAAGGGACGCTTTTCAGGGCTCAGACCATGGTTCAAGCAAGCGCTTCGATGGGTGTGTGTGTGAGTGTGTGTGTGTGTGTTCTGATGGTACCCTTTCCACCTCGGTTCAAAGGGCAACCAAAGGGAAAACCACACACTGTTGTGTCCAAATCCCGATATGACACATACCCGAATCGCTCCAATTCTCAAGGGCATTGTCAGGTAGGGTTTTGGAGGTATGCATGCTTATGTGCCACCAACAACAGCTTGTTAGGCAGTGTGTACCCGTTATACAAGTGGGATATGAAACCTCCATGCCTCCAAAACTACCCTCGAAATACCTGGCACTAGTACTACTGGTACTACCTGGCACATACACAAATATATATAGGCAGATACACACATGACATATTTATTTATATATATATGCATACATATGCATTTCTGTATGTCCATTCGACCTGAGGCCCAGTGACGTCCCCTTCCCGCGGCCAGGACATGGCGACTCAGCGCCTGGACTTGGACGTGATCACTTTCAGCAGCCTCATCAACGCCTACGCGCAGAGCCAGCGCTGGCAGCGAGCGCTCGAGGCACGGGGACATGGCCCAGACCTGGCGTAGGTGTCCTTGTTTCATGGTGGTTGAACGGGAAAAATGTTGCATTTGTTGCTTCTTGTGGTTTAGTGGTTGAAATCAATCCCCACTTGACTGCTGAAGACTGAATTGTTGAAAAGTGAAAACCTCTTCCTGGTTAAAGAAGCAGAATTGGAGCGTCGGGTTCCGATTTTTTGAACACATGGGCGAACACATCTTTTAGAGTGTGTTGAAAACAAGAAAATGAAGATCTCGATTTCAGGGGACACCCCGCAGCCACAATGTTATGTTTTCCAGACGGGGAGACGGACACGTTCAGCGGCTGCGGTTGCGATCAGAAGGGGATTTCTGTAGGGGAAGCCAAAACAAATGTTTCCCTTTGAGCTTGCTACTTTCACCCTTGGTATCACAAAAGATGGCAACCTAAAACCCGCTCTTCCTCCATGCAACACGGTGAGTCAAGGCCGCATCGCCGACCTGTTGCCAAAATCGATGGCCCCGGTACATGGAATAAAACCCCATCTAAACCAGTGGAACCCCTTGCTACTTTCAAGCAAACAAACCCAAAAACTTGGTTGACGTTCGAAGGGGAGCAACTTGGACTCCTGCAGAGCCAAGGAAGGCACCAATGTGCTGGTCTGGAAAATACAAGAAGCCAAAAGGGCCAAAGGGCAACGGGTACCCAAAAGCAACAGACGGTCCAGAAAAGCTCTTACAAGGTCCCTTCTCTCGGTCAAATTCACTTCTGGATACGACATGATGCAAGTGACCTATGCAACACTCCCGGTGAGGATGAATGGAGCCTGAATCAAATGCTGGCGGCTCACAGCTCACATGGCTTCAAGAGTCCTGTGCGAAGCCACATGCCTCGTCTTCATTTTGCTATGTTGACCATGGATAAATAAACCCCGGCCAGTTTATTGACGTGGGGGTGCTCCCTCCAAAAGTGATAAATTCCAACTAAAACCAGGGACGCCCATGTAATAAACAGGGGTTTATTAGTCTGGGGTCAACATTATCAAGTTTGAAGGTATAGCGTGGGAGATCGGTCCTGCAAGCTGCGCATTCCAGACTGAAATGGTCAGCCACCCTCTGACCCCAACTTCTCCATGTCAATGTCAAACACATTAGCGCAGTTCGTGTTTGTTCGCGGCACATGTCCGAGTTTCCGCCACGCAGCGGTCAGGCTTTTGGCAGAACAAGAGGTTGTCCAGTTTCTGAAATTGAGGGCCTGGTTTGCGTGATGCCCAAACGGCAAATCACAAGCCCCCCCCCCCCGCCACTCGTGTTTTCCCCGTTTGTGTTTTGCCTTGCAACACAGAGTAGCATCGAGAGGTCTGTTCAACATGGGTGACAACAACCATGGAAGCTGACGATCGGAAGTTTTGGAGGACGACTTTCCTTTTGGGGTCGCTATCCAGAATGCCAGCGATTCAACGCATGTTCGAGGGTCTGATGCTGAAAGCTGGCAGGGTGGGCAGGTCGTGAGGTCATGCCGGCCCTCGGTTGCTTGTGCGCTTGTTGCGAGAAAATTTCGGGGTTCCATGGCTCAAACACCCGGGTTTTTCCCAACCCGAGCCTACCCAAAAAAAATAAAATAAACCGCCGCCCCCAAACCGAGCCACGCGGGCTGGGTCGAGGTACTTGCCTCCATGCCCGAGCAGCGGGCGATGCCCAACCTCCTCTCCTACAGTGCCGCGATGAGCCTGGATCTGCATGGGACCTAACAGGTCAGGGACCCCCCGAACCCCCCAAAAAACCCAGGCCGAAAAGGGACCCGGCGCTTCTAAAAGGGGTCTCGGCAGGGGTCCCTTTTTGTCTCCCAAAAGAAGTTTGTAGATGGTCCATGGTCAGACCCTTATGAGCAAGCTGTCCATTGTCAGACCCTGAGCAGGCAAAAGGAAGGGGAAGGTGTCGTTTGGGATGCACATGTTTGTTTAGGGTAGACTTTTCAGGTTGGGTAGGGAAGTCAAAACGGAAACCAACATGTTTGACATATTTCCGGTGTGCGCCGAAAATCTGAAAACACGGACAGAATCAAGATCGATGGTTTGATTTGTCTGGAAATTGGCAAGATCTAGACCAATGCCGTTGCGGACCCTTTGGCGAGGGGTACGTCCCGAATCTAATATTGTTTTCACAATCCGGCGTAGGCATTGCCCGTGTGTTTGGAAACGCCCAGTGCTATTCTATACATCTACCTACTTTCATCCTGACAACCTGTTGGATGGCAAGGTCTGTGTCTTGGGGATCCAAAGGGAGATCCTGTGTTTTAGTCCTCCCAGACGAACCTTGCAAACGTGTTTGGCATTAACAGAAACTGCATTTTCGGGAGAGTCGCGCACTGAACTGATGTGTTTTTTTTCCGGGCGGCCCTGAAAGCACGGCAGTCCCATGTCTCTGTCTCAAAATGCGGGAACCCTCTCAAATGGTTGGTTTCCTTTCGGTCTTCCTCTAGAACCAACCAAGCACAAAAAGGTTCTCCCCCCAAAAATCAACTTCCAAACCAAACTAGCATGTTTACCCTTCCCTTTTGCTTCCTTGTGGCTTCCCCTCCCCCCTCCTTTTCTTCCCCCCCCCCTTCCTTCGCTTCCCCCCCCCTCCTTCGGTTCCCCCCCCCACCCGCCCCCCCACCCCCGCTCCCCGACCACCTTGTCGCTCAGGACCGCTGCAAGTGAAGAAGCCTGGCCCTGGGCCCTGCAGCGCCTCGCCTCTGGCGGAAACCGAGGGGCCCTGGCTGTACGTAGATCATACGATCGATTTACACCCAATAAGAATAATAGGTGTGGCCCTTTTGCATCAGGAACCTGAAGGGGCCCTACTGTAGGTAGATAGTACGATCATGCGACTACATGGGTATGGGTCAAGATTTTACCACCAGGAATTGGAAATTGGACCGCAGGTTTTAGTCCTTGGTTTACCTTTTGCCTGGGTTGCGTTTTGGCTAGATATGTTTGACCCACGCCCACATCTATTTACGCACATTAATGATACTTATGTATATATATACAACTATACACATATATATATACACATAATGTTTATTTGTATGGATGAACACAGCTAAGACTACTTCCAAACATACGTTTGGAAGAGCTGGCAAGTCATTTTATAGTCACATCCCACAGTCTATCTTTCTCAGCAAAGTCGGACGAACGAAGCAGTGTAGGCTCCAGGATGAATGGACTTGTTGTGCCTTACTGCTTATTACTCATTATACAAGCCCCTAAGCCTTGGGGTTGTTGTACAGTTGGGTCAATGTTTTTGATAGATTTCTTTTAGTCTGGTGTCGCCACCCGCTTTACTCACCTATATATCTCGACCGGGAATTGCGGCATCCACTGCTGTCTGGCCATTTAATTCACTTCAACTGTTTGGTTGAAACAGCTCGGATGTACCGAATGGACCCACTGCAAGTCAAACACCTTTTTGGCAGAGGGGTTCGCTACAACCACAGAATCACCGGGCTTTTGGGTGCCATCCGCACGCTTTTTTTCTTCTTTTTTTCTCGCGACGAGGGCTGAACTGTTTTACTTTTTTACTTGTTGCTTGTTTACTTTTTCTTTTACTCTTTTTTTCTTCTTTTTTATGTACCTTTTTTATAGGTTTTTACTTTTTGAGGTTGTTGTCGGAGCTGCCGCGCGCCGCGCTGCGCCTCGACGCGGTGTGCTGCAGCGCGGCGATGTGCGCGCTGGGCCGCGGCCAGAAGTGGCAGTGCTGCCTCGAGTTGGCCTTGGGCATGGGGAAAGTGTCGCAGATCACCGGCAACACCTTGGCGCCAAAAGGGACATGGCACCGGGTTTTGCTGTTTTTGTTGTTATGGTTGTGGTTCTTGTTGTTTGTTTCCTGGTTTCTTCTTATTCCTTGAAGGGGGTGTGTTGGTTGGTTTGTTGTTTGTTGTGTTGCTGTTTTCCTTGTTATGGTTGAAGTTATTCTTGTTCTTGTTTTTCCTGGGGATGGCCAGGTTTGGGTTGGGCTTCTTATTCCTTGAAGGGGGTGGGCAAGTGTTGGTTGGTTTGTTGTTTGTTGTGCTTTGTTTTGTTGTTTTTTCATTTTTGTTGTCCTGGGATGGCAATGTTTGGCTTAGTTTCCGGGTTTGCCTTGAAGGGATGGGCAGTTTTGACCCATTTGGGTCACCGGCGATTTTGTTTGAGGCTCGGTGGCTTTTTTGGAGGTTTGAGAATCCAGCAGTAAACCACCCATTCTTGAGGGTTCCCGACAAAGTCATGTCATTGAGAGCAGCGTTTGATCAGCTTACCCTTATTTTTGAATTGGTTGTTTGAAAGTCTGCCAAGCACTGATGCATATGTGACTTTTTGCGAACATGTTGAGTCTGACTCTGAACCCAAGGTGACTGCGTTTCAGAGATCTACGCAATGGACATGGGTCCTGTGCCTGCTCGAGCAGATGGAACCTTGGTAGCTTCTGATGAGCTCAGTGCGGCACCCAAGAGCAAACATGGAACCTGCACAGTGGCCCTTTTAACAGGAACACGGTTTAATGGTCTGCCAGACCCCCTCTGCAGGTCCTATGTGTACTTATTGGGGGGGGGCTACAAGGCTTGGACCACCCCCTGGTTTCAAGCACCTTTCAACAACTCTTTGGTTTGCACCTTGTAACAACTGTTTTCTTTTATATAAGCAACTTCGGGGGGTCCGCATCGGAGACGTGTCAAAATGTTGGACCCCCCGGAAAAGGCGTTCTCTGTACGGGGGCGGTTCCCAAACAACGCCAACCTCTGGTCACAACCTTCTAGTTTGTTCCCTTGCAAATGGGTGAAAGTAGATGGCGCAATTCCATATATCGCGTTGCCTTTACCCCACAGGAGTTTGCCATCTACGTTCACCCTCGTGGAAAAGGGAGCCAAATAGGGTCTGGGTTTCAACAACAAATTCCCATCGAGGAGAGCCGCACGGGAAATCTGGCCTGCGGTGCCGACGTCATTACCTACGCCTCCGCCATCGCCGCTTGCGGCGACGCCGGGCGATGGGAGGCACTTGGGGATCTCCATGGTATGTGTCAAAGTTTGGACTTCCCACTGAATGGGATTGTCTCAAAATTGGGGAATCCCCTCAAAAGAGGTGGTAGTTACCAGCCTCACTCCCTGCGTTCCTGGACTTATTCTTTCTGGGGAGACAATTTAGTGGCAGATATAGTGTTCAGAGTTTTTGTGGGCAACTCACTCAGGAAGTGACTAAACCTGGATGAACCCAAATTGGCTCTTGCTTGGCTCGGTGTCCCGTCAAACCAGTCTGAAAAGGGTGTTGAGCCAGAAAAACATTATCATAGCGAGCAAACCAATCTGAGCCTTGCTGGTTCTCGGATGTCAGGGAATCGTTTGAAGGGTGTTGGAAGAAAACGGGCGGTCTTTTTTAGAGTTTATAAAATGTTGCTGCATTTTTAGTAGCAGTAGGGAAAATCTGATTGGGGCCGCCTTGATGGAAGAGACCAGAAAGGATGGCTGAAAACATTTGTTTTGCTCCGCTCTGGTGCCTGGCTTCAGTTTGGATAAATTAATTCCTTGCCTGTCAGCTCTCGGAAATTCATCGATCCCGCGGCGGAGTCCACTTTGAGTTTGAGTCAGTGTTGCTTTCCGGCGGAATCATCGGTTTTACCAGCCAACAAAAATCCCGGTGGGGGGGGCGGGGGTGGTGCTCCAATTTTAGACCCCCCAATTTTCGTTTCCGAGGAACATTCTAAATGGCGTCGATATGTTCAAAAGGACACCCACTGGATTTTTGGTGTTGGTTCCCCACTGAGCAACTGTTTTTTTCTCGGGATGAATACCCACATCTTCGTGGCGACATTTGTTACATGTCGCGTAGGCGTTTGACTGACAGGGCCACATCCGCGTAGGCGTGCGTAGGCATTTCGCGGAGGCTCCTGTTGCAAAGCTTCGCGTAAGCAGTCGCGTAGGCGGCCTTTTATGAGCCGAAACTGTCACGTGACATGTTGAGCATTGTTGTTATGCAAGACATGGTTGTGTGACTGTCAGTTTGGCGCAAGCTGTGGGTAGTAGTCCTTCGCCAGCTGTTTCCAGCAGTGACGGCGCAAGCTAGCGGTTGCTGGCATGTTCGATTGCCCGGGAGCACCGCTGGCAAGTCGTACTGCGGCGCTGCTGCTAGTAGACCAGTTAATAGGTAAAAGCACTTCTCGGATTTCTGTCTCGCGTAGTCGCGTAGGCGCGGCGTAGGCGCCGCGTCAGCAAGAATAAAAATGATAAGGACCTACACAACCAAAACAAAGATCTCAAAACAGGGGACCCCACTGGCTTTAATTGGAAACCAAAGGATCCAAAGGGAACCCAGACATTCCCTGACCCACCTCGCAGGCCTGCCTTGAGCTCTTCGCCCGGTCTGAAGGCAGCCCGGCGGTGCTGAACGCGGCCATCGCGGGGTGTGGGCAGAGCTCCCAGTGGCAACTCGGTCAAAACGGCTTGGTGGAGCGAGGCGTTCTTTGTTTATTGTGTGTACACTACGGTGTTCTCCTCCAAAACCTACCTTGCGTGTTTTCAAATTCATTGGTTGTATTACCAGTTGTTATTTATTCCTTGTGCACGTTATGTGGTTCTCCTCCAAATCCTACCTTGCTTGTTTTTTGTTTGTCAAAATCAGTGGTTGTACTACCCGTTGTGCCAGTTACGTGTTTTCAAATTCATTGGTTGCATTAAATACCAGTTGCGTGTTTGCCGGAAGAGTGATGCCCCAATTTGCGTTCAGATCGTTTGGATGCGTGAGGCAGCGGTCAATGCAACTCTTGCGAGGGGAGGTTCTTCCGGACATCATCTCCTACAACTCGGCAATCACAGCTTGTGGGAATGCCGAGCAATGGCAGCAAGCACAGGCACTTTTGTGGGAGATCCCCAACCAGGTGCATCGTGCGGCCGAAAAGCGAGCAACTTGCGATTGAACTAGTTGGGCCTGATGGTTGATCGATATGTAAGTTGACTTATTTTGCATGTTAAGTTGCCATGCAATGCGCCAAGCCCCTTCCGAACTCACAAGCAGCAGGCCAAGCAAGCGCACCGCGCGCGATGTCTTAAACAAACGTGCTGGTAGAGATGCCAATAGCACCACCGCACAGATCACTTCACGTGTGGCTAACCTCGCATTTACCAACTTGTATTGGGGGAAGTAGATAGTGCAATTCCAACCTAATTTGGTTTCAGCCATTTGCCTCACTGTGTGCAAGGCCCAAAAGGGCCCACAAATGTATCCTGACCACGGCCCGAATCTTAAGAGGACTCACTCCCAAGTCCCAGCCGTGCAGGGCACCCAATCGTGAAATGCGCATATAACCCTGTTCAGACCCCCTACGTGGACTTCGTGAAAGGTGCGGTGTGAGATGAACCATGTTGGAGTCGTATTCTGTATCCGAACATGTCTTGGGCGGCGACGTTTTTTCTCGGGTTTTGAGCGCAGGTGCCCAAAGACGTGGTGACTTTGAACGCGGTGCTCAGCTGCGGATTACCCTGGCTCTTGGCCCTACAGCTGTTCCTGGTGCTTGGGCAGATCAGATGGGATCGGAATAGAAAGGAAAGCTGGAAGGCCGCACTATTTTTTTTGTATGTGTGTGCCTGTGTTTGTGCGAACGTGCGTGCGTGCGTGCCTGCGTGCGTGCGTGTTTGTGTGTGTGTGCGCACCAAAAGGACCTGCACGTTGAACTCTCTAGACGTGTGTATGTGTGTTTTCGGAGGGCTATGTGTTTCAATTTGGTTGGGGAAACTGACAGGAAAGCTGTTGGACCCATGTTTGGGGCTCGGAATCTAGAAGTTTTGACTCATGCCCTGGGCAGCTTGCGGTGTTTCCTGAAAGGATGTGGGTATCGAACTCCCGTTGCATGACGGGTGTTGGGTTACCCTTTGAACCAACCCCCAAAACAGGTGCTATTTGAGCGGCGTCCAAGACTTCCGTGCACATGGTTAGTAAGAGTCGCGTCATAGCGACCTGTGCGTAAGCAAGAACTCCACGTGCGAAAGGTGGCGTAAGCTAGCGGCATAAGCAAAATGATGCGACTTAGCTTTAGGGCATGGCTCATTTTCATTCTCAAGCACCATTTGGTTTGAGACCTGTTTCCCGCATGAAGATTTGTTTAGTGAGGGTCTAGTGCTTGTTGGCTGGCCAATCATTCAATTCACCCATATGCACGGAACTCATCATGGAGCTTTTGACCTGTCAATCAAAGCAAGGGGTCGGGCCCGATTTGCCGTTGTGGTTTTCTCACCAAAGAGAGGATGGCACTTCAACGCATTTTGCTAGTTCAGCAAGAGCATCAACTTGTTTGAGTATTGCAGCTGGCGATTATGACATGGACAGGCAGAACCATGATTTCGCGGTATAGATCGCCTGGATCGGTTCCAATAGGATCAGGTCAAGCGTGTGCGGATTGCGGATGCGATCGGGCTGCATTTTCTCCGGATGAGCGGGCGGATCGCGTGGTGATAAGCTTGTGAGGCTCATCTCCATTGGTGTCCTACCGACCTGTGCTTAGGCACTCAGCGTGACCTTAAGTTGTAACAGCACGTCGAAAGGGACAGAGGCTTGATGTCCCTTCACTTGAACCTTACTTTCCGCATTTGATGAAGCAATAAGTTGCTCCTCAGATCAAATGGAATCCAACACACATCAGTTCTAGAGAGATCTTCTTTTTTGGTGGCCTCTTTTGGGTTCTATGTGAATTCGCAGCGGAGTATGCAGTCTAAACACCCATGGAAAGCCAGCATCAGCATCGGCATCGGCCGGCACGGAACCCTGGAGTGTGGTTTGCAAATCAAAAAATATTGCGCCTGGGCACAGGCGCGCTTATGTGTGTCTGTGCGGGGCAGTGACCAACACTGCGTGGCCTTTGAAAGCTGTGTTCGGAATTCTTTGTGCAAAACCAGCTTTGCAAGCATACCTCAATTTTGTGAGTTCATGGACTTTAAGACTTTTTGGCACGACCATTTTGAGCGGCAAATACAGGTTTGGTTACTTTTTCTGGCCAATCCATTCATGAAGTGAGATGCACATTTAACGGACCAGCCAGAAGAACATTGGGTTGATCGAGCGGCAAATGCAGGTTTGGTTGCTTTTTCCGACCAATTTCCACTCAGGAAGTGAGCCGGAAGAAACTTGGTTCGAGCCGCGTGTCGGGTTCCTCAGGAGCTGCCAAAGTGTCGCTTGGAAGCAAACTCGGTGAGCTGCAACTCAGCCGTGACAGCTCTTGGCAGCCAGTGGAGGCTCGAAGACGAGCGGATGTAGCATTGTTGCGGTTTTGATGGTGTACCAAATGCCAAAGCACTTGCCAGACACGCCTTCAATTGATTCAAAAGCATTGGAAGACCTTAGTTTGGTTTTCCCGAAAAGATAAGTTCGCACGCGGTCCCACACTCCCAAAGTAACTATGTGTCTGCGCTTTGGTTCTTTCTTTGGTTTTGCGGGAACATGGACAAAACCTTTGCCCATCTGGCCAAATTACCAAGCCTCAAACATGCAAGGGTTGCTTCCAACCTCCCTCTAAAGTTGCAGGTAGTATGTCCTATAGGATATAGCAGCCAGGCAGAGCCTCGCCATGCTCCAGCTGGGCGCCCGACGTGCGCTGGCGGCCGAGGACGTCGTGGGCCGGTCTGCGGCGCTCAGCGCTTGCGAGCGGCGCCACGAGTGGCGCCAGGCGATGTGCCTTGGCCATGCGCAACGCATGGGGTGCCTCGTTTTTTTTTTTGTTGGGGGGGACCCCGTGAATTCTGGTTTTCCCACTGGTTTCCCTTTGAAGGACCACAAACTAGGGGTACCTTCCAAAAAAGAGACACCCAATGGGTGCAATTGGGTGGGTTGGGTGGGGGGTGGGGTGGCTCGCTCTTTGACCACTGGTTTGTTGCAGCTCAGAAGAGAGTGGCCCCTCGCAGGTCGTTAGATTGAGGTCCCCCACAAAGAAGTTTAGGTAGGTAAATCTGAAGGGGGGTGATTTCAAGCTAACCTCCTAAGGCAACCTTTCATGATCGCATCATCTGCTTTGGAAATGCCGAAGCGGGCCATGCGCAAAAATTGGGAGACCCCATGTTAGACACAGTATACAAAATCCAAGAACACATGAGTACCTCCCTGCATGAGCTGGTTCGACTCTACTTGGTCCTTTGCGTGCGCCGCATGTTCGTTGGTAGTGTCCAAAGATATCGAACATCTGAAGCGCGGTGTTTTAAGATGTCCGTTTGTTGCCTCCCAAAGAACACTACCGTACCATCTTGTGGCATCGTCAACGGGGCAGCGACAGGGAGGAGGGTTCAAAACCGTGCAACACAACTTGAAGACAGGTGCAAGACGATCATGTTCGGCTCCATGCCGGCTGGAATGTCGTAAGCGACACGCCGACACGTGTTTTCTTGTTGTTTGTCTCTCTCCCTCCCTCCCTCTCTCGCAGTCGCAGTGGATGTGTCTGCCCCATCATTGCACGGATCCTGCGAGTCAATGTTCCAGCGATCTGAGGCTTTTGCTGCAACAGATGTGGACTGGGAAGGGAAGCAAGACGCCTGGCATAGAAGTTGGCTCTCGACGCACGCTTCGCGGGGGGTAAAGTCCAAATTGGATCTTACAAGGAGATCAAGCGCCGCATGCACTCACCTGAGGGAAACAATGCGAGAATTGGACACAGCTACCGCTTGGCAGCTAGAGAAGGGACCACCAGGGGCATCGAAATGTCAACATGCTGGCTGCTGCTTGAGTTTTAGAGAGAGAGAGAGAGATGTAGTGTCTCTACTTATTGTCAAGGCACTTTTGACTGTCACACATTCACATGTTAAAACAGATATGTAATTTCAACTTCCCCTGAAGTGGCTGGCTTCTAGCCTCCCTGAGCCCTAAAACGGGTACCGCCCCTAAGGCGACACCTTTCGCTTTTGTTCGAAGGCCACAGCTCCGGGGCATCTTCCAGAGAGGGAGCCCCATGGACGCCCGCCAGAAAAAGGTCATGAACCTGTCAACCAGGGCCTGGGTTAACCTCGCTTGGATGCGCTTGCCAACCATTGAAGTTGGCTGTCCCTATGAACAAGCCCGGACGCAGTTTCCCTTAAGCACCAAACAGCGCAGTGTCCAAACGGCCCCAGCCGTTTGGTGAACTCGGTCCCTTGAGCGGTCCCTGGGTCCCGTGGCTGCCCTGTAAACCATTTGCAGAGGGTAGATGTGAGGATGTCCTCCAACGGAGCCGGTTTCAACGTGTCCTCCTCGCTGGCTATGGGAAGGAAACCAAGATCACTCTATGGTGCCTCCCAGATCGCTTCTCCGACCTTTGGACATTTGGACATTCCAAATGTCCACCTGTTAGATCCTGGGTTGTTCTTCCAAGTTTTGTTTTGGGATGGCTTTTGGCTCCATGACCACAAGCTTTTCCGCCTTGGGCCGGCGACTGAATGACGAACCCACGCTGGTGGTTCTTGGGACGACTGACGGCGCCGCCCCAAAGTGCCGCCCAAGGAAGCTTTAGACTCCACCCGTTTTGTCACCTCTCCAACAAATTGGTTAGGCGCTGTCAACCTCTTTTGAACACTTTGCACCTTGTTTCAGTCTCTGAGCTCATGCATCTTAAACTTTTCGGGAAAACCAGTTCAGTGACAAGCAAGAAGTTTGGATGTCTTGCGGCCAATCCATTTCAGTGACAAAGCAAGAAGTTTGGATGTTTTGCGACCGATCCACTTAGCAAGTGAGACAACCACGACAAGCACCAGACCGAAGCCGCTCCGATCCCCAATCCGAGCAGCCGAGCAGCCGAGCAGCTGAGCCGAGCCTCAGGAGTCTGGTGGCGGGCAACGCCATGCTGGCGGCCTATGAGAAGGTGGACCGCTGGTCTGAGGCCCTGCAGGCGGGAAGCTTCTCCAGTGGAGCCGAGCCTCGGGAGGTGCAACAAATTTCATATGGGTCGTTTGGTTAAAAGGAAACCACAGGGGAAGCCACAAAAGGTTCTGAAAACTGAATGTGTTTTTCTTAAACCAAAAGTTAGGCTCCAAAAGAAAACCCAGATGGACACCAAACGGTTTTGAAAAGACATATTTTTTAAAACCAAGGGTTAGGTTCCAACATAAAACCAGCATGTTGCGCTCAAAACTGCGGTCCGATCTCCCCTGGTTTCAGCCTTGGGCGCTGAAAAGTTGGAAAGGTAAATCGGATGGGCCCTCGGCCTCCGGGCTTGGGGAATTTTGAGAAAGCCCCGCCTTTGACTTGGCGCAGGCCCTAAGCAACTTCCCGCGTCTCAGTCTGCAGCCGGATGAGGCGAGAGGGAAGGGGGGTGAGGTCACCCCAGAGCTGGGTCCACGTGCGACCCGACCGAGGGCCGTGGAACGTCAGTGGAAGACTTGTGCATGCTCTCGACCACTCATTCCAGTTCTGTCTGCATAAATGGGCAGGAGACAAGGAGGCAGAGCAGTAGAGCGACTGTGCATTGAGATGTTGGTCACGCATCGTTGAGGGTTCTACGAGGCTGCTGACAGTTTACCGTTTTGACAGCACCTATGATACTATGATTGATATTTACCTCCTACAAAGCCAACTTGTCATTGACAGGGGACGTGTCTGAAGCACATAACATAAATTCTGTGCAAATCAACGTTCCCGATACACTTATTGCGATGACTTCTTTGCGATGCGGCTTCTAAACAAAGCATCGAGCTTGTTTTTTGGAAGCCCGCTGATTGCTCGCAGGCCATCCGAAAGTGCAACTGGACCCACATTGATGTGTGTAGTGTCCTGAGGCTGTTGGTGTCCTAAGCAAAGGATTGGGTGGACCCCTAATACGGCTCGAGTTGGGGTCACGAGTGAAATTTGCTAGTGTAAGTTTTGCTTTAGAATTGGCCTATTCTTCATCTAGTATTCCCGGACATGGATTATGTGCGAGTCTTGAGAACATGTTGTTATATGTTGTTGTTTTCTTTATAAGGGACTTAAAGGGAGACCTTTATTCTCAGAAAGAAGGGATTAGTGTCCTTGTCGGTTTCCTGGTTCTTGAACAGCCCAGGCCTAGTTGAATCACGTGGCTGGTTGTCTTTTCCTTGAAGTTTGCTTTCGGCTGCATCTCGGCCGGACTGCAATGATCATCAGCCATGGGTGCCAGAGCAGCCGTAAGGCATGCGTCTAAAACGGAATGGACGTTGGCAGAGGTACGGCGACCACTTCCCTGGACGCCCCAGATTAACATGGAACCTGAAAAACCCGATCAGTTTGTAGAGGAATCTCCTTTGGTTTTTTTGGTTCCATGTTAATCAAGAGAGTCGTCCCGGGTTGACTTTCAAAATGGAGCCACAGCTTACTTCCCAGCCAACTTGGAAGTATTCCCTTCTGTTACCGTTTGGATCCGCGAAAAGGCGCCTAAGGAGATTTCCCAAGGGTTTTGTGTGTGTGTGTGTGTGCGTGGTTCACCCAGGGATTCGCTTTATGTCCCTAAATCGGGGCAACCAGGGAAACCCCTTTGACCATGTGGACAATGGGGCTGTAGGGCCACTTCATGTACCAAGGGAACCCAAAAGGCAAACATGCCCAGCAAGGGCCACTTTACTCTTGTGGAAAGCTGCCCATTTTCCAGAAGTATACCTCCCTTCAGACAAGATCCATGGAAAGCACCTTCATTGTGAGAGGCGGGCTTGTTTGAAGACAATAGGGGCTGAATAGTTTCCATAGTCGCGTTTTGGAGGAACACCTGTTGCCCGGGAAGAACTCGGAGTCAAGAGGCGATTCTCTGTTGGGCGCCTGATGGTGAAGTTCAGGCAGTTTCTCCGAAACCCATGACTGAATTGGGTTTAAGAGTTTCCCACAAACCCAGTCTATTATTCAGGCCTCAACACAAGTACCAAATGGACAGGGAACTCCCCTAAACGGAAGTAGTCTTCCAAAACACACCTTTGTTAGAAGGGGGGTTTCAAGTCAGAGTCAGAGGAAAGTGTCAATTGTCACCAAGTTTGAGACACATGCTGCTTCCTCGTTGAGTCCTGCTGGAGAGGTTGGGGAACCTTCTCCACTCCAAAGCTGATGTTCAGTGGGTAAACACAGCCTTCCATATGTGCCAATCTGTTAGATTCTGTTTGCGGTGCTTTAGCTTGCGTTGGACTGAGTGACTGGTGAACTGGGCTAGTCTAGACAGGCAAAACTTTCTTGAGTTTGCGGGCTTGAGAAGTCATGTGTGGCTTTGATTCTCGTTGTATTTCAACTTGCAAATCCAATTTCGGGAAAGAGGAAGCGAAGCATCGCCCCGGAGCCATGCTGACTGACAGCTGTCCATTTCCGCAGCCAGCATTTTCCAAGTCGAAGCTTTCGCCCTCCTCCCTCGCGCCCCACGCCATGGCCCCGGAGCTCACATGGACGAAAAACGGCCTCCTGGCCTTCACGGCGCCCTGGGCCGCGGAGGCCTCCGGCGGCGTGGCGCTTCCGCCGGGGGGGCGCGGGGCCTGGGCAGACCTCTACGAGGTGGACGGCTGCGGGGGGTTGGTGCAGTGCGTGTCGCGGCTCGACTTCGGCGCGGATGGCGGCTGCATGGTGACGGAGTGGTCCTCCGGGTGCGGCTGGGTCGAGGTGGGCCGGTTCCTCGGAGGCGGTGTCAGGTGGTGCTGGGCGAAGGGCCCGGGAGGGCAGTGGAAGGTCTGGGCCGAGGCGGACACCGGGGAAAAGATATTGCTGAACCAGACCTTCCAGAAAACCGCGCCGCAGCTCAAGCTGGTTTCGAACTGGAATTGGCAGAGTCTGGAGATCTCGCTGCTGCCGCTTCAACCAGGGCCTGGAGGTGTTCCTCCGCAAGTGAGCCCTCAGCCTTCGCAAGCCGAGCTCAGGGCGCGAGTGGACCAGCTGACCTCAGAGGTGCAGAGTGAGAGGGCGCAGAAGGCAGAGCTCCAGCAGCGGCTTACCCAAGAAAAGGCTGAGGCCCCGCTTTTGGAATTTGGTACCCTTTGAAAAGGAAAACCCGAAACCATTTATCCTAAGATAAGTTCTTTACACAAAGTAAGGCAAACAAACGCAGAAATGGGGGTTACCCACAAGAGGCCCTGATTAGCTTCAATGTGACTGTGTTGGGGTTCGCTTCAAAGTCAGCTTGCTGTGGGGGTTGCTGAAATTCCCAACTCAAAGCCTTAGCCTTTTACGTTACGTTTCGGTGTTGGCTCATCCTAAGCTCCTCCCAGCTCAAAGGGTAGATGCCTTAGATCCAGCAGAAGGTCTAGTAGTGCAGTCTGAAGGCACGAACAAGCAAGTGGCAACGACTTGGAAAGGAACCAATACAAAAGTTACATTTAGTCTTGGCAGTACTAAAGTAAGCACTGAAAATCTGAGAGTCAGTCTTGCCAAGAAAAAAGTACTGGGAAGCTGAGAGTAAGTCTTGGCAATACTAAATTAGCCTTGGCAGTACCAAAGTAAACACTGGGAATCTGAGAGACAGTCTTGGCAATACCAAATTTGGTGTCGCAGTACTGGAAGGAAGTCTTGGCGATGCTGCATTTGGCTTTGGCAACCGAAAATCAAGTACGGGAATCCGAGAGTCAGTCTTGGCAAGGCGAATTTGCAATACTAGAGTAAGTACTGGGAATCTGAGGTTAGTCTTGGCAATTCCAAATTTAGTCTTGGTAATACTACAGTAAGTACGCGGCATCTGAGATTCAGTCTTGGCGGCAGTACTGGCGTAAGTGCTGGGAATCTGAGAGTCAGTCTTGGCAATACTAAATTTAGTCGTGGCAGTACCAAAGTAAGTGCTGGGAATTCTGAAAGTCAGTCTTGGCAATAAAAATGTATCCTTGGCAGTGCGTACTAAAGTAAGTACTTAGAATGTTAGAGTCAGTCTTGGCAAGACGAATTTAGCATTGGCAATACAGGAGTAAGTACGAGCAAGCCCAAGTCCCACCCAGACCCCCAGGATTTTCAGAAGCTTTGCACCAGGAAAAACAGGAATTGCGGCAGCAGCTGGAGTAGCTTACGCAGGAAAAGGCCGAGGCAACACAGCAACAGCAAGCCTTGCAGCAGGAAGAGCTGGAGTTGCGGCAGCAGCTGGAGCAGCTTACGCAGGAGAAGGCTGAGGGAACACAGCAACAGCAAGCCTTGCAGCAGGAAAAGCAGGAATTGCGGCAGCAGCTGGAGCAGCTTGCGAAGGAGAAGGCTGAGGCAACACAACTGCAGGAAGCATTGCACCAGGACAAGCAGGAATTGCGGCAGCAGCTGGAGCAGTCCAGGCACGACTTTGCCTTGCTTTCTCAGCAGCAGCTTGAACAGTCCAGGCACGACTTCGCATTGCTCAGGCAGCAGAAGGCTGAGGCGATCCAGCAAAGCGAAGTGCTGCAGCAGGAGAAGCAGCGCTTGCAGCAGCAGCTTGAGCAGCTCCGGCATGACTTCATGTTGGCTTCAAAGCAGACGCCGACTGAGCGGAAGTTGGTTGAAGTCGCACGACAGCTTTCCCAGTTGAAGGAGCACTGTGATGCTGTCGTCGCAGCCCGGCTGGAACTAGCAAAATGCCTTCTGTCTCTCCTCCCCATAACCAGCCCCATGTTTCCTGGTGTGTTGCGTAACAACTGACTTGGCACTAAGCGGCATTGTTGTGCTAAAGCTGCGCCATTCTCCAAGCCCATGAGCTAGACAGTGTCAGGCCTTCATCAGCTCCGACAGCGATCCGCAGCCAGAGGGAGCAGGCGGGGCTTCAAACTCACACGCTGTAAAGGTGTTTGTGCCGCCCCGCTGTGGTCTCTCCAAGAGTCCGTACAAGGGTCTGGGGGGAAGGGGTCGGTTGCTCAGGCGACTCCCCGGCCAGTAGAAGCTGGGCTGTGATCGACCAAGATGAGGTGCAGTCGGTGCAGTCGAGCGACATGAGCAGCTCGTCCGCCACATCTGCCAAGTGCTTCCTCCCGAACACGGCCCTGCCCGGGGCCGGCAGTGCCGAGGGCCACCTGCTGCGGGTGGAGCACCTGAAGCCGGGGGACAAGGTCCGGCTGAGCGACGGCACCGATGCCTCGGTGCTGGACGTAAAGCGGCACCCCTCCAAGAAGAAGCCCTACGACGTCGTGGAGCTCAGCACGCACCAGGGCAAGTTCCCGGTGTCCGACTCCCATCACGTGGCAGTGCCTGGAGTCACAGGACTGCCATGGGAGTGATGTTGAGCTTTCTTGCTTCTGTTTGGTTGCTGATTCCGGAAGCATTTGGTTTGGTGCGGCGTGGTATCCCAGCCACCCTGGCCAGGCCCCCGTCGTCAGCAAGCAGATGCCTTGCGGCAAGGGGATTTGGTGATCGTCAGCGGCGAACAGCGGAAGCTGACCAATGTGGTCCCCAGGAAGGAGCGGACTTTTGGGGGACACTCCAGGTGTTTTGTGTGGGTGCGGGGGGGAGGGGGCATTTCCGGGCATTTCCGTCAAGATTTGCTTGAGAATGAAGCTGAGAAAACGAGAGGGAGAGGCGAGAGGGGGGTCACAGGAGCGCGCAAATCTCTTTGAAGTCTTTCTGGAGCCGGACGGCCCGCTGGAGATGTTCCACTTGAAGCAGAGCTGGAGTTTGCAGGTCTTCGGCTCAGCCAGTGGATCCGGGTGTCTTCCCGAAGAGGAGGGCGAGGAGCTGCTGCTGACGGGGAGCCCAAGTTAGAGGCGGTGTACAGAAACGGCAGTTGGCGAAGGGCAGGATATTTGTAGGAATGTAGAGATTCATGGCAAGGCAGAAGTTCTGTGACCCTTTGCCAAGGCCTTTTGCAGATGCATGGCCACAGGAGTGACGGTTCCCGTTGCAGCTCTAGTGCCGCAAGGGCCTTCGAGCTGTTCGGGTTTTCATAGTTGTCCATGGCCAGCTGGGTTTTTGAAAGCTGCCGAAGCGTGGCACAGTCCTTCGTGACGCCAGAAAGATGCTCCCAAAGCGGTTGGTGGACATGAATCCCCACCTGAACGACGTCTATACTAAAGGTCCTTTTGGACAAAGAAAATATGATATCGTTTCATACACGTATTGCCCCTCACGGTTCTTTAGTGATCCAAGTTGCAGGTGAGCCTCAACAGCTGCTGCTCTTCGGCGGAGAAGTGCAGCAGCTGGCGCTTTGCCCTGCAACTGCTCCGGCCTGCGGACCTGTGCCTTCGCGAAATTCAGATTGGGAAGGGGAGCATTGCGAAGAGACCTCTTGAAAGCCATGATTCTTCATTTGGGTGTGTCGTTTTTTTAACGGGACCCCCCCAAAATGGTGGTTCTCCTTTTGGTCCGTAAAACCACCAAACACTTCATTGGCAGGTTCACCCTTCCTTGACTTATAGAAGCGCAGGGCTTGGCTTGGCTGGGGCGGGGAGGTGGGGGGGGGCTTCCAAAGTTGAAGTAGTTTGCCATGGCCAAAGCGCCCTACTTGGGAATGGCGTTAATCAACAGGATTTTTCAGGCGCCCAATGTCGGGTTCCTCTTACAGACAGCATGTCCAAGCCCCACAGGAGGTTTGACTGTGAGACGTGTGGACTCTGCAAAGGATTAGGGACAATTAGGCATCCAGGGTTGTGCATCCCATTTCCCGTGAACGGATGTGAGATGTTCTTTGGTGATCCAAACTATTGAAGCTGGGTTTGTCGACAGAATCACCTCCAGACACCCCCATATGGACAATCACTCAGAGGTGACCAAATCTGGGTATTTGCGTTAGAAGGTTTTGAAGCCTGTTTGTATGTTTCTCAAAGGACACCACCAGGTAGCCGACCAAACTGAGATGGGATTAGAAAATTGACACAGATCTTGAGACCACAGGGAACTGTATATGAGTGTTCACTTACGGATTTTAGCTCACTTTGGTGGTGGGGTGTGGGGTTCGGTGTCACGGGTTGGTGCTTTGTTCGCAATCCCTTGCACTGCAGTGTCATTGTTGTCCGTTTAAGGCTATGGATTGCGGTTTATCATTCAAGGTCGGTCAAGAATTGGGGATGTGTCAGCCCTTGATTGGCACCCTGTTTTTGCGATTTGGATAGGAATGGCCTCAACCCTTCCAAGTGGCTGGTGTCCCGTTCAAGTTTCCCTTGAAAACCGGTGTGCCCTCAAAACACGCGCTCCCATTTGGACGTGCATGTTCTTTGTGTTTGTCATTTTTGTTGTAGGACACCCAAGTCTTGTGATTTTCCTTTGGTGGCCCTCAAAATCGCAAAACAAACAACACCCTCATTGTTTGGGAGACACCCACAATTTGTGGTTTGCTTGTTGATCTCCCTTTAAAACCGCAAAGAAGCGGTATGCCTTTCGGTTGCTAGGATCGGCTTCAACCTGCTCCTGCGGAGCTGCATGCATTCCTCGGACTGGCGCAGCGCGCTGCGCTTGTTGCACCTCATGCGGTCGTCGGAAACTGGGCCCTCGGCGATGAGCATCGTCCCTGCGATCGAGGCTTGCGTGCCTTGGCGAACACGGGGAAGGGATGCAACCTGCGAGTTGCCATTTGGGCGGCTCGTCTGTTTCTTGGGGGACCCCCGAAGATGACGTCGGCTTTGCTCTTGGTGTGCCTTTAAAGCCGCCAAAAGCGGGGTACGCTCAAAAACGACGCACCCATATCTCTAAGTGCTTGGGGTGGGGTGTTAAGATCGGCCAGAATCTTGTAAAAGGCGCCATGTTTCTTGACAAGGTATCTCTGGGTTGTTCAAACGAGGGCGGAAATCGGAAACAGGGGATACCTTTGAAAGTAACCGTCAACCGTGATGGTGGTAGCCAAAGCACCATCCTCAGGTTTCTTCCCAAAACCATTCCCTCCCGGTGAGTTCTTGCCTGGAAAGAGTTCTTCCAATCCGCCTGGACATGAAGCGATTTCCTCTAAGCACAAGGAACTGACCCCAGCAATTTGTGTCCGAGGGGCGATCCGAATTTGTTTCCGTTTGGACCAAAGGGGCCCAAAGGAAGCGAAGCGAACCGCGTCCGACTCGAGGCCCGGGAAGGCGAAGCCATGGCGACGGCAGACGCTCGAAGCAAGGAGCCGTTGGATCGCGTCGGTCGCGAAACGTGCGGTTTTTCCGTTTGGTTTCCTATTGCAATATCCTTGCTGGGGGTTGTCTTAAAACAGGGGAGCCCCCAAGATGGAGGTGAGTCCAGCGTTCGTTTTTGGGTACCGAAAGCAAATCACTCATTTCGGGGTCCTAATCGATATTTTGGATTATGTTGCCGACATATTCCCATCTTGGAGGTGGTCTAGAAATTCAGAAGACCCGCTCAACGAGTTCTAATACACTCCAGAGCTTGCACCAACGTACAGTACATTGCCGTATGGTCATGTGTGTGTGTGTGTCGCATTTGTTAGAACAAATGGAACCCCGTTCCCCGAAAAGCTGCCGTTTCCCATTTGGTTTCCCTCGAACCCCAAAAAACACTCAGCACTTTTCTGGGTGTGGGCATCTTGGGTGCCACTTCAGTAAGCTCAACCAAACTTGCGCATGTTTAGCTGCAAGGGCTTGCCGCTCACAAGGGCCATTGATTCAGTTTCCAGACCATATCAAGCGATTTCGGCTGAGGAACTCTTGGAGGAGCTTCAACTAATTGCTGTGCAATGAGGCTCGGTGGAAAGAGTGAACTTGATTGTTCCCAATCCAGTAGTTTCACGTTGGACCGACATTTTGTTGCTTTTAGCGTTTGTTCTCCGCGGTTCCTGATGAGCGCTCCTTTTGCGTCCCTCTGCTGGGTCTCAAGCTGCTATGATTATGTCCAAAGATTATCAGGAGTGTGACAATCGTCTACACAATGTTTCCAGTTGCCACAGTCCGTGACGAGACACCTTCTACTCCTAGGTTCCCATCAAGGTATCTGATTACCTTCTATGGTAGCTGGGAGCACTGGGCTACATGCAGTCAGATCTCCTTTGCGAGGCTGTGCAAGGGCAACGCTCAAGCCAGTTCTATTCGCTCAATCGCTGAGTTTCTGGACTGTAGTCACTTGGAGACATGTTTAGTGACATTTGCCTTTGTTTCCGCCGGACTTTTTAGGTTCGGCTCGCTTGCGGATGGCGCTTTCTTGGCGACAATGCTATTTTTGCATACTGGCTCACCGCTCTGCAGTTACCATTGCCGCTTGGTCCATTTTAACAAGGCAATCTGGGCAGGTAGGGAAGTACAAGAGTTTTGATCCACAGCCATTCGAACCACGTTGGGGTCTTAGTTGTTGTCCCATGCCCACTCCTACCGCATATTTTGGTGCGCGGCTTGTACAGGATTGCTCCGAACCTTTTGCGTTCCATGTCCCAATGTGACCTGCTCGTCTTCCCCGGACCCCCCGGTTAGTCCATGTGAGTCGCATGTTTCTTCCGTCGATGTCATCTGTCTTGGGCGGCGATGTGTGTGTTTTTTGTTCCCCGGGTTCTGAGCGCAGGCGAAGACGTGGTGACCTTGAACGCGGTCTGCGGATGGCCCTGGCTCCTGGCCCTGGAGCTGTTCCTGGTGCTTGGGCAGATCGGATGCGATGCAATCTGTGTGTGCCAGTGTTTGTTTGTTTAAAATTGTTGTTTGCTTGCTTTTTGTGTCTGCGATTGTGTGTGTGTGCGCCTGTGTTTGCTCGTTTTTTGTTTGCTTGCTTTTTGTGTCTGTCATTGTCTGTGTGTGCGCAAAGATAACTTCTACATGGAACCCTCCAGACGCGAGTTGTCTTTTTCTCGGAGGGGTATGTGTTTCGATTTGGTTGGGGAAACTGACAGGAAAGCCATTGGACCCGTGTTTGGGGCTCGGAATCTAGAAACTTTCGCACATGCCCGGAGCAGATTATAGCGTTTCCTCGAAGGGTTTAGGTAGTCGGAAATCCCGTTACATGACTGGTGTTCCCTTGGGTTGCCGGCACGGAACCCTGCAGTGTGGTTTTCAATTCAACAAATACTGCGCCTGGGCACAGGTGCGCTTATGTGGGTCTGTGCGGGGCAGAGACCAACCATTGCAGCTTGTGTGGCCTTTGAAAGCTGTGTTCGGAATTCTTTATGCACAAAACAAAACTCCGGCTTTGCACGCATACCTCACTTTCTGAGTTCATGGACTTTAAGCTTTGTTGGAGGACCATTTGTGGCAAATACAAGTTTGGACCTTTTCTGGCCAATCCATTCATGAAGTGAGATACACATTTAAACAAGCCCGCCGGAAGAACGGTGGTTGATCGAGCGCCTCCGCGCATCGGGCGCCTGAGGAGCTGCCAAGGTGTCGCCTGGAAGCAAACTCGGTGAGCTGCGACTCAGCCGTGACAGCTCTTGGCAGCCAGTGGAGGCCCGAAGACGACCGGATGTAGCCGTTGGCGCGGTTTCGACGGGGCAAATGACGAAAATGGCCAGACGCGTCTGTGTTGGATTCTCTTTTCAGATTCGCTCCAGGCAGAAAACACCGGAGAGAGAGATGAGTTGCATTGACACATGACACATGTACTAAAATCATTCAATTCAAAAGAGAGCAGCCCACCAGTATTGGTAGTTTTTCCATTTGTTGTTCATCGGGTTTCCTGACATTTGTATTTCCCACGCTGTCCCGTGTTCCCAACTAGCCTATATACTTTCCTGACATTTGGGCCGAGCCTTGCATGAGCAGAGAAACATTTTAGCAGGGAATCTGTTTTGGGTAGTTCCCTGTCAGTGCTTGAAGTGGTAATGTCGTCGGGTTCCCTGCTATAGGGGCGTGCCAGGCATTTACTGGGTAAGAATCCTGACATGGAAGGGTTGCTTCCCCACCTTCCATAAAAAAGCCAGCATATTCTTATAGGAGAATCCCTATAGAGCTTGGAGAGCCGGCAGTATTCCTACTGCTCTAAAATTGCATAGTTTCACCGCAGCGGCCAGGCAGAGCCACGCCATGCTCCACCTGGGCGCCCAACGTGCACCGGCGGCCGAGGACGTCGTGGGTCGGTCTGCGGCGCTCAGCGCCTGCGAGCGGCGCCACGAGTGGCGCAGGGCGACTCGGCGGGGCACAACGCATGGGGTGCCTCGTGTTTTTCTTTAGGGGGACCCCGTGAATTCTGGTTTTCCCGTTGGGTTTCCTTTGAGACCTACATCCCAAAAAAGCCACACCCAATGGGTGCAGTTGGGTGGGTCGGGTGGGGTGGGGTAGGCGGTGGGGCGGATGGCTCGCTCGTTGGCCACTGCTTTGTTGCAGCTCAGAAGAGAGGGGCCCCTCGCAGGTCGTTAGATTGAGGTCCCCCACAAGGAGGTTTAGGTAGGCAAATCTGAAGGCCTTTCATGATCGCATCATCATGTTGGAAATGCCGAAGCGGGCCATGCGCAAAATCTGGGAGACCCCATATTAGACAAATACACGTACAAATTCCACCACCACATGAATACCTCCCAACATGCGCTGGTTCGACTCTACTTGGTCCTTCGCGTCGCGCTGCATGTTCGTTGGTAGTTTCCAAAGTTATCGAACAACTGAAGCACTGTGTTTAAAGATGTTTCCGTTTGTTGCCTCCCAAAGAAGTACTGTACCATCTTGTGGCATTGTCAACGGGGCAGCGACAGGGAGGAGGGCACAAAACCGTGCAACACAACTTGACGGCCGGCGCAAGATGATCATGTTCGGCTCCACGTCCGCTAGAATGTTGCAAACGAAACTCCTTTGTGTTTTCTGATTGTTGTTGTTTTTGTTTCTTCTCTCTCTCTCTCCCTCTCTCGCAGCGTTTCTCCCTTCCCCACCATTACGCGAATCCTGCGAGTCGATGTTCCAGCGATCTGAGGCTTTTGCTGCAAGAGATGTGGAGCGGGAAGGGAAGCAAGACGCCTGGCGTGGAAGTTCGACCTCTTCATTGGATTCATGGGTCAAGTCCTAGGATCTTACAAGGAGATCAGGCATTCGCGTTGAGTGCCTTGCTGCATGCGCACACCTGAGGGAAAAAATGCGGGACCGGGACAATGCTACAGCTTGGCAGCTAGAGAAGAGACCACCAGGGGTATCCAAATGTCAAGTTGCTGCCAGCTGCTTGAGTTTTTGAGAGGGATGCGAGTAGCGTCTCTAATTATTGTTGGCTATGAAGAAGCCCGGACGCAGTTTCCCTTAAGCACCAAACAGCGCACGGTCCAAACGGCCCCAGCCGTTTGGTCAACTCGGTCCTCGAGTTGTCCCTGAAGCGGCTGCCCTGTAAACCATTTACAGAGGGGGTAGATGCGAGGATGTCCTCCAGTAAAACCGATTTCGACATATTTCGACCTTGCTTACTATGGGAAGGAAACCAAATTCACTCTATGGTGCCTCCCAGATCGCTGCCCCAACTTTTGGACATTTGGACATTCCAAATGTCCACCTGTTAGATCCTGGGTTGTTCTTCCAAGTTTTGTTTTTGGACTTTTGGGATAAGCCCCTCCATGACCACCTAAGAGTTTTTCGTCTTGGGCCGGTGACTGAATGACGAACCCACACCGTTGGGCTTACCCTGCCTCCCGTGCCGCCCACAGGCCCCAATTTTGGCAACCCCCAAAAGACTTTGGACCCGTTTTCGTACCCCCCCCCTCCCCAAAAAAACAAGATAATTGGACAGTAAAGGGAAACCTGTAAAGGGATTGAAGCCAAGAACCTTTCAACCTCTTTTGAACACTTTGCGCCTTGTCTCACTCTCTGAGCTCATGCACTTTCAGCTCTTTGGGGACCATTTTAGTGACAAGCAAGAAGTTTGGATGTTTCGCGGCCAATCCACTTAGCAAGTGAGAAAACCACGACAGGCACCAGACCGAGGCCCCAGCCCAGATCTCCGATCCGAGCAGCCGAGCAGCCGAGCCGAGCATCAGGAGTCTGGTGGCGGGCAACGCCATGCTGGCGGCCTATGAGAAGGTGGACCGCTGGTCCGAGGCCCTGCAGGCGGGAAGCTTTTCCACGAGCCGAGCGCAGGAGGTGCAACAAGTTTCATGTGGGTTGTTTTGGTCAAAAGGAAACGGTTCTGAAAACTGAAAGCTTTTCTCAAACCAAAGGTTAGGTTCCAAACCAAAGCCAAAACGGATCCGAACGGTTTTGAAAATACTGTAGTTGCTTCAAACAAAAGGTTGGGTTCCAACATACAACCAGCATGTTGCGCTCAAACCCCGGTCCGATGTCCCGTGGTTTCAGCCTTGGGCGCTGAAAAGTTGGAAAGGTAAGTCGGAGAGGCCTTCGGCCTCCAGGCTTGGGGCCTTTGACTTGGCGCAGGCCCTCAGCAACTTCCCGCGTCTCAGTCTGCCGGATGAGGCGCGGAGAGGGAAGGGGGAGGTCGCCCGAGAGCTGGGTCCACGTCTGGCCTTGGAACGTCACTACTCACTCCAGTTCTGTCTGCAGGAGACAAGGAGGCCGAGCAATAGAGCGACAGTGCATTGAGATGTTGGTCAGACATCGTTGAGTGTTCTACGAGCCTGCTGACAATCTGCCGTCTTGACAGCACTTATGATTGATCTTATTTCAATCGAGAGGCGTGTTTCCTCTGAACCGGTGGTGGCTTCCCCTTGGTTCCCTGCTGGTGTGGAGGAAGCTGGTAAATACTCTAATCACAAGATCAGCTACGGGAGCCCCCAAAAGTGGCTGGCTTCTAGCCTCTTTGAGCCCTAAAACGGGTACCACCCCTAAAGCGACACCTTTCGCACGTGTTCGAAGGCCACGGCTCCGTTGCATCTTGCAAGAGAGGGAGCCCCATGGGATGCCCACCAAAAACAGGTCATGAAACTGTTAACCAGGGCCTGGGTTGACCTCGTTTGGATGCGCTTGCCAACCGTTGAAATTGGCTGCATCTATGAAGAAGCGACCACCTAAGCGTTTGCGTCTTGGGCCGGTGACTGACTGACGAACTCACAATGTTGGTTCTTGGGACGATTGACGGCGCTGCCCCAAAGTGCTGCCCAAGGAAACTTTAGACCACCCGTTTTGGCATCTCTCCAACAAATTGTTTAGGCGCTGTGCCCCTTCAAAGGGACACCAAGAACCCTCAACCTCTTTTGAACACTTTGGGCCTTGTTTCAGTCTCTGAGTTCATGCATTTTAAACTTTTTGGGAAGACTAGTGACAAGCAAGAAGTTTGGATGTTTGGCGGCCAATCCACTTGGCAAGTGAGAAAACAACGACTGGCACCAGACCGAAGCCGCCCCGATCCCCGATCCGAGCAGCCGAGCAGTTGAGCAGTCGAGCCTCAGGAGTCTGGTGGCGGGCACCACCATGCTGGCGGCCTTTGAGAAGGTGGACCGCTGGTCTGAGGCCCTGCAGGCGACCGAGCCGAGCCGCAGGTGCAGCAAAACAGCATATGGGTTGTTTTGGCGAAAAGGAAGCCGAAGGGGAAGGCAGAAAAGGTTCTGAAAGCTGAATGTGTGTTTTCTTAAAACGTGGTTCGGTTGCCCAAAGGGAAATCACCAGGTTTTGCAAAGAACGCTTTCTTAAACCAAAAGTTCGTCCGTGAAAAGGTGAAGCCAGCATGTTGCGCTCAAACCCCTGTCCGATCCCCTGGTTTCAGCCTTGGGCGCTGATAAAGTGGAAAGGTGCATAGGATGGGCCTTCGGCCTGGCTTGGGATGCGTGTTTGAACCAACCACTTGGTCGGGAAACCGGGCTGGGACGTGGCTTCAACCGAGTTTTGTGGCCTAAACCATTTGAACCGGGACTTGGGAACTTGGAAGCCAGGCGCTCAGCAACTTCCCCCGTCTCAGTCTGCAGCCGGATGAGGCAGGGAAAGGGGGGGGGATAGGGTCGCCCCAGAGCTGGGTGCATTTGAGATGAGGTTAGACATCGCCGACCCATTGAGCTGATTAAGGCCGTTAAACGTCAGTGGAAGACTTAGGAGGCAGAACAATGGGACGACAACGCGTTGGTCAGATAGCGTTGAGTGTTCAGAGAGCCTGCTGACAGTTTTGCCTTTTTCGTGCCTTTGCTGACTTGGCCGAACCTATGATTGACCTTTACCTCCCACAAAGTTAACTTGTCATTCACATGGAACGTGTCTGAAGCACACAACATGTTCCAGTACACAGCAACGCTCCCGATATGCTTATTGCGGTGACTTCTTTGTGATGCCGCTTCCAAACAACGCTCGAACTTGATTTTTGGACACCCCGCTGATTGCTTGCAGGCCGTCGGAAAGTGCAATTGGCCCCACAGGCCCCACAACACGTTGGTTATGAGCAAGAAGGGATTAGTGTCCTTGTCGGTTTCCTGAGGCCGTTCTTCGAATAGCCAAGGAGACCCACTTGGTCAAGGGGAATCACGTCGCAGCTGGTTGCCTTTGTAGAAGTTTACTTTTTCGGCTGCTTTTCGACCAGAAAGTGGCAATCATCATCCAACCATGGGTAACAATCAACCTCAATGCATGCTAGCCAGAAATTGAATGGACATTGGCAGGCTTCGCAGAGGTACAGTGACCACTTCCCAGACTGACGCCCCCGGTTAGCATGGAACTTAAGAAAACCCGATCCATTTGTAGAGGAATCTCCTTTCGAGCCTTTTGGGTCCCATGTTGACGGCTTGCCCTCCCAGCTTGGAAGCAGGTTTTTGGCCTGCCTTTACTTCCTGGCCTAAGTAGCGTCCGGCTCCGGGCAAAGGAGTAGTTTCATGTGGCTTCCTTTCCACGACATCGGGGCGAACAGGAGCTCCCTTTGACCATCGCGGAAAGTAGGGCCGGTTTTGGATTTTGGCGTCGTGTACCAAGGGAATCCCCAACGCACTCCGATGTGGCCCCCAGAAGTGAGGGACATTGGAACGCTAGACGGCCGCTCGATGCAGCACGAGATTTCACTTCAAGCCGAGTTGACCAGCCACTGCGATGCAAGCTAAAGCACTCAGAATCTAAAAGATTGACACCCGGACCCTGGCACGACTGTGTTGCTTTTCAGAAGTCGCAACCACACACAACATACGGCATCCGACTTGGCATGTGGGTTTCCCACAAAGAATAAGCCATGTGGCTATTCTCATGCTCCGACATGTGCGCCTTTTGTGCGCCAGTCGTTGGAGGTCTCAATGAGGAAGCAGGATAATGTGTCTCAAACTCGGTGATCGGACTCTGACTTGTACCCTGCTTCTAACAATGATGCTGACTGACAGCTGTCCATTTCCCAGCCACATAATTAGAATGGGTCTGTGGCAAACTCTTAAGCCAAATCCAGTCATGAGTTTAGGAGTAATCTACTATAATAATCATTTGACTCCTTCTCATGTTCTGCAGCCAGCCATACAATTAGAATAATTTAGAATGGGTTTGTGGCAAACTCTTAAGCCAAATCTAGTCATGAGTTTAGGAGAAAACTGCTTCTATCTTCTTTTATATTTTATCTTCAGAGTCTGCTGGCTTCAGAAGTCATGCTGACTGACAAGCAGTGATTTTCCTAGGTTGAAATGCAGTGATGATCTCAAAGGACTGGTTTCTTTTGTGGCCTAGCTTGCATGTCAGACAGCACTAGTAATGATTTAGTCCCTTCTTTTATCTTCAGAGTCTGCTTTCGTCCCTCCTCCCCCGCCCCGCGCCATGGCCCCGGCGCTCACGTGGCAGACGGACGGCGTCGTGGCCTTCACGGCGCCCTGGGCCGCGGAGGCCTCCGGCGGCGTGGAGCTGCGGCCGGGGGAGGGCGCGGCCCGGGCAGAACTCGAAGAGGTGGACGGCGGCGGCGGGGGGTGGCAGGGCGTGTCGCGGCTCGACTTCGCGGATGGCGGCTGCGTGGTGAAGGAGTGGTCCGGGTGCTGCTACGTCGAGGTGGGCCGGTTCCCCGGAGGCGGTGTGCGGTGGTGCTGGGCGAAGGGCCCGGGAGGGCTGTGGAAGGTCTGGGCCGAGGCGGACAGCGGGGAGAAGATATTGCTGAACCAGACCTTCGAGCAGAGAGCGCCGCAGCTGGTGCTGGTTTCGGGCAATAATTGGCGGAGTCTGGACATCTCGATGCTGCCGCTTCAACCAGGGCCTGGGAGTGTTCCGCAAGTGAGTCAGCCTTCGCAAGCCGAGCTCAGGGCGCGAGTGGGCCAGCTGACCTCAGAGGTGCAGAGTGAGAGGGCGCAGAAGGCAGAGCTCCAGCAGCGGCTTGCAGAGATCACCCAGCAGGAGGCTAACGCAACACAGCAACAGGTAACACAACAGGACGCCTGGCGCCAGGAAAAGCAGCAGTTGCAGCAGCAGCTGGAGCAGCTTACGAAGGAGAAGGCTGAGGCAAACCAGCAGCAGGCAGCACAACAGGACGCCGGGCGCCAGGAAAAGCAGGAGTTGCAGCAGCAGTTGGAGCAGCTTACGAAGGACAAGGCCGAGGCAAACCAGCAACAGGCAGCACAACAGGACGCCTGGCGCCAGGAAAGGCAGGAGTTGCAGCAGCAGCTGGAGCAGCGTGCGAAGGAGAAGGCCGAGGCAAACCAGCAACAGGCAGCACAACAGGACGCCTGGCGCCAGGAAAGGCAGGAGTTGCAGCAGCAGCTGGAGCAGCTTACGAAGGACAAGGCCGAGGCAAACCAGCAACAGGCAGCACAACAGGACGCCTGGCGCCAGGAAAAGCAGGAGTTGCAGCAGCAGCTGGAGCAGCTTGTGAAGGAGAAGGCCGAGGCAAACCAGCAACAGGCAGCACAACAGGACGCCTGGCGCCAGGAAGGGCAGGAGTTGCAGCAGCAGCTGGAGCAGCTTACGAAGGAGAAGGCTGAGGCAACACAGCAACAGGCAGCACAACAGGAGCAGCTGGAGCAGCTTACACAGGAGAAGGCCGAGGCAACGCAGCAACGGGAACCACAGCAGGAAGCCTTGCGCCAGGAAAAGCAGGAATTGCAGCAGCAGCTGGAGCAGCTTGCGCAGGAGAAGGCTGAGGCAACACAGCAGCAGGAAGCCTTGCACCAGGACAAGCAGGAATTGCGGCAGCAGCTGGAGCAGTCCAGGCACGACTTTGCCTTGCTTTCGCAGCAGCAGCTTGAACAGTCCAGGCACGACTTCGCATTGCTCAGGCAGGAGAAGGCTCAGGCGATCCAGCAAAGTGAAGTGCTGCAGCAGGAGAAGCAGCGCTTGCAGCAGCAGCTTGAGCAGCTCCGGCATGACTTCATGTTGGCTTCAAAGCAGGCACCGACTGAGCGGAAGTTGGTTGAAGTCGCACGACAGCTTTCCCAGTTGAAGGAGCACTGTGATGCTGTCATCGCACCCCAGCTGGAATAAGGAAAATGCCTTCTGCCTCTCCTCCCCATATCTTGCCCCATGTTTCCTGGCGTGTCGCGTAACGACTGACTATTTGGCACTGAGTGGCATTGTTGCCCTAAAGCTATTCTGCAAGCCCATGAGCTAGACAGCGGTCAGGCATTCATCAGCTCCGACAGCGATCCGCAGCCAGAAGGAGCGGGCGTGAGCTTCAAACTCACTCGTTCAATTCAAAAGGGTTTTTGCCGCACCGCGGCCTCTCCAAGAGTTCATGAAGGGGGGGGGGGAGGGGTCGATTGCTCAGGCGACTCCCCGGTCAGCAGAAGCTGGGCTGTAATCGACCAAGAAGACGTGCAGTCTGTGCAGTCGAGCGACATGAGCAGCGCGTCCGCTGGGTCCGCCGGGTCTGCCAAGTGCTTCCTTCCAAACACGGCCCTGGCCGGGGCCGGCAGTGCCGAGGGCCACCTGCTGCTGGTGGAGCACTTGAAGCCGGGGGACAAGGTCCGGCTGAGCGACGGCACGGAGGCCTCGGTGCTGGACATAAAGCGGCACCCCTCCAAGAAGAAGCCCTACGACGTCGTGGAGCTCAGCACGCACCAGGGCAAGTTCCCGGTGTCCGACTCCCATCACGTGGCAGTGCCTGGAGTCACAGGACTGCCACGGGAGTAATGTTGAGCTTGCATGCTTCTATTTGTTTGCTGGCCAGAAGATTCCGGAAACATTTGGTTTAGTATCAACAGCAGTAACTTCCCCTCATGAGCGAATCAGATCAGCACTTCCACTGTATTGCAGTATTCTGTTGCCCTTCGCGATGTAGCGCGCCAGTGCTGAGCTAGGCTTTAAATTTGGCAAGGGGGAGAATGGGCAGTACGTCGTAGCTTAAGTTTGGTCAGCACATATTTTTTTGGCGACGTGACATGCCGACCACCCTGGCTAGGCCCCCGTCGTCAGCAAGCAGATGCCTTGAAGCAGGGGGATTTGGTGATCGTCAGCGGCGAACAGCGGAAGCTGACCAATATGGTCCCCAGGAAGGAGCGGATTTTTGGGGACACCCTACATTTTGTGTGTGGGGGTGCCGGGGGGGTGGTATTTCCGCAAAGATTTGCCTGAGAATGAAGGGGAAAAGAGAGGCGAGAGAGGGGTCACAGGAGCGCGCAAATCTCTTTGAAGTCTTTCTGGAGCCGGACGGCCCCCTGGAGATGTTCCACTTGAAGCAGAGCTGGAGTTTGCAGGTCTTCGGCTCTGCCAGTGGATCCGGGTGTCTTCCCGAAGAGGAGGGCGAGGAGCTGCTGCTGACGGGGAGCCCAAGTTAGAGGCGGTGTACAGAAACGGCAGTTGGCGAAGGGCAGGATATTTGTAGGAATGTTTGAGATTCAGGGCAAGGCAGAAGATCTGTGACCCTTTGCCAGGGCCTTTTTGCAGATGCATGGCCACAGGTTTTCCATGGCCAGCCGGGTTTTTGAAAGCCGCCGAAGCGTGGCGCAGTCCTTCGTGACGCCAGAAAGATGCTCTCAAAGCGGTTGGTGGACGTGAATCCCCACCTAAATGACGTTTATACCAAAGGGTCCTTTTGGACAAAGATAACAATGATATCGTTTCATACCCGTATCGCCCCTCACGGTCGGTTCGGTGCCCCAAGTTGCAGGTGAGCCTTAACAGCTGCTGCTCTTCAGCGGAGAAGTGCAGCAGCTGGCGCTTTGCCCTGCAACTGCTCCGGCTGGCAGACCTGTGCCTTCGCGAAATTCGGATTGGGGGGGGGATGATTGCGAAGAGATCTCTTCAAAGACATGATTCCATATGATTCATCATTTGGGGCTCTTTTGGAACCTCCAAACATGGGCTACCCTCAGAGAAACTCCTTCATTGGTGGGTGCACCCCGTAGACTTGCAAAAGCGCAGGGCTTGGCTCGGCTTGGCCGGGGGGGCTTCCAAAGTTGAAGTCTGTGCCATGGCCAAAGCGCCCTTGGGGATGCCGGAATGTAGGGTTCCTCTTGACGCCATGGCCATCGCCCACAGGAGGTTGAACCATGAGACGTGTAGACTCTGAAAAGGATTAGGGACAGTTGGGCATCCAGGTTGCGCATCCCATTTTCCATGAACGGTTGTGAGATGTTCGTTGGTGATCCAAACTATTGAAGCTGGGTTTGTCGACAGAATCACCTCCAGACACCCCCATATGGACAATCACTCAGAGGTCACCAAATCTGGGTATTTGCGTTAGAAGGTTTTGAAGCCTGTTTGTATGTTGCTCAAAGGACACCACCACGTAGCCGACCAAACTGAGATGGGATTAGAAAATTGACCCAGATCTTGAGACCACAGGGAACTGTATATGGGTGTTCACTTACGCTCACTTTGGTGGTGGGGTGTGGGGTTTGCAGGCGGTGTCACGGGTTGGTGCTTTGTTCGCAATCCCTTGCATGGCAGTGTCATTGCTGTCCACTTAGGGCTATGGATTGATGTTTATCAATCAAGCTCGGTCAAGAATCGGGGATGTGTCAGCCCTTGATTTTGATATCTATACGTAAAAGGAGATCAGCGGACTCATTCTTCCTTTTGAGTCAAAACCCAACAGAGCCCATGTTGCTTGGTGTCAAAAAACCAACATGAAATCGTCACTATTTTCAAGTACGCTTAGTTTAACACAGCAGTAATTACTGCAATATGGGCCAATGCTTGAACCGGAGCGAGCCACTTCCAGGAAACAATCATACCGCTGTTGTCCAGAGGCACCTTTTCTGTGTTTCCCCGGTTGGCTCCTGAAAACTAACACGGGCTTCGTACGAGGACGCTTCAATTGGGGCGGTTTCTACGTGTCTATGTGTTTGTTATTTCGCTAAGTGTTTTCCTGACATACTTGGGCCTTACGGGTGGAGAAAGCACGTGTCTTTAAAGGAAACGTCAACTCGGCACTTGGATGAAGCCTTTCGGATTTGCTTCCCCGACCACTGGACCGTGAGCTGTGCCGCCTTTCTTGGCACCCTGCTTTTGCGATTTGGATAGGAATGGCCTCAACCCTTCCAAGTGGCTGGTGTCCCGTTTAAGTTTCCCTTGAAAACCAGTGAAACAAAACACACGCTCCCATTTGGACGTGCATGTTCTTTGTGTTTGTCATGTTGGTGGTAGGACACCCAAGTTTTGTGATTTTCCTTTTGTTGCCCTCAAAGTCGCAAAACAAACAACACCCTCATTTTTTGGGAGACACCCACAATTTGTGGTTTGCTTGTTGATCTCCCTTTTAAAGCCGCAAAGAAGAGGTATACCTTTCGGTTGCCAGGATCGGGTTCAACCTGCTCCTGCAGAGCTGCATGCATTCCTCGGCCTGGCGCGGCGCACTGCACTTCTTGCACCACATGCGGTCGTCGGAAACCGCGCTCTCGGCGATGAGCATCGTCCCTGCGATCGAGGCTTGCGTGCCTTGGCGGACACGGGGAAGGGATGCAACCTGCGAGTCGGCTCGTCTGTTTTTTGGGGGACCCCCGAAGATGACTTCGGTTTTGCTCTTGGTGTCCCTTTGAAGCCACCAAAAAACGGGGTACCCTCAACAACGAGACACCCATATCTCTAAGTGCGGGGGGGGGGGGGTTGTCAAGATCGGCCAGAATCTTTAAAAAGGAAGGCGCCATATATCTCTTGACATCCCTCCCTAGGTAGGTGTGTCTGGGTTGTTCAAAAGAGGGAAGAGATTCTGTCCAGTTAGGGATGGAGTCTACAATTCACTAGGAAAGGTTTTGGGAAGAAGCCTGAGCATTGTGCTTTGGCTGTTAAATTTGCTGTTCCCATTGCGGTGATGGTGGTAATCACTGTTCACAGTTACTTTCAAAGTTGTCCCCTGTTTCCGGTGGGTTCTTGTCTAGCAAGAGATGAATGATTCTGCCAGTTCGCCTAGACCAAAGGGGCCCAAAGGAAGCGCGCCGCGTCCGACTCGATCGAGTCGGTCGCGAAATGGGCGGTTTTTCCTGTCGGTTTCTCTTGAACACTCCGGGAGCCCCCGAAATGAAAATAAGTCCAGCGCATCTTTTTGTTTGATTGGTCTAAAGGAAAACCAAAAGGACACCACTCGTTTTAAGGGTCCTACACCTATGTTGCTGCATATTCCCGTCTTGGATACCAATTCAGAAGACCCGTTCACCGGGTTCTAGTACACGGGTTTCAGGTTGCACCACCCTAGGGTACGATCATTTGTTAGAACGAATGGAACGCTTTCTGCCGAAAAGTTGGTGTTTTCCCTTTGGTTTCCCTCACACTTTCAATCACTCTGATCACTTCTCTGGGTGTGGGCATCTTGGGTGCGATTTCAGCAAGCTCAAACATGCAAAGTCGCCCAGGTTTGAGAGTGTTTAGCTCCAGGAGCACACCGTGTTTTCCAACCGCTGATTCAATTCTGGGACTAGTCTCACAACTGATCAGGCGACTCCAACCGCCCTCTCAGCTGAGGAACTCTTGGAGCAGCTTCAACTCGTTGCTGCGCGGGGCGCGAGGCGCAAGCGCGAAAAAGTGGTGATGGGTTTTTTTGCCAATCCAATAGTTTCACGTTGATCTGACATTTTCTTGTGCTTGATTTTGTGTTCTCCATGCTGGATGAGCCCTCCCTTTGCATCCTCTGGTGAATGATGTGTGATCATCTTAAGCTATGATCCTTGCCACAGACTATGAGGAGGATACTCGTCTAGGCGTAACGCTCAAGACAGTGCTTGGCCAATAGCGTCACGCCTCGAGTGTCTGGGCTTGAGTCACTCGGGGAAGACATGTATTGATATTTGGTATGTGTCCGCATGACTTGAGGATGTTCAGCTCGCCATTCTTCATGTCACTTTCTTGGGGGGGATGCTATTTCTGCACCGGTTGCGGCTGCCATGTAGCAAGCAACCAAGGGAAAGCAGGACGTAAAGCCTGGAGGCAAACGAGTTTGGTGCCTACTATAGTGGTATAGCTGAAAGCCTTTGGGTCAGGTCGAGACCAGGCAAAGCAAGTTGCCATGCTCATTCCTGAGTGTGCGTGTTGTTTCTGTGGGAACCACTGTTCGGTGGCTCAAGCTCCGCAGGAGGCACAAGAAAGCTCCGGTAGCACGCTGGGCAGTTCCAAATGGGATATGAAACAGGTCAAATTTGAAATCAGCGTTTTTACACATTTGGGCCCCGAACTTGCTGCATTCTATTTTGTGTGAGACCACATAGTACAGCTCAAACGTAGTATCATGAACCAGGATTTATTGAATGTATCATTTGTTCAGTTCGTTTTGCGATTTGCGTGTCAAACAATAAGGAGACTCGCACAAAACGGCCCTGGAACGATGCCCCTGCAAAATACCAACGCTGGGCAAAAAAACAAAACTGTTAGAGGGCTCCTTAAGCATTGGGTGAATACAATTGAGCTAATTGAACCGTGGCTCATATGTCAAGATCCGCAAGTGATCCCAATCTCATGGATGACACGCCATGCGCTCAGCTTGTGAGCCCGGTGTAGCCCGGTTTGTATGACAAGCATGGCGTGGCAGACAGATGAGAGAGTCGAGCAGCGCCCAAAGCCGCTTTCTTTTTGTCCATTTTGGGCCATCACATGTCTCTCACCAAACGCTGTGAGAGACACTGTTTCACTAAGCAAGAACATGGATTGGGGTTGGGGTCACCCTTCGGGGGGGCTTCGATCTCGCTTGCGCATGTGTGGAGTGGTTGGTTCTACCTGGTTCATTGGGGTTATTATGTGACATATGGAACAAGTTGATGGCATATCGCACTGTGCATGCACATTCCAGCCACTGCGCAGCTTGTGTTGCAGGGTGATTTGTGCCGTCACAGTCCAGACGCTTGTACCGAGGCGCGCAAGAGTGCGCCGCACAGTCAGCAGCCCAGCGGGCATGGGTTGTTGCCACTGGTGGACAGCCCTTCGCACGCACCTATCTCTACAAGCTCCAGCACGGCACTTCAACCTTGCATCGTCTGTTTTTCAACGTGGGGTCGTGCAAATCAGAGGACCAGAGCAGGTACAGAGGGAGAGAGTGGGTTCTCGAGTCCGTGATGCTTCGTGTCGCTCCAGTGATCTAGTCGCCTCTGGCCGAAGGGCCGAAGGGTGGAATGTTGCACAACAGCCATGAAAGAAGTCGGCCTGAACAATCTTAGGGCAAGTAGCGACCTCGCAGCCTGGTAAAGGGGTCCTTTCCAGATCCTTTGCTGCAGACTGGCGATCTATGTGTTGATTATGCAGACTCCTACGTAAGAAAGCGAGCGGGCCAGCTTGGTCCAGGCCACGCCACCTCCACGGCCAGGCAGGACAGCCGCATGGTTCGTTTGCATGTGAGCTTGGGCTTTGAGAAGGCTTTGTATGGAGCACAGATCCCCAAGTCGCTGGCCTTCTGTTCAGAATTTGGAGCGTTGTGAGCGCGAGATTGCGCCATGCTTCAAACAGACGTGCTCACCGTCTCACCGTGGATGGCAAGTGGTCCAGGAGTTCTCCTTCAGATGTCATCATGGCATCGGGTTATGGACGTGTCAGAGTCCACGCTACAAACTGGGCAGATCAAATTTGGGCGGCGCCCCTAGTTTCCTCTCTCTGTTTTTTGAGGGGAAGGGTGTGCTTCCACAAATCGACCAACAGGAACGTCCACTTCCGAGGTGCCCTGCACCCGTTTTGAGGTGCAAGGGAAGCGGCGCAGTTGCCGACCGAGGCGCGCAGCGCAAGCTCGGCGCGATTCGGCGTGGGAGTCATGGGAGGGTTAGAAGTCCTTAGTGGCTCTATAGTAGCCACTAATCGTCCCCCCATCGGTTGCAATGACTTCCCCATAGCTCCCAGTCAGCATGTGACAAATTCAGCACATCGCAACTGAGCCCATGGCTGGCCAGGCCGAGATCCAACCGGCTGACAACAGCAGCGGGGACGAAGCGCTGGGCACCCCAGCACGGCGCTTCGTGGGGAAATGCCAACTGAGCCACGTCCTCAAAACCGATTCGGGTAGATGAAGGTTAGTAAGGGACAATCCCAGTCGCCTTTCTAGTTCTGTACATTGGTTTGGGTCGACTACAGGTTTTGATTGTGACTCAACTGACGCAATCGCAGTGTTGGATCCCTGCTTAGCAATGGAACGGGGAAGGGGGCTTCCCTTCAATATGTTTTGGCCAAACCGAAGGGCACAGACGCTCGAGCCATGCCGACTTAGGCAAGAACAATACGCAGAACCCCATGGTGTGACGAGGGAAGGAGTTCTTTCCTTGAGGTGTTTGCTTCTCGATATTTTGTTCCGATTTGTTTTGAAGGGGGATGGGCCCTGAGCAATTGGTAAGCTAGTACCGTTTCCCTGTTCCTTCGTTCTGCAAGTCCATTCAGAGTCTGTTTGGCTGACCTCAGCGTCAACCCCCTGTTCAGTTGTTTCGGGGGGCCGGGGTTTGGTCAGGTCCGTTTCAAGGGCGATCTGTTTCAATGGTGTGTCCTCCGCGGGGGAGCAAACCAAAGGTAGCCAACCATGTTGGGGTCAGAAGGGTACGTCCCGGGTTTCTGCAGCCAGCCCATGCCAGCCCCCATTAGGCAGCTGGTACCATGGGGCCAGGGAACCTTCCCCGCCTGAGGGCTCGGCAAGCCGAAGCCAAACCTGATAAGGCATGGCAAGAGACGGCTTGCCGGTGTTTGTGCGTGTCAGTTCTCCGAGTATTCTCCGTCTCGTAGTCTTAGTTGAACATTACTGGCTTTCTTCCGTTTATATGAGACATGGCATGTCACTCGTTGATTTGAGGCATTACTTGTTTTTCGGTAATTTGAGACATCGCCAGTCTTCTTTTTGGGTGATGGGTAAAGGAGAAGTATAGAGACCCATGTTGAGAAGTGCTGGAAGCCAGCAAGGGGATCACCCAAATAATATTGACCCAGGATTAATAAACCCGTCCCATTATTAGGGGGGGGTTCCCTCCAACAGTGATGAATCCCCACTAAAAGGGGACACCCCCTATTAATCAACCAGGGGTTTATTAATCCGGGGTTAACATTACGATGGAGCCCAAATCAACGAAGGGCCCCGGCAAGGCAGCCTCAAATCTCATTGATTCTGGGTGAATTAAAACGACCTCACACGACCTCACCCGACCGAGTTCACCCCAAATGGCGGTTTATGTGGGAATAGCCTCCCAACCTTATTTCAGGTTGGTGAAATATTATAGTTCACCCAGATGAAAGCGATTTAGGTGTGGCCCTGCTTCTTTGGTTCGGCTGTACTCTCAACATACATGTGGCCAACAGGTGAACCACATATTGCACGCATCATGCGTTGCCATTGATTTCCAGGAAGTGGTTCTCCTGGCAGCAATGCACATGATGTCCTTTCATATTGTATATAACGCCGGTGTTAAGTTGCACTGACTCGCATGAAAGGGTATACGGGCATTCGAGGGCTCCCTGTAGTTCCTTTTTACAGTGGTGGTTTAAGCATCACCTTGGGGCCACGTTGAAGAACTTCCTGTTGCTGGCGGGTTTATGAGGTTAAGCGAAAAAATCTGGAACATGGTTTACATTTTGCAGAGGGCCGCAAATATCCGGGGACCTGCTTCATGCTTTATGCTAATGCCAAAGCGCACGGTAAGGGCGCTGGTTTTTTGGCCCAATCTCATCCCGATCTAGCGAGGGCCTGACAAATGTCCTTGTAGTCCTGAGCGTACGGGTGCTTCAACCTCTTTGTGGCAGCGGACCGACCATCCCAGGGATTAGCTTCTGGCATTTGACAAAGGCTTGGGATCAGTTGAAAGTAACATCGCGGATCGTTAAGTCAAGCCCATGTTCAATTATGGACTTCTGCTGGCACAAGCGCTTGGATCATTCGAAAGTTTTTTCCATGGCAAACCGCATGGCTCAGTGGGACAGCAAACTCCATCACCCCATAGGCGTTGCCCGATCCGTACGTCGATCGCGCAGTTGCAGTTGCAGCAATGGCCCTTCCGGCAGCGAGGAATCATCGCGTTGGCAGGGTCGCCGAGACTCAAACTGTGCCAAGCGCTTGTGACCCATCAACTTGTGCGAGGGGGTTTTGTATGCTCAATTGTTTCATTCATTGGCGCAGCTATGCCAAGAGTGCAAGATGCTCTTTTGACATATTCAGGAATTAAGCTGTTTTCTTTTGGGTTTGGGTGCACGATGCAAAAGGGGAAGTGATGCCTTGTTGGAACAGGGCGTGGGAAGTCGAAGAAGGCTATGACATACGTTTGCTTTAGTTTGCTTTTTACCAAAACATCTCTCAAACGCGCCCCTTACACGACCATTGCTTGGGTGGATGTGTTTTGTTCGCCTTTGCAATTCGGTGGCTGAGTTGCCGCCAGCGTTCCATGAGATGGCCACGTTGCTTTCGTGTGACTCGTCTTGTCCGTTTCGCCGCTTGGGTCACTCCACGTTTTCTGGTAGACTTAGGATACATTTTACATTTTACAAGTGCAGCAAAGTGAAGAAAACAATAACATATACATTCTATGACTGGGCCTATCCCTAACTCAGTCGTTCAAAGCCTTTTGGTTTTCCCATTTTGGTCCATACTTAGTCATGGCCCCAAAAGGTTAACCTCAGCGAATCACGTTTTGCTCACTGGTCCAAGCTGAGGCCTTGTCCTGTTGCGCCCTGATGCTGGCGATGGGACCTGCGGCCTACTGCTGGCTCAACCAGGCGGGGCAGTTGGGGCGTGGGCGCAGGCAACCCCCAGGAAATGTCAAAGAAGAAATACAGGGCTCCTTAAAAGATACATTTTGCAACCATTTGAAACATGTTTTTTTTCCACCAAACTACAGGGACACCTCCATTTACAATGCAATGCTCAGGTGTATAATGTAAGGATCCCTGAGAAAACCATATGCGTATGGATGGTTGCTATGGAAACCGCAGATGATTCTAGTAAAACTGCAGATGATCGCAGGGAAACCACAAAAGATGCAACATGGACACCGCTGAACATTGCGTGGAAAGCATGGACGATACATGACAATCACAAGGGTATACTGATTGTAAAGTTGGTCAATGTTCTACAGGGCAGCCCTGTTTACCCAAAGCAACTCGTCCAGTTGGCTTCTGAATTACCCCTTCGCCAGGTCCCTTGGAAAGAGAACTGGCTATTCAACTGCCTGCAAGATTCCATGTTGTATGACGACTGTGAAAGAGCATGAACTGTGTTTTGTGCGATTGCATGAAGGTTGAGAAGTTCATTAAGAACAACTGAGAGTTGCCTGCCCCAGTGCTTTCAATTTCCCCTATAGCAGGCAACCAGGCAAAACCATGATGCAAAATCTCGAGGTAACCACACCTGCTTACCCACTATGGTGGTAACTGGAAGCACTGTGTGTGTGTGTGTGTTTCATCGTTTGTGTTTTGGATAGCCCTTTCTGACATCGACCCCCTTGCCTGGACCCAACTGTACGCCTATGCACCGTCTTCTGATCTCCTTCGGAAACCACAGGATATAGGATGGTTACCCACAATGGTGGTTACCCCCCCCCCCAACCCCACGATGGTGGTTGACTGGAAGTGCTGGGTGTGTTTCGTAGTTGGTTTAGATAGCCCTTTCTGAAACCATAGGATGCTTCGGGCTTGAAGCGTCGGCTTGCCGCCGCGGAAGATGAGGAAAGCTCCCGGGTGATGACCAAGTGGGGACATAGGTAGAGAGGCCACCACTGCGCCGTAGACCTTCAACAGGGAAGCTCAAATAGGTGCAAATGGCGGGGGTCTGAAAGGGACATTAAACGGATACAACCAATTTTGGGGTTGTCATTTGTGACAATCCCTTATTTTGCCTGTCTTGCCACCTTTCTATGTTCAGTTAGACCATCTTTCTTGGTCGTTTACGTTGACGGGCATTCTGGTTTGCAGGCAATGTGGTGCGATGTCCAGTGTGCTGGGCTGGCCTAAGCTGGCTGATCCATATTTGCTCACCCCTTTGGGTGCTTTTTGAGGGTACCCTCTTCGCTTTGGCTTAAAGGGCAACACCTATTTTGACACACACACACACCCATTTGTGGGTCCACACCCCTTTGAAAGTATAAGCTGACGCCACAACCATCTCTTCTAGAAAACGGTTTGGATGCGCCTTTTGTGGATTTCACCTGTTCTTCCACCTTTAGGTTTTTTTTAGTACTCTTTTAGTACTCTTTTAATATCCCACATGGGTGGATCCACAAAAACCGCATCTAAGCGGTTTCCTAGATCTCTGGCATCTTTGGAGCACCTTCAGAGTCCCTTCCTTGTTTGGGTCAGTACTTACTCCTGGGAATTCCACGAAGTTCCGTGAATGACTTTGCGATCTACCCACACCTTTAAACCTTTCAAGCTGTCCAAGAATGCAGGTTTCCCTACATATCCCAGAAGTCATCAAACTCTTTGGAGGAGAATTAAAATGCTTCAATCTATTCTGGCCACTTGGACCACCGAAGCAACCTTCGCTTCGGCGCAGGGGCGGGCAGAGATGGCGGACACCTACCGCGGCGGCGCCCACTTCCCCAACAACAAGAGCTGCGGCCTGGGCGCTGAGGCGGGCCACTGGTTCGATAGGCAAGGAAGGATTTTTGTTCTTGGTGGCTACCAGCCATCCGGTTCCTTAGCTTTTTAGCCTTTTAGAGTTTTCCATCTAACCCACTAAAGGTTAAACTTTTATCCGGGGATCTGAGGGCAGCCCAGTTTTGTTTGTGTTGTGCGTGTTTTTTGTTTTTTCTGGAGGCAAGCATGCTGCCATGTTTGATGCCGATGGTCTTCATGGCGGCTTCTTGGAGGGACATATCAACTTGTGACATGGCCGGAACGTGTTTTGCCAAGAAGTCGCGAGGGGATCTCAGCTTCATCAAATTAGGGGGTTGCGCTCTCATCCAAAATGAAGGTTCCACTTTCATATGGAAGCCCTGGTCTGATGTGCTGAACTGTTTTGCTTAACGTTCGTCAGATCCTCAGGATCTACCATAGGGAGGCCCTCTTTTGGTTGGGTGAATCATTCTGATGAACGTGAATCCCAATTTGTCGTCCCTTGAGCTGGTCAGTCGGGTTCCTTCATTGGGGGCCGCCCAAATGAAATGTGCCAGGCGACACACCATCGTCCAGCTTTGTACCTGGGCCGGGACTATGTCAACGAGGAGTGGGACTCGGATTCAGATGGGAGAGATAATCTGGGGTTCGTTTAGGTGGCCCAGTTGCCCAGTGGATTCCGCCCTTTGTTCTTTTCTTTTTTCGGAATGCCCTTTTTTGCCCATGGCCACTGGGCATTTGAGATGGGGTTGGGGTTGACCTAGGGCTTCTTTACTTGGCTTGGGGTTGGTTTCGGACTTACAGTGGTTTGGACTGAGACGAAGGTGGGTCAAGGATGTGTCAAGGGTCGGCTTAAAGTGTGTTCAAGGCTTTGCGAGTTGTCTGCGAGTATCAACACATTATCCAGCAGTGGTGGATGGATGGCTCGGGACATGAGGGTCTGAAGAAGTTTTGTAGAAAAGCCCGGTGGGATTGGGAGATTGCTGCATCTACAGCTTAAATCCCCATAGCATTTTCCGATGTCTTGGGTAGTCACTATTTGTAGGCTTTCTTCAATGAAGATAGGCTGGCTAAATGCAGATCGGGGAACCGTGGGTTGCCATCCCGAGTGGCTTTTTCCGGTCTTTGCCAGATGGGCTCTGGCACTGGGGTGGGGCAGCGGTTTCGGAGATTCGGTTTCCTTGCATTTGCTTAAGAATGTTTTATAGTTTCCCTTGTTCGTTTAAAAAGAATAAATCTATCACTACTGGTCATATTTTTGATCTTTCCCGCGGGCTTAAGCAAATGGAAGTTTCAGAGTAGACCAACTGGAAGGTCGCCTCTGGTGGCACAACGGCTTGTTGATGATGGCCTGAGCCTCAGAGTGGCCGTCTCGAAATGGATATGGGTCAAAATTAAAGCACAGGGAATTGGACCGCAGGTCTTAGTCCATGTTACCACTTACAGGGTTCAATCTTGGGTACCTATTATTGACCCACAGCCAAATCAGGCGGTTCAAAGGGAGCCGAAGATAAAGCCAAGCAGTTCACACAAAGAGGGAACAAGGCGCCGCGCGCACTCAGCCCCCTTTCGTGGGGCGAAAGCGTCTCCTGTGGCAGGGCCTTTTGCTATCCTTCTGGTCAGGTTTGTTGATGGGTAGTTTTCGTTGGGTTTGATTTGGTTGTTATCACTCCGCCGGGCTTGGCTTGATTTGGTTCCGCCTTGTTTGCTTTCCTTAATTCTCCGTTTCAACCAACAAAAGTCGACTTTCCGCAGGTCTGAATTCACGGCTGCTTCGCTTTTTGTCTCCCCACCCCGTGGCACGCCAGAAAAGTCTTAAAAGCCTTTCTGAACACCTTTCCAAATAGGTTCCTGTTGTGCTCCCTTCCCCTCCTAGAAACAGCGGCAGTGGCGGGGGTGCCCCTTCTCCTTGAGGCGCTTGAACCCCAGAAACGGCCCGCCTTAAGCGCGTCCGACGCTCGCGGGCGCGCGCGCGCCCGAGCGCCCGAGGTGGCCAGGGTAGTGGCGGGCATCGGCATCGACCTTCCCGGGCAACACATCTTCGCCATGGGCGGCGCCTGGCGCTCGGGGTCGACATCGGGAGACGTCACGCGGTCGAAAGAGCCGCCTGGTGGTTTTTGAGGCTCGGTGCCGTTTTTGTTTTTTTTGTTGCATTGGTTGCAAGAAAGACCGCAAGGACTATACCCGGGACTACCTGGGGGGTCCCTTTACTTTGAGAGACGAACGCAAGTGTGGCAAGCCCAACTCTACGCTAGAACCCCTACTCCCAACCAGAAACCAGCTTCGTTTAGACCTCGTTTTTTTCACAAGGTCCCCAAAAGGTCCAGTTCTGTGCAACACTCCCCGCCTGCCACGCTGACCACATCTGGGCGCAGGTGCGACTGTTTGTGTTGCAGCCAACGCTGGCCGCATTTCCTGGGAGTAGTTTGGTGCTTTTGGAATCTTTGGACCTGCGTGTTTGGAACATATCTTCCAAAAAGGGCCAAGGCTTCTCACCAAGTTATTTTTCCAAAGGTCACTCCGTGCTTCCAACCTTTTCCCCGCGTCTTTTTTAGGTTTGCCACGCGGCCAACGGGCCTCACACGCGGCGTCGCGCCGCCTTGGCTCGTCGCTTTCGGTGCCGAGGCCAGTCTTTTGGCCTACGGCTTCTCCATGGGCTTCGGCGCCTTTGTGGCGCCTGGGCCAGAAATCGGATCCAAACCAAGCGCCTGGCGGTTGGTCCGGTTCGAGAGCCTTGTACACCCAGACAAAACCCGGGGGGGGGGGAACCGAGCCTTGGAAAAAGGACAGCCAGTATGAAAGTGGTCCGAATGTGTGGTGACAAATATGTTTTGTGGACTCTTGAAAGGAATTTGTGCATGGTTTGTAAGGCGCACCATCAATTATGGATTGCTGTTGGGGCAAAAGAGGCATAAATCATGAGCGTTTCTTACAAGGCATGACAATGGCACAAAGAGTGAGTGATCATGGTCATGCGGAACATGACCTGAAAACCGGATTGAGAGTGAGCCTTGCTTGGGGATGATGGAATGCTCTGGTTTTCTCCATGTTTTTCTGTCTGATGGAATATCAAAAGGGGTTCCTTTTTGCGGATGGGGCGAAAACGTGCTTGTCAACGCAGGTTGCTTACTGATTTACTGTGCGTTGGGGATCCCCATGGAAAGCTAAACCGCCCTGCAGGAGCGAGCATCATGTGAACCTATTTGTGGGGGGAAGTGTTTTGGTTTTTTCCCCCGTAGGCGGAAACAGGGGGGGGCGCCTTTCTTTCCACTTGGGGTAGGATGTTGAGGCCATGTTGCAACGAGGGAACCGTTCTAGATAGCCTGAACAAGGGATTCTAATGAAACCGGTACCTTACTGGTGCTCAGCAAATGAGAAGATGACCCCTGCTCTGAGCCATCCCTACCTGCTGATGTCCTGAACCATCCCCTTCCGGTCCCTCCAGGGTCTCCTCAATTCGGTAAAGCTCAAGCTGTCAAGTGCCAATAGCTGTGGTCGAATGGCAAGGGGTTCATCCAGGGGTTTGCGTGACAGCAATAGATGTTCTGCCAGTCAGGAACTGGATCTGAAAACTTTGGATAGATCGCTTGAGCAAATGTCTCATTTCTTTCTGACGTGTTTTTTGGCTGTTCCTTATGGTTTGATTGGGGGACTCACAAGAAGTGATACTCCTCGTTGCTGGGACGAGAGGATTTCTGAATGACCTGGCTCCAAAGCACGCGCATTCCATGGCGCGTGCTTTGGCCTTGATGATATGGACGGGTAAGATTGTTTCATCACGTTGGTGCTTTTGGAGAGTTTGCGGATATGTCCCTCAATATAAATAGAGATGTTGCAGGCTTGAACTTGACTTGATGGCTTTGCCCAGACCACAAAATCAATACTGGACATGTGCGATACAAGACATGCGATGAGCCATACATCCGCAATGCTTTCAACATTCTCCCGCAAATGAACGCCGACATCTATGAATGCAGCGCTGATCAAGCATGAAAGGTCCCTTTTGCAGGGGTCGGGTGCAAGCATATCTAAGCTTTCATTAGACTTTACAGATCCCTAGATGGACAATGCACATGGTACATTTCTTTTCTCGCATGGACTCGGCACCTGGCACCGCGTCAACGAGAGGTGGAGGAAGCCAACGAAGGCTTCGCCTGGAGCCAGATGCAAGAGGAGCCGGGGCCTGAGTCAATCTTCGGCTGGCAAACTGGAAGATCGAACGGCCGGGGGTCCTTGGAGCTCTCCCGGTTTTGTTTGTTTTTGTTTTTCCCCTTGTAGTTAGTTTTTTTCTGTTTGGTTTTACATCTCTTTGGAGTTCAGTGGGTCCCTGTGTCTGCTTCTTCGATTCTTCGACTTGAGGTTTGGCTTTTGCTCCCTAAGGGGTCCTCTTTGAAGATGTTTGGAAATCTTGGTGGGAAAGTTGGTAAAGGCCAAAGGCTGTTCCCCAGTTTTTTCCAAAGACTCACGAGCGAAGCGATTCGCATCCAGGCGGGTTCCTGGAGGTTGCGGATGGTGGGTCCATTTGTTCTGCTCTGTTTGGGGGATCTTTGAACCTAAGAACCATGGGTCCATGAGCATGTGCCAACTTGAGGCAATGAGTTGTGGTTGGGGGGTGGGGGGCCTCTATCTTGGAGCGGTTAAAGCGAAGCACTTACCCAGGTACAACGAAGTGCGGAATATGCCCAGCTCGGAAGTGGACGAGATGATTTGTCACTACAGGCCGGGCGGATTGTTTGAGTCTGGGTGGCTTGGCGGTTTGGAGCTTCGAACCCAAGCTCTTTTTTTTTGAAGCCAAATGGGGAAGGTGCCTGCTTACGTTCGAAGCACCAAACCAAACCACCGAATAGTGGTAAGGTGAACATAGTAGTGAGGGACAATCCATTGTGTGGGGCGCCGCCGACATTCCACAGGACCTTGTTTTTTCAGTTGTGGGGGGTGTGTTGCCATGCTTGAGCCTCAATGTCGCCTCGTCCAGCCGTAGTCTTGCAGAATATTCCTTTGGAAGGTGAGTTCACATCCTTGCCGTTGTATTGGTACGGCCACATATTGGCTCACATCTGGGAATCTCCGTCCGCAGCCCTAGCAGGCGGCGCGGCCTGTCCGAGCAGGCAGGGTCAGAACGCATTGGGAGTGTCTTACAAGGCAGGTGGTGTAGCCCAACCGAACGGCGCTTCCCCTCTTCAGATCAGGTCCCTTTAAACAAAAACCGCCCTTTGAATTCTTTCTGGGGCAACAGGCCATGAGTCAGGGAGCTACTTTGATACCTTGTTCTTGTTTACGCGCCTGGTGATGCCACTGGAAGAAGCTTAGTCTCATGGTCAAAGACGGTCAGCTTATGTGTGTATTCTGTTGATTTTGAGGATGACCCACCAAACATGGAAGCCAAGGTAAGGGTTCCTGCGAGTTTCTGTGTCTATTGGTGGGAGGGTATGAAAAATATGCCTGACAAATCGCTTGGCCATGATGTTGGCGTACTGCTTATTACATGATTTTGCCCTTCCCTCATTTTCCCTTTCAACCGGCACTTCTTTTGCAGGGGGTCCAAGTCTGTCACTCAACACGGGTCCATAGTTTATCTTTCTCCCTGCGTTCCTGGACTTTATCCTCTTTGGGAAGACCTTTGTTTTAAATGAAGCTTTTGTGTTGGCCAATCCACACAGGAAGTGAGATACTATACCACTGCAGTCCGTGCAACCCACCAAAGGGTCTAGTTTAGTGGAAATGGGCTGTCAGGGCACCCCCAGTCCTTGCAGTTCTATACCCTTCAACGTTTGCATGTGATGTGTTTCAACTTTTGTATGTGATGTATTTAGAGGTTGGAGGCATTCATGACAAAACCCACTGAAAGACGATCTTTTAGCAAGGAGTCAACGAATCACTGAGAGTCCGGTTCCACGAACACGTGGGTAGGACGGACGGCATGCAGCCCATGCGCTCGCCAGGATGCACGCACAGTGTCTGGGATCCTGTCGCAATACGAGGCTTCGGATCTTTTTCACCAGGGGTCCAGGTCGTGTGAGCTTGAGCAGCACCCAATGTATGCGAACCTTTACATGCATGCTGATAGAAAGAACGGTCATTGGTCTTTTAAGTGGGTTGTTCGAGCGGCAATTGGATACTGTCAATCTGATTGATCGATAATCAAAGGCTAGTGGGAGACAGTCCCAACCAGAAATAGAAGCAGCCACTCTTTCGATTCTGTGCATAACTTGGGCAGACCAGTCAGGTGTTGATGCTGACTCAACTTAGGTTGCTCACTTTTCGTGCTTGAAAATGGACGCCAAGCGTGCTGAATTTATGCTTAGCACGTTGCCTTCTGTGCCAGATTCCTGTTCCCGAGCCTCAGGGAGTACTTGACTTAGCTTCAGGGTTCAGGTTTTTGACTACCGGCTGAAACCCAGGGGTTCCCTTTTTGGGAGAACCAAGCACTGGTTTAAGTCTACCTAGCCAAAATATGGGCACCCTGCTCAGCTTATTTTCTGATTACTTGCGTGGTTTGCACGAGAGGTGCCCGGCATGCATTTAGCTTTGCTTACACGCCTTCCAGCCATCCAGTTGCATTTTCAAGGCTTCGACTCATTTCTAGTACATGGCAAGTCCAAGGTGGTTGAGGAATTTAGGGCTAACAACTATGACTCACCCGGTGTCTCACGTTTTGTTTGCCCTTTGTTTCAACACAGAAAGTTGAAACAATAGAATCTGGGTGAATTATAACGACCTTACACGACCTCACTCCAAATGGTGGTTATGTGGGGAATAGCCCCCGGCCCCCAACCACCTTATTTCTGGTTGGCGAAATATTATAATTCACCCAGATAGAATCCAAGCCCAACTAATCGGAGGCTTTCCCTTGCGGCCTCACCAGGACTTTTGGGTGCACCACATGATGGCGGAGGAGTTAGGCCTGACTCGATCGCCTTTTTTTTGGGGGGGAGGTCAGGTGTTTTGGGTTGCTACTTTCTGTGATACCACGGGAATCCCTTTAAAGCTGATAAAGTAATCAGGAGAATGACCGGTTTCGACGTCAATCAGCTCCCTTGGAACATGTTCCGACGGTTTCTCATTTCCCAAGGGCTTCAAGTTCACGATCCAAACCGCCGAGATTCAGCTGGACCCGTTACAGGAGGCGGGGGAAATTGCTGCGGACAGGTGCTGGAAGGGCGAAATGGTGAATTACACGCATCATCTTTGGACCTATGGCTTCAAAGTACCCCGCAACCCCATGACGGGAAGGCGGGAAGGCGTTAAAATAGGGGGACACCCGTAGCCAAAAAGGAGGCGGTCTGTACGAGCCAAATGCCTCTGCGATTGCCAGGTCTCGTTTTGGTTGCCCCTTCATTTGGCCAGTCCCAGAAAGGGCCCCTAGTTTCAGCGTCCCCAAATCAGATTCATTCCGTATGGGTGTGTCACGCCAAGAGGGTGAGCATTCCCCAAACTATGCACATGCATTGCATATGCTGTGTGGCGTTTTTGTTAAGGGTGCCCTTGTTGGTGATCTTTCAGTTCAAAGGACAACCAAAAGGACAAGCAACCTCAACGGTAAGTCCTTAAATTAGAGACAACATCCATGTGTCCACGCATGTTTCAATAAAGCATCTTACACCCAGCCAAGCTTCAAGTCCCTCCATTTGGCACTCAGCATCGGTATGGGTTTGTATGATCTTTTAAAGCTGCTTTCCCATGTTGCAGTCTTCCCTTTGTTTTCCCGTTCGCAGCCATTTCCCTCTCTCTTTCTTGCTCTTTGTCCAAACTGCCAGTTTTAGCTGGGCTGGCTTGCTTGCTTGCTCTCCGGTGTGTGGGGAAAACCGCGCCATCGCTGCATTTGGCCGATGAATTGAAGGCTGACACGAGGCCCAAATAAGTCAAACTGGGGGTTGTTGATTCTCGTGAGAAGAAGGGACCCCACAGATGGTTTCGGGCACTAGGGGTCCCTCTATTTCCTTGGTAAGGCAACGTCTATCTGAAGTTCTCACTCTGCGCCGCGTCTTCTTTGGACTCCACCCCCCAACCAATAGTGGATGTGTTGTTTTGTGTCGCTACCTCTATTTGGTTTTCATCATATGGCTGTGGGTCATAACCAATGGTACCATTTTGGGCTAGGTGAATTCACCCATTTTAGAACCTATTTGAGTGGGGATTGCGATGTTCACTGGGGGTACGATGTGGATTTTGACCCATGGCCATGTATACAGACTTTTACATAGGATATACAGACTTTCACAGTGTGGGCACCTATTTTTTACCCATAGCCAACTATCTCTTTGGTTTTCCTCACATTGTCTCATTTTAGATCCCACCCGCATCGAGGGTCATCTACGGATCCGCAGGCATTCAGCTGCCCAGAGGAGGCTCTGCGGCCCTGCAGTCCGGCCTGGCACCTTCCTCGGAGCACGGTTTAGAAGAAGCCGAGTTTTATGGCTTTACAAACGGTGATTTAGACTTAAGTACAGAACAAGCTGTGCTGGGGGCTTGAAGCTTGGGGGTTGAAGCTTGTTGTTTCAACCCCAAGCCCAGTTTTTGTTGAGTTGTTGCTTTGGTTCAGGTCCTGAACATCCCAGAAAAAGGTGGCCGGAACCCCTGGCAATGGAAAACTGCCCCGAACCTCGAAACCACCGATCCAAACCACCAATTGGCGGGATGCCACATGAAGGCCATCTTGCAATCCATCCTCAATCCTGGTCTTCAATCCTGAGAGGAGGTACTGGACTAGTACCTCCTGGAAGGTGCTAGTACCTTCTATATATACATATGGGTCGAGAGAGAGAGAGAGAGACAAAGAGGAACCCCGCGAATGGAGACAGGAACACTGAGAGAGACGCTGGACTGTGAAAAAGCAGAGTGACAGTGACAGAGACAGAGACCGAGCTAGAGAGAAGAGAGAGAGGGAGAAGGAGACGCAGCGCTAAACAAATACTGTTAGTCAATGAGTCTTCACTGTTGTTGGCATGAGTTGTTTCCCCGTGTTTTTGGTTCTGTTCATATTTTGGGTTGCAAACAAGCAGCTTGTTTGATAACGAGCCAAGGGTTCAAAATTAGTGCATGGTCCTTGCTTTGGCGCTGAGGCGACAGGAATCTCATTTCTGGTCTTCGGCATCGTGCCACTCCTAGGCAGCGAAGGGATCGGACCAGATCAGGGGCCGAGGGTGAGCTATATTTCCATTTGTGGCTTGCTGCCGATTTGCCGTTGGTATTTGGATCTGTATTTTAAGGGTTGGAACCCCTCAAAGTGGCTGGTGGGCATGAATCCCCGCTTAAATGATGTCCACCAAAGGGTCTCTAATTGAAATGAATGCTCGCTTGTTTGTGTTGCTCAAAATTAGAGACGCCAAGCTTGCATGAGTTTGGTTTGTGGTGTTTCCGCTTAGCCGAAACGGGCTGCAGGGTACGCTGTCCAACAAAAAGAGCCAATCATTCAGGCCACTTTGATAGTGTCAGGCGCAGGCTGGCTGACCTTACCCCACCATGAAGATGAACTCATCAAACATCCTGTAGAGCAGATTGATGTAGATTGCCTTTACTGCCTTCATGCTTTGCAAACAGCAACGAAATCATCATGCGTTGAAAGGTGTTCAAAGCTTAACTTGCTCAGTACATTTTGGGCCGGTGAATTATCTTGATTCACCCAGAATTCTTAGAGGATAAGCCGCTCAGGGAATCAAGCGGCAAGTACTACTAGTTGGTGCGCGAATTCTTCTGGTAGGGTCGCTGGCATTTGCATAGAGTCGATTGTTCGGCGATTGGTTGTATTGTTACTGGTTCGAAGATGTTCAATTCGTTCAAGCCTGTTTGACATGTGGCTGTGGGTCAAAAAATAGGTACCCAAAGTAGAACCCTGGTAAAAGGATTGATGGACTAAAAACCTGCGGTCCCCTCGCGGTTTTGTTTTGACCGACAGCCATGTAATTTCACCCGCTTCACTGAGGGCACATGGTGCAAAGGATATTGCGTAGACCCCAGTTGCCACGTCGGAGCTCGAGAGGGTTCAGTTACTCAGTGTCGCACACAGGAGTCCGGTTGTGTCCATCAAACCGCTCCCAACTTGCCCATTTTTGATGGGACGCCCACTGGTCGCACACTGTATTCCGTTTTGTGGGAAGTGTTTCCAGAGCCGAGCTGCAGGAGGTGCAGCAAAAAGCGTACGGATTGTTTTGGTGAAAGGAAGCCGAAGGGGAAGCCACAAAAGGCTCTGAAAGCTGAATGTGTGTTTTCTTCAACCAAAGATTTGAAAAGTTGTCTTATAGTCCCCGAAAAGGGGAAGCCAGCATGTTGCGCTCAAACCCCGGTCCGATCTCCAATGGATTCAGCCTTAGGCGCTGAGAAAGTGGAAAGGTGCATCGGATGGGCCTTCGGCCTGGCCTGTTGAACCAACCACTTTCGGGGGTCGGGAAACCGGGCTGGGACGTTGCTTCAACCGTGTTTGGTGGCCTAAACCATTTGAACCGGGACTTGGGAACTTGGAAGCCAGGCGCTCAGCAACTTCCCCCGTGTCAGTCTGCAGCCGCATGAGGCGGGGAAAGGGACGGGGACGGGGGGATAGGGTCGCCCCAGAGCTGGGTGCACATTTGAGGTGAGATTAGACATCGGCGACCCATTGAGCTGATTAAGGCCGTTAAACGTCAGTGGAAGACTTATGCATGTTCTCATAGCAATCGGGGCGACTCACTCAAGCTCTATCTGCATAAATTGGTAGGAGGCAGAGCAATGGGACGACAACGCGTTGGTCAGACAGCGTTGAGTGTTCAGAGAGCCTGCTGACAGTTTAGCCTGTTTCGTGCCTTTGCCGACTTGGCTGCACATATGATTGACCTTTACCTCCCACAAAGTTAACTTGTCATTGACATGGAACGTGTCTGAAGCACACAACATGTTCCAGTACACAGCAACGCTCCCGATATGCTTATTGCGATGACTTCTTTGCGATGCCGCTTCCAAACAAAGCGTCTAACTTGATTTTTAGACACCCGTCGATTGCTCGCAGGCCATCGGAAAAAGTGCAATTGGCCCCACAACATGTTGATTATGAGGAAGAAGGGATTAGTGTCCTTGTCGGTTTCCTGAGGCCGTTCTTCGAATGGCCAAGGAGACCCACTTGGTCAAGGGGAATCACGTCGCAGCTGGTTGCCTTTGTAAAAGTTACTCTTTTCCGGCTGCTTTTCGACCAGAAAGTGGCAATCATCATCCAACCGGTAACAATCAACCTCAATGCATGCTTGCCAGAAATTGAATGGACATTGGCAGGCTTCGCAGAGGTACAGTGACCACTTCCCAGACTGACGCCCCCGGTTAGCATGGAACTTAAGAAAACCCGATCCATTTGTAGAGGAATCTCCTTTCGAGCCTTTTGGGTCCCATGTTGACGGCTTGCCTCCCTCCCAGCTTGGAAGCAGGTTTTTGGCCTGCCTTTACTTCCTTGCTTAATTGGCGTCCGGCTCCGGGCAAAGGAGTAGTTTCATGTGGCTTCCTTTCCACGACATCGGGGCGAACAGGAGCTCCCTTTGACCATCGCGGAAAGTAGGGCTGGTTTTGAATTTTGGCCACGTCGTGTACCAAGGGAATCCCCTTCATCGCACTCCGATGTGGCCCCCAGAAGTGAAGTAGGGCTGGTTTTGAATTTTGGCCACGTCGTGTACCAAGGGAATCCCCTTCATCGCACTCCGATGTGGCCCCCAGAAGTGAAGTAGGGCTGGTTTTGAATTTTGGCCACGTCGTGTACCAAGGGAATCCCCAACGCACTCCGATGTGGCCGCCAGATGTGGCCTCTCGATGCCAGAGCACTCGGTGACAGGACTCTGACTTGTACCCTGCTTCTAACAATGATGCCGACTGACAGCTGTCCATTTCCCAGCCATATAATTAGAATGGGTTTGCGGCAAACTTTTAAGCCTCAGAGTCTGCTGGCTTCAGCGGTGATCTGCAGCCAGCGCCTTCCAAGTCGAAGCTTTCGCCCTCCTCCCTCGCCCCACGCCATGGCCCCGGAGCTCACGTGGACGAAAAACGGCCTCCTGGCCTTCACGGCGCCCTGGGCCGCGGAGGCCTCCGGCGGCGTGGCGCTGCGGCCGGGGGGGGGGCGGGGCCTGGGCAGTCCTCCGCGAGGTGGACGGATGGGCGTTTGAGCAGTACGTGTCGCGGTTTGTCTTCGGCGCGGATGGCGGCTGCGTGGTGGAGGAGATGTCCTCCGCAGGCGGCTGGGTGGAGGTGGGCCGGTTCCCCGGAGGCGGTGTGCGGTGGTGCTGGGCGAAGGGCGCGGGAGGGCAGTGGAAGGTCTGGGCCGAGGCGGACACCGGAGAGAAGATATTGCCGAACAAGACCTTCAAGCAGAGAGCGCCGCAGCTCGATCTGTATTCGGAACAAAATTGGCAGAGTCTGGAAATCTCGCTGCTGCCGCTTCAACCAGGGCCTGGGAGTGTTCCTCCGCAAGTGAGTCAGCCTTCGCAAGCCGAGCTCAGGGCGCAAGTGGACCAGCTGACCTCAGAGGTGCAGAGTGAGAGGGCGCAGAAGGCAGAGCTTCAGCAGCGGCTTACCCAAGAAAAGGCTGAGGCCCGCTTTTGGAATTTGGACCCTTTGAAAAGGAAAACCCGAAACCATTTAACCTAATACTAAGATAAGTTCTTTACACAAAGCAAGGCAAACAAATGCAGAAATGGGGGTTGCCCACAAGAGGCCCTGACTAGCTTCAATGTGACTGTGTTGGGGTTCGCTTCAAAGTTAGCTTGCTGTGGGGGTTGCTGAAATTCCCAACTCCCAGCTCAAAGGGTAGATGTCTTAGATCCAGCAGAAGGTCTAGTAGTGCAGTCTGAAGCTAAGGCACGAACAAGCGAATGGCAACGACTTGGAAAGGAATCAAGACACAAATTACATTTAGTATTGGCAGTACTAAAGTAAGCACTGAAAATCTGAGAGTCAGTCTTGGCAAGAAAAAAGTACTGAGAAGCTGAGAGTAAGTCTTGGCAATACTAAATTAGCCTTGGCAATACCAAAGTAAACACTGGGAATCTGAGAGACAGTCTTGGCAATACCAAATTTGGTGTCGCAGTACTAAAGTAAGCACTGGAAGTAAGTCTTGGCGATGCTGCATTTGGCTTTGGCAACATAAAATTACGTACGGGAATCCGAGAGTCAGTCTTGGCAAGGCGAATTTAGCTAGAGTAAGTACTGGGAATCTGAGGTCAGTCTTGGCAATTCCAAATTATGTCTTGGCAATACTACAGTAAGTATGCGGCATTTGAGATTCAGTCTTGGCGGCAGTACTGGCGTAAGTGCTGGGAATCTGAGAGTCAGTCTTGGCAACACTAAATTTAGTCGTGGCAGTACCAAAGTTAGTGCTGGGAATCCTGAAAGTCACTCTTGGCAATACTAAATGTATCCTTGGCAGTGCGTACTAAAGTAAGTACTTGGAATGTTAGAGTCAGTCTTGGCAAGACGAATTTAGCATTGGCAATACAGGAGTAAGTACGAGCAAGCCCAAGTCCCACCCAGACCCCCAGGATTTTCAGAATCTTTGCACCAGGAAAAGCTGGAATTGCGGCAGCAGCTGGAGCAGCTTACGCAGGAGAAGGCTGAGGCAACGGAGTTGCGGCAGCAGCTGGAGCAGCTTACACAGGAGAAGGCCGAGGCAACACAGCAACAGCAAGCCTTGCAGCAGGAAAAGCTGGAATTGCAGCAGCAGCTGGAGCAGCTTACACAGGAGAAGGCTGAGGCAACACAGCAACAGCACGCCTTGCACCAGGACAAGCAGGAGTTGCGGGAACAGCTGGAGCAGTTTACGCAGGAGAAGGCTGAGGCAACACAGCAACAGCAAGCCTTGCAGCAGGAAAAGCTGGAATCGCGGCAGCAGCTGGAGCAGCTTACGCAGGAGAAGGCTGAGGCAATACGGCAACAGCAAGCATTGCACCAGGAAAAGCAGGAATTGCGGCAGCAGCTGGAGCAGCTTACGCAGGAGAAGGCTGAGGCAACACAGCAACAGCACACCTTGCACCAGGAAAAGCAGGAGGTGCGGCAGCAGCTGGAGCAGCTTACACAGGAGAAGGCTGAGGCAACACAGCAACAGCACACCTTGCACCAGGAAAAGCAGGAGGTGCGGCAGCAGCTGGAGCAGCTTGCGCAGGAGAAGGCTGAGGCAACACAACTGCAGGAAGCATTGCACCAGGACAAGCAGGAATTGCGGCAGCAGCTGGAGCAGTCCAGGCACGACTTTGCCTTGCTTTCGCAGCAGCAGCTTGAACAGTCCAGGCACGACTTCGCATTGCTCAGGCAGGAGAAGGCTGAGGCGATCCAGCAAAGCGAAGTGCTGCAGCAGGAGAAGCAGCGCTTGCAGCAGCAGCTTGAGCAGCTCCGGCATGACTTCATGTTGGCTTCACAGCAGGCACCGACTGAGCGGAAGTTGGTTGAAGTCGCACGACAGCTTTCCCAGTTGAAGGAGCACTGTGATGCTGTCGTCGCAGCCCGGCTGGAACAAGCAAAATGCCTTCTGTCTCTCCTCCCCACAACCCGCCCCATGTTTCCTGGGGTGTTGCGTAACAACTGACTTGGGACTATGCGGCATTGTTGTGCTAAAGCTGCGCCATTCTGGAAGCCCACGAGCTAGACAGTGTCAGGCCTTCATCAGCTCCGACAGCGATCCGCAGCCAGAGGGAGCAGGCGGGGCTTCAAACTCACTCGCTCTAAAGGTGTTTGTGCCGCCCCGCTGCGGCCTCTCCAAGAGTTTGTACAAGGGTCTGGGGGGAAGGGGTCGGTTGCTCAGGCAACTCCCCGGCCAGCAGAAGCTGGGCTGTGATCGACCAAGATGAGGTGCAGTCGGTGCAGTCGAGCGACATGAGCAGCTCGTCCGCCGGGTCTGCCAAGTGCTTCCTCCCGAACACGGCCCTGCCCGGGGCCGGCAGTGCCGAGGGCCACCTGCTGCGGGTGGAGCACCTGAAGCCGGGGGACAAGGTCCGGCTGAGCGATGGCACGGAGGCCTCGGTGCTGGACGTAAAGCGGCACCCCTCCAAGAAAAAGCCCTACGACGTCGTGGAGCTCAGCACGCACCAGGGCAAGTTCCCGGTATCCGACTCCCATCACGTGGCAGTGCCTGGAGTCACAGGACTGCCACGGGAGTGATGTTGAGCTTGCGTGCTTCTGTTTGTTTGCTGGCCAGAAGATTCCGGAAACATTTGGTTTGGTGCGGCGTGGTATCCCAGCCACCCTGGCCAGGCCCCCGTCGTCAGCAAGCAGATGCCTTGCGGCAAGGGGATTTGGTGATCGTCAGCGGCGAACAGCGGAAGCTGACCAATGTGGTCCCCAGGAAGGAGCGGACTTTTGGGGGACACTCCAGGTGTTTTGTGTGGGTCCGGGGGGAGGGGGCATTTCCGGGCATTTCCGTCAAGATTTGCTTGAGAATGAAGCTGAGAAAACGAGGGAGGGAGAGGCGAGAGGGGGGTCACAGGAGCGCGCAAATCTCTTTGAAGTCTTTCTGGAGCCGGACGGCCCGCTGGAGATGTTCCACTTGAAGCAGAGCTGGAGTTTGCAGGTCTTCGGCTCAGCCAGTGGATCCGGGTGTCTTCCCGAAGAGGAGGGAGAGGAGTGCTGCTGACGGGGAGCCCAAGTTAGAGGCTGTGTACAGAACAGCCTTCTGCAAAGGGCAGGACATTTGTAGGAATGTTTGAGATTCAGGGCAAGGCAGAAGAACTGTGACCCGTTGCCAGGGCCTTTTTGCAGATGCATGGCCACAGGAGTGACGGTTCCCGTTGCAGCTCGAGTTCCCTAAGGGGCTTCGAGCTGTTCGGGTTTTCATAGTTTTCCATGGCCAGCTGGGTTTTTGAAAGCTGCCGAAGCGTGGCGCAGTCCTTCGTGACGCCAGAAAGATGCTCTCAAAGCGGTTGGTGGACATGAATCCCACCCAAATGACGTCTATACCAAAGGTCCTTTTGGACAAAGAGAACAATGATATCGTTTCATACCCGTATCGCCCCTCACGGTTCGGTTCGGTGCCCCAAGTTGCAGGTGAGCCTCAACAGCTGCTGCTCTTCAGCGGAGAAGTGCAACAGCTGGCGCTTTGCCCTGCAACTGCTCCCCTGTGCCTTCGCGAAATTCGGATTGGGGGGAAGAGATCTCTTCAAAGACATGATTCTTCATTTGGACGTGTCGTTTTTTTTAATGGGACCCCCAAACAAAACGAAAATCAGAAAATGGTGGTTCTCCTCTTGGAACCACCAAACATGAGCTACCCTGAGAGGAGCTCTTTCATTGGAAGGTTCACCCTTACGTAGACTTACAAAAGCGCAGGGCTTGTGTGTGCCATGGCCCTACTTGGGGATGCCGGAATCAACGCCCAATGTAGGGTTCCTCTTCAAGACACCATGGCCATCGCCCACAGGAGGTTGGACCATGAGACGTGTAGACTGCAAAGGATCATGAAGCTGGGTTTGTCGACAGAATCACCTCCAGACACGCCCATTTGGACCATCACTCAGAGGTTATTTACTTTTGCAAGATTTTTCAAAGCTGGGTATTTGTGTCAAAAGGTTGGGGACTAGAAAATAGACCCAGATCTTGAGACCACAAGGCACTAATTATGGGTGTTCGCTTACGTATGGACTTTAGCTCACTTCGGTGGTAGGGTGTGGGGTTTGCGTGCGGTGTGACGTGTTGATGCTTTGTTTGCAATCCCTTGCATTGCAGTGTCATTATTGTCCTCTTAAGGCGATGGATTGTGGTTTATCATTCAACATCGGTCAAGCATGGGGGACGTGTCCGCCCTTTGTTTTTGATATCTATACCTAAAAAGAACTGCGGACTAAGTTGTTTCCTCTCGAGTCAAAGCCCAACGGGGCCCATGTTGATTGGTGTAAACCAAAATGAAAGCGGCAGTACTTGCAAGTGCGCTTAGTTTATACAGCAGTACTGCAATATGGGCCAATGCTTGAACCAGAGCAACCCACTTCCAAGAAACAATCGTACCTTTCTCTGTGCCTCCCCGGTTGGTTCCTCAAAACTGACATAGGCTTCGTATGAGGGCACGTGTCTATGTTTTGCGAAGTGTCTTCCTGACATACTTAGGCTTTAGGGGGGGGGTGGAGAAAGCACTTGCCTTTTGGTGAAGGAAACCTCAACTCGGCACTTGGATTAATCCATTCGGATTTGCTTCCCTGGCCAACTCACGGTGTGCCGCCCTTTTTGGCACCCAGTCTTTGGTTAGGATTGGCTTCAACCCTCCAGAGTGGTTGGTGTCCCTTTTGGTTTCCCGTCGGAAAACTAACCTGGGAAGTGTGCCCCCAAAACACACGCTCCCGTTTGGACGTGTATGTGTTGTAGGGGATACCACAAGTTGTCGTTTTCCTGTTGATTTCCCTTCAAAACCACAAAAATGTGGTACCATGTGGTTGACAGGATTGGCTTCAACTTGCTCCTTCGGAGCTGCACGCATTCCTCGGACTGGCGCAGCGCTCTGCGCTTGTTTGCACGACATGCGGTCGTCGGAAACCGCGCCCTCGGCGATGAGCATCGTCCCTGCGATCGAGGCTTGCGTGCCTTGGCGAACATGGGGAAGGGATGCATGGGCGGCTCGTCTGTTCTTGGGGGGACCCCCAAAGATGACTTCAGTTTTGCTCGCGGTTTCCCTCTAAAGCTACCAAACAAAAGGGTACCCTCAAGCACGAACACCCATATTTCTAAGTGCTGGCCGGGGGGTTGTCAAGATCGGCCAGAATCTTGCAACAGGCGCCATGTTTCTTGACAGCCCTCCCTTGATAGGTATCTCTGGGTTGTTCAAAAGAGGGAGGAAGTCTGGACAGTTTGGGATGGAGTCTATGGTTTTGGGAAGAAACCTGAGGATGGTGCTTTGGGTGTTAGGATTGCTGTACTATTGCGGTTCAAAGTTGTCCCCTGTTTCCGGTGGGTTCTTGTCTGAAAAGAGATGAATGATTCTTCCAGTTTGCCTGGAAACTAAGTGACTTCCTCTAAGGACGCCAAGAAAATGACCCCGTTGTTGGTATCAACATAATCCCAATTTGTTTCCTTTAAAAACCATACGGGCCCAAAGGAAGCGAAGCGAACCGCGTCCGACTCGAGGCCCGGGAAGGCGAAGCGAGGGCGACGGCAGACGCTCGAAGCAAGGAGTCGTTGGATCGCGTCGGTCGCGAAACGGGCGGTTTTTCCGTTTGGTTTCCTATTGCAATATCCTTGCTGGGGGTTGTCTTAAAACAGGGGAGCCCCCAAGATGGAGGTGTGTCCAGCGTTGTTTTTGGGTACCTTTTTGTTTGATGGGTTTGGGAAACCGAAAGGACATCAATCATTTCGGGGGGTCCTAAACAATATTTTGTATCATTTTGCCACATATTCCCATCTTGGAGGTGGTCTACAAATTCAGACGACCCGCTCAACGAGTTCTATTGGGCTCCAGCTTGCACCAACGTACAGTACTTTGCCGTATGGTCATGTGTGTGTGTGTGTGTCGCATCCTAGAACCCATTTGTTAGAACTAATGGAACCCCGTTCCCCGAAAAGCTGCCGTTTCCCATTTGGTTTCCCTCGAACCCCCAAAAAAACACTCAGCACTTTTCTGGGTGTGGGCATCTTGGGTGCCACTTCAGTAAGCTCAACCAAACTTGCGCATGTTTAGCTGCAAGGGCTTGTCGCTCACAAGGGCCATTGATTCAGTTTCCGGACCATATCAAGCGATTTCGGCTGAGGAACTCTTGGAGGAGCTTCAACTAATTGCTGTGCAATGAGGCTCGGTGGAAAGAGTCAACAAGTCGCGCTTGATTGTTCCCAATCCAATAGTTTCACGTTGGACTGACATTTTGTTGCTTCTAGCGTTTGTTCTCCGCGGTTCGTGATGAGCGCTCCTTTTGCGTCCCTCTGCTGGGTCTCAAGCTGCTATGATCATGTCCAAAGATTATGAGGAGCGTGAAAATCGTCTACACAGTGACAGTGTTTCCAGTTCCCACAGTAGGTGACGAGACACCTTCTACTCCTAGGTTCCCATCATGGTATCTGATTACCTTCTATTGTAGCAGGGAGTAATGGGCTACATGCAGTCAGATCTCCTTTGCGAGGCTGTGCAAAGGCAACGCTCAAGACAGTTCTGTTCGCTCAATCCCTGAGTTTCTGGACTGTAGTCACTTGGAGACATGTTTAGTGACATTTGCCTTTGTTTCCGCCGGACTTTTTAGGTTCGGCTCGCTTGCGGATGGCGCTTTCTGGGCGAGAATGCTATTTTTGCATACTGGCGTACCGCTCTGCAGTTACCATTGCCGCTTGGTCCATTTTAACAAGGCAATCTGGGCAGGTAGCGAAGTGCAAGAGTTGCAGGTAGGGAAGTACAAGAGTTTTGATCCACAGCCATTCGAACCACGTTGGGGTCTTAGTTGTTGTCCCATGCCCACTCCCGCATATTTTGGAGCGCGGCTTGTACAGGATTGCTCCGAACCTTTTGCGTTCCATGTCCCAATGTGACCTGCTCGTCTTCCCCGGACCCCCCGGTTAGTCCATGTGAGTCGCATGTTTCTTCCGTCGATGTCATCTGTCTTGGGCGGCGATGTGTGTGTTTTTTGTTCCCCGGGTTCTGAGCGCAGGCGAAGACGTGGTGACCTTGAACGCGGTCTGCGGATGGCCCTGGCTCCTGGCCCTGGAGCTGTTCCTGGTGCTTGGGCAGATCGGATGGGATGCAATCTGTGTGTGCCAGTGTTTGTTTGTTTAAAATTGTTGTTTGCTTGCTTTTTGTGTCTGCGATTGTGTGTGTGTGTGTGCGCCTGTGTTTGCTCGTTTTTTTTTGCTTGCTTTTTGTGTCTGTCATTGTCTGTGTGTGCGCAAAGAGAACTTCTACATGGAACCCTCCAGACGTGAGTTTTCTTTTTCTCGGAGGGGTATGTGTTTCGATTTGGTTGGGGAAACTGACAGGAAAGCCATTGGACCCGTGTTTGGGGCTCGGAATCTAGAAACTTTCGCACATGCCCGGAACAGATTATAGCGTTTCCTCGAAGGGTTTAGGTATTCGGAAATCCCGTTACATGACTGGCGTTCCCTTGGGTTGCCGGCACGGAACCCTGCAGTGTGGTTTTCAATTCAACAAATACTGCGCCTGGGCACAGGTGCGCTTATGTGGGTCTGTGCGGGGCAGAGACCAACCATTGCAGCTTGCGTGGCCTTTGAAAGCTGTGTTCGGAATTCTTTATGCACAAAAAAAAATCCGGCTTTGCACGCATACCTCACTTTCTGAGTTCATGAACTTTAAGCTTTGTTGGAGGACCATTTGTGGCAAATACAAGTTTGGACCTTTTCTGGCCAATCCATTCATGAAGTGAGATACACATTTAAACAAGCCCGCCGGAAGAACGGTGGTTGATCGAGCGCCTCCGCGCATCGGGCGCCTGAGGAGCTGCCAAGGTGTCGCCTGGAAGCAAACTCGGTGAGCTGCGACTCAGCCGTGACAGCTCTTGGCAGCCAGTGGAGGCCCGAAGACGACCGGATGTAGCCGTTGGCGCGGTTTCGAGGGGGCAAATGACGAAAATGGCCAGACGCGTCTGTTTTGGATTCTCTTTTCAGATTCGCTCCAGGCAGAAAACACCGGAGAAGGAGATGAGTTGCATTGACACATGTACTAAAATCATTCAATTCAAAAGAGAGCAGCCCACCAGTATTGGTAGTTTTTCCATTTGTTGTTCATCGGGTTTCCTGACATTTGTATTTCCCAGGCTGTCCCGCGTTCCCAACTAGCCTATATACTTTCCTGACATTTGGGCCGAGCCTTGCATGAGCAGAGAAACATTTTAGCAGGGAATCTGTTTTGGGTAGTTCCCTGTCAGTGCTTGAAGTGGTAATGTCGTCGGGTTCCCTGCTATAGGGGCGTGCCAGGCATTTACTGGGTAAGAATCCTGACATGGAAGGGTTGCTTCCCCACCTTCCATAAAAAAGCCAGCATATTCTTATAGGAGAATCCATACAGAGCTTGGAGAGCCGGCAGTATTCCTACTGCTCTAAAATTGCATAGTTTCACCGCAGCGGCCAAGCAGAGCCACGCCATGCTCCACCTGGGCGCCCAACGTGCACCGGCGGCCGAGGACGTCGTGGGCCGGTCTGCGGCGCTCAGCGCCTGCGAGCGGCGCCACGAGTGGCGCAGGGCGACTCGGCGGGGCACAACGCATGGGGTGCCTCGTGTTTTTGTTTAGGGGGACCCCGTGAATTCTGGTTTTCCCGTTGGGTTTCCTTTAAGACCTACATCCCAAAAAAGCCACACCCAATGGGTGCAGTTGGGTGGGTCGGGTGGGGTGGGGTAGGCGGTGGGGCGGATGGCTCGCTCGTTGGCCACTGCTTTGTTGCAGCTCAGAAGAGAGGGGCCCCTCGCAGGTCGTTAGATTGAGGTCCCCCACAAGGAGGTTTAGGTAGGCAAATCTGAAGGCCTTTCATGATCGCATCATCATGTTGGAAATGCCGAAGCGGGCCATGCGCAAAATCTGGGAGACCCCATATTAGACAAATACACGTACAAATTCCACCACCACATGTACCTCCCAACATGCGCTGGTTCGACTCTACTTGGTCGCTTCCAAAGTTATCGAACAACTGAAGCACTGTGTTTAAAGATGTTTCCGTTTGTTGCCTCCCAAAGAAGTACTGTACCATCTTGTGGCATCGTCAACGGGGCAGCGACAGGGAGGAGGGCACAAAACCGTGCAACACAACTTGACGGCCGGCGCAAGATGATCATGTTCGGCTCCACGTCCGCTAGAATGTTGCAAACGAAACTCCTTTGTGTTTTCTGATTGTTGTTGTTTTTGTGTCTTCTCTCTCTCTCTCTCCCTCTCTCGCAGCGTTTCTCCCTTCCCCATCATTACGCGAATCCTGCGAGTCGATGTTCCAGCGATCTGAGGCTTTTGCTGCAAGAGATGTGGAGCGGGAAGGGAAGCAAGACGCCTGGCGTGGAAGTTCGACCTCTTCATGGGTCAAGTCCTAGGATCTTACAAGGAGATCAGGCATTCGCGTTGAGTGCCTTGCTGCATGCGCACACCTGAGGGAAAAAATGCGGGACCGGGACAATGCTACAGCTTGGCAGCTAGAGAAGAGACCACCAGGGGTATCGAAATGTCAAGTTGCTGCCAGCTGCTTGAGTTTTTGAGAGGGATGCGAGTAGCGTCTCTAATTATTGTTGGCTGCATCTATGAAGAAGCCCGGACGCAGTTTCCCTTAAGCACCAAACAGCGCACGGTCCAAACGGCCCCAGCCGTTTGGTCAACTCGGTCCTCGAGTTGTCCCTGAAGCGGCTGCCCTGTAAGCCATTTACAGAGGGGGTAGATGCGAGGATGTCCTCCAGTAAAACCGATTTCGACATATTTCGACGCTTCCCTCCTTGCTTACTATGGGAAGGAAACCAAGATCACTCTATGGTGCCTCCCAGATCGCTGCCCCAACTTTTGGACATTTGGACATTCCAAATGCCCACCTGTTAGATCCTGGGTTGTTCTTCCAAGTTTTGTTTTTGGACTTTTGGGATAAGCCCCTCCATGACCACCTAAGAGTTTTTCGTCTTGGGCCGGTGACTGAATGACGAACCCACACCGTTGGGCTTACCCTGCCTCCCGTGCCGCCCACAGCCCCAATTTTGGCAACCCCCAAAAGACTTTGGACCCGTTTTCGTACCCCCCCCCCCCTCCCCAAAAAAACCAGATAATTGGACAGTAAAGGGAAACCTGTAAAGGGATTGAAGCCAAGAACCTTTCAACCTCTTTTGAACACTTTGCGCCTTGTCTCACTCTCTGAGCTCATGCACTTTCAGCTCTTTGGGGACCATTTTAGTGACAAGCAAGAAGTTTGGATGTTTCGCGGCCAATCCACTTAGAAAGTGATAAAACCACAACTGGCACCAGACCGAAGCCGCCCCGATCCCCGATCCGAGCAGCCGAGCAGCCGAGCCGAGCATCAGGAGTCTGGTGGCGGGCAACGCCATGCTGGCGGCCTATGAGAAGGTGGACCGCTGGTCCGAGGCCCTGCAGGCGGGAAGCTTTTCCACGAGCCGAGCGCAGGAGGTGCAACAAGTTTCATGTGGGTTGTTTTGGTCAAAAGGAAACGGTTCTGAAAACTGAAAGTTTTTCTCAAACCAAAGGTTAGGTTCCAAACCAAAGCCAAAACGGATCCGAACGGTTTTGAAAATAATGTAGTTGCTTTAAACAAAAGGTTGGGTTCCAACATAAAACCAGCATGTTGCGCTCAAACCCCGGTCCGATGTCCCGTGGTTTCAGCCTTGGGCGCTGACAAGTTGGAAAGGTAAGTCGGAGAGGCCTTCGGCCTCCAGGCTTGGGGCCTTTGACTTGGGGCAGGCCCTCAGCAACTTCCCGCGTCTCAGTCTGCCGGATGAGGCGCGGAGAGGGAAGGGGGAGGTCGCCCGAGAGCTGGGTCCACGTCTGGCCTTGGAACGTCACTACTCACTCCAGTTCTGTCTGCAGGAGACAAGGAGGCCGAGCAATAGAGCGACAGTGCATTGAGATGTTGGTCAGACATCGTTGAGTGTTCTACGAGCCTGCTGACAATCTGCCGTCTTGACAGCACTTATGATTGATCTTATTTCAATCGAGAGGCGTGTTTCCTCTGAACCGGTGGCGGCTTCCCCTTGGTTCCCTGCTGGTGTGGAGGAAGCTGGTAAATACTCCAATCACAAGATCAGCTACGGGAGCCCCCAAAAGTGGCTGGCTTCTAGCCTCCCTGAGCCCTAAAACGGGTACCACCCCTAAAGCGACACCTTTCGCACGTGTTCGAAGGCCACGGCTCCGTTGCATCTTGCAAGAGAGGGAGCCCCATGGGATGCCCACCAAAAACAGGTCATGAAACTGTTAACCAGGGCCTGGGTTGACCTCGTTTGGATGCGCTTGCCAACCGTTGAAATTGGCTGCATCTATGAAGAAGCGACCACCTAAGCGTTTGCGTCTTGGGCCGGTGACTGACTGACGAACTCACAATGTTGGTTCTTGGGACGATTGACGGCGCTGCCCCAAAGTGCTGCCCAAGGAAACTTTAGACCACCCGTTTTGGCATCTCTCCAACAAATTGTTTAGGCGCTGTGCCCCTTTAAAGGGACACCAAGAACCCTCAACCTCTTTTGAACACTTTGGGCCTTGTTTCAGTCTCTGAGTTCATGCATTTTAAACTTTTTGGGAAGACTAGTGACAAGCAAGAAGTTTGGATGTTTGGCGGCCAATCCACTTAGCAAGTGAGAAAACAACGACTGGCACCAGACCGAAGCCGCCCCGATCCCCGATCCGAGCAGCCGAGCAGTCGAGCAGTCGAGCCTCAGGAGTCTGGTGGCGGGCAACACCATGCTGGCGGCCTATGAGAAGGTGGACCGCTGGTCTGAGGCCCTGCAGGCGACCGAGCCGAGCCGCAGGTGCAGCAAAACAGCATATGGGTTGTTTTGGCGGAAAGGAAGCCGAAGGGGAAGGCAGAAAAGGTTCTGAAAGCTGAATGTGTGTTTTCTTAAAACGTGGTTTGGTTGCCCAAAGGGAAATCACCAGGTTTTGCAAAGAATGCTTTCCTAAACCAAAAGTTCGTCCGCGAAAAGGTGAAGCCAGCATGTTGCGCTCAAACCCCTGTCCGATCCCCTGGTTTCAGCCTTGGGCGCTGATAAAGTGGAAAGGTGCATCGGATGGGCCTTCGGCCTGGCTTGGGATGTGTGTTTGAACCAACCACTTGGTCGGGAAACCGGGCTGGGACGTGGCTTCAACCGAGTTTTGTGGCCCTATCCATTTGAACCGGGACTTGGCAACTTGGAAGCCAGGCGCTCAGCAACTTCCCCCGTCTCAGTCTGCAGGCGGATGAGGCAGAGAAAGGGGGGGGGGATAGGGTCGCCCCAGAGCTGGGTGCATTTGAGATGAGGTTAGACATCGCCGACCCATTGAGCTGATTAAGGCCGTTAAACGTCAGTGGAAGACTTAGGAGGCAGAACAATGGGACGACAACGCGTTGGTCAGATAGCGTTGAGTGTTCAGAGAGCCTGCTGACAGTTTTGCCTTTTTCGTGCCTTTGCCGACTTGGCCGCACCTATGATTGACCTTTACCTCCCACAAAGTTAACTTGTCATTCACATGGAACGTGTCTGAAGCAGACAACATGTTCTTGTACACAGCAACGCTTCCGATATGCTTATTGCGGTGACTTCTTTGTGATGCCGCTTCCAAACAACGCTCGAACTTGATTTTTGGACACCCCGCTGATTGCTTGCAGGCCGTCGGAAAGTGCAATTGGCCCCACAACACGTTGGTTATGAGCAAGAAGGGATTAGTGTCCTTGTCGGTTTCCTGAGGCCGTTCTTCGAAAAGCCAAGGAGACCCACTTGGTCAAGGGGAATCATGTCGGAGCTGGTTGCCTTTGTAGAAGTTTACTTTTCGGCTGCTTTTCGACCAGAAAGTGGCAATCAGCATCCAGCCAACCATGGGTAACAATCAACCTCAATGCATGCTAGCCAGAAATTGAATGGACATTGGCAGGCTTCGCAGAGGAGGTACAGTGACCACTTCCCAGACTGACGCCCCCGATTAGCATGGAACTTAAGAAAACCCGATCCATTTGTAGAGGAATCTCCTTTCGAGCCTTTTGGGTCCCACGTTGACGGCTTGCCTCCCTCCCAGCTTGGAAGCAGGTTTTTGGCCTGCCTTTACTTCCTGGCTTAATTAGCGTCCGGCTCCGGGCAAAGGAGTAGTTTCATGTGGCTTCCTTTCCACGAAATCGGGGCGAACAGGAACTTTCTTTGACCATCGCGGAAAGTAGGGCTGGTTTGGCCACTTCGTGTACCAAGGGAATCCCCTTCAACGCACTCCGCCAATGTGGCCCCCAGAAGTGAGATAAATTTGTGGAAGCTAAAGCACTGGCAAACAGAATCTAAGAGATTGACACAACCGGACCCTGGCACGACTGTGTTGCTTTTCATGTGAGTTTCCCACTGAGAATAAGCCATGTGGCTATTCTCATGCTCTGACATGTGCGCCTTTTGTCGTGGCCCAGTGGTGGTAGGTCTCAATGAAAAAGCAGGATGCTGTGTCTTAAACTTGGTGACAGGACTCTGACTTGCACCCTGCTTCTAACACTGATGCTGACTGACGGCTGTCCATTTCCCAGCCATACAATTAATCCGTTCCCCCTAATGCTAAACGTCCTAATGCTAAACGTCAACCCCCCTTAAAACTAAACGGGTCCCCCGGGGAAAGCCGGTTTTAGTATTAGGGGGTCCCCGGTTCGTTTTCGGAAAGCCTTGGGAGACAAATAATGAGACAAATAAAATGCCCCCAATTAACAAATGTGGTTTGAAGGATTGAAGGAGCCAAAAAAGGGTCTTTAGAATTGGTTTTGTCTTGGCTCTTCTAAAAGTAGTGTTCCCGGATTTGGGATTCTCCAAAACCAGTTTTAGTATTAGGTGTTTAGCATTAGGAAGAATGGATTAGAATAATTAGAATGGGTTTGTGGCAAACTCTTAAGCCAAATCTAGTCATGAGTTTAGGAGTACACTACTATAGAAATGATTTGACCCCTATTCAGAGTCTGCGGGCTTCAGAAGTCACTTCTGATGTTCTGCAGCCAGTTTCGCCGCCCCTCGCCTACGCCCCTCGTCCCTCGCCATGGCCCCGGAGCTCACGTGGCAGCCGGACGGCGTCGTGGCCTTCACGGCGCCCTGGGCCGCGGAGGCCTCCGGCGGCGTGGCGCTGCGGCCGCGGGGGCGCGGGGCCGAGGCACAACTCCACGAGGTGGACGGCCGCGGGCGGTCGGTGCAGTCCGTGTCGCGGCTCGACTTCGGCGCGGATGGCGGCTGCATGGTGGAGGAGTGGTCCTCCCAGAGCGGCTGGGTCGAGGTGGGCCGCTTCCCCAGAGGCGGTGTGCGGTGGTGCTGGGCGAAGGGCCCGGGAGGGCAGTGGAAGGTCTGGGCCGAGGCGGACACCGGGGAGAAGATTCTGCTGAACCATACCTTCAAGAAAA